CTCTAGGTCGAGTGGAGTTGCTGTTCCAGGCTTCGACTGGAGAGTAGGTGTCGTATGCAGGATGGGTCTTCGTGAGGCAGCGGGAGTTTGCCGTTGTCGTCCATGGTTCTTGGAGGAGCACGATGTCGTATCGTTCAGAGTCTGCCAATGCAAGGGCACAGTCGTGGACCGGGGGAATCTTGCCGACGTTGGCTTGAAAGACCCTGAGGGTCTTTTTCTCGCATCTTCGTGCTCGCGGGCGCCTACTCGTGCCCATGATCGTGGGGACGCGTGATCAGGACGATGCGGCGCTTCCTTGGGGACCCGGGTCTTGGGTGCTCGGGTTCCTCCTCTGCCTCGGGGGTAGTGGCCACCATGATGCAAGACGGCGCTCTTGACGCGGCCGGACTGGGAGCTCGAGGGCTCGATCTTTCTAGCGACCCGGTGCTATCCTGCTGTGGGCCGTTTTGCTGTAGGTCAGGTGCGTGCCGCTGCGCTTCTACGTTGCGCTGACGATATGTTTCAGCGCCCACAACTCGGATATGGTCCCTCTGTTCTTTGGTCAGTCGGCGGAAAACGCCATGTACCTTCTTCGGGCGTGCTGGGCAATCGGCGAAGTTGGCGCTGTGCGGGCCGAGGCAGTTGGCGCATTGCTCGGGGGCGGTACAGTCCCCGGAGTCGTGGCCGGCGGCCTTGCCGCAGCGTTTGCACAGGGGGAGTCGATGGCAGGTACGTGACTGGTGGTAGTCCAAGCATACATTGCACTGCTTTGGCCGGTCGGTTTTCTTGATCAGCCTTGCTGGTCGGCTGCTGAAGAGGCGCCAGTATTTCTTGACTGGCTCCAGGAAGGACACAAGTAAGGTCTTCGTTAAGGGGTTGTCAGGTTGATGCCGCGCGGGCCGTATGTTGACGGGTTTCTGCCCTGTCTGGATTTCTATTTCTTCGTCCACGGCTGCGTCGCTATCCGCTTCATTGCCATAGAGGTCGGTCAGCTTGCGAGGGTAATCTGAGACTAGGTAGGTAAACCACTCTTGCCTGGTCTCTACGGCGGCGGCCCCTAAGTCGGGTGCCCATTCGGTCTGTCTCTGCACGAGGAGGTCGCGAGTGGTTATGTCGGCGGTAAGGACGGCCCATCCGGACCTGACTTGGAGTACGCGCGGGATCTTGCGTGGATCCACTCCGAGTTTCCGGGATATATGAGCCCGGATTGCGTAGTCGTTGTGGGCCCTGGCCGGAGCTTCGGCATCCAGCCGGATGAAGACACGGAGGTCCACTCGGAGTGGGGCGCCTGCAGTCGGTTGTCCCTGGCGATGAGGGGGCTGTTGTTGTTGACGTTGTTGTTGATGGTGTCGGGGTTGGTGGGCAAGGGCGTTGTTTGCAGCCGGGGGCGAGGCCGCGATGGCGCTGTAGGTAGTAGGCGCGGGAGCAGATTTGGCATCAGTGAGCGCCTGATTCCAGGAGTCTAGGAAGCTGTCGGCAAACTTTTGAGCGAATTCCCGTTCAGGCCCAGTGGTGAACTGTTTCGCTGCTTCTTCGAATTTAGCGCAGAAGGCCTGAAACACCTTCAACTTGGCATTGTATTCCTCCGCACGGTCGCGTGCGAGCTTAGTGGCTGCTTCAATAAGGGAGACTGGTTGCTGTTCAGTAGTCGGGGCAGGGTCAGAGGAGGGGGCGGGATGGGCGAGCTGGGCCCCTTCCGTGGCCGCAGCAGTAGAGATCGCATTGAGAGGCGAAGACGGCGTTTGAGCCGTCCTCCCGAAGGCGGGGGGGACCCCGACAGGTCCATTCACGACAGCGGGGCTGTTTTGTAAGAGGGCAGTGCGGGCTCCTCGATTGAGATTGGCAGGAGTATGGATTCCCAGGTCAAAAGGGTCCGGGACAATAGGCGGGCAGGAGGTGGCGGATGCCATCGCCGCCGCCGTGGGCTGCGCGAAGCGCAGGATTGTGGTTGTGTCCTACGCGGTTGTAGTTATCTAAGCGACCATGCCGGGCCAGCGGGGTCTGGCGTACAGCTTGATGCCTCGCGGATCAGTATTGATGCGCTGTGCACCGCTTCGCCAAATATTCAGAGCGATAACCCATTGCCACTAAAATTCGTAAGGGACTGTGTCGCAGGGTAGGCATGATCTTCACGGCCTCAGGAAACAACTGTATTAGTAATCTAGCTAGTTATAGACGAAATGTAGATGTAGATAGATGTAGGTCTACATCTATCTATCTACCAGGGGCCCATGTGGGTCATCTATCTATCTATCTTACCGTCGGATATGTAGGCGAAATGTAGATAGACGCCAAGATGAAGACGGAAAGTAGAGGGACTTTTTTTTGGTGCGCAATTTCCTTCCAAAGCAAGGTACCGGTACCCTCACCTTACTACCTACCAACACCCCCTGTCAGATCATTTCTCTTCCACCTTTTCCTCAAGCTCATCGCAAATTTTGGTCAACCTCTTGATACAGCTCCCCCTTTTCAAATATCAAGTGGCATGCCATAGAGTCGACTCACAGTATAGAGCATCTGCCATAATGCCAACTCCAAGCGACTTGTTCAGTCAATCGGTAACTGATGCAAATAATTGCTCAGAGTTATCCAGTCAGCCAGATCTACCAAAACTAGATTCATCGTCGCCCCCCAGCACCTCAATTGCCGTCAAAGACTGGAGTACAGTTTCTCAAACCGTCCGTGGCCATTGGACTCTCTCAACTCGAACTGGACAAGCCACTGGATGGTTTTGGGCTCATGGTTACAATGTTCAAGCCAAAACTGCCACCACCGAACGGGGCCCATCCAGTTGGCTTTGCTGCCATTGCACCCAACAGAAAGTCCACAAACCAAAAGCCTATGTCGCGTCGAATACCCGGAACATTGAAAATCACCTCAGCAAAGCACACAGTGTCTTCCATCCAGATCCATCAAAAGCAAAGCGCTACGTATTGGAGAGGCCTTTAAATCAAGGCAACCTCCATGAGTTTACCTCCAGGAAGCGGAAAAGGGATGACCTTCACGACGAGCTGGTTGCTCGATTTGACAAAGCAACATTCCAGCGCCTGCTTGTTCGGTGGATTACGGACGCAAACCTGTCTTTTCGCCTCTCAGAGCACGTGGGGCTCCATGAACTTTTTGACTATCTCAATCCGTTGGTCCGTGAGACTTCGGCAAACCTTACTCACAAAACAATTCGGGCCAAGGTTATTCATGAGTTCAACACTTATAAAGCCCACGTTACTGATACTTTGCTACGGAGCCCTAGCAAGGTCCACATTGCATTCGATGGCTGGACCTCTCGGAACAGGCATTCTTTCTTTTCCATCAATGCTTTCTTTCTCGACGACGAAACTTTCCAGCCTCGAAAAATCCTGCTAGGCCTCCCAAACGTCGCCATGGCCCACACCGGGGAAAATATCTGCGCAGCGGTCACGGCGGTACTGGAAGAATTCGAGCTTGTACAACACAATAAACTTGGATATTTTGTTCTTGACAATGCTTCAAACAACGATAAGGCTGTGGAGGAATTAGGGCGCAAGTTCGAGTGGCATGAGCCTGCAGCCAAGAGGATTCGCTGCTTTGGACATGTCCTTCACCTTGTCGCTACGGCTATGCTTTTCGTCCACGATACCCAAGCCCTCGAAGACCTTGACCCGGATGACTTTGACGAGTGGACAAAGAGAGGGCCGGTTGGAAAATTACACAACCTTGTCGTCTGGATCAATCGATCGAACAAGGCAACAGTCATCCTGCGCAGACTACAAGACGATGACCCTGACAAGAACTACCCCGGCACGCTTGATGTCGTTCTTGACAACTGCACACGCTGGCTATCGCAATATTATATGATTGAACGCGCAATTAAGCTCCGTCGCTACCTTGAAGAACTTGTGGATATCACCATCCAAACGAACAGGAAGTTGGCCCGATCTCGATCCAAAGTCGAAAAATCGCGAAGCTCGCTTCCTTCATGTCTTGAGGAGGACAATCTCCTTACTGATGCTGATTGGGAAGCTCTGAATTGGTTCAGTAACATTCTCGCCATGTTCAATTCTTGCCTTTTGAGGCTTGAAGGTGACTGTCAAGTTCGGCTTCGAAAAGGAGGTGCGGAAGCACAGTACGGTATGGTTTGGCAGGTCGCCATTGCATACGAGTTCCTCTTATCAACATTAGAGAGGGCCAAGACAGAGTCAGCGGATCGGCCAGAGTCCAGCTATCTTTCTGCCTGTATCAACTCTGCGTGGGCCAAACTTAATAAATATTACACCAAGCTCGATGAAACACCGATTTATTACGCAGCTACTGTCCTTCATCCTGGAATACAATGGGCGTTCTTGACAAGGGCGTACAGCGGAAGGGAGGGTTGGATTGACAAGGCTCGATATCTCATCCAAACGCTTTGGGAGGAAGAGTATAGGGATCTTCCCGCCCAGTGGGAGATCGCTGACAGCAATCTTCCTGTAGCCGTGAGGGCACGGGAGTACAATCCCTTTGACTCATTCCAAGACGAGCTTATGCCGTATCCGAACTCCGAAGAAGAATCGGTCGCCGATGAGTTCGAAAGGTGGCAATCTACAAAGCAGGACACATTTTCAAAGCACGATAATCCGCTCGAATACTGGTCTGCCAAGCGGTTTGAGTATCCTCGTGTAGCGAAAATGGCGATTGACGTCTTATCAGTCCCTGCAATGGCTGCCGAATGTGAGAGAGCATTTTCCTCCGCTGGTAGTATGGTCTCTCCTCAGCGGACTCGTTTGGACGCGAGCACAATTGCAGTTACCCAAACGGTTAGGTCATGGCTGAAGGCAGGACTTCTAGAAGGATATGACGGGCTGCTGAAGGAGACGAGTGGCGAAGTGGCCGGGGTAGTTACTTAGTGGCTAGTGCATATCGTATTTAGAGTGGTAGATAGAAGCATCTATCTATATCTACATGTAGCCTACCTCTACCTATCTACATTCCGTTTTATGACTAAGCATCTACATCTATCTACCTTGGGTGTCGGTAGATAGATGTAGATAGATTCCCCACCCTGGCTTCTTGCGTCTGGATCGGGCGGCGGCACGGTCATCATCTGGGATACGATGACCGGGATGCTACAGTGTACCCTTGACAAACATTGGAGTGCGACCGTCGCACTGGCATTCTCACCAACTAGCCAGGTCCTCGCCACTGCAGCAGGTCTCGACAGAGTCGCTAGACTCTGGAACCCCTCAACAGGAAAAGTTTTCAGCTTCCTTGAGGGTCACTCCGCGGGAGTTAACGCCTTGGCATTCTCACCTAACGGCCACATTCTCGCTTCTGCATCGTCAGATGGTACTGTGAAGCTGTGGGATACATCGCTGAAATCGTCTTCCCACGCCTTTGAAGGACACTCAGATGCGATCATGACAGCAACATTTTCCCCGGACTGCCGAACGCTTGTCTCTGCATCCTGGGATGGCACTACCATGCTTTGGGACACGGCAACTGGGGACCTCGTGGAAGTCCTCGAAGGTCATTCAGATGAGGTGACGGCGGCAGTTTTCTCGCCAGATGGCCAGCTGATTGCTACCGCATCTTCCTACCGAACAATCAAGCTCTGGAATGCGTCGCAAGGAGCATTAAGATGCACTCTTGAAGGTCATACTAAAGGAGTGTACGCCATCACATTTTCACCCGACTGCAGATTTCTTGCTTCTGCATCAGATGAAGAGCTTATCTATATCTGGGATGTAAGAGCGGGAGAATTGTGCGGCACACTGGAGGGCCATTCAAGTTGGATTGACGCAGTAACGTTTTCGCAAGAGGGTTGTTTCCTCGCCTCTGCATCAAATGACAAGACGTCCAAAGTCTGGAACGTAACGAAAGGCACTTTGCACTGCACTCTTGAGGGGTTGCCTGATCACGTCAGGGCGCTAGCACTCTCATCCGACAATCGCACCCTAGCTTTCGCGTCAGAAGATAGCTTAATCCAGCTCTGGGACCTCGCAGGAAGGTATCAAGTACACGTCATCCATTGTGGAGACGTACACTACCGCCTCAGTTTCTCCCCAGACGATTCACATCTCATAACAGACCGAGGCTTGTTACACCGGGATACAACTTCTTCGAGTGCGGACCTTCGTTCAGCGGATATAGCCTGTCAGTTATTTGTTAGGAAGAATTGGGTCTCCTGGAAGGGTATCGACGTCCTTTGGATTCCACCCGCCTATCGCGGGGAAATGGTGGCTCTCGAACACAACATCGTTGCACTTGGACACTCTTCTGGACGGTTTAGTTTCCTGGAACTCCAACCACTCGAAATTGTTGGAGATCACAAGTGTGAGGCGACCAAGTCGGTGGTAAGATGTGGAAGAAGGTGGAACATTTCACAGAGATCCTGCCTATCAACAATTCAGAAGTGATCTAAGTGTCGCAGGCCGGGCATGGTCACAACGAGCCTCAGGAACAACAGCCCTTAGTAATCAAGTTGGGTGATTTAAAGTAAAACCTGTGGGATGGAATACCCCACACAGAAGATAGAACCAATCAACTCACTACTGCTGCTCATTATGAATGACCCGACCTTCAATCCATTTTAAGCACATCCAGTGCGACACAAGAGTTCCATCGGGTGTCGTTATCGATCCCAAGCCGCAGGCTTACTCGATCCTCCCATAGATCACTGTGGATAGATGAATTTCGAAGCCAGACTGCAATGTTATGTAGTTTACGCATCGCGGGGATGGTTTGCCAGCCTCTGAATTTGTCATCCTTGAAATCGGAGGGCTTCCGTCAGAAGACACTCGTCACGACGAAAGGTCAACTCTCTGAATCCATTTCTTCAGGCAGCTGTTAGGGCCCCGCTAGCCCCACAGCTGCCTTTGCTGCCATTTTGTCCTGCAAAAGCTTTCTGCCCTAGCAGCGCGCTAACAGCGGGTGCCAAGAAAAAGTTTTCACAGGAGAGAGTTCGCCAATAAAAATGCGAAGTATCCCTGTCATTAGTATAGGGTAAGGCTTGCCCGCTACTGGCAAGAGGCGATTTGACCATCCAAATATCCCTTCTAGGCTGGCGATTAATTCAATTCAATCACACATCTGGTGGACAAAAGATCAACCAGTGAACCTTGTGAGCGTGCACACCCCATAGAACACACCGTGCCACCCCTGCTTCAAATTAATCGACACCCCAGATTGAATTGATCGCAGCCCTGATATTATTGGGGGGCTAGGGCATGTGAATGACGAAACTGGCGTTGCCTTTGGCCCAAGCTGGTAAGATTGGCAGGGATGTCTCACTCGAAACCTAGACATCAATCACAGATTTAGCTGCACCCCACACGATCTGTTAGTTCCAATAGCGGTCATAATGATGTCGACGACGTAACTTGGCTGAACTTGCTTGGGGAGCTTGGAGAAGTGGTATATGAGGAAGAGATAGCGTCAATTGATGGTCTAAGTAACAAGCTCTTGTCACGACTCAACAAGCACAATAATACACAGCGATCATCTTCTTTTTGATACCCAATCCATAAAAATAACTACACGATATTCACCATGAGTCTAAGCGCCAAAGTCAAAGATATTCTACACTCTGGCGAGTCCAAGGACAGATCCACAGCAGACAATACCCAGCACCCACCTGGATCATTCCCAACAGAAGAGATGGAGCCTAGCGAAACTTACGAGGGCTACTCCAAGGGATACGAACACAATAAGCTTCACAAGGCTGACGATCCTCGAGGATGGACTCACGGCGATAACAATGCACCTCGCGGCCATGCGCACAAGGATTCTGGTGTTGGACTCACCGAACATGACCCAACTTCCTACAAGCCTTCTCAAGAACCCATCTCCGAGAGACGCAACGATCCTCTCAACAGAACTACTGAGTCCACTGCCGCTGGTGGCTTGGGAGATACCACCAACCTCGCATCCAAGGAGGGCACGAGTGGCACCACTGCACCATCTACCTCAGAGCATCCTCACTGGGGAGACATTCCTAGCGGAGGCGCTCACAACTCTGTCGTCGGTCATGGCAGCCCCGAAGATGAAAACGCACGCCACCGAGCTGTTCATTCAGGCGCGGCCCAGCCAACTCGAACGTCAGGTAATCTTGAGAGTGGCACATTCCTTCACCGCCATGATCGCGATCAGTCATCCTCGAATAACAATCCTCATGATGCCCAGCGACTTGCTCAAGAGAACCCGAACCGAGAAACATCTGACTCCAACTTCAACAAGGGCGTAGCTGGCGCTGGTGCTGCCGGAACTGCTGCCCTTGGAGCCCACGAGCTCAACACGAGACGCCATGCCGATGAGACACCAACCAAGGCGGATCAAACCACCGAAAAAACTCATTCCGAGGAACATAAGGGCAGATCTTTCCCTTTGCTCGGCAAGGATCACAAGAACCATCACAAAGAGACCAAGGAAGACAAGCACGCCAAGGAACCCAAGAAGGAGCACGAGAGCAAACTGGGCGCTCTCTTCCACCGACGTGGCTCTAAGGATAAGACTGAGACAGAGGCAAAAGCTGAGCAAGAGGCTGACAAGAAAAGACATTCTCATTCTAAGGCTGCTCCTGCTCTAGCTGCCGCTGGAGCCGGCGGTGCTTATGCTGTTACCAGGGACCGACATGATGATAAGCAGCGTGATTCAACTACTGGTACTCACCAGGATCCTTCTGCTACTCGAGGCGCGACTCAGCACCCTGCTGCTGGACTCGGCTCTACCAGAGATTACAGCACTCAGGGCAGTCAGCCTACTACTGGTGCTATGCAACAGCCATACCAGCAAGACTCTCACAGAGGCACCGGACTTGCTACTGGTGCCGCTGCTGGTCTTGGAGCTGGAGCCCTTGCGTCTCATGAGTCGAGCAAGAGACACGATGAGGATCGCTACCTAAGCAACGACAGCTCTCAGCGAGCTCAGCCTAGAGCCACTGGTACTGGGTCCGCTCTGGGTGGCACTTCCGCCTCTGGGTTCGATAGCTCTAGACATGAGCCCTTCCCAGGATCTCACAACCAGTCTCATCACTCGACTCACCATTCTACACTTGCTGAGATCGCCAACGCTGGAAAGTACAACACTCTTGCATCTGGCACCCCCTCTGGTGTCAATTACGACGATGATGTTGACACCAGCCGTTCAACCCAGCAAGCTCATGTGGATACACCTCAGAAGAAGGATAACCACTACGGTACCGCTGCGGGGCTGGGTGCCGCTGGCGCTGGAGCTGGAACTGCTGCAGCTCTATCTCGCAACAGTGATGAGAAGCCTGTCGATAAGGAGGGTTTGACTCGTCAGACTGAACCGCGAACTGAGCGGCAACTCGATCGTGATACGGAGTCTCACAAGCCGATCACTGGAGCTGTTGCGCCTAGGTCGGGTGTTAGCAAGCCTGTTATTCACAAGTGTCAGAAGTGTGGTGAGGATAATGATATCAGCCAGTACTTTACATCTAATGCAACTGGAAAGATCTAATGAGTTTGGGGGTTTGGTTATGTGATCACGGCCTGTTTTGTATTGAGTATACGCTAGTATCCTGGAGTTTATGTAACATGATGGTTTCCATTTGCTTTTTTAGAACCTTGGGCGCCTCTGTGATGTAAAAAGTCTGTTCTTCATGGAGACATACCATACCGCCAGTTACTTCAACACTTATATACGAGACATAAAGTTCGTCAATATACTCTTCTACCATGCCAAATCTTCTGCATCCTTTCCACAAGCAAGACTAGAACAAAAGCCTATATCTGTCTCCGTCCCACGGGAACCATCAGAAGGAACATGCTGTGCTGGATTGATTTCCTTTCCCGCAGCCTTCTCCCACTGATGATGTCGATTCAAAATTCCTGTAACACGGTGCTGGAAGTAAAGAGGACCTTGTTCCATCTTAGGATTCATCTCTCCATTCACGAAAACACCTACAATCAGGTTCTTTTGAGCGTTATTGCAGAGCCATTTATCTTTGGCCAAGATTCTCTTGAACATCTCGTCGATCGTTTTGAAGCCTTCGTCGGTGGCGTTCTTGTGTCGATACACTTCGTATTCCATGGAGCAGTGACCAGGCGAGGTGGGAACACATCTCATCATGTAGAAGAAGTTGGGACGAGTATGTTAGTTTAAATGTAAGACCTAATGGGTGGGGGAACTTACGAGACGACCATACAAGTGGTAGGGAAGTAATAGTTGCTCACGATCTTCAGGCCATTCTTCTCCTGCTCAGGATTCGTGTTGGCAAAGTGCTCGATGTTACCGCCCTTGGTATCAACTTTATACGCCGACAGGTCTGCAACTGCGGCGGCATCCGGGTGGGCGGTCTTGCAATGGTAACATTCATTGTAGTTATCCGCCAAGGTCTTCCAGTTGCAATCACCGCTCATTCCCCAGGTATGATCGAAGTAGTAGTCATCGAAATTGAAACCTTCATGTCTGGCCATTTGGTCAATGTTTTTGAACTCGCTTGACCAGTCTTTAGGTGTCTTTGATGTATCTAGATTGACCCAGATAAAGCCTTTGGCATCAACATGAACATGGATTGGCAGAAGACCCTTTTTGCTCTTGTCGAAACCTTTCATGTCGTCATATCCAGGGGCTTTGGCGAGCTGCCCGTTCAGACCGTATGACCAACCGTGTTATTTGCACGAGAGGATGCTTGACTTTCCTTCATCATTGGTCATGATAGGGAAGGCTCTATGTCTGCATATATTGTAGAAACCATTAATCTGTCCCTGCTTGTTTTTGACAAGGAAGAACTGGAATCCGGCTTGCTCAAACTTCACCCATGAGCCTACTTCAGCAAATCTGAGCTTGTGACTGGTAAGAATCAATTTTTTCGCGAAAATAGCTCGTCTCTCTAGCTCGTAAACTTCCTTGGATCTATACCAAGAAGCAGGTAAAGCTCGTGCTGTAGTCGTGGTGTCTTGTAGAAATGCCGGCTCGGCTTTTTTAGATGACTGGGATAATGACAGGTACCTCGCTAGCAAGGATACAAGCGCTGCGAGGCCTGCAGCAGAGAACAAATAGGAGATGAAAGACGGCGAGATGTAAAGAGATATAGTTGTAAGCATTCGACAAGATCAATAATTGAAGCAATTGCAGTGATGAAGTGCTAAGAGGGTTCTTACGATCATGATTAGATGCTATTCTAAATGGCGTGCTTCATACAACATGCCACCCCAGAGTATGTTATCAGCTGACTGTCTGGTCGAAACTCTACACGCGGAGAATCCGACCCCGAGTCCGATGTGCATTGGTTGAGGTAGGCTGATTTAGCTAAGTCCCGGAAAAAGTCCGTGTCGGCCCGCATCCGGCCTGGCGAGGTGCTTATCATGATAAACACGGAAACCAACCCAATTGTGGACTACAACCAATTACTCCAAAGATATGCAAGATAGATATGTTATGTTATGTTATGTTATGTATATTTTTCGTCCGTGGGGCCTTAAGCCCCGAGAGTCCCCTACTGGGGCACAGGACTGAATGAATGAATTTATTCCGCCCGGGAGGATACGCCTCATAGGGCCCATAACGTTAAATCTCGTTACATTCTTTTCCGACTTCTTGTCCTGAGACCCTGAAACCTCACCAATCCCTACTCTTCATCACATTTCCCAGCCTCGCTTGTCCCTGCGACAGGCCTGCTTGAAGGCCAACTTCTCCAAGTGTTCAGCGTCCCATCTTCAGCGGCTGAAGCCTGGTCTGTCTACCAGAGGCTGTACTATGCTAGTTCTTATTATCTTGTTTGGTTTGTTAGTATGTTTTTCATGTCTATGTAGCATCCAAACGGCCTGTGCTTGTCGCAAACTTGATCGCTGCTCGCACCGCTCTCAAGTTCGGGCTCCACCTGTGCCCGTCCTCTACTGTCTTGCCTCCCGGGAAGAATGAAAGATTACCCATCATTTCCCGGTCGACAATTCGCATGTGTTCTCGTTGCTCGTCCCATCGTGGACATCGGAAGAGGAAATGGTCCACCGTTTCTTCTTCCTGGCCACAGTCGCATGTGTCCGTCTCTACTGCGCCTATCCTGTGCAGATACCTGTTGACTCGTGCCATTCCCGTTCGTAGTTGCACCAGGACGTCAGATTCGCGTCTCTTCAGGGCGTCATATAGTATGCGCGTGTGTTTGCCGGGCAGCGCCTTGTCGAGCCGTTTCGAATAGCCGCCTACGCTCTCTGGTAGCACCATGCGCCGTCTGCGCTGTGCCAGTAGTACTCTCAGTCGGGTCGATAGAGCCTGATGCGGCGGTTTCGTTGCTTTACATCCGCTATCTGTTGCCTTTCGTGCTTCGGTCTTTGCTTTTACTCCCAGTGTGAAAGACTCGTTTGTAGACGATACCCAGCGCATTTTAATGGTGTTGCCACCCTTTTCCAGTCGTCTCGCATGTCTGTAGATCTCCCGGATGGCGCCTTGCCCTGACTGCTGTCGGGGTTTCGCAATCGCTTGTAGCGCCGATCGATTTCGTGTCGCAACGATGATATCTCGATGTTGGAGCCCATCGGGCATGCACCTCAGGACCATTGCTATCGCTTTCAGCTCGGCCATGTATGCGTTTTGCTCGTCTCTCGGGCCAAGAGTGACCGAGTATTTTGCCAATACGTCGTCCACTCCTCCGCTACCGACGTTTCGCACGACGCCGCCCATGCCTACTATTCCGTTTCTCGCAGATGCGTTCGTTGCGATGAGCACTTGTCTCATGCTGCTGGTCTCGGTCACAGCGCCGCCTGTGTCTGCATCCACCGCTGCCTCCTTGTCAGAGTCGTACTCCACCACCATGTGCCTATGCCACGGCGGTAGCGCATATGGCTCGATCATTTCCATCCGCTCTGCTGTGCCATCGTGGGCGAGTGCTAGCTTCGTCAACGGCGACAGATACCTTCGTGTCTCCCTCACCCCGAGTGTCGCAAGCGGGTGCGTCTTCGGCAGCGTTTGCATGTTGACATAGAGCCGCGTACCCGCCTGCGCGTGGCGTTCACCGATGGGTAGAATGCCAGCTTCCGCTTCCGCCACCGCCATCGAAACCGTCTTGAAGGCTCCTGTGATGGCTTGCGCACCCATCTTCTGCGCTTCGTTCAGCCATCTGGTCTCCTTCCACCCGCGTCTGTGAGACGACACGTTCGAAGCGTAGTCCATCGTCGGGGCCACCGTTGCTACAAACAACTGTCTCGCCGTCCGGGGCGTCAACATCTTCAGCCTTCGTATACACATGGCCGCCCGAAGTCCCCGTGTAGCTGCTTCCTTTATGTGTTCCTCGTACCGCAACTCCGAGTCCATCACCAGTCCCAGTATCTTGCCACTGTTCTTGGGAGTAATCGCCTGGCCTTTGATCGTATACGGCCTTTCATCGGTGCGTTCGGGATGGCGCGTGAAGTGTATGATGACCGTCTTGTCCTCCTCAAATGTCGCCCCGCTTCGTCTCTCCCACTCCAGTGCTCTGTCGATGACGGCGTGAAGGTCTGCTCGGTTGGCTTCTGTTGTTGGACCCGTCACCCAGGCTGAGTAGTTATCGATAAAAGCGATTGATCCACCCTTTGCATCGATCCACTTCACCAATCCCTTGGGGATGCCTCTGGCTTCCAGTCTCTGCAGTAGTCGATCCTTGAACACCCCGTTATAGGCTCCCTTGACGTCGAAGCTTATCAGGATGAGCACCTTCCGGTTGCGCCACGCTTTGTAGATGTGCTCCTGAAGGAGCAGGAGAGCCTGCTCGGCCAATCGTTGCTTCCTTCCGCCGAAATGGTTGGTAGGTAGCAGCCCGAATGTCTCTACCGCGTACGAGATCCGGTCCGCCATGACCGCCTCTAGAATCTTGCCCAGAGTCGATAGAAGTGAGATCGGTCTCCATGACTTGGCTACCTTGTAGTTGTCCTTGCCCGGCTTCTTGAGCGGAATGATTTTCGCGCTCCTCCACTGGACCGGCAGCTCTCCGTCTCTCAGGGATGTCCGAAACAGATGCAACACCCAGTCTCCTACTACTGGCCAGAGCTGCTTCCACACCATCGCCGGCAGTCCATCTTCGCCTGGGGCTTTCCATGCCTTGGCCGCCATCACCTTCTCTTCCACCTCTTCTAGCGTCAACTCTGACATTGCTATTTCTCGCTGCGCCGGCCGGCGCTCTTCATCCTCGATCACAGCCGGCAGGGGCGGGAAGAAGACGCTGAGAAGCTCCTCTGCCTGTTCTGCCTTGTCGCTCGTCGTCGTTCCATCTCTTCTCTTTAGAGGAGGTATTTTATCACCTATTGCTTCGCCTCCAGGCGAGAGGTACTTGGCCGATTGCCAGATGTTGGCTCCGTCTTCGAGCAAGCTGTCCCAGTGTGCCTTTTTCTGCCTTCTGATCGCGTCGTGGTACTCCTTTGCCGCTTCTCTGGCCTTTTGCTCTAGGTCTGCTGTCTCTCGTCCTCGTCGCCGACATGCCCTTGCCTGGTTGCGCCAGTATGTGTACGTCCGCCGCAGTCGGGCCAGGTCCGTCGTCCACCACCTCTTGGCGTAAGGCGACGGCTTGGCTCGTGGGACCAGGTCGTTGATCGCGTCCAGCACCACCGACATCAGCCTGTCCGTCTGAGCCTGCACTGTGCCGCCACACGGCAACGCTTCCAGCTTCGTCCTAACCCTCTCCTTGATCTCCAACCAAGGTGCATTCTTCAATAGCAGTCTGTCGCTGGGTGTTCGTCCCGGCGGTGTCGTGTCAAACTCCGTTCGGATCGCCCGATGGTCCGATCCATGCTCTGTTGGATGTATCCCACAGCTCGTCATCTCGTCCGCCAACTCCGTCGACGCCAGCACCAGGTCAACCGTGCTCGCTCTACCTCCTGGGCCTTCCCACGTCTTCGTGCCTCGGGGCAGCAGGCTGTGAAGGCCATGTTCTCCCATCAGCTCTATAATCGGTCCAGCTTCGCCTTGCCTCCTTCCCGTCACCTCATCACCTCCCCATAGTGTGTCGTGACGATTGAAATCCCCTACCAAGATCACGTCAGTTCTTCTGCCGGACCCATCACGGAACTCTGCAATCGCCCTATGCAGCTGCCCCATCGCCGCTTCGAGTGCCTGCTCGTTCCTCCCCTCTACATATACCGATATAACCAGCACGTCTCGCTCAGGGAACCTGACGATCGCTCCCGTCAGGTCTGGTGATGGGATCGGGACCTGTTCTGCCTCCAGGTCCCTCCGTATCCACAGCATGCTGCGGATCGGCCATCGCGACACCCGCGACTGTTTAGTATCACTGGGCAAATGGTGTCACCACTTCGGACTCGACTGGAAGCCAGTACGGTAGGGATTACGCAAACATTGAGGTCGCGGGTGCGAAGTGGGCTAATTGAGGCCGCAGACGCGTTGATAGATATGTCAGGAGAGGCTGGCGGTGAAATAAAAGGTAGTATTTGGGTTGATTCAGATGGCGGCTTAGATTAGAATCGAATAAAATATTGCCCTTTAAGCTGCGTATCTATTGTTATATCATCTCTGCTAAAGCTGCTGGCTTGATATCATATCAGGAAATCTCTTATATCAGTTATGATATCTGGATAGGCAAGTCTGGATTTGGGGACATAGCTACGACCTCCTGTTGTTTATATTGCGCAGTAGTGCTGGATAAAAATATATTTTATGAAACTTGATTGTTCTATTATTGAGATGAGAGTTCTTCTCGGGTTTATATCTCTAGATGATTTCATCTAGGACTTTGAATTTTAAATCTAGGACTTTCAGACTAACAGTCTGAATCCTGAAGGGAAGGGGGATTCCCGGATTTTTTCAACACCTCCAGGAAGTCAAGGATGAGACACGGAATAGTTGGGTTTGCTACAAGTGTGTCCGGAAGAAAGCCCCCACGATTACTGTTCATCTTACATCAACGACTGTTAATACCACAACCCATCTTGGCAATACGGCGGAAAGACCACGCCACTCTATCCCTTGCTAGGCGTCGCATTCCGTGCGGCAGAACTGGAGGGTATTTCCAAGCAAAGAAGCTGCATTCTGCCCATTAGAAACCATGAGTTGCAAGATCGACCTCGGATGATGACTTCGACATGGTCTTCCCGAGAAAAACCTTCACCACTCCAATGGTTGGCTCGGCCGATGACTTTCTGCAGATGCTCGTCTCACCATCCCGTCTTTCCGCGCGGTGGACGGTAACCTCCGTCGACATTGTGACACTATTGTCATCTTGAGGCGATGGCATCTGTACTCTGCCATTGGAGCCTTCGCCACCTCCCCTGGCATATGCCGGATATGAAACACCACCTGTAGGCTTGCCGCCTGCTTTGTCGATCAATGTTTTCAGGCCGATACTGGTCTTAGTAAGAGTGATATTGTTCCGGCTCCATGACCCGGAGTTGAGATCCTTGTTTCCGGTCGTCATTTCGACGAGACGATTTAGGATGGTAAATTCCAGTTTCAGCTTTGTGCTATAGACGAAGCACTTGTATGCTGTCTGGTACTCATATTGGTTCGCATACTCAAGACCGAGGATGGTGACATCGAGGAAGATGATCAGGACGTTGACAAGGATAAGGTGCTTCATCAAACGGCGGCTCGACCCGGTGTTCCCCATGGCCCGTTCGAGCCTCATGAGCTTGACTGTTTCGACGATGTAGAAACCGGATAGGATGACCTCTTGAAGAAAAAAGGCGGTGACTTCGATCTTTTCCATGATAGTATAGGGCTTCTGCCACATCTCAGGGTTACTGGAGAAGGAACCATACACCATTGGAATGATGGCTCCATGGCAGACGATAGCGTTGGTGATGATCATCCACAGGATCATCTTGAGAAGCTTTCGGTCCTGCAGCACCAAATGGACCCGGGACCATAGCACCATTGACTGACCGGTGACCAAGCATATCCAGCCTATCACGATCAACGTGCAGGAAAAGTACCCCAGCGATGGGGACCCCAAGTACTTGGTGAGAAAGCCCGCGCAGTATAGGGGAATGCCCCAGGTAGCGACTACGAAGGACCAGAAGTACAGGCCAGCATGACGCTTGAACGTCCACCAGATGATGCAGTTGAGCTCGATGAAATTGTAGAGGGAGATAGCAAGAAAGACGAAGATGATGGTCACGGATGTTTGGGAGAAGCCGTCAACCCCGGAACCGAAGCCGCGAGTTTTCATCCAAATCGCCATCGGAGGTTGCAAGACGATGCTTCTTGCTTGGTAATGGAAAATATTAATTAAGGGTTGGCCAAGGGCTGCCAGCAGTTTGAAAATAGGGAAAAGAAAGAGTAAAGTTATCTTTCGACCCTGGGATGATATGTTAGGGTCGAACGTCACGAGCCATGCACTCGGCTGCGCTCCTTGTGGCTGTTTCATTTGCACGGTCTCTGGTCGTCGCTAGCTGGGGTCTTGTGCACAAAGTTTTGACCAAGGGTGACCGCTGAGGTAAGAGGCTTCGGTACTGTTAAACCTACCCAAGGGGCCAGATGGGGTGTCTCCTGGACCCAAGATCCTAACTAGCAGGCTTCCAGACCTTTTTCTCAAGCTTCAGTTGGAAGCCAAGAAGTGCTGATATATCTGAGGTCTAAGGAAGACTGTTTCAGAGAGCCTCTGACTGCTGTGTAGAAAGCTGAAGGTAGACGGGGGTGGCGACGGGTTCAGAAGCCCCTAGCGAGACAAGTCAGCCACGCGGCTTCACTCACCAGGGCAGGTAATCCCAAGAGGCAGACGGAGGGAAGCCACTTGGGAAGAACAGGACATTCATTTCGACTTGAGACGAATAAGAGGAACGACATATGAGAGCCTTGAGGCGCATGGATTAACACATCGAGCTCAAGACGGGCATCCCGGCGCCTTTATCCGGAGACGAGGATGAGCCTGGACTCCGGGCCCGCTTTCGGCACAGGGCTTGGGCTATTTGCGACTGCATCACCAGCAAGTTCATATGAGTGCCCACAGTGAGCTGAACCGTGGACTTTTTTGGGCTTTGCGCGCCTCGCCAGCGCCAGCTTGCTTCTTCTAGATCAAGCCTATGGCACTCTGAATCAGGGACAGGAGGTCTTCTACAAGGACGCGCCTGACTGACAGTCCCGAAAGACACACGAGATGTATCGCCCTCCCCATCGTGATCCGGTTATCCCTTCGCCATCTTGGCATCAAGCTCCCATTTTCCCCCTCTACTGTCACACTCCAACTCCCCCCGTATCCTTCCCGCCGGGCGCAGGACCATGCACCCAACGGCTGAAGTGAGTGCCGGACGCCACCGACAGCGCCCTAGTTAAGGAGAGTCCGCCAGTAACATCACTAATTGCTACTTAGTAGGTAGCGAGAGCAAGGGTGGAATGTTGATCATCATCATCCGTTGCTCCCCCCGCTTTTTATGGAGGGCATTAGATTCTCTTAGCGCCGGACTAGTTGGCTCAGGTGGCTGGTTTTGAACTCTATTTTGGTGACGAATTAAGAAAAAGGCTTTTGGCACTAAGTTGACAATTTCCTGGCAAAATCTTCACCACCCAAGCCCTACCTACCCCAATGCACCGACATGACATGAGGCGGTCCTTGGTGGCCGTAAGCACGCTAAGAACTGTCAGACATTACGTGTATTCGGTCCATTGATGCAGATTCGTGTATTCATGTTGTGTTGTGTCCAAATTCTGCCCCTTGGAGGCTTTACTGTTTACGTGCGCAATCGTAGATGACCACTGCTTGAACGTGACAACCCAGCACCTGTTCAACACAATTAAGGACATCAAGGCGCACGTGATCCGTTCAACAACAGCCTGTTTTAGAAAATTAAAGTTTAGCTTTTTAGCTGTACAATATGAGTGCGACCCATACTTATCGATGGTGCCCGCAATTACGTCGTAATTCGCTCAGACCACGTGACGACTTATCCCCCGCAAAAAGCGGCCCGTGAAATCGTGTGCGCGGCGCCTGATAAGTGCATTTGATAAGTTCCCCACAACTTATCAGGCACCAGACAGGGAAAAAAAACACCACGTAGAAAGGCCTCGATCGACCGAGATGGCCGCAGACGACTCGTACACGGCCGCAGACGAGCGTGCCCGTGCCGCCCGGAAGGCGGGCCTTCAGGTGAAGAAGGACGAACAGCCGGCGAACACGGCGCGGAGTTATGCTGCGAAGCAGCGGGAATGGAAGGCGCGTTCCCCCGGCCGCCGCCCTCTCTTTTCCCCTTTGCCCTTGCCTCTTTCTTTACGTAGAGTGCCATGGGCGGCTAACAGACGAGAACTTATAGGCCTGGTGCCGTGCGCCTCGGGCTGTGGCAGACGGCTCACTTTATAGCTGGCCCGACGGCGAGCTCGTAACGCCGGACAAGCTAGCAGCGTGGCTCAAAGGGGATATCCTCTTGCGACGCGTTGCCCCGCCGCAAAAGAAACCACGGGCACGGGGTAAGGGCAAGGGCAAAGGAAAGGCTGTACAGTTACGGCGGCAGCTCGAACAGGAGCAGCTCTAGGCCGCGGCCCTGGCAGAGGCCGAAAGCCTAGCCGAAGCCCTAGAGGTCCCCCTGGCCGAGGCCGCCGAGCTGCTCGCGGACGACCGCGAGGGCTACGTGCCACCCACGGCCCTTGCGCCGGCTGCAGCAGACCTTGCCGAAGGATCTCTGCTTACGAGGGGCACTATCGACGCCTATATCGCGGCCGTTATCGAGCTCTGGCGGCTCCAGGTAGCACACGGCACCGCAAACACGGAAAAACCCCGGGGCGCCGCCGTACGAGGCTTCCTTGAGCAACGCGGTCGGCAGCGGGGGAAGCACGACCGCGCCTCCTTTAAAGACCGCGGAGCCGACGGGATCCAGGCCGGCTATTCACCCGACGAATGGCTCCGGGTCCAGGATCTCCTTCTCAGCGGGGCCGCATACATGCCGCAAAACCTCCGTACGCGAGTGGACCTCCTATTCGGCCACTACTATCTCTTACGGGGGGAATACCGCCGTAAGATGGAGCTTGCAGACCTGTCTCTACTCGACTATCCGTCTTCAGAAGGCCCGACCCCCCTGTGGCTGCCTCGTTACCCTTTTGCGAGACGGTAAGCTAAACAAGACGGCAAAGAAAGAGTTCATGGGTGCCCTCCGGCATAAGGACCCCTTGTTCTGTACGCAAGGGGCCTTAGCACAGCTCTTCTTCTGGCGCTGGCACGTCGCCGGCGAGCCATCCCCGTCCTTCCGGCGCCGCCAGGACTGGTATCGGATCAAGGTTCTTGTCGGACGGGACCGCGAGCAGGAGCTCTCGTACCCGACGCAGCTACAAGAGACCTGGCGTATCTTCGGCGCCGCTGGCCTTATGGCGTCAAAGAAGACGCACCTACCGCGCCAGTTCATGCGTATTGTCGCGGCTTCTCGGCGTCACCGGGGGACTACTTCCTCGCGCGTGCGGCCCACGAGCCCCCGTACGTCTTACAAAAGCAGCTCTGGCCGTGGATCGAGGAGTTGGAGCCTCGCTTTGAGGCTCGCGCGCGCCGGCAATGCTGGGCAGAAGGCGGCCTCGACGACGACGACCTAGCCGCCGACGGCTTCCTTAAGCTTATGCGGCGCCTGCGCATAGTACTGTTACAGGACCTGGCTGTATTGCAGCCTCGCTACCCGTCGCTACCCTTCTTCGCCTACGCCCCTTTTAACGGGCCCGAATGGGATGAGTTCGCCGTCGCCGTTCGCTCCGACGCGGTAGGGGCTACGGAGCCGTTAAGCCTGCTCGTACAACGCGCGCTGCCAGAGCTAAGCGGCGTGTTAGAGAGCACGCGCGAGGCCGTCTTACAGAATAGCTAGCGGCTGGCTATCCAGCTAGAGGCCCGGCTAGAAGGAATTCAGGGCGGCCTCGATGCCCTCCTCCAGGGCAAGGTCCCTATCACCTTTACCGGCCGCTTTGGGGCCGGGCCAGCAGTGTCGCTGGCGCCGTCGATAGCTCCCACCTTGAACTTTAATACGGCTCCGGCTCCGGCTCTGGCTCCAGAGCCTCTAGCACCAGATATGCCTGTCGTTGCAGCCCTGGCCAAGGTCTTCACAGGGCGGGACGTCTGGAAGGAGTGGGAGGAAGGGATTGCGGGTCAGCCGGCTGTACGGGTGCTGGAAGAGACGTGGGGAGGCCGCTGGCGCCCGGGGAATGGGGTCAGGGTGCAGTTCTGTCGCCGGAAGGTGATCTGGGACGAGCTCTTGGCCCGTACGGCGTCCGGTAAGAATGAGGAAGAGGCCGTTACAGAGCTAGAGCTCTTACGCGCTGGTCGGAGCTTGAACCGGCTCGTCGACGAGCTCAAACAGCGCCGGCGGCGGGGCCAGGGCCAGATACGGGTACAGGTAGGGACCCCGTGCCCGATGGCGCAGGCCCAGGGCCGGGACCAAGGCCGATTCGGAGCCAGGGCCATCGGGTACGGGGGCACGGACTCGGCTAGGGAGGAGGCGGACCGCCCCTACTGTACCAATTACCACTGGTATTGACATCCAATACCAGTTTTTATGGCCCGTGCACCTCTCTTTTTCTATCCCTTGCTTCTGGGTTGCAATACAAAATACTCGGTCCGTGCACCCTGTTGACTTTACAAAATTACTAGGATGTAAATGTTGGTTATCCGTAACCGCAAATAGGAAGCATCTTTTAGGTTATAAAGGGTGTAGCGGTAAACTTTATTATAATAACTCTCATTTGAAAACCCAGTCCTTTTGACCCCTTTTCTGACTGTTTTCATTAGGTTTAAAAACCCATCCTGGTATCCATTCGTGCAATCAGTATGGCAATTTCTTGGCCGTTTTGTTATCCGAATAGCGGTGCTAGTGAAACACCAAATCCAGAAAACATGATGGCCGATGATGCAGTGCTCTCACGGCTGAGGCTGTCTGCCGACCCTCAAGCTCAGGTACTTATTTGCTGCCATGACTTATGTCGTTTTGCCCTTGCGCCTAGTCCGACTCAAGTCAGCGAGCATCTCCGAAGGAAGCATAATGTGACTGCGACCGAGCGCCGCCAGGTCATAAATGTTTTGGAAGCTCGCGTTCGTAAATTGAAAGATCCATCTGACGCCCCTATCAGAGAAGACGGCTCATCTTGCGATCCGAACCTGATACTTGTTCGTGGATTTACGTGCAAGTTCTGTATGAAACGCACGGGCAGCTCTCAAACAATTTCTCGACATATAGCCTCGAAGCATGACGGGGAAAAGCTTCGGTTAGGAGTTTCAAGAAAGGCCATGTACGAACCTGCGTTCCTGCAAGCGTGGACCAAAAACCCCCCAGGGGGACGTTACTGGATTGTCGAGCATGCTGGTTCCACAGTTAGACCAGTCGGTGGCAAGGAAGCCCACGATCATCTCAAGGATATCTTGGAGCGAGAGCGTGGCAGGCAAAGACTGTTAAAAGAAATCAACATGGCAGATGGGACTGGCATGGGTAGGAACACGCAGAGCACAAGATTCACAGATCTCAAGCCCTGGCTAGAGCGAACCGGCTGGGAGCAAACCTTTCAGGGAGTTGATCGGGAATTGCTCAAAAACTTAACCGCTGTTCCCTCTCTTGCAACTTTACGTCAAGGTCTGGTATTGAAATCGAACAGGAACCTGCCTGTTAATCCCCATTCCGACGAGCAAACAACAAGTTCTGCAGACGATGAAAGGAGAATAGCCGCTCTAATGTCTGCCGTGGACGCCGTGATGGATCGCTGCGAGCAGACTGCACGGACTACAAGCAGGAGCCTATTATGCTGGCTACGTAGTGTACGCCCCCATGCCTGCTACGTTAAGCCTTTTACCTTCGTAGGGAAGGCTGCTAGTAGGAAGAAGTATATTAGGCTCCTCAAAAGGTTTATTGCTATGATCTTTCGCGCCTACAACCTGTCCGCTGACGTTCGGCGGCGCCGAGCAGGCATACGATTGAAAAAAGCCCAGATTCGTCAAATATTGGCAATTTGGAACCATGAGATCTGGAAACAGCCCGATGCTTTGGCTGAGGCACTTTGGCAATCGACCAATTGCCCTGCTGCGGTGGACGCTGAAGATGACCTGGATGAAGAGAGTATCGATGAGGAAGGACACTCTGAAGACAACGCCTCAAGCGGGTATGAGAGTAGTGTCCCGACAGAGTCTGAGGACTCTGAAGACGATTTTATGAATGATGGAGAAAGAGAATATGAAGACGATGAAGCACTCGAGCGAGACCAGATTGAGAATCAAAATGGAGAGAGCTGTGCGATAGGAGGACAAAACCGGAAAACGCCGCCGTTGATCAAAAATGTGTTAGAACTACTATTTGGACTGATCATGGAGTTCAGTACTGAAGAAGTCGTAGATGGTGGTCCTGTTTCCACTCTATTGGTGTATTTCAGTGGGATCCTTGGATTCTCGGCCGATCTCAAAGGCTTCCTTCCGGCCAGGTCGTACACCTCCAACCTTGCGGCACTGATATATGTTCAGCGCCTTCTATTCCTCGAGTATGCCCTACGTGTACGAGGATATCCTAGTAACTAATGACTAAATCAACTCTAGTAGAGTTGATTTTATTGACCCACTTTAAACCTAGTAGGGTTGATTATTGCCAGGGTGTAGAGTTGATTTTATATTATTCCACATACAGGAAGGGTAGTGCTGATCAGAACAGGGGTTTACTATAGAACGCGACGCGTCCTGTCGCGTAAAGTGATATCAAGTATTACATACTACTGAATGGTGTCACTATTGATCGAAGCATAATCTTTGTTCAGATCATACTATCAGCAACCAAGTCATTATGGCGATCACTATTACGGCTTCTAATTTGCAATCTGAGCCATGCAGTGCAATTTATCCCTACGTTCTTCTCTCTATATACCGCCTTCTCGTGTGTCAGGTTTGTGGGTTCGCCTCTGTAGCCGATGAGGTTGCTACTCATTTGAAAACGTGACATCGCGATATGCAGCCAGAGCATCGACAGGATCTGGTAGAAAAGATAAACCAGATCCCAAACATCCTACGCAATCAGGACGAACTACGTGATTTACGGTACCCAACGGATATAATTAAACCCATTCCGTACCTTGCGCCACCAAAACCAGACGGTTTGAAATGTCGCGCGTGCGGCCATATTGCAGCGCTGACCTCAATTCAAGTATCAAGTCAAGTATTTCAAGTAAGTCAAGTAAGTCGATGACCCAGTTTATTTCAAGTAAGCAAGTTCATAATGCTTCAAACTTGATTTACTTGAAATACTAGATTTTATGGATTTTCCTATGCGACAGCCCTGTGAGTGTCGAGGCTGTTCAGAGTCCCAGGCATAGGGTAATTAGTTGAGTGTAGTACCCCAGTTGATTACACCAATGGAACCCAGGAACGCGGCAGGGGTGGCGCGACTACGTGTTTTGCGTTCGCTCGCGTAGTGGAAACACCTGGTTCAGAATTAACGTCGCTCCCTGATGAGAAGCATCTGTATTCCGCGATTCGCCGGTAACCCGCTATGGCAGCACAACAACAGTCCTTAGAATCGCTTCTAGGAATTAGTGGCCAGCGCAAATCGCTCAAGCAGCAGCTTGACGCTGCGTCCATCAAGACTGAAGCTGGAAGAACGACCCTCGCCGACCTCCCAACTGTCCAGATCGGCTGCAAGAAATATATACCAGAAGAATACATTGCCAATAAGAATCGCAAAGGTCGAAGGAGCTGGATCCAAGCCCATGGCTTCTTTCTCACAGAAGTCAGTCCTGATTTACGGACGTTGCAGACCTACTGGGTATGCTCGAAATGTGATGAACGAGGCAAGAGCTCATTATTCGTCGCCACAAATACAACATCGCCAATTGGGCACCTCCGAAGGTAAATGATATCTATACGAGCCTGATCTTTATTACTTTTCCATTGTCTTACGGGATGTAGGTCTCCTATGATCACCGAGGCGGATGACAATGCGGATGAAGATTCGTATTCGTCTCGCGCTGACATTCACCCTTCTTCGAAGCGGCGTTGCTTGGAGTCTCCTACTGCAAGATCGAATGTCAATAAAGCGAAGGAGTTGACGGTCGGCTGGATCGTTACTGCCAATCTTCCATTCACGGCGCCATCGAATCCGTACTTGCGCCGAATGCTCGATTTACACGATGCATTATTAGCAAAAGAGGTACCGTGGAGTCGGCAGTCAGTGCGTGATACTATGCGGAAATTATTCGAGGTAAAGAAGGGAGTAATATCAAGTCAATTGCAGAAGGCGGTCACAAGGATTAGCTTTAGCTTTGACCTATGGACTTCTCCAAACCGGTATGCTTTCCTTGGCCTCCACGCCCACTATCTCGACGCCTCCTATCAAGTCCAATCGCGACTCCTTGCTCTGCGCCGTGTATAGGGATCTCATTCCAGAGACAACCAAGCAGCGACAATATATGATATCTTGGGCGAGTATGGGATACGAGATAGGACTGGCGCGGGTGTCTGCGATAACGCCTTGTCCAATGATACATGCTTGGCGAGCCTCTATCGTCAACTTTATCCTGCAATGGCGGAAGAAGATATTAGAAATCATCGAACAAGATGCTTTGGGCACATTCTTAACCTTGCAGCTCGAGCCTTTCTCTGGGGAGAAGATCCTGACTCGTTTGAGCGAGAAGCCTTCACCGAGGCGGCTTTCCAAGTTGAAGAGCGTGAGCTTCGGCTCTGGCGGAAACGGGGAGCGGTGGGCAAGCTGCATAACATCGTCTGGTTCGTCAGGGCTTCCCCGCAACGGAGAGAGCTGATGAAATCTCTGGCTTGTGACCAGAACGATGAAGACGGCTATCAACTCTTTGAAGAGGAGCGAGCTGCCATCGACCTCGAGCTGATGCAAAATAATGAAACCAGATGGAATTCAACCTTTCTGATGATCCAGCGTGCCATTCGAAAGCGAGAGCACATTGACCATTTCATTGCATATCCCGAAACGAAGACGTCAGAGCCCCGTCAACGGGTGCCTGTCCAAGATCAGCTTTCACCACAGGACTGGCTTCTGTTGGCGGAGATACAGAGTCTACTCAAACCGCTTCACGAGATCACCATGAGGTGCTAGGGTTGGGCTAAAGAAGGACGCCACGGCGCCTTGTGGGAAGTAATGATTGGAATGGAGTACTTGCTCAATTTCTTCGAGGAACAAAACCTGATATTCTCGTCACTTGATAGTTGCATCAGTGAGCTGAGAAATTTCAGGGTCTCGGCAACCAAAAGTACGACTCCCTAATTCGTCTTCGTTCTCTTCAAGCTTCTTTGACTAACGGTTTCTCAGGATCTAGCACTCAACGAATTGAGCAGGGCCGCGGACGAGAGAAGCACTTGCCACAGCACGCTCGAGAGGAATATACTGATGTAGTTTTGCAAGATGAGAATCTTGATGATGGTCACCGACGATGCGTTCAGATCTCTATTAAGAGCTGTTGGTCAAAGCTCGATGAGTATTACAGCCTACTAGGCCAATCGCCACTTTATCCGGCTGCCGTTATTCTTCACCCACGCTGGAACGTGTCTTGGCTTGAGGCGAACTGGACCAGCGACGAGCAACTAGTGTGGCTACGAGACGCTAAAAACAGTGTCCGGGAATTCTTTGAACAGCACTATCCACGTGAGGAGTAGCCCGAGACATCGAGGACGGTGACAGGAAAAACGATGCGGCAAGACGAGCCCAGTCAATTTGACTAGTGGATGCAGAGCTGCGATCGGTGCATGATGGAGGAAGAAGACGAGCTTGGCGTTTACATGAGGCAAGGGCCCAGTGCGGCGAGAGAACTTGAACCCCGTCCTGTGGTGGAAGGATCATCAAGAAGAATACCCACGTCTGAGCAAGTTTGCCCTCGACATCCTGGCAATTCCTGCCATGTCTGTTGACCCTGAGCGGACGTTCAGTGTCACCAAGTTAACGGTAAGCTCGCAAAGGCACAGCATAAGCCCCGAGATAATAGAGGAGATGCAGTGTCTACGAAACTGGCTACGCCATCAAGCTATCACTGTGGGCGAGGTGGTTAGCTTTGGTGGGGACTTGGTGGGTTGGGAGGGAGGGGAGGCGTAAGAGGACTAATAGCTTCATTGGAGCCTCAGGTCAGCACTTTCATTTCAAGTATATCAATTCAATTCAAGTTAAGTAAGTCCATGGTCGATTTTATTTCAAGTAATCAAGTTGGACCCCCAAACTTGACTTACTTGAATTGAAGTCAGCGCTGCGCGTGTTGTCCTTTCCCGGATCATAACAACGTCTTCGTGCAGTGCGTTGATCAGGCTGAAGAAAGCTGGTTCATCTGCCGGCGGCAGTGTCGCGGTGAGATAGATCATCTGCACCCCTACCAATGCGAGGGTGCCTAGCTCACGTAGCTTGGGTCGAAACGACAGGCTTCCTTCCATAATTGTGTGGCATTCATCGACAACGATCCGGTCTACCTTGGCCATGACCCGCCGGGACTCGAGAAAGTCCAGAAAACGCTTCGTCATAGCCGACTCGGGCGTCACAAACACGATCGACACATCTCCCGGCACCCTATCACTTCTCCACTCAGCACAGGATATTTTGAGCTTCTGGCACCGATCCATTAAATCACCCTGGAGAGACACGAGCGGGACAATCACCACGGTGAGTCCACCGGGGCAGCCGGCCGCGGGTAGCATGGAGTAGAGGCTCTTTCTGGTGCCCGTTCCCATGATCACAACAACAGGGCTCTTGTTCATCATGATCGCATCCACTGCCTCCCGTTGCTTGCCGCGGAACCGGACGTGATCCCCATATAGCCGACCTAGCTCCCGATCGATATTGACCCACCGGAGAGTCTTCCATCGCCTCAATTGCAGGTTCCTCATCGCCTCGTAATGTAGCGACGGCGTTTTTCGTTTACGCCCTGGCGTCAAAATTTCTCCAAACCCGTTGACGGCGGACAGGAAACCAAGTAGGCGATGCCACTCCTCGCTGATGAACCGGAAGTTAACCCGTCGTTCGTTCGTCTCAAAACACCCTTCCGTAATGAGCCTGCCGTACACCAACCCTGCAGTCAAGGATCCATGACAAGCTTGAGCATCCCAGATACTGTCCTGCTCTACCTCACTGTCGCTGTCACTGCCGTAGCCCTCATCCGCCTCGCCGATAAGAGCTGCGTGAGCTGTCGTGCCATTGCGAAAATATCGCCGGGTAATTGCGATTGAGAGATGCCTCCAGCTACTGATAGTGAATCCTTTCTGACAACCCTCTAGGCTCATTCGCCGTAAGATGCGGGTCATCCGTGCAGATGTCCAATGCGGGCCGGGACCCAGACAGCGCGCCTTGGGTTTTGTTTCTCTTCGAGGACAGCCACTTACATCCTCCTCATTGTCACTTTGATCACTTCCAGTCCCATATCCGCTTTTTCCATCATCATCGTTTAAATCGTCAAGGGTCTCTTCCGGGGCCCACAGGTTAGCAGATAACTCGGTTTTGTCCCAAATGTTTGCTTGTAGATCCTCCCAAAACGGCAGCACGAGCCACAAGTAATAAATCACCAAGGCACTGACTTCGCGCGGTAAAAAGCGGTGTATAACTTTAAGCCGCTCCGTCTTTGAGAATCCCTTATGGTATCCGGCCACAAGCATAATGAGCCCACGATCGTAAAGGATGTTTCGGATGCCTCCGTTAGCAGTATTCCTGTGCCGTAGGGTAAGCAGCTCTAATGACCGGGCGGCTTGGCCACCACAAGTGGATTATAAACAACAGACATTCGAGGAATTCCTCTACATGGTTGCCATAATGCCATGCCTTCTTTTCAAGGATCTTGAATTCAGCCTCTGAATCACCCTCAATCCTTGCTTTTCGTAAAGCAGCATTGGTCCACATTTTGCGGAATGCCCAGCCATTACTTTCCGGCAGCTGCTGAAAGAGGTTGTCGACGAACGAATGACCTATGCTTGCGTCTGCTGCATTATCAATAAGTTCGTCCCATGGAATTTGTGGTAATCCAAGCTCGATAGTCGACTGATCTTTATAAGTCACGGGACCGGGAACCCGGCACCCCGGGAACCCGGCACCCCGGGAACCCGGCACCCCGCTTTCAGCCTCAACACCATAACTTTCATCAATTCAATTACCCAAAAAGTCGATATAATACCCTGATTTTCATCTGGTCTTAATCCAATATGCCTTCTTATACAGAAGAAGATATGCTTAAAGCAATTAACCTTGTTCAAAATGGCCAATCACAAGTCAAGGCTGCTAAAGAAGCTTCCGTACCCCGATCAAGCTTACAGGACCGACTTCAAGGCATTATGCCTAAAAAAGAGGCTCATACAGATCAACAGCGGCTCGGCCCGACCGTTGAAGCCGATCTCATCCAATTTTTAAGGCTTCAAGATACCCTTTGTACTCCATTAACTCATTTCCAAATCCGGCAACTTGTTATCCGTATTTTAAGCTTACAAGGCGATAACAAACCTCTCGGCAAGCATTGGGTTACCCGATTTCTCGCACGCTCTAAGCAAATCAAAACGCTTAAAGCAATTAGAGTTGAATATAAGCGTATTGAAGGTGCAAAAGCAATTATCATCCGGTCTTGGTTTGACCAATTGAAGGATCCCGAGGTTACAATTATCCGCGGCTGCAACCGTTGGAATATGGATGAAACGGGTATCTTCCAAGGGGTCGGTATCAACGGTTTAGTGGTTGGCCAATCAGAGAAGCGGAAGACCTTAAAACGAAGCCCTCACAGCCGCAGCTGGGTCACAATAACGGAAGCTATCTGTGCCGACGGCACGAGCCTTATTCCCTTTGTTATCTTTAAAGGGGATCAGCCGCAACAACAGTGGTTTCCGAGGGATCCTTCCTTTTTAGGCAATTGGCGCTTTGCAACGTCACCAAGGGGATGGACCACTAACGAGATCACAGCCCTATGGCTGCAGGAGGTTTTCATCCCGTTCGCATTGCCCAAAAAGGAAGGGGAAAAGAGGCTTCTTTTCCTAGATGGGCATGATACCCATTTAACGGATGAATTCATCTTTAACTGCTTTAAGCATAATATACACCCCTGTTACCTTCCCCCACATACATCACATGTCCTTCAGCCTCTTGATTTAGCTAATTTTAGCTTGTTAAAGATGATATATCGCCGTGAACTCGAGATGGAAGCCCCACTCATTGAACAAGGAAATACAGCTAAGGCTGCCTTTTTAAGGTGTTATTTTAAGGCTCGGGCCGCTGCCTTTACCGAAGAGAAGGTCCGGGCCGGTTGGCTTGCATCCGGCTTGTGGCCTGTCAACGTTATGAGACCGTTATCAAGCAAGTATGTGATACCGGACGAAATTGAGGCTCAAGCTGCTGAATTAGGTAATCCATCTACACCACTAGCCAATACGAGCCCTCAATTACCTTATCTCAATACACCACATAAGCTATCTGATGTGATGCAGCTTGCAAGAGCCGAATTAGGCAATAATGCACTTACACCAACTAAACGGCACCTATTTCGGACGATTGGAAAGGGCCTTGATGAACGGGCCGTTGAATTAGCTTTGGTAACAGATAAAAATAGGATATTAAGCGAGATGATCGACCAATCACAGGTCTTAAAGAGAAAGAAACTTAAATTGGATCCAAATCAGAAGGTATTTACCTTAAAGGAAGTCTATAAAACAAGAGATACTATTATAGTTAAAACAGGAAAGGAATAAGCTTATTTTATCTATTATTAAATAGATATAAGCTTCTTTTACTAGTAGGAAAAAACTGGATGAAAATTAAGCTTATTTTTATTGATTTTTATATAGATAAAGATATTGAAGTTATGGTGTTGAGGCTGAAAGTGGGGTGCCGGGTTCCCGGGGTGCCGGGTTCCCGGTCCCGTGACTTACTCTTCACAGAAAAGCAGATGCCCATATAGCAGCGTCTCGGCTCTTCGTAAAGCAGCCTGCAGCATAGACTGGACCCCGAGTACATTAATACGGATGCCTTTATAAATTGCATCCTCGTTGTCCCAACTGACCGAACCTGGCATTGCCTGATAACCGCTAGCCGCCATGCCGTAATTACGAAGCCGAATGATGAATTGCGTTGGTGTGGTATCCCAACCCTCAGCGCCACCGACTAGAAACCGGCGTGTCATCTCAGACATGATTTCGAAGTGTCCCGGGCTCTTCTCTTCAGCTTCTTGCCTGGTCTGTCCTTGCTCTATCCTCTGATGAACATATAAAGCCCTCTTATCGACCGTATGCTTGACGAGAAATACCCGAGAGATGGCCATAATGGCCGAGAGTTTGGGGTAAAGTTCGCATAAGTCTCCCAAGTCTTATCATCTCGGATACTTAGCACGGTCAAGAAGCTAACAAGTATACTATCGTACTCGGTCACCTTGGTGAAGTGGTCGAGAACATAGATGTAAAAGGCGAGTGCGGCATTCTCGAGGAGTTCGTGTAACTCGTTGATCCGCGACAATGCCGGCATAGGATCAACCTTGTTATCGATATCGATAAGTTCCGCAGCATAGTCCATCATCATATCAAAAGCGGTGGTTTGGCCCTCGGTGAGCTTAAATGGTGGTCGATCGGTGGCATTCTCGCAAGATATAGCCCGAACGGCGTAGGCAAAGAATTGCAGACAGACGGCGATGTACTTCTTTCGAGTCTGCCGTTTGAAGCGGAAGTGGAAGGGCGTACTGCGCTCTTTATGCAGTTCTTTCCGGTTGACCTCGAACAACACGTTCCATGAGACTGCACCTGGCCTGGCTACCCTTGCGGCCTTTCGAATTAGACGTCTGACGGCCGCGTGTATATGCCGGAGCTCGGAATCATCCTCAGCGTCAGGATCATTTGGCTTCAAGGTGTACTTCAACGAGATAAGGTCTCTCAGGAATTGTTTCTTGTCGCTGAAATCTTTCAAGTGGGCCGTCGATCCTAGTCGACGAAGCCACGAGTTCGGTGCAGCCAAGTCGCCCATCTCTTCAATGACCTCCACCTCCTTCTTTCAGGCCTCCTTGGATTTTGCCTGAAAGACTTCTGTGGCCTCTTGAATGGAAGTTTCTGTTCTTGCCTGTTCATTCTCTGGGCTCGCCAGATCATGACCTCTTGCGACCTCAAAGTATTCGCTCCGTGGGCCCTTGGCAAAGAGCTGTTGATAGAACACACCACTCCTCCAATAGGTGGAACCCACGTCTGCTTCAACAGTGCTTGTACTCCGGGGACCGGGCTTTGAGTCCAGCTCGACGTCATGTACCTTCCAGAGGTGTTCATTTCTTCGTCTCGAGTTTGCACTTACGGCCCGACAGTCTGTGGTGAATGTGCATCGAAACCCTCCGCTTTGGGCTTGCCAAGTTCCTCGATTGGCGAACTATCGTCTGGAACGGATGGCAGGGCTAAGATCTCTTCGTTACTGTCAATAAGGTTAAGTGTTTTGGCCCACAGCGTAACTTTATCAATCTCCTTCTTCACAAGCCTATGTGGTTTGCCGCGAAGATGGGCCTGGATCCTACCTCGCGTTACCATGTACTTGCATGACTTACAGCAGAAGACACCGGCTCAAGATTTATAGTTGGCTTTATGGCTTTCATTGGGGCAGCCCGAGATATCAGTAGCAGGAAGTAGATCAAAGTAACTGGTATCTCAAAGCGGAGTTGAAAATATCAAAACTTGAAATCCGGATAATTAACCGTCTTCGTTCTTCGATTTCTCACCTTTATAATCCATAATACTAGGATAAAAGAGTCCCGTAATCATATCCAGAGAGTCTGAAGCCTATACAATAATAGCTGTACCCCTCAGAACCTCAAAAAACTCGCTCCTTGGTCCTTTTAAGAATAACCGTTGGTATAAAACACCTCCCCTCCATGGCCTTTCATCATGCCCCTTATTAGTTGCCGCTGGCGTTTTACCAGGTTTTAGCCCTAGATCCCATCCATGTTCATGCTTTGAGTGTTCCCGTATTCTCCTTGTATCGGAGCCTACGAACCTGCACATCGACGTTCCCCCCTCGTTCTCCACTATGAATGTACACCGGAACCCTCCAGTTTTAGGCGGCCCCAACACGTCAATTGCTGGCGTATCATCAGGAAGTAACGGTAGCCCACTGATCTCTCGGTTGTCGTTGATGAGTTCCAGCTGAGATGCCCACTCCTGTACCTTCTTGATCTCACTGCTGTTCAGATGGTGGGGACGACTTTGAAGATGGTCTTTGATCCGCTGACGAGTGACCATTGTTGCACATAAGCGGCAGCCAAGCAGCCTGTACTCTTCCTCGTATGTGAAGTGAGGGTTATCACGCATGAGCCGACTGTCATAAGGTGTGTATTCAGAATTCGCCGAAATATTGCTTGGCCCGCAGTTCGTCTCTTTACTTCTTCGATTCGAATCAGTCGCTCGGCTTGCGTTCTTTAATGCCCCCACCGTATCTGACACTTTCCTTTTTTTAGCCGACATAGGGCGATATCCCGGTGACTTATCACTTTGTATCAAACACTTAACACTTCTTTTCAGCGTAGTAATGCTTAACGATGGATTGGAAGGCGAAGTAGTTCGTCCGCGGGTGAAGATAACACTCTGCTGGGCTGATGAATAAATTCATGCCAACGAGTCGATGCCCACTCATAAGAGCGAAGAAGCGCTGGCTGGAGCCGATTTGGAAACGCCCCATCGAGTCCATAGGTGATCCCTCGCTGTAAGGGACGATGTCCGCTTTGCCAGGCGAATATGGCATTTAGGTCAGCGTCTGCGGTAGTATCGTCATATATATTGAGCGGTGAGTGCACCTCCCGGACATGCTTCTCAGTGATGCTGATGGCCATCTGCCGAAAGATTCAGAGGTTGACCTCGCGTTGCCAAATATCCGAAGTGGCCTGCTTGAGTATCGATGTAAGACGAGAAGTGCACCATGGCTTTCCGCTACTATAGAACAGTAGCCGTTCGTGATGGTATGGATATGCCTGAGTCTGTTGCTCTCGTCTCAATAGGGCTGCAAAGCGTCGGATATAAACAAGATATTTATACATAACATGCGCCAGCCGTGATGGTAGGAAGCGGACCACGTAAAACTCTCGGCCCATTTGTCGCTTAGCTTTGTGATGCCGCAGTACATAACCCATTAATCCATTCCAGATAGAGATGCTGCAACTAGTAGAAGGGCCACTTTCGCATGCCAGGGTGAAAAGGTCGCGCGCTCGCGGAGTTTGACCACATGCTGTGTATAGACCCCCAGCAAGCATCTCCTCCAGCTTCGTAACTTGCTTCAGGTATGAGTCCATGTATTTCCATCTCCAGCGGCCGTCTTTGCTGAGTTTGCTTTCCTGAGAGGCATATGCCGAATAAAGCAGGTCCAAGTACGCTTTATCAAGGTTATTTGCAGGGTGTTTCACAAACGAATATCCGCTTGATGAATTAGCCATGTCATCCTTTATCGTTGCTAGGTCAATGTCAGGCTTGAGGTCAAACATTAGCTTGTCACAAATCTCTTCCGCCTGCGAAATAAAATAATCTGGGACCTGACGGAATTTGTCTATCGTCAATTGGAAGTCACCATAGCGTATTGTTTCTCCATCGTCACTCCAGCTGAATAGGAGGGATGGTGGTTCGGTATGCGCGATATTACGGCCAAAGTCTCTTAGACTGACCATTTCAGCAAATGGATATTGCGTGCCTGTTATCATGTACTTTTCTCGAATTGAATTCAACTGGTCGAGTTGGTCCGCATGCAGACGTCCTGGAATCCCAATACTGTGATACTCTCGTAACGGCAAGGCGCATTCCATCAATAATAGACGTTGAATGTAAATGAGACCAGATAGGTATGGACAAAACTGCCTTGCGAGTAAAAACTGCTTGCAATCTTGGGAGAAACCAAGGATTCCACTGAAGAACACAAGCAGGGTAGAGCTCGGTTGGCCTTCGGCGAAACTTTCAGTGCTGATGGTGAGACACAACTGGTATAAAAGTTCGAGAAATTCAATGAAAATCGCCGTGTCAGACTCATCCCGCATCTTCGAAGCTCGATCAGCATGGTGGTTCTCATCGGCTTCGGCTTGGTTGCCTGCAACCTCGGAGTTGTCACGGTCGACCTCGTCGTATCCGAACATCGAATCAGTATCTTCGTCTTCGTCATCACTATAGACTTCTTCTTCACCTTGCTCATCGTCAAAATCCTTAGATTGTGACGCATTGAATAAAATGGTTTCGTCCTGCAGCAGCTCATACTCAGGGTGAGCAGAATCCTCATCCCTGGCTTCGCCGAAGTCACTACTTCCCTGTATCACAGGCCAGGATCCTCTTGACCAGTCGAACAATTTCCAGACCTTATGCTCCCAAATGACTTGAAGTTGAGAGGATAGATCTTCGCTCAACTGGAACCTCACACACACTCTCTTGACTCTAGGCGTCATCATATCGGTTCGAAAGGCAAAGGCCAACAGCCGTTTCTGAACATTCCGGTACTTTCTTTCGGTACTTTTCTCCGCCACCAGACTGAACGGTCTTTCGTGGAAATGCTGAAGCCTCGTGCTGTTTAGCCAGCATAGAAGAAAACGACTCGTCCGACGGATCGTGTTCTCGCACCGATCTACCACGATGTCTAATGCCCCTAAGATGCAAGATATCTTCTGCTCAGCTTCACTCGAGCTTATTATATCTGAACAACTTTCTTGGGTTCCTTGTCCTAAGAAGTAGTCTATCGCCAAGGCGCGCCGGTCAGGTAGTCGAGTCGATGCTCGCAAGATATCGCGCCTTGCACCCTTGTATATAGCTTGCCATTGTGTTCTCTCCATCTAGATACTTGTAGTCGCAAAGAAGCCACTATCCATGTCTTTGCTACTCAAACGTGGCTGATTCATTGTTTCCCAGTACTTCTTTTCACGTTCTACCACCTCACTCAGATGAGAACATGAGACCGGGCCGAGTTCTTGTGGCGCCACTCGCGATTGGAACGAATCTGTATGCACTTTCTTGTGGACATCTGTTTGTAGTCGTGTCTGGGAATCCACGTGGAACCATCTGCTGCCCGCCCTGCTAGGGAAGAAGCGTTGGCATGCGACACCCTCCTCCCATGGTGACTCGTAAGCGGACATATGGTAATCCGGCGGTGGTCTTCCTCTGCCTCTTGGGTTCGTCCATTGATGCTCATCAGCACAATGCTTTTGGATCTTCTGAATACGACGGACAATGTGGCCGCACGCACGATATTTCAAACCGTCTAGTTTTGGTGGCGCAAGATACGGAATGGGTACAATTATATCCATTGGGTACCGTAAATCACGTAGTTCGTCCTGATTGCGTAGAATATTTGGGATCTGGTTTATCCTTTCTACCAGCTCCTGTCGATGCTCTGGCTGCATATCGCGATGTCGTGTTTTCAAATGAGTAGCAACCTCATCGGCTACAGAGGCGAACCCACAAACCTGACACACGAGAAGGCGGTATGTTGAGAGAAGAACGTAGGGATAAATTGCACTACATGGTTCAGATTGCAAATTAGAAGCCGTAATAGTGATCGCCATAATGACTTAATTGCTGATAGTATGGTCTGAACAAAGATGATACTTCGATCAATAATGACACCATTCAGCAGTATATAATACTTGATAGCACTTTACGCGACAGGACGCGTCGCGTTCTATAGTAAACCCCTGTTCTGATCAGCACTACCCTTCCTGTATGTGGAATAATGTAAAATCAACTCTACATCCTGGCAATAATCAACCCTACTAGGTTTAAAGTGGGTCAATAAAATCAACTCTACTAGAGTTGATTTTGGACTGTAGGACTAGGGTACTGCGAGCCTAGAACCATATACTTGGCTCGGACTTCGTCGAGACACTCGAAAGCCCCGACTTCCTGCCGTCGAGGAATGCCGATGAATTGATATCCACGCAAAGGCAATGCTTGCTCCAGGAATAATATACGCTGCATATAGATCATCGCTGAGAGTTTTGTACAATACTGTCGAGCGAGCTGGAATCTCCGGCAATCAGTGGAAAATCCAAGAATACCGCTGAAGTATACAAGTAGCGTAGAACTTGGTTGCCCGTTGAGAAAAGGTTCAGTATTGAGCATGATACACAGCTGGAACAAGAGTTCAAGGAACTGTCCGAATGCAGATGCAGCAGAGCCCCCCGATACCCCCGAGAATAGGTCCTGATGGGTTCCAGCTGTGTTCCTCTCAACATCGTCATAATGTCCAGAATCATCATAGTCGCTCTCGTCGTCCTCATCGTCCTCGTCATCCTCGAGTTCCCAAACTTCAACGTTCTCATCATCTATGTCGTCGTCCTCGGCACCTTCTTCCCCATCTGATCCCTGACAAGCTCGAGTGTTGAGAGCAATGCCAATGGATTGGCCACCCATAAGGCCACAGTGTATTCCTACTAGGGGAGCTCCCTGTCTTTCCATGACCGGCCAAGTTCCCTTCGATGCGTCAAGATAGTTCCAAGCTGTGTGCTCCCAAATGCGATCTAGCTGTGTGGAGATCTCGGGCTTGATCTTCGCATTCATCACTCCTCGTCGACAGTCACCCTGCATTCGGTACATTCGCAGGATAAAAGCCAAGAATTGCTCCTGAGTCCTTCGATATCTGATCTCGCTACTCTTCTCTGCCACCAGGTTGAAAGCGATCTCCCGACGGCTGTGGAGCCTCGAGCTGAGCAGCCAGCACCGAAGATTGTGACTGGTACAGCGAACCGTATCCTCACAACGGTCTATTACCAAGTCAAGTGCTCTCATGATGCATGAGATCTTCTGTTCGTCCTCTTGTGGGCTTACAAGGTTCGGCGTGCCTTCCGAAATGCCCTGTCCCAAGGTGTAGTCTGTGTTGAGAGAGTGGCGATCGGGTAGTCTGATCAACGCTCGCAGGACGTCTCGTCGGGATCCTCGGTAGATAGAAGGCCATTGTGTTCTGTCTAGCCACAAGCTAGTAGCGGCAAATATGTCGGTTCCTGTGTCATTGATATTTATTCGGGGCTGGCCCAAAGCTTCTCGATATCTGGCTTCCCGGTCTATGACTTGTTGTAGATGGGTGGATGCCTCAGATGTGAGAACATGGGGTGTTTCTTGCGGCTTCTTGGTACTCGACTTTGCTTTCGATCTGTCTGCCCGTCCTTTTGTCTGTATGTTGACTTGGAACCATTTGCTACCTTCCCGAGAAGGAAAGAATCGTTGACATGCAACACCTTCTATCCACGGCAGAGGATCGGCCGTCAGATATCCTATTGACGGCCTCCCTTTACCTCTAGGATTGACCCAGCCATAAAATTCAGTACAGTGGTTCTGCATCGCCTGAATCTGGCGGATATTCAAGCCGCATTGTCGGCATTGGAGTACATCAAGCCTTGGTGGGGCGAGGCAAGGAATGGGCTTGGTCGTTGGTGGTGGATACTGTAATTGAGATAGCTCGACCCGACTTTGTAGCACATTCGGTACCATTTTGGTATCTTCTACTAGCCTGCGTCGGGTCCCTGGGTCTATTCCAGGATGCCTTTTGGCAAGATGACTGGCAACTTCTCTAGCCAAGCAAGCATGTTGGCACTTCTGACAAACGAGAATCCGATATTGAGAAAGAAGCATAAACGGGTATATAGGGTTAGAAGGGCCAAGCTCCATCATAAGGTTGAGCGCCATAGTCTGACGAATTATTTCTGAATAAAATTAATAGTAATTGCTGGCTGGCTGTTACATTTGTCGCGATAGACGCTGGCAAGCTAGAATCAGAACTTGACGCGCTGCTATTAACGTGTTGTCTTGCCTGAACGTGTAGCCAAGCACCAATCAGAAATCCAAGTCAACCCCCCTGTCAAAATCGAGCTTACCCCAACGCTAGTCCATTTTTCGAAATTCAAGTCTACCCCCGGTCAAAATCAATTCTACCCCCTGTAAAGTGGGGTAAATTAAATCAATTGTACAACAATTGATTTTGGACTGTAGGACTAGGGGAACCTCCTCGGTTCATCCGAGGCGCGTTTTTGAAAGGAAACGCGAGGCAACACGGAAAACCTACTTGAAGTCCCTTCAGGAGGTGCCTAGGGACTGTACGGATTGCTCTCTCACAGCGCACACGTTGTGATGAAAGCGTTGTTGTGGTGCGGCAGTATTTGTGTTGTTGTCGTCTGGATCGCGCGCGTTGACGACGCGTCACCGACTCTACCACCAAATACCACAACACGCACGAGGGAGCAGGCGCGCCCGTGCGGTCATCAAACCGATCGAGGGAACTGGTTATGAAAACCACCCGACTTCCTGCCGTTTTGGCAGCTACAGAAGACAGGGCACCCTCGGACCCAGACCGGCTCTGGGACGGTGGCATTGGAACGTGATGCCAAAGGGCCGCAGTGCACACCGCGAGGGCGCGGATCCCCTTCCCTAAGTGTTCGTCCTGTGTGTAATGGAAGTTGTTAACAGATTGTTGAAGGAGTCGTTAAGACCGAAGTGGTTACGGAACACCCAACGATCGGGCCGCAAGGCTACAGCGCACCGCACGCATGACACATACGGGGAGGCTGGGTTGGTTAGTGGACAAGGCCAACTCTTCCAGCACGCCGGCTGGGTGGTGGTAGACAGAGCCTTGGCTGCGAGACATGGTCGGCAGGCCGAAGGAGACTTCTGCTTGTAACGGGAAGTCGGGCCCGGGGTCGCGCCCGGACAACCCGGTGGGCCGTGGCAGTGTATGGGGACCGGAGGAAGGATCGAGTCCGGCTCGCAACCGGGCCAGTGCCAGGGGCACTGCTGGTCGTCTGTCGATGTCTTCAAGGAGTCTGTACACTGGCCGGAGAGGACGGACGCGCATGTCGGTCGGCCAAGAGGACGGGATCTAGGCTCAGCTCGCACCTGAGGCGCTGCGGCGCGATGTCGTCCCTAGAAGTGCTGTCTGCGGCGGGCTTAAGGTGCAAACTGCGATCGCACGACCAGGGCGCACGCGTGACGACTACGAAGCGCCGTAAGTCGACCCTGGTATCGTTGTCCAGGTCTTGCCAGCCTGGCTTGGAGAGAACTCGAGGATTACCTCGACACAGCCTCCATGCTTTCGTAGCCATCAAGGGCGAGAAAGTTGTCCCAACGGATCAGGTCAAGATTCTTGGGGTGGTCATGGACTCGCGCCTTCACTATAAGCAACACATCGCAAGGGCAGCAACAAAGGGTTTAGAAGCGGCGATGGAATTGAGACGATTGAAGGGAATGGCCCCCTCGACAACGAGACAGCTTTTTACAGCTATGGTGGCTCCTGTGGTAGACTACGCCTCCAATGTCTGGATGCATGCGTGCAAGACGGCGTCGGCATATGCCGTTCATCGAGTTCAAAGAGTAGGAGCGCAGGCGATCATAGGGTCCTTCACAAGTGTGGCGACAGCAGTAGCCGAGGCGGAAGCTCACATAGCGACCATTTACGAACGGTTTTGGAGACGAGCAAGTAAACTCTGGGTAGACATACACACCCTCCCACGGACAAATCCGGTCCGAAATCTCTTGCGAGGGATCAAAGCTTTCCGGAGATTCATATCTCCGCTTAGGCGCATCGCGGACGTATGCAGAGAGCTACCGAGAGATACCATGGAGATCATCCAGCCGTTCGCCCTCGCCCCGTGGGAAGAACGCATGCAAGCCACGTTGGGCGGACAGGAAGGGGAAGAAGACGACAAGATCAAAGAGTTAGCCAAAGCAGGATGGGCAGTAAGAATAGCGACAAGCAGCTCGGCGAGAAACGATCTGGTCGGCATGGGAGGAACCGTTCGAATCCCTATATCCTTAGCGAGAGCCGGCAAGATCATCGAGACCTTCTCGGTCACGCTAGGGACGACGGAAGAACACAACCCGTATACCGCCGAACTAGCAGCCATCGCTCGTGGTCTCAAATATCTGCCAGAGATGAAGTATCGGGTTGTAGTGATTTTGACGAGTAACAGATCGGCGGCACAAGCTATAGGTAACCCTCGCCAGCAATCGGGCCAGGGGCACATTCGGGAGATATACGATGCTATAGAAAAGCTCAAAGGAGACATGAATAGAGTTAGGCTCATCTGGCTACCATCTGACAGTGAGCTCAAAATCCAGAGGATAGCCAGGATGTCAGCCCGCCACGCAACAGAACCGTACGTCACACCACGCATAGGAACAAGCAAAGCAAAGACGACAATTCTCAGTCGAACGAGAGCAGACCTGCGAAGGGAGAGGAAACTACCAGACGGAGTTGGCAGACATTCGAGAAAGGTCGACTCAGCTCTGCCTGGTAAACATACTCGGCTACTGTACGACCAGCTACCGTGGAAGGAAGCCAGCGTGCTGGCACAACTCAGGACCGGGATGGCACGACTGAACGGCTACCTGTATCAAATTGGAGCAGCAGTGACCGACGAATGCCCATGCGGGCAAGCAAAAGAAACGGTAGAGCACTTCCTCTTCCGATGTGTAAAATGGATGGCACAGCGCAAGGAGATGATGCTTCAATGCGTAGAGGAAAAGCGCGGCAACGTCTCCTTTCATTTGGGGGGCAAAGCTGCATCAGATGGACAAAAATGGACACCGAACATGGAAGCAGTACGAGCCACAATCAGGTTCGCAATCGCCACAGGTCACCTGGAACAGAGATGACAACCACAACACCACTAACTCATCGGCCTTAAACTTATACCTACTAACGATTGCCCCGTGCAACCAGAAGCAGGCACCGCTTCAGCCGCCGAAGATAGGAAACTGAACACTTGGAGGAATTGGGCTTCAAGTTGACTTGCTACTACTAACAACTACGGGGATCAAGGAGACAAGCGATGATCAGGCTGGAAAGAACAAGAAAAGAACTGCAAGGGCTTGGCGAGATCAAGGCAACAAATAGCGAGATGCATGTATTTTTAGCTCATAGAGCCCTCTGGGCAGTGGCCTACCGGGCGTAATAGACTTGTGTGTGTGTGTGTGTGTAGGACTAGGTAGTGGCCGAATCGCCGAGAGGTGGTGGTCAGGAAGGGTCGGCACGAGCGAAGGAAAGGCGTTGTGGAACATGCGGCAAGACCGGGCATAATGCAAGAAGATGTCAGATAGTTGTTGCAGTGTCTGAAGGAGAACATAGCGATTAGTTTCAATTGATTCAGCGGTTTGCTGTGTTTTTATGGTGTTTTTTATTTTTGAAGGCTGAAATTTTTGTCACGCAAGCTTGTTTGTCACGCAAGCTTATCATGTACGTTATTTAGAATTTTGAAAATCTTGTTTATATAAATTATAAGCTTTAATTAACATTTTATTCAAGTCCTAGCTCTTTTTAGCTTAATGTAGATTTTTAAGATCTTAGCAAAAAAGTCAGATTTAAGGTGTAAATAAAATTACGGGTCAAAAGTCTGTGAACGCTACCCTGCCAACTGGTAATCCACCACCACAACACCAAACTCATTCAGAATCTTTAACCATCTATAACTTTGACAAAACATGCCGCAAAAGAATGGAATCTTGTCTATTATATGCGCAGACCGCCAGAGAAACCAAGAATTCAGCGAGGTGGCCAGAGCTCTTATTGTTTAGGCGGTAGAGAGCGGAAAGTTATACCGAGATGTCGCTGACGAAGCTGGCTGTTCACCAGCCGCCATCTTCAATATCTTTTAACGCTGGAAAACTCACCAAACCTTGGATAAAAAACCTAGATCTGGGCGTCCTAAAAAAACTCACGGTTCAGCAGATTCGGTATGTATTAATTTCACTCAAACGCGACCGTCGTATTACATATGAATCGCTTGTTAACTATCTAGGTAGTGAAGTCTCACGAACTACGATACGCCGAGCTATCCGATACCATTACGGGCGCAAATGGAAGGCAATGCAGAGGATACCACTATTAAAAGTAAACGCTTGTCAGCGACTTTCATGGTGTTAAGTTTGGAAGGAGGATATTGATATATTGTTAGAGGTATGTTGCTTTGAAGTTTGTGAGTGAACGCCGCTTGGGAATCTTCCGTTTAACTAACGACACCTTCAGACCATTTTCTCTGACGAATCGTCAATTTAATCGCAACCGAATTATAAACGAGGCTGGGTCTTCCGCAAGCCTCATGAGAAGTTTATGAAGGAATTAGTTAATATAATAGTTCATGGAAAGTCCAAGTTATCGATCATGGTTTGGGAGCAGTCTGGAGAGGTGGAAAATCCGATATTATTATTATGACCCTCGACCAGACCGCCAAAGGGAAAGGATATACTGCAAAGAGTTATCAGCAGGCTTTATTAGAAGGATTACTTCCAATTTAGAACGAATTTTGTCAATTTCAGCAAGATAATGCTTGAATTTACATATCAGAGTCTACGACAAGATGGCTGCTAGAACATAAGATTGAGTGGATTGACAGGCCAGTACATTCCCCTGATCTCAACCTAATTGAGCATATTTGGAAGCAATTGAAATTAACATGAGAAAGATGTTCCCTCGGCTAGATATCCTTAAAAATAACGAAGTCGATAGAGCAAAGTTGATAGAATGTATCAAGTTGGCGTGGGCAGCAATAACAACAAAGCAGATTAACCGTCTGATTGACTCGCTGCCCCGCCGACTTGACGCATGTATTCGCGCAAAGGGGTGGTATACCAAATATTAAAGGGAAAAATCAGGGCTTCATTTTGATGTATAGTTTATTATAATTGACCTTTATTTAATTGATTTGTGTGTAAGTGAAGTTATCACGGTTGAATATACTGAGTTGCTGGAGGGTGGGGTGTTCACAGACTTTTGGCGCATAATTTTACTAACAAAATGAAAACGGACCGGCTCGCTTGTTTGACCGGCTCGCTTATCATATACGTTAACTGGATTTCAGCGTGAATTTTGCCCCTCTCAGAGCTTGTCGTGTATAGTCAGAGAACATCTGTTCAGCCCGCTCCTTTTCGAGCTTTAACAAGGAGTAAATTCTATTGGAGTTGAGATAGATAGAAAGATTGACGATGACTTGTCATAACTGACGTTTTTAGTCCCAAGCCTAATGATCCACCAAGCTTCAGCTACGTAACTTCCCAATCGCTAGTGACCATTCTTATGAGCAGCTAAGTCATCCGCGATGTTATGCGGCTGACAGCTCTTCAGAAAGCCGCTTACCGAACTCGCCCGTGAGCGCTAGGAGCTGAAGCTCCCAGAAAAACCCCATCATATCTAGCGATCGCTTTTCGCAGTTCTTCTAAGGCGACGTGATCGGAAGCCGCGGCAACAGCTGCCCATGCATCGCTGATCCGGCGAATCACTGTTGATATCTTGTCTCTAAAGCATGCGGTTGGTTTCGTGGCTCAGGTCCAATTCTCATTTTGCATCACTTAGTTTTTACAACCAGCTAAAAGTGCATCGCATATAGTTCCTAGATACCGCGGCCATCGTTAAACACTTGGCCACAATCAACTGACCGTAGGAAACTCGCCCTTCTCAAAAAGTTCGTCAACCCTGCACCCATACGAAGAGAGCTCTTCTCCGTCAACCCAGTGCGGCCAGTGGCCCGACATGATCGTGTAGAAGACAGAACCTAAACTGAATATATCGGTAGCTTCTGTGGGGTCGGGCGTCTTGCGAGGGTCGAAGAAACCTAGGTCAGAGAGATTGAGGCCGACCAGCTTCCCATACGTTGAACCTCCGAAGTCGCAGAGACGGATGTCAATCCGGCCATCGGGACATGAGTAGAGCAGGTAGTTCTCAGGCCGTAAATCTGAGTGAATCACACCTTTTGAGTGCAAGTAGGCAATAGCTTCCGTAGCTTGCAAGCACCAAGCGGTTCGAATCTCGAGGGTCATCGTGGGAAACCAATTATCAATGTATTGCTGAAGATTTCCTTTATCCGCTTCCGCAAACTTGAAACCCTCCGGGTCAAATCGTCCCAGAAATCTGCAAGCTCGTTAGTATTGGCCTGATAAAGGGAATTCAAGATCCTATACTTCACGATGCGTGGATGGTCGCCTAGGACCTTGAGAATCTCTCCTTCAACGAACAAGCTGGCTTTTGCATCCTGAACAGCACGGTATTTTTGCTCGGCATCCGGAAAATCCCACCAAGCGTAACGTGGATATTTCAGCACAATGTTGTCCTCCGGCCTTCCAACTATAGCGTTGGTACTGTGGTGAATGATAGCGACCACCGGGGGTCGGTAGTCCATGCCAATAGCATTGCGTGACGTGTGGACATCATGTATCGTCTTTGTAGGCCATTATCAGCTATCCCTACGAAACACTGGGCATGTATCGTCTTCTCTCTTAGCCTGCATTAGGAATAGCCAGAGGTACACTCCCTTATTCCAAGCCGTTCACGACTCTGATCGCATAGTTGTAGAAACATATCAATCCTTGATAAGATAAACGGATGTCGCGAATCTTCCAGTTTGGCCCATGTCGCACCCACCTATCAACCGACGACTTGCTTCCCCACGGGGCCAGCTAAGAAGGTATAAAGTCATATGCCCTCTACTTTGTCTAATCCACGTCAGTGTCACAAAATGATAGATCGCTCAGAGTGGCTGGTATAGCTGTTGCTCACACCAATGGCTGTATTGATTGGTTATTTTGAATGTTGTTGCAACCAACTCCATACTCTTGGGTCTATAGTCCTATAACCTGCCACTTCAGGACTATTGAGATCAACCCCAAGCTAAAGGTTATTGCAAGAAGCTTCAACCCGATCAACCGTAACACATCGCGTGCCTCCACCACAAAAGATTTTCACGGCGTATCCCAAGAATTGTCATCTGATTCTATCTGCTCGTCCTCGCTTGAGCCCCCCGCATTCGTAAACTCTTGGAATATCGCTATGTCCTCAAACCTGTCAGCCAGGCTCTCCACGCTGGCCTCCGAAGGGTTTGTCATGGCAAGGTTCAAGTCCGCCATAAATGTAGCCCGGATGTCATATGATGGGTTGATTAACTGGTTTTCCTCGTACTGTTCCATTATATGTCGCGCCTCGCTCGCTGGTAAATCGCCTTGCTGCAGTGCCATCGATAATAAACTTCGGCCGATGGCTTCTGCAAAGCGGTATGCCTGCCGTAGACGTCCATAGCATTGAATGCAGAAAAAGAGATAGAAACGCCAAGCAGGGTCCTTTGTGTCGCCAAGATTAGCATTTGCGACATGAATTAGGCCTGTATGCCATAGCATCGTATAAGTTGAAGACATATAATTCTTGCGGTATACCACTATAAGGCGCTTGAGTTGATTTATAGACGCTTTATAAGCCGCATCAGGCGAGCTCCTCTTACAAGGAAATGTCTTAAATCGTAAAGACCTCGAAGAGTCCCTCGCTCGAACCGTGAAGGGGTGCAAGATACTAAGAATTGCTACGTGAAACCAGATACTGTCGTACTGTTAGAAGTCTTTAAGAACTTCGTTCAGAAAGGAATAAAGAATTGCAACATACTGAAAGATCAGAACATGATGTGGACTTTGTTCCGAGCGCACCATCGACGGTGGCAGCGTTTCTGCCCAAGCTATGAGCTCGCGATACTTGTATTCGGCAAATGCAAGTGTGATATGATCGCTCAGGCCCTCGCGCGGATAAGGCTGATCGCGATAGTATCGCAAAGTCACTTGGTGGATTATTCGCCAGAATCGGCAAAGGACTGGAAATGTGTCGCCCATGTAGGTCGACTGAAAAGTTTGGCGGATAGACTCGGGGCTGCCTTCAGAGGTTTCATGCCAGCCATTTCCCGGTATGGGCCGTATGGGAGGGTGTTCAGGGTATGAAAGGCCAGGCTGTTGGTAAAATAGAGCCATAAGCCTAACGATGTTAACCGTCTGGATATTCGGCGCTTACTCTCAGCGTATCAACTTACACTACCCAATTGAAGGTGCCCCAGGCGGCATAGGATGTTGCACTTTGTAGTTCAGAGTTTACTTCTCGTACCTTGGGCATTGCAACAGTGTATTCGGTTCCAAAAAAGCCCATACGTGTTCCCATGGAGTTTGCTTCTGACACATACGTCAAGGCATAATGATCTTTGCCATCGCCCAGATATGCCAAGCCTAGCAACGGTATTCCGGCGAGAGTTAAAAGAGAATCGGACGACTTGTCTTCTGCCCAACGCTTTTCCGTCTCGTCACTGAACTGAGGCGTATACTCTTTGACGGTCGGATCGAGCGCACTATACATTTGCTGTTGTATTTGTGTCAGCGAGACAGATGCTGCTATGAGTAGTTCAGGCGACCTACACAACCCCAATACATGACAGCACTAAGTAGAAATCGACTGCAGAACCTCGTTTCACAGTTAATCAAGTCATTCACAAATAGATCCGGATCAAAGGTACCCAGCAGGGGGTGATCTGTCTCTAAGTATAACAATATAATCTTGGCAGCCAAATCGGAAGGAATAGGCACGGTAGTCCAGAAACTTATGTTCAATTTCTCCAATCGCTCGTCACAAGGGTGCAAGATCGGTGTTGGATATTGCCGAGGATGATGGGTTTGAAATGGATTGGATTCGAAGTCAAACGGCGAGCCAGCGTTCTCGCTGTCGGTGGCTGATATGCGGCCAGTACTAAGAACTGCCCTACAGGGCCAGGGCATCAGCTGAAACTGAAAAGAAGGAAGCTAAAATTTGACAACGAAAGGCTGAATGTTGGGGTTTGCCTCGGCGTGATTCAACTGACTTCAAGATACTAGACTCGAGGGGCTGGAGCGGCGGGAAGGATAATGAATGTCTTGCCATGAGCTCGGACTCTAAACCTAAATGTCGAGTAGGCCCACGAGTCTGCTGTTGGCTAGAAATATGGGGTATTAGACTTATTCTCGGTCGGATTATCGAGATGATTGTGTCAAGGTCGCTGTGGCATCGTAGAATTCGTAGGATATGGATGGCCTGGCTCTCGGGTCCTGATTTCATAACGTCGAAGAGGTCAAGAATTTGATCCGTTTCTTTGCTCGTCCGGCCTTGGATGTGGCTTTCGACGTAGACACATAGCTCTTGTACGCCTCGTTGTCGACAAGCCTCGCAATGAGGCTTTTTTCCGTCGCACTAGTTACCAACGTTGAGATAAAGATAATGATGAAGTTGGTGTTAATGCAGCTTACTCGAATCTTTCTTTTGCGGCATGTGTTGCATGCTATCTGTGTTCCGATCCGTTGTCGTTTGAACGGCTCACTACTTGAGGATCCGGAAGTAGAAGAAGGTCCAGAAGGGTGCGAGTTGGATGCTACGCCGTCTGAATCCGGGATAGGGAGTAGCTGACGGTATCTCTTGGACATTGCTGAGGGTTAGATACTAGCTGGGGATGGCTATAGCCGAGGAACAAGATATCTTTCGATCGCGTCGAATAGGTAAAATTAGGAGGTAATTATGATGGATAGATAGATTGCGCCCCAGGCTGCCAGGTACTGTCTTCGAGTGCGGTTCACGTGGCCCTGATAATCGTGATTTCTGAGGGATGTACGCGCCCAATGATTGGCTCGATATTTTCGGATCCTCCGTTCGAGCCTCATTGGCTGAATGACCAGCGACGACTGGCGATTTGCTGTCCTATGAGGGTCCATCGATGGCCTGTCAAGCGGCATGCTTAATAAGGGATACTGACGATCACTTTGTTCCCCCGCAAATTTAGACGCCTCCTCATCATGATGGCAAAATGATAGTTGTTAGATTGACGGCTGGGAATGGGCTCCACTTTCCTTTATCACAATATTATTCTTGTATCCAGAAAAGGAGGGGGAATTGAACCAACCCCTCCCTGACAGACTGATAAAAAAGCATCAAGTCGACAATCAATAACATCACAACATTCTGCTACACATCTTAATACACTCACCCCCTCGTATAGCTGCGTATCCAACAATAGTTTGCCCCATTTTGATAGCCTATCCCACGAGTGCTCACAAGACAACACCTCCGTACCTGGCCCCACATGACCCCTGTGATGACGAGAGTACGAGCGGCGTACCGGAAGTTTGATCCGTCATTTTAGCCTCCACCCCCCCCCCCCCCCCCCCCAAAACGCCACTGGAGGGCCCCTAAAGCATTTCAATCTCATCAATGAGTACTCAATTGATTCCCGAGGATGCGCAAGCTCTCAATGCCTATGATGACAAGAGCTTTATTAAGGCAAAGCACAGTCATCGGCTGTGGCCAAATGACCCCACCTGCATAGTTGTTTTCCCGGCTACCCAAGACCGAGGCACGCAATTTGAACCTTTCAAAGTACCAAGGCGCGAATTTCACATTGCTACGCTGCCTCCAACGCCTCTCGAGCTATTCCAGCTTTTCCTACCTATTTCCCTTGTTGAGAAATGGGTACATTACACCAAGATCTGGATCTCGTGGCTCAAAGCCAACGAGTGGGTAAATAGCTGGAAAAAGCCGATGGGTCGAACATCACGTCTCCGACCTTGGGAAGGAACCTATGCATCAGAGATCTACCTGTTTATTGCAATACTGATTTGTATGGGAATGCATATAGAAAAGAGTGGTCTAACCACATACAAGCAGTCTCGGCCGAGCTTTTAACTGCTGGATCTCCTGTTGCCGTGGATGAGTGCATGGTTAGTTATACGGGGAAATGTGGTGCCAAAGCAACGGTCAAGGGCAAGCCAGGACCAGTGGGATTCAAGATCTGGGTTATCGCCCAACAGGACTTCTTTCTTCGGTGGCTTTGGCACATCAGAGATGCGACTTATGGCCCCGTTGGCATCGAGCTTCCACAGAAGAAGTCATCCACACGTTCTCAGGGCCGGGGCGCTTCCAAGGCCACAGGGAAAGAGCTAGCCAGGGAAGAGAAGCCCATTGCCTTAAACCCGACCCAAGCCGTCGTCATTGCCCTAGCAAATCTGCTGCCAAAAGCGACATATTATATCTTCATCGATAACCTCTTCTCATCATCAGGTCTCCTTCGCAGTCTTCGAAATCACGGCCACGGAGCCACAGGCACGGCCCGCAAGAACAGCGGCATCTACAAGGAATTGGCAGAGGATAAGGGCAATGACGGCAAGGTCAAGAGAAGCTACGAATTTAACAAGGTCAAGGCGATACCGACCACTGACAATAAGGTATCAATTTCTGACACTTTTACTTCGAGAATCCCTACTAATCTATCGTCATTCCATATCCCTATGTCAACCATATCGCCTGGAAAGACAATAAGCTTATATTGTTTATGACAACCGTGCTTACTGGCGCCGATAATGAGCGAGTTGAACGCCAATGGAGGAAGCCGTCGTCACGCAAGCCCGAGGCCAAGCCAATACGCCAATTCTTTGGTGACGAAGCTATCAAGATAGTTCAAATCCCGACGGTCGCTGCTGCTCATAACGAAGAAATGAATCATGTTGATTGCGGTGATCAGTTGAGGTCATATTATGAGTATAGGCATCCCCAACGCCGGGGCGCTTGGCAGCACTTTGCTGGACCTTCCTCCTAGGTGTCCGCCTTGTTAACAGTTATCTTCTTCAGCGTTACGGGCAGCCGCGTTGGAAGCGATATACGAATCATAGGAAATGGCGAGAGTGCATTTACAACGCATTTTTAACACATACGGTCATGAAAGTCAGTCAAGGAAGAGATATCGCGCAGGGGAGGAATTGGACGATGAGGGCACCGAAACACGGCCAATTGAACACAATCTTGTCCGTCGGAAGAACCCTGTGGATTGCGTATGCTGTCAGTGCTTTCGGCAAGGCTAAGTGAGGTCAAAAGGTCAGAAAAGGAGGAAGCCGTTGGGGCCGGGTGATGCTAATAAGATCCAGGTAGGGACGAGATATTGGTGTAGTGTGTGCCAAGTCGCGTTATGTAACAATGACTATTGTTGGTACATCTATCATAATAGAAAAAAGGCGTAATAAGATGTACCTTTAATTTGCGGCATTTTAATTGGCCTGACCCCTCAAAAGCTACGGAGGTGTTGTCTCGTGAGCAGTCGTGGGATATGAGATTCAATGGGGAGATATGGGGCCCGAGGTTGGCATGAGAGAGGGTCTTGATGCAGCTGGAAATTCATCATTTATAGCCAAGATAATGATTGACAGGTTTAAGCGCAACCTATGGCTTTCGCAACGGAGGAGTATTTAAGTATACTAAAATGCCAATGCAGAGAGCACCTTCAAGATTGACAAATTACCTCTAGAGATGGCCGTGAAATGTTGGCGGACGGTTGGCTGTTTCCGAATGTAATAACGTCACAAAAGGTATAGAGATAGAGGGTCACCATCCATTAACCCTAGCATCACGTTATATTATTATGTCAGATCATTGAATCTGCACCAAGGTTTGAAATCGCATTAACTCATCTCGACTCATCGCAAACCTATAAAGGACCATGAAATTCGAAAAATTGTTGAGGAATGACACGATATTTTGTCTGTCGATATCTGACCACCTCGTGCGAATGCCACGGGAAGTTCCTCGAGGAAATGTCGTCCCAGCCGCATGATCTGATGAACGAATGAATGGATAGGTGGCTGATTGGCGGCCGTTGCGCACTAAGAATCGATATTTACAACGCCTTGCCAGCCATTTACATCGAGCTATACTCGCCCTCATCCCGATACAGCTCAATTCGTATTCGGATGTTGCTGCGTTCTTGCTCAGCACCTATGTCCCGGTGGGCGGGTTGCCAGGTGGCTGCAAGGCCACTTCGCTAACTATGACGAAACATAACCCGCTGCCCCTCCAATCTTCCTTTAGCTCCATCGTCGCGTGCCTAGCCGGCTAACAGAATATCTTTCTATTAATAGTGAAGGAATTGTCACGGCCCATGCGGCCTGTTGGTCTTTGACGTTTATTTATATACAGCTTCCCAACGCTTGGTCTCGAATGGTTGTGTCAAAGCGAGACACTTCGTGATGTTTGGGCACCCCCTTCGATTGAAAAGAGCCCAGGTTTCTCATTTCTGTCCATGGTTGTCGCGCTTTTACTACACCTTTGGTTGGTCTTAAAGCCAGTCTGAAAGTCGGCCGTCCTCTAATCTGAGTCTCTAGGAGTCTTCCCGGCCGACTGCCTCTTTCCACCTTGTGTACTAGCCCGTTGCCTTTGGCTCGTCGATAATATTTTTATTTCGCGTCTTTACAATGGCGAATCAAAAGGAGATAAATGTGTCCGGAAACGCAGAGGTTGTCGCTAGTACTTTGACTGTTGACCATCTGATTATCGACTTCGGCGGAGCGCCCGACCAAGGCAAGTGGCATCTTAACTTGTTGGCCCTTCTATTAGATGTACTCAGCTGTTAGAATGGTTTGCTAAGACAAAGTTCCCAGGCATCAAGAACATGCGATGTCTGAAGCATCTATACGTGACTGACCCCCGCGCCGACAAGCAGCGCATCCAGGAGACAAAGGGCGGCCTGCTCAAGGGCTCCTACTGCTGGATTCTCAAGAACGATCTCTTTCAGCGATTTCGTGACGACCCGCAAAGCCGGCTGCTCTGGATCAAGGGCGACCCCGGCAAAGGCAAGACAATGCTCCTCTGCGGCATCATAGATGAGCTGGAGAAAGAGTCTGCGAAACGACTGTCTTATTTCTTCTGTCAGGCTACAGAGGCTCAATTGAGCAGCGCCGCGGGCGTGCTGCGCGGCCTCATCTACCATCTCATCCTCCAGCAGCCATCACTCATTTCGTACGTACGGGCGAAATACGATATCCCAGAGGAGAAACCTTTTGAGAGCATCAATGCCTGGGTGTCTCTGACCGATATATTCATGGACATGCTGAACGATCCAGCTCTGGAGGATGTGGTCTTGATCGTCGACGCCCTTGACGAGTGCAAAACGAAGCACTCAGAGCTTCTTGACTTTATTTTCAAGTCGCCCTCCCGTATCAAGTGGATTGTGTCCAGCCGCAACCACTGCCCAGACATTGGGCAGAGGCTCAGAAACGCAACACAGACAGCCAAGCTGTGTCTTGAGGACATTGAGAGCACCATTTCCGAAGCTGTTGACGGGTACATTCGACACAAGGTGGATCAATTGACACGTGAAAAGAATTACGACGACAAGCTACGCCACGCTGTCCAGCACTACTTGATGTCTCATGCCAATGGCACTTTTCTCTGGGTAGCCTTAGTCTGCAAAGAACTTGCGGATCCTAGGGTCCCAAGACGGCATATGCTTACGAAGTTAGCGTCGTTCCCAGCAGGACTTAATCAACTCTATGAGCGAATGATGGAACATATTATCAACTCAGACGATGCGGACCTGTGCAAGCAGATCCTAGCTATTGCATCGGTCGTATACAGCCCCGTCACGTTGAAGGAGCTGATATCTCTTGTTGAGTCGCTCGAGGAATTCGACCAGGATGAGTTGAAAGAGATCATCGGATCCTGTGGCCCTTTCCTGACTCTCCAAAAAGGTTTCATTTACTTTGTGCATCAATCGGCGAAGGAATACCTGCTTGACAAGGCATCCAACCAGATCGTACCTTCTGGCACCGCGCACCAGCACCATACCATCTTCTCGAGGTCGCTGCTGGTGATGTCCAGGTCCCTGCGGCGCGACATGTACGATTTACACCATCCCGGCACCTCTATCGATGATATCCGCCAGCCTGAGCCCAACCCGTTGGCCTCGGTGCGATACTCGTGCCTCTACTGGGTTGACCACCTAAGCGCTGCCATCTCGGATAGAACTTCGATACCTATCGACGACCTACAGGATGATGGCACAGCCCATCAGTTTCTCAGTAAGAAGTACCTCTACTGGCTGGAGGCGCTCAGCCTTCTCGGAAGCATACCGAAAGGAGTGGTTGCGATGACGAAACTCGAGACGTTGCTGGTAGGTAGTTTGACGTTTATGGTTATATAGAGCCAATATGCTGATTACATGTCTACTAGAAAGGGTCAGAGGGAACCCTCTTGCTTGATTTCGTACGGGATGCACGGCGATTTATCCTAGCACATGGACGGGCGATAGGGAATGCGCCCCTTCAGGCATACGCGTCCGCGCTTACATTCAGCCCTCGGCGAAGCGTAACGAGAAGATTGTTCAAAGGAGAAGAGCCAAGCTGGATTGTAGCTAAACCGACCATAGCTGAGGATTCGGATGCATGTCTAGAGACGCTCGAAGGCCATGACGGTGGGGTTAACTGGGTGGTCTTCTCGCCTGATGGCCAGCGTCTTGCATCGGCGTCACGCGATAAGACTCTTAAGGTCTGGAATGCCACGACCGGCCACTGTACGGCGACGCTCGAAGGCCATCACGGCTGGGTTCACTCGGTGGTCTTCTCACCGGACGGTCAGCGTCTTGCATCGGCGTCACGCGACGGGACCGTCAAGATATGGGATGCCATGACTGGACAATGCTTGGAGACGCTTGAAGGCCATGGCGGTGGAGTTAACTCGGTGGTCTTCTCACCGGACGGCCAGCGTCTTGTATCGGCGTCACACGACGGGACCGTCAAGATATGGAATGCCACGACTGGAAAATGCCTTGCGACGCTCGAAGGCCATCACGGCTGGGTTCACTCGGTGGCGTTCTCGCCGGATGGCCAGCGTCTCGCATCGGCGTCACGCGACGGGACCGTAAAGATATGGAATGCCACGACCGGCGACTGTACAGCGACGCTCGAAGGCCATGGAGGTGAGGTTCACTCGGTGGCGTTCTCGCCGGATGGCCAGTGTCTTGCATCGGCGTCACGCGACGGGACCGTCAAGATATGGAATGCCACGACCGGCCACTGTACGGCGACGCTCGAAGGTCATCACGGCTGGGTTCACTCGGTGGCCTTCTCACCGGACGGCCAGCGTCTTGCATCGGCGTTACGCGACAGGACCGTTAAGATGTGGGATGTCGGGACCGGACACTACCAGGTGACGCTCGAAGCCCATGGCGGTGGAGTTCGCTCAGTGGTCTTCTCGCCGGATGGCCAGCGTCTTGCATCGGCGTCACACGACGGGACCGTCAAGATATGGAATGCCACGACTGGACAATGACTTGTGACGTTCGTTATAGGCAGTGTCGTCGACACTATCCGCTTCGACAAAACTGGTACACATCTTCCAGGGCTGCCGTCAGATCAATCAAATCAGATTGGGACCCAAATCTGATCTGAACTGATAGTTCACCATTCGAATCTGATCTGATCTGATTGATTGATTGATATCTGATATATCGTAGCTCACGTGAAGCTTCCCTCGGCCTCATGACCCTACCGTCGGATTCTAATTGGCCTGGTTACTCGAGTACAGGCCTCCGAGATTAACACATCCTCCCCTAACCCAGTTCTTCAGTAGCTGGATCGATTCAGTGCTCGATCCAAGTAGAGAATGTCGTTGTGAGCTGACTGTAAGCTTCGCAAGACTGAATGCCCTCTCGCAGTCGGTTGACATGGCCGGAATAGCAAGAACATCCAGTGCAAACCTACTCAAACGTGGGAAAGCATTGCTATGGTCGATCCACCAACGAATGGGATCATCTACCTGTTCTGGTTCGAGCCTGTAATACCGTTCGAGTTCACTGCCTGTTGCCGAGAGCTTAGGCTGCCGGCTTTTTATCCACTGCTCAAACTTACTTTGCTCAGGTCGGGGCGTCAACGAAGGCGTGATAAAGACACTCTCAGAGACATTATCGTCATTCTTCGAATACCGACGCTCAAAATAGACTTTGATGCCGTCCTTTGCATCTCGAACCCATTGTAGCTGTTCTGGGGAGGTCCAATTAGTCTCCAGCCACCGGAGTCCAAGGTCCGGATTCAGAACAACAGAGGCTGCAAACAGAGGCGACCGTCCGAGGAGAGTATAGTACTAGTTTAACTTAATCCAAGCATTGTTTATACTTGCCTTAATGCTAGCGCGCTCCTGACCCTCCATACTGGCAATATTGCTCACCGAACGAGCATCGTCTTGCAGGTAGTCTTCTCGGGAATGTACAGGAAGCGCATCTTCATTAAACTGTGAGCTGGCGGGTGGGCGAGCTGAAAGAGTCGTTTCGCGACGGCGGCGCAATGGTGTAATTTCATATCCTTGAAGTCGTGATGGTAACCGTGACTGCCGTGAGGGTCGCTCCCGGATTTGTCCGACTGTCGGTGGCCGCGAAAGTGTTGATGTCACACCCATGGCCGGTCCAGCTTCCTCCCCCTGGGTTGTATACCATTCTTCCGCAGCCGGATCAGCAGTTTCATCCTCGTAGAGAACCTTCCAGTCTTCGAGATGTTCTAGGACAAACTCCATTCCTGTCATGACTTCCCAGAGCCGGCCGTGACCCCCGCTTGTACCCCATCCCTGTGTTCTCATCGTCATATTGTAGACCGGCTCCAAGATATGACTAACTTCCCTGAGGACCTTCCAGTCATCAGACGTCAGAACATCAGCCGTGGGAACCCTTTTTGAGGCGTCTGCTTCTAGCCCTAACTCCTGAATGAAGCTGTTGAGCTCAGACTGCTTGACTAAGGCACGCTCAATCATCATGTAAGTCGAGTTCCATCTCGTATCGTTGTTCTGTATGACTTCGAGCTCGGCGGTTGATTCTTCTGCAAGCTTATATGAGTCTATCTCCTCCTGCTCCCTTGCATGAGTTTTGAATGCTTCGGTGCGTTGCGGAGAGGCTCGGATGAATTTGACAATATTGTGAAGCTTCCCAACCGGACCCTTGGCTCGCCAGTGTTCGAGGTCTTCTTCAACCCGCTCTAACATGTCATAGGCCTCAGACTGAAGTTCGAAAGAAGCTGCATCATCGCCGTAGAGGAAGGCTTGGGCAACGAGGTTTAGAATATGACCGAAACATCGCATCCTTCGTGCCTCCGTGTCCGCTCGAGTTATCGAGGCATCGAGAGTTGTGTAGAGGTTTCGCAAGCAAACATCATTACTGGCCGCATTATCACAGATCGAGACCCCGAGCTTACCATCGATACCCCAATCACGGACCACGTTCCTTATGGTATAAGCGATGTTCTCGCCGGCGTGAGATCCGATCTGCCTCTTGAAAGCCAGCAGCCGGCTTTGATATAAGTGTCTCCGATCGATAAAGTGGCCAAAGATGGAAATAAAAGCTAATCTGTTGGGAGAGGTCCAGAGGTCGAAGCTAAGATGTATCTGGGTAACAGTATTATTGAGTTCCTCCTTGACAGCCGCTTTCTTTGAAACGAGTATGTCTTCTAGATCTTTCTTGGTTGAAGTTCGTCCCCAGGGCACCTGAGCATAAAGATCAGAGTCCAGCTGACGGAACAGCTCCTGTAGGTAGGTACTCTCGAAAGTAATAAAGGGGAGATTGGAATAAACGGTATAGCCAACTGAGAGTTCTCTGATCCGTGCCATCTTCGCTCGGGGAAGAACTAGGGAAGAAGGGGCTGGCCGTTTCTTGGATGCGCTTTTTTGAAGATCGAGAACCGACGAATCGCCAGGTGAGCCTGGTTGGAAGGTCTGCGTGATCCTGTGAGCTCTGAAACCGTTAGTGATAGCCTGGAAATGGGAAGAAACGCCAACTTGTAAAGGTGAGCTTGTGCCGAGGATGTCGACTGAGCATTAAAAAAACGCGGCGCGCCTTTGTCATCACAGAGCCGGCAACACCAGATATCTTCGCAAGATGTATTGTCTCTCTTCAATTCTGCCAGGAACCAGCCATGGTTTCCTATCCAGCTTCGCCGGCCTCTACTCTTCCTCTTATCTAAGAGGCTTGTAATGACGAAACGTCGTTGGCGGTCTCGGACATTATATGCCATAGGCCATGATCAGCAGCAGGTGTGGATGGCTTGAAATTGAACAGCCAAGATACGTTTCTGACGATCCAGGGGTGGATTTGTTTGTCTGGCTAAGGCCATGCCGGACTAGAGCGAGAGGTAGGAAAAGGGGGTAATCTGCCTTTAGATTTGCCTCTAGCTAAGACCCAGGCGAGCAAGGGTCCAGGGCCAATCAGCTCGACTGACCCCTGTAACACTGTTACTTCTTAGAAAGAGCTTCCCTCTGCGGAGCCGGAACTTATGTTATGTTATGTTATGTATATTTTTCGTCCGGGGGGCCGTAGGCCCCGAAAGTCTCCTAATGGAGCACAGGACGTGCTGAGCTAGAGAAATTGGGACCTATCTACACACTAATTACAGAATACTATGACTTCCTCTCGAATTCCAATTCTGCAGACGCGTCGATAGACCTCACACTATCCAGCATATCAACGGCACAAATGGCGCATCTTATCTAGCCTGTTACCCGTCAGCGGGATGATCAGGCGCGGCTGATGAACGACAGCCGCAAGGTAAGCCCGTTGTTAGGCGATCGTGAGCCTCTGGGCGCGGTAGCCTCAGGGCTGCCTTCAAGTGGTCACGATCAGATAGAGGGCGTGCTAGCGCCCTTCATCTGGCCGAGAACAGGTAAGAGAGAAAGGTAAGAAAAAGGAAATGTATAAGGGTAAAAGAGGGGAGGAAGGATGCGAGTGCGTCCCGGGTCGTGCTCGTCTAATAACGAGGACAGATCTTTCCAAAGAAAACGCTGGCTTTAGACAGTTCGGTGAACTTGGTGAAGTCTCTTCCTGTTGCCAGGTTGACTGCTGCATTCGGTGAGGGTGCCAACCTCATCCGATGACGCGGCGGTACCTTTCTGCAGTAGAAGATGTGGTCCGGTGCTTTGCGTCGGTTGCATGAGCAGACCAGGCGTGCATCACTATGGTCGAATCTCTCGTGATATGCGGCGAAGTCCCCATGAAGCGACCTTGCTGCCAGCAGATGGTGCAAGGCTGCACGCGGGAGCGACAGCTCCGGCGGACAGCCTGTAGTCGCCTTGAGATTGAGTCTTTTGTACTGCTCAGGAGCGGAGGTGGACCACCACGCCTGGAACGCTTCTTTCGGCTTCTGTCTTGCGATTCTTCGTAGGTAAGCCAGCGTCGGTTGAGCGCCTTCGGGCTCGGGGAGCGATGACGCTGCCTTTGCCAGCTTGTCGGCCTGTTCGTTGCCAGGGATGTTGGAGTGCCCTGGCACCCAGCGAACTTGGATGGCTCCATGCGATGTCGTCAGAGCTTGGAACTCGAGAAAGACGTTTTGAGAGGATTCAGAAGGAGTGCCTCGTAGACACGTGGCGGCTGCCAGGTTATCTAGGCAGATGAATATATTCTGTGTTGCTAATTCTCGCAGGTTTAGAGCAGCCTTCAGGCCCTCTAAAGCCCCGGTAGCTTCAGCATCGAAAACCTCAGCAGGTCCGAGGCGACCTGATCCGTCAAAGATGGGGATATTGTTCTGATGGATGGTGAAGCCATAGCTGGCAGCCCCTTCTGAGGAAAGAGAGCCATCCGAGTATACGACCAAGGTGAGCGGGTCGAGAGACTCGACCCAGCGGGAAAAGGCGTCAGCCGATTTCTCTTTAGACGCTGTCTGCAGTGGGGGCAACTGTTCTTGATGGAAGCATCGATAGACGAGTTTCGGCCGCGTGCAGGGTGCAAAGAGTTCGTTTGCACGTCGAAGGCGCGTCCTGAAGCTGCTCTCTGCCTGTATTTGATATCTTCGTTTGATGAGGTCGTGGTAAGTAGGCTGTCGGGGCGGGCGCGTTCGGATCGCCAGAGGATGAGCCTCATCCAGCGATTTGAGTCGTGCGGAGAACCTAAGTCGCCTCGCGTCAAGCAATTGATCGACTGGTGGTATCCCGCTTTCTCTGTGGAGGACGGTGATGGGTGTCGTCTTCCAGACGGGAAGAATGGCCTTCATAGCCTGTTTCATGGCTTTTGTCATTATTTGCACGAGATGCTGGTTACTCGATGGTAGATCTTTCGTAGGATGGGTCCACCGCGGCCTGGTCTTGCCCGGGTACCACGCCTCTGAGCCGTGGAGCAGCACTGGCTCGACACATGCTCTGACGGCGCCTCGCACGGCGCTCGGTAGAGGGCCGTGTACCGTGTTGGTGAGCCCCCGCAAATGATAAGCCACTGCCTTTGCTTTGGCCGCCCACTTTTCGACATGAAGTCGAAAAGATAGTCTGCTATCCAACCAGATACCAAGCCAGCGTAGAGCTGGTTCAGGGTATTTCTCGACATCGCCGTGGCGCACTGCCGGCGCAGTCCTGAGTTTGCTGCGGGAGAAATGCATGACTTCGGTCTTCTTCGTGTCGAAGGACACGCCATTCTCCGCGCCCCATCGCACCATCTCGGCGATGGAACTAGATGCCATGGCAGAAGTCTCGTCTACTGTGTCGCCTATGGACAGGATGGCCGTGTCGTCTGCATAGCCGAAGCGACCCTGAGGGTTCCCTAATCGATAGATTGGCTCAGTGTAGAGCAGAAAGAGGATTGGCGATACCGGCGACCCCTGAGGGAGGCCGCACTGAAGGGGAGAAGAGGGCGTGACTGTGTCTTGGTACCTGACACGCGCCGACCGGCCGCCCATGAAGGAGCCGGCCCAGCGAGCCAGATGATTAGGCCAGCCTTGCTCACGAAGACGCAGGACGAGCCTGTTGCGCATGACGGTGTCGAAAGCACCTTGGACGTCCATTGTGACTAGAGTCGCCACCTTCTTGCGTGCAAACGCTTCTTCAATATCATGGACCAGAGCAGTTACCAAGTCTGTTGCCGACCTCTTGGGGAGCGCCCCAGCTTGCTGCGGATGAAGGACGCTGTAGTGAACGGCTGCCCAGGCTAGGCGGCGCGCGATCAGTCGTTCTAGTCCCTTACCAAGACAGGAGAGCAGTGAGATGGGTCGCCATGCTCGTGGTTCGGTAAGGTCTCTCCGTCCCGGTTTCGCGATCATGACCACCTCCGCCTCCTTGAATGGTTTTGGATGATGGCCTATGGTAAGGCATCTTTCGAAGAGACGCCGGACGTGTGTACCGATGGTATGCCATACTGCTTCAAGAAGTTTGACTGTGATGTTGTCTGACCCTGGGGATGTATTGCCTGTGTGACAAGTCGCATATTGCGCCTCCTCCAGAGAGATTTCGGGAGAGAATGGGATCGATCTAGGTGGGAATACTGGCGTCCATGCGTTTGCGATGTCGTCCTCCGCAGTTCTTCGTTCAAGCGTGGCCTGTCGGAGTGCGTTGGCTTTATCCATCTGGCTTTCGTACACGACGTTATCGACCTGTAGAGGTGGCGGCTGGAAGGCTCCTGGGGACTTTAGCCACCGGACAGCTTTGAAAACGTCGCTACTGCTGGAGAAGCCATCGATGAGGTTACGCCAATAGCGCCTCTTGGCCCGACGGACCACACGATGAAAGCCTCTTTTGGCGATCTGAACGTCCTGGTTGAAGCCGAGTGGGTAGCTTCTTCTGATGGCTCGAAAAGCAGCCGCGGCGTCGGCGCACTCCTCCGTCCACCAGGGAGCCGGGCGTCCGCCTTTCCGCGCGGGCCTCCCAGACGCTTTTGCTGCTGATGTTAGTAGACTCACGAGTGAAGACGCAAGCTCGTCCAGCTCCTCGGGGGTCGAATCTGTGAGGGGGATTCCTGTAGCGCCAAGCTCTACGATCTCGACGAATCGTTTAAGCTCGTCTTCCGTCGTCACTCGAATCTTGCCTGGCTGCACCGGAGTCGATCTGACGTCTGGGAAGGTCAGGCTGAGCGTGAAGTGGTCAGAGCTGGTGGCGAGATGGTCCTCGACGATAGCTTCAGCAAGTGGTAGGTTAGTAAAGGCAAGATCGATTGTGTTGCCGTACGGGTTTGTTGGGATATCTAAAGTGTTGAGAAGGCTGAGGTCATTCTCAGACACCCATCCTGCTATCTCTTGCCCCCGGTTCGTAGTTTGGCCTGTTTGCCAGCTACGATGTCTGGCATTGAAATCGCCAGCTACGAGGCAACGTTCCGGGACAGACCATTGAAATAGCGTGTCTAGGGCGTCCCTCTCGTCGTTCTGACGATAGAAGTTGACTATGGTCATGCCGTTGATCGCGAGCCAGAGAATGTCTCGGGTCTGGAAGGGCCGAATTTGGTCGGCAAGGAGTCTGGGGTCTCGCCGGACATATGTCATCACTCTAGGCCGAGTATCGTTGCTATTCCACATGTCGACCGGCGTGAATGTGTCGTATGCAGGGTGAGTCTTGGTTAGACAGCGGGTCTCTGTGTGAGCCGTCCACGGCTCTTGCAAGAGCACAATGTCATATCGTTCCGAGTCGGCCAGCGCCAGGGCGCAGTCGTGGGCCGGAGGGATCTTGCCGACGTTGGCCTGGAAGATCTTGAGCGGCTTCCTGTCGTTCTTTCGTGTTTGAGAATATCTATTCCCGGTCATGAGGACGAGTGATGAGTACGATTCGGCGCTTTCGCGGTGAGCCTGGTCTGGGCTGTTCGGGTTCTTCCTCTGCTTCATAGCCAGCATGAGGGGTCGTGGCCACCATGATGCACGAGGGTGCTCCTGATACAGCTGGGCTGGGAGCACGATGGTTAGGCTGTTCTTGTGATGTGACATCCACGCTTCGTCGCTCAGCCATGCCCTGCTGCGTTTCCTGATGCGATTCCAGATGCCGTTCTCGATGTCGTTGTCGGTATGTCTCCGCACCTACGGTCCGGACATGCTTTCGTTGCTCTTTAGTGAGTCGGCGGAGCACGCCGTGCACTGTCTTTGGCCGAGCTGGGCACCTACGGAAGTTGGCCTGGTGGGGGCCTAAGCAGTTGATGCACTGTTCTCGTGCGATGCAATCGTCTACAAGATGGCCAGTCTCACCACAGCGTCGGCAAACTGGCTGTCTGTGACAGTTGCGGGCAAAGTGGTAGCCCCAGCACGTCTCACACTGTCTGGGTCGGTCGGTTTTGTCAACAAGCCTGGCTGCGCTGCTGCCGAAAAGAGACCAGAATCTCTTTGTGGGCTTCAGAAAGGACACGAGCAGGGCCTTGGTCAAGGGGTTATCCGAGAATTGTCTTCCGGTACGTACATCAATGGGCTTGATCCCAGTCTGGACTTCTATCTCGTCGCTAACGACGCTGTCACTATCCACCTCATTACCGTAAAAGTCAGTCAGCCTTGCGGGAACGTCTGAGACCACATAGGTGAACCATTCCTTGTTCGTTTCTACTGCTGTAGCTCCCAGTTCAGCGGCCCACTCAGCTTGTTTATCTACCAGAAAGTCGCGTGTGACAGAGTCGGCGGCCAGGACGGCCCATCCCGATCTGACCGGGAACACCTGTCGAATTTTGTCCGAGACGGCGCCGAGTTTTTCCCGGATCAGAGTCCGGATGGCATAGCTACTGTGGGCCCTGGCCGGAGCTCCGGCTTCTAGACGGATGAAGACACGGAGGTCTTGTCGGGGTGGGGCGATAGTCGTCTGTTGCCCTTGGCGATGAGGTGGATCTGTTTGTCGGCGTCCATGTTGTTGTTGTTGTCTGTGGGTCAGACGGTCATGGTCAGTGGGAGGCGCGGCAGCAGCGACGCTGCTGTATGTAGGCTTTGGGGTCGCAGGTCCGGAGCAGGAGAGCTCTCGTTTCCAAAAGCCGAGGAAATCATCGGCAAATTGCTGAGCGAAACGTCGTTGCGGTCCGGTGACGAATTGCTGGGCCGCTTCTTCAAATTTGGCACAAAAGGCCTGGAAAACCCCCAGCTTGATGTTGTACTCTTCCACGTATTCTCGCGCGAGATCGTTGGCTGATTCAACGATAGAGATCGGTCGTTGTTCAAAAATGGATGCGGGACTGGCACGCTCAGCTCCTTCCGTAACTGCGGCGATGGTGGCGGGGTTGAGTGGTGAGGATGGTGTCTGAGCCATCCGCCTGGGACCGGGTGAAACACCAATGGTGCCGTTGACGGCTGCCGGACTGTTCTGCAAGAGGGCTGCACGGGCTCCCCGGTTCAGGTTGACGGGAGTGTGGATCCCCAGATCGAAGGGATCCAAGGCAGCGGGCGGGATCGTCGTAGACGAGGCCATCGCCGCGGTTTGCGACTGCGCAAAGCGCAGATTGGAATGTTTGTTGTGCACTTGTTAAGGATTTAGGTGTAGACAGGGCCACTTTCTTAACACTTGTATGCCAAGAAAGTGTGATGACAAAGGAAGGTGCGGAGCCGGAACAAATGGATGATCCGGCAGTTCTAGGGTAGCCGCTCGCTGTGCAAGAAATATCAGATATATCAGATGGATAGATGCCTGTATCTGAGTTGATTGATCTGATAAAATTCTATATCTGATTTGAATTGATTGATCTGATTGATATATCTGATTGTTAATCTGATCTGACGGCAGCCCAAGGCTTGGGCTTGACACTCTGGAGAGAGCACATCGCTTCCTAGATGAAAACACTAGTAACGAAGAGTACCAACAGCTCTTTGGGGAGTTTTGTCGATTCCGTGCTCGCGAACGTGCTCTCTTTGGCCCAACCTCGCGGATCTATCGAGAACAGCCGAAGACTCCTCATACGCCTTCTCACTATTACATCCTAAGCGCGTGGGGATACTTTGGGTCTATGGGAGTCAAGTTGGCTACATTGGCAAACTCTGTTCCTTCAGTGCTACGAACTACCTTCATTGTAAGCTTCGGAATCAGCTTAGTCCGCTTAGCACTGACAAGGTCACTTTTATCTATATGAACAGTCGGGTGCTCAAGAGGCTCAAGACGGTCAAAGATAATCCGGCAGAACCGATGGTTGTCAAAAACTGGGAGACGGTTGATGTTGCTCGGTTAGTAAAGATAGAAAATGCATTTTAAGACTCTATTGTTGTCGATGGCTGGGGTTGGGAAGACCGATTTGGAAAATAGTGGAGATGATATGGACATCAGCCAATGAGAGGTTTTTGACATGTAAAATACCTAGAAGTTTCTGACGTCAAAAACTTTGGTCAGATAGGTACATTGCCATTCGGTAAATTACCTCGACGGAACCCTAGCCGTGACGGCATTGGGTCCCTGAACATGCCAAAGATATGTAAAAGAACCTGTGTTCTTTATCATTGTTAAAGCAACTCGCCCTTAAACGAAAGAAAACGCAAATATCAAAGTCAAAAGGGAGAGGCAAATCTACTCTGTTCATTCTGCCGCCTCCTATTTCCTGTCCCCTGGGAATGACATACCTATTTCGCTTTTAACCAAGCCATTAAATCCACGTGTCAGTCCATGAAAGCGATATCTCCGTACTGTTCGTTAAGGATTCGTCTTCCGAACCAAATAGTCCGATGCCCGTACTCTTTGCGTCCATTCACTGAGATAATTAGTTAGGTTTCTAACAGTCATTACAAAAGACATGATAAAAGGTTCGGGAAGTAGATGCTATAAACTGACCTCCAGCTTCCATCGTAAACCTTACGTGAATCGGAAGAGCCCCATTGTGCCTCATGTAGCGCTGTCTCAATCACATACGCTGTGATGCTTGTCCCACTTGAGATAATCGGCTTGAGAGGGTCAACTCCTTTCGCTTTGAACAGTTTCGCAAGTTGATCAGATGGTAAGAATGCCTTCGTTTCCGTATCCAGCACTAGGTCGTATGGGATATTTATCGAACCGGGCATGTGTCCTGAGAGTGAGTCTGGCCGTGGCCCCGGATACTTTCCGCTGAAGTCGTCGCTCGATCGTGAATCCAAAACCTGTATGCCCTCTCTACCCTCTTTATTATGGTCCATGACTGCTTCGAGAACTTCCTCATAGGTAGCAATCTTCCCCTCATCTATCGTGGGAACCGGGTAGATGCAACGCTTGAAGCTAGGTATCTCCCCTTGTTCTGTCGGAAGGCCCTGTTCCACCCACAGCCGGAAATTATTGAGGATGTGCACCTTCGGATGGCCAAAAACCTTCAACATCCATCCTACCCGTGGTGCCGAGAAGATACCTAATTCGCTTGTATCGTAGACTACCAGAATGTCCTCTTTGCGAATGCCCAGCCCGCTCATTGAGCTCGCGAGGCCTAGAGCGCTGGGTAGGAGACGAGGAAACGGAGACTCCGTGTCGATAACAATGTCGAGGTCGAAAAAGCGAGCTTCTTGGATCCGTTTCTGGCAGAATGTCTGGATACCGGTGCGACTCTCCTGGTCATTGTCTGGAAACCAGGAGACGCACAAGGGAATAACCCGTGGTTCGAGTGAGGTGGCCGACGATGGACTTGTCTTAATGGCATTGTGCAGCTCCCTCGGACTCGTGAGGTAGGATGATATCGAGCGGCGGAGCGATGGCGAATAGAGCCTGCTATGACAACCAAGGAATGGTCTGAGCGTGCGAGGGCTATATCTACGCAAGCAACCAACTGTCAGAGTAGGGAAACCTGCCGTTACTGCCATTGTGTACTGGATCAATTCTCGTCGTCTCAGGCGGTACAAACAGTGGTAGTCAATAATAGAGCGTCAGGGCTGAAGCTGTAGTTTTCGCAGTAGCCATGCAGCAAAGGAAGATACAGTAGGAGCTAGCAAGTGTGTAAATCATTTTAAAGCGGCCATACTAAGAACCCCGGCAGCTTTAGGAATAAACCAAATGATGCCGTTCATCCTAATGCTGACGCAACAGCGACGTGCTTTAAGCGCTAAAAATCGGGTACTCCCAGAAGCACATGTCTAACCAAATCCGATTCAATATGCGTGGATGATGACGGTTTGGCTATCCCAAAGCTTTTGGTCATGATGATTTAAGTGACCAGACAATTCAACGGCTATGCCCTGTCTTGTGACAATGACATTCAAGCTAGGCATTACTACATTTTCGCAACTAAAAATCATTGGGGCCTGACCCGCCCCAAGTAATTAGCGGAGTCAGCATATTAATATTTGCAAAACAATGGCCCAGTCTTCCACCTTTCTGATCCTTGACCAGTCCCAACGGTATTTCTAAGTGGTACTTGCGAATCCAACAATCTTGATCAGGCGACAACATCCATATAAAAAAAAACTGGCAAAAGGTCCAAGGGAATCGTCTTAATTTTTGACTCATTCGTCTCTTCCATATTGTCGGTGCGGTGATCAAAGTTTTGCGGCTGATCGTGCGAGAAGCCTTGGACTCTCTTCATAAGACCCGAAGAGTTGCAGGTTGAGATCGTGTGACAAGCCGCGACGCGTCATATCGTGTCATACGACGTAGCTCTGGCAATCATTCTCGCTCCCTCCACACTTTCAGCGTTCATACCAATCACAATAGGGAAATGGGGGGCTACACCCTAACGATGGGTCAAGCGTTGAGCCACAATAACGGTAGGACCTACTGATACTTGGGGTCTCCAAATCGACCGCGATCGGACTTTTGTACATCAGCAGGTTATTGAGTAGCAAGGCGAGGTTTGGATCGTACTGTAACGAAAATAACATAAAAGTGACCTTAGTTCGTACCCGTTTATTAGTGCCGCCCCTTGTCGCCTCCGCAAATCCAGGCCGCGTGTTGCAGCCAAAGGCGTCACTAATAGGGTATCGGTCAAGACGAGTTCGGAAAGGCGACACCATCTTTCCCGCGCTACTGAACGACCTTTCAGTCTCTGCTGACATTGTAGGGATAGACAGCAAGTCAAAGGCCATTTGAGAGAGGTTCGGATACTCCATTTGGTGCTCCTGCTACCAAGAAAGAGGGCTGAATTGGTACTTGTCGTCGGCGGGGGTAAAAGTGTGGATATAACGTTCGTACTCATCAAGTGCTGGGCGTCGTTGGATGCGCCATTTTGTGATTGCCGAGCGACTGTGCCAGGAACGCGTCATATCAAGAGAGCCCCGTTCGGCTGCCGCCGTCGACAGCATCGCTAAACCAGGAACCTCGCGATTAGTGTACTCCTCCTTCCACATCTTCTTGAGTCTCGTCGAGTAATATTCTTCCCACTGCGTCGCATCCGCATGTCCTTCCATGTGGTATTGAAGCGCCGGTCGCCCAAAGCAAGGGTAAAGGTGTTAGATACGCAATAGAGAGGGGTGAATCCAGTCGACAGTGGACCAGAAATTGATGATCTTATTGATTGAAGCCTTGATGCTCCCTTTTCTTTCTTTCTTTCGTCGTCATCGTGCTGCTACACCAGAGAAAGTACGAAGAGGCAGAGAAGATGCATCGACGAGCTCTGGGGGCGAGGGAGAGAGAGAGATGGCTATGTTGTTCTCGTTGGCCACCCCTACTCTCGTCACCAGAGAAGCGGGCCATTATGACTCGATATATATGGTATGTAGAATGGATAGGTGGAGATGGAGAAGATATTACATGTAAAGATGATAAATACCTGAATATAGTAGATCATAATGAGTGCTGTTGTTTAGTTTTGGAGTAGTTCAGTCATTAAACTCAACAGGGGTCGTTTTAGGTTTTCTGATTTCATTAGCGCTGTGTGGGGGCGCCTGCGAATAATACCTAGGGTTCTGATTGGCCTAAAGCCAGGAACGGGCCCCGTTCCTGACTAGAATCATAGAGTAGATACCTCACAGATAGCACAGTCCTCTGATAAACATCTGTACCCCGCTCGTACAGGCGGATTATCTAAGATAAGTGGGACGGGGTACAGGCCGCAGGGTTGTGCCAGTCAAAGGGATAAGACCTTATCAGTCAACCTCCCTGTGACCCCCAATAGCAGGTGCTAACTGTTAGAGACAAACACTGGTGCGGGGTACGGCTTGGAGCCTTGTATACGCTGAGATGAGCTTTACACCCTTGCAATCAGTCGATGCTCCATTTGATGCATCGACACCTTGCGTTGTCCCTGGCGGTGCCTGCCTCTTATATTTGATCTTTTATGATACTGTGCATCCCTCAATTTTCTTTGTCTGATATACTAACCACTCAGGGTAACCAATCATCTTGTCACGATAATTGGTCTGCAGTTGCCTGATCCGAACTGTGCTAGGCACATCCCGAACCCATGTAATCTGTTCAAATAACTGTCTAGCTGCCGGTTACCATTCACTCATTCCTTGCACTTCTTGTCGTGCCCAACATTTATATCTCATTCTTTTTCAGGGTTCTGATCGAAATAAACGCGGCTCTGGGCCGAAGTCCGGTTTGGCATCAGTACCGTAGTGGAGGAACGGGGTAGAGCAGTCATTTGGCTCCTCGTGTATTGGTACATGGAGTAGGAATAGGTTGTTAGAGTCGTTGGTCGTTGTGTAAACTGGGATGCAGCTGCTAATGAAATATTGCGAGGCATGGCTGAGAAGTAGACGATGCCTACGATGTAGACTGGCTGAGGGGTAGCTAGCTCTTTATGCGATAATTGAGCATTTAATGAACCCTAGAATCGGTCTCGAGCGGCAGTGTGGGGGGGGAAACCTGATTTAAGCCTGGTTGTTTGGATTATTCCTTGCTTGTTAGGCGATGAGTAAACCTTGCTGCCTGTGCCGTCGTTGTGCGATTGGTTGGGCTATGGCAGTCGGCCAATTCATGCGTTTGGCGGGTGGCTGGGTCAAGGATTGCCTTAGGTCTCCGGGGGGGATACGCCTTCCGCTATCGAGAGCGTCCTGGTTCTGAGTTATCGTCATTAGATCCGACAAGAGTTTTATCAGCGCAGAAAATTGAAATCATTTTCTACTCTAGAATACTTGTCAGTAACGGGCCCCGTTCCTGTTCAGGTCATGTTTACCAGATCGCGAAACGGGGCCCGTTTCATAGCGTGGTGATCCGTGCCACCCATGCTGAGTTCATTGCGCGTAAGCAAGAACCAATCATAGGTAACCAAAATAATTAGCTGACACGACTTCAAGTATGATCTCTCTTTGATGACTGCGTCTTTTACTTGTAGCTAATGATTTACCGAATGAATTTATATCAGTTTTTTCTCTGAATATCTTCCTTTCTCAATATGACTACTCAAGCACCTTCAAAAAACCGTCTTTACCAGCAAAGCATTACGCCAAGTCAAGTTCAGACGCTCAGGAGATTGGAGCTTTACTATGATATCTCATATCAAGCTATTATTTGCATACCCTGTGGTTTCGCCTTAAAGACAGACGATGATCGCGTTGGACGCCACCTCAAAGAGAAACATGGCATATCTAAAAAGCGTCGGCAGAAGCTCAATGCCCTCATCAATTCCCTGCATCTTCCTGACCCGGATGAGCTCCCGAAGCGACCAGATAGATCTGTACAGCATCTATTTTTAGCCCTTTAGACTGGAGCAGAGTGTATGCACTGTGCTTTGCGGTCCACTAGCCATGACATATTGTCATGCCATCTGAAGAAAGTCTATACCCGGGAGATCAATGGCATAGGTACGAGGGGAAAGCGATGGCTACGTGATCATGTCCGGGACAATCTTACTTTCCAGAGTGGGAAGGCCAACGATATTCAGAGATCCTGGATCGTCGTGATCACAGACAATCAACAAGCACTGCAAAAGGATCCCGATCGATACTTGCAAGCCGTTCCGGACGTTGTCAAGGAATATGCCAAGAAATTGCTCTCGGAGGAGCGTGGCCGCTTGGATGAGCAACAATGCTCGCCTAGTTTCGGTGGGGCGCTGGGAAAGAAAGAGCTACTCACAAATTGTTGTTTATATTGCGCAGTAGTGCTGGGTGAAAAAATATATATATTTACGAAACTTGATTGTTCATTATTGAGATGAGAGTTCTTCTCGGGTTTATATCTCTAGATGGTTTTATCTAGGACTTTGAACTTTAAATCTAGGACTTTCAGACTAACAGTCGGAATCCTGAAGATAAGGGGGATTCCCGGATTTTCCAACAGGTCGGCCTTCCAGGCGCTTGGTCGCAATCTTTAATGGTTTTAGGATCGCCAGATACTCTGCAATTATTGCCCAGTCCTCAGCGGTCATCTTATCATCAACAAACGCAGGTTTCTTGCGGCTCTTTTTCGGCATCGGTTTTATCCCGTTCTGTGTCCTCCTGGCCACGTACTGGTTCCATTCTGTTACCTCCGCTTGGACCAGAGAATCGAGTGCGTTCCGAAGCAGGTAGCCCCGCTCCATCATGGCTTCAGACGAGTTCCAGCGAGTAGCGTTATCGGTGATGGCGTCGTAGGTTGTTTTGTCCTCGAGGCTTAAGGCGGTGTTCTCAATAGACTGGAGCTTGTGCAGCTTCTCAATGCGCTGACCGGACCTTTGCACCCAGTGAATAATATTGTGTAGTTTGCCTATAGGACCCTTTGATCTCCAGAGTTGGACCTCATCTTGGATTTCCTTGTCGGCTTGACAATCCTCTTCAAATGCGTCGACGTCCGTGCCGAAAAGAATGGATCTAGCGACGAGATTAATGATGTGACCACAACAACGAAGCCGACGATGCTGCTTCTTGAAACCCAATTCAATACCCAGATCTTCAAGGCACATGTCGTTGCTGCCCGCGTTATCTGTGACAAAGTACCCAGTGCGCTCCTCGATCCCGTATTCATGTAGTATCTCGCTAACGCGGTCGGCAAGGTTTTCACCGCCGTGGCGACCTTCAATCCGTGGCAAGCCTAGGAGAAATGTACGGAACTTCCCTTCATCATCAAGAAAGTGCACGGTGAGGCCGAGCAGAGAGGTAAACCTGCGAGACGACCACGCATCAAAGGAGATATTAATGCGGCTGAGAGAACGGCCAAGTAATTCCGTCTCGACCAGACCTGCGTATATCGATATCCACCGAAATTCTGGCCCTTATATCGATATCCAGATAAGTGGGAGAAATTATCTGGATATCGATATATCCAGGTAGATATCCATACAGCCACATAGCCACTTTAGCAAGGTTGATATCCAGATAAACCACATATAATTCTTGTAGGCTAGAAGAAAGAACAAGAAAGTACCCTAATCTAGAAAGTCCTCTGCCTCTGTTTCAACGCTAAATTCAACAGCAACGCTGGAAATAACGCCCCTGCCACCGTGAGACTTGGGTACAATGATACCCTCGCGCATCCAGTTGCCCACACACTCAACCTTCGCCAGGTTCTCGCAGGTCATGCTCTCTCTATCCCATGATAGCGTACGCCGCGCCGATGAGAAGTGAGACTCAACATCAGATGATTCAGGAGGGATTGAGAGGATATCAATTGCCATGCGGGATAACCGCGGATATGCTTTCCTTTGATCTCGATGTAGCCACCACTGGAGAGGAGAGCCAGTTATCCGGGTCGGTGGTGCATCAATAAAGGTTTCGAAGTCATCGGCGTCGTCTAAGATAGGACCAGTAACAGCAATATCGCTCAACAACTCATCCAGCTCGTTATGCTGCCTCCCAGAGGAAGAGGACACATCTAGAGGCACCCGCAAGGATTCTGGGATTGGCGCGGCATTATATTCATCTAGCCAAATTTGCTGGGCAGCAGCAATAGCAGGCGCGTGCCAGGATTCTTGCCAATTCCGCTCAATGTATTTTCTTCGTTTCGAGGGATCGAGAAGGAGTGCAGCGGCATACACAGGTGTCTGGTCTGATACGGTGTAGTACTTATTAAGTACAAACCAGCCCATATCGATGCAGTGTACCATGTGGGGATCATGGTTTTCCTTTGAACTATAAAGCTCCTAAATAAGACAATTAGTTAGCCGATCAATTAGATAAAAGAAAAAACATCGCCACCGACCTTATACTTCTCGTACTGTCGCAATAAAACATCCATTATCGAGAGTGATTGGGAGAGTGTAGATCGCGCCCCTTCGGCCAACAACGTAGCTGAGGCAAACGGCTGTAGGAAACGATGCGTCCGTTCAATAAACTCCCACTCTGAAGCTAGCAGGATATCGTCTTGAAGCTCTCTATCATGGTCAATTAGGAACTGTTTTACACGGGATTGATACCGCAGAAAATTATCCAACAATCGATACCATGAATTCCAGCGTGTGGCATTATCTATGCCTAGTCGGAGCTTTATTTCATCGTCCCATATAGCCGAATGAAGCGTAGATTTACGTATCCAGACCGCGATGTTGTGTACTTTCCGTAGGGGCACGATATGCTGCCATCCAGTGAAGTTCTCAAGTATACGATTGCCTCTTCGCGAAGCTCTTCTTCTCTGATGGGCTTCATCTGTTCTTGTTGTCTGTCCGGCGTCGTGCAAGGTGTCGTAGAACTGTGCAAACAACTGATCGTTTGAGGTATCATCGGTGGCATCAAGAGCGGCGATTAGTGCCTCTTTCGAAGACGCGAGAAGAAATGCTTGGAGGGATAGGTTAATAATGTGGGCGACGCAGCGGATACGGCGCTTAGAGGGATCAAACGTCAACTAGCAACCGATTAATCCTAATCCAGAGATAAGGGAAGGGCTATCGTACCCCATAGTCGTCTCGTAACCGCCGTGAGAGATAAGACAAGCAGGTATCATTTGAAGTGGCATTATCCCCTACATGGTAGCCCACTTTAGAAGCAATGCCGTACTTTGCCAGTGTATCGATAATTAGAGATGCCTGGGTTTCACCACTATGGCTATAGCGACACTCTGGCATCGCTAGCAGTGCCCTTTATGGCTGATAATCCTGATCAACCCATCGCGCAGAGATGGCGAGTATCCCATGGCGATGGGGCGATGTCCAGAGATCAGAGAGGATATGGATCTTTGAGATGGAAGCTTCAAGAGTTGCCATGAGCTGAGAAGAATATAACTCATACGTGGCATCAATTAGTCGCATTAGAGCACTTCGGTTGGTCACTAAAAGGTCCTCTATAGCAGGATTAGCTGCTAGCATAATCTCTTGCATCTCATCCCAGTTAATTGCTGAGAAGGCAAGCCGGCGGCGTGTGATTAGGCTGATTATTGCATCTAAATACCGATCGCGGTCGAACATACGGCGGAGAGAGACATCCGAGTAACGAGAGGGAAAGAAAGCATCAATCCGAGGGCGTGTGGCTTCCCTTTCATCATCTAGAACATCAGAACTGCCCCCAATGAGCGTGCGATCGAGGGAAGAGATAATATCGGCATGGCACCGCCGGGCGTGATGCCATGCGTTGTCCCGCTTCCGATTCGCCCAGGGCTTATCGGCAGGGCAATGGAGACATCGATACATCACCATACCCCTGGATTTACGCTTACGTGACCCGCCGGTGGCGTTCTGGGTGTCCTCATCAGGATACGTTGCTTTGAAGAAGAGGGAAAAGTCCAGAGACGTCCCAGTAATGGGCTAGTCCGAAATCGAGGGCGTAGAGGCGGCGGTGGTCTGAGATGATGCCATGGTCGATAAATCACCTGGATAAGCTAATTATGCTAGAATACCTAGGGCCGTTTGAACGAGTACTGAGATGGTGGTGCTGATGTTGAAATTGAGAGAAGTTGTCAGACAATTGGCTCCACAGGGATCATTGATGGCACCCGTCAATTGATGAGAGTTATCTAAAGAACAAAAGAAATCGAACAGCTATGTGTTCGGGAACAGCTATTTGAGCTCATGTTAGGATTATGCGACAGGCCAGATGTGAAACCGGATACGCGACCCCAAGGTACGCCCCGTGTTTCATATCCAGTCGCACGAACCTAGTGGTGATATGCGACAGAAGCCTTTTCATCATCTAATCGATTGATAAGATCTTTTCAGCCAATCAGAGAGCGGTATTTAGGTGGATATCAATCTGGATATCAATTTAAGAGGCAGAGAGTTATATCGATATCGATATATATCAATATCGATATATCCAGATAGCACAGTTGATATCGATATATCATATCCAAATACGCAGGTCTGCTGGTCCATTTGAGTGTTGGGCAGGTTCCAGAATGCAGACCTGCGTATTTTTTTATCTTTGGCGACAAGGTTTGCCAGGTCTCTGATGTCCTCGGCGATGCTCCTCAAGGCGTACGAGCTTGGTTGACAAGGGGCGCTGGTAAGGCCGAAACCAAGCATATCTGGCGCGATGATCTGATATCCATGAGATTGCAGACAGGGGATCTGATGCCGCCAGCCGAAGGCCAAATCAGGAAATCCATGCAGAAGCAGAATGGTCGCAAGGGGTTCGTTATCCGGGTCAGCTTTCATGTAATGGTAAGTTTTGTGGCGGATTGTTGTTGTGTGCCATGTCACTCTAGAATCCTCGATCCCAAGCTTGTCGACCATATTTTCAAGTCGGGTATTTGAAAAGGCTGGATGAATCCGTAAAGAATGGGCTACAAGGACCAGCTATAACGTTAGCATTGAATATGCGAATATGCTCGGGTTGTAAGCCGATGCTTTAGAAACAGCCATGCGTCAATACTGTCACTAGCAAAGCCCTCAATTTCATCTCTTATAAGGTTTAGATCTAATCATATGAAGGAGAAATACGAGGCATGTCACGAAAGCGAAGAGGTGAAATCGACGGAGAGATGTATTCGGCCGTATATGCTGGAAGGTCATCAGAGGTCGCATTCGGACTATATTGTCACCATTAAAAAGTCGGAGTGTGCACTTGCAAGGTACTGTACAGTATGCCAGCTGCTATTAATTTCAAGTAAGGAAGTTATCTTGCCCGACTCAACGGCCATTTCTGTCTTGTCTTCCCTGGATAGTCTTTCCATGACTCTCGCCTGGCGACTTGGTTTGGCCGAAAAGGCACTAGTCACTAATACTTGCATTCATTTTCTTATTTTCGTCCTCCGCTCCTTACGCCCCTGCTGTGCCACACGTTAGTCAAACTATATCCACATTACCTAAAGTCCATATTCAACCTTGCTGTGTATTAACAGACGTGGAACTAGTCCCCTCATCGATACTGTACAGATAGGCAGACAGGCAGACAGACAGATAGATCCATTATGTGTAGTAAGTCAACGCCCGGAGGGCTCCAAGAACTAAAAGTACGTACACTTCGCCAATTCTTATCTTGCAATCGCCAAGCCCATACAGTTTTCGCCTTGTTCCTTCTAGCCTAGTCATTGCTTTTCTTCTTAGTCATCGAGATTAGTAGTAGTAGCAGGTCTACTTGAAGCCCAATTCCTCCAAGTGTTCAGTTTCCTATCTTCGGCGACTGAAGCGGTGCCTGCTCTTGGCTATTTGAGGACGTCAGAGATTGTTAGTTCGTTAGTATCGATTTCATGATGCTAGGTTAGTTTCGTTTGGATCATGTCTGTTCCATGCGACCTGTAGCGATCGCAATCTGATTGCAGCTTGTACTGCGTCCATGTTCGGTGTCTATTTCGGACCATCTGATGCTGCCTTACCTCCTAGGTGAAAGGAGAGGCTGCCGCATTTTTCTTCCGTACATTGTAGCATCTCTCTACAGTATGTCGTACACTTCAAGCAACGAAAGAATAATCGCCTAATTCATATCATTTACATGCCACGACTCTATCTATGTTACGTGGGGTCAAAACTGTGAGCCATCTGTAAGTGCTCCGTGTTGTTTAGTATTGCGAAGACTGGCATCTGACTTATCAATAACCTTGGCCTTTTCCAACCCCCGCTCGTATCTTGTAGATGAGGCAGCCAGCCTGGACCTGCCCTCCCACGCCTCCGTTATTGCACGCTTTCCAGCTGTACTGGTGAAGAATAACCTCACACCTAGGCCCTTCATCCCCAAGGGGCTTCTGCCTGTCCTGTGACTCGCCTACGCAGTCTTCCGCCCAACAGATGGAGTATTCATAAAGGACGTCCCACGAGTCACGTTGTACATCTTTTACACATCCATCACCAGCACTCATGAGCCCCTTGACAGCCGGTAAGGAACACCATTCAAACGCAGTCTGCCTTACACGTTGATCTTGAATGTCAACATGACCTCGCAAGTCATCTTTACCTCCACATATAGGCTTTGGAAGAGTCGTTTGGCCGGGCGAAGCCCTCGTGACAGTTTGTTTCTGCACAAGCGTAATTGTCGACGTTATCAGCACTGGGCTGTTGGTATCTTCTGATTCCGCTGTCAACGTTGTTGTGATGTGTGGGGTTGTGAGTACCGTTGTCGAAACTTGTGCGGTTTCTGCAATTACGTGAGAAATCAAATCTACGGCTGTTGTTGTGTGCAACAATGTCTGCGAATGCTCCAACTGCGTATATAGTTTCCCCATCATAGATTCGACTCCTAGCTTATTGATTGAAATCGATTCCGCTGTAGACTTCTGCGAGTGAGCCGCCATGGACGTTTTTATCTCGTTATCAGCAGTCACTGCGGTTTGTTCCACCGCTTCGTCGAATGTTGTCCTGGCTGACGGAACCCGTATAAGAGTCATCAACGTTCCAATTGGTATATTACCATACGTTTCGCTTGTTGGCTTCTCGACCGTATCAGCGACGTCATCGCTTACTCCCAAGCTTTGGGACATGCTATTCATGATGGTACATGAAGTAGCAATGATGCTCGCTTCTCGGCCCTTGCCTGTCGTAGATGTCGGGCGTATGATCACGCCAGTACCGGGCATGGCATACGGACCTGTGTTAGTTGGAAATTTGCAGCCATGAGTATAGCTGGCACCTGTTTCATATTTTCTGACTGTAGGGGTATGGATGGGTACAATTGGATGGAGGGGAATTTGAAGCAAGCGTGGGCAGCCAGTACTCCACGAGCCGAAAACCAATCTCTCCTTATACGGCACATCGTAGAAGTCATAATCCTTGGCCAAATCAACGTCGATAGAAGGGTTCAAAGCCTTGAGGTCCTGTAGAGTAATATCTAGTGCTTTTAAGGCCAGGCCGACTGTCTGCCCGGCCAGAGGTTTCCACTGGGCGGTGGTGCATGATGCTGAGGCTAGATGGGTCCAAGATACAGCAATGAGCATCCACATTGTCCAAGGTGCCTTAGTCGTAGGGTAATGGACACGCATGGTGTGCAGTAATACTGTGTGTCATCTCACCTCAGCAACTCAGATTTGTTCACGAGTTTTGTAGGTGTCAAATGGACTTACAAGTCATATTTGGATCTAATAGGTTGACATGAAAAGAAGACGTAACTTGGTACGCCTACAAAGGCGATACCGAATTTGGAACATCTTGACACCTGGAAGATACCTTGGCGGTGGAAGTTATCTACGCAAAGGCAAATTAGATACAAGATGCGGCGGCTGCCGAGGTAGAGGTCTATGATCATGGTGATAGTGATGATGTGTCTTGAGGTAGTCGGCGACCATGTTTGTTGCTGATATGCAAAAGAAAAGGAGAATACGTGGATAGTCAGGTTGCTGGATACGGTCGTCCCCCGGCAGAAATCCGCCAGATGGCTAATCTTGAAAGTTAAAGAGATGCAATTCATTTTGGATTCGAGTCACCTCAGGACAAGCTCAAAAGCCTACCAACCTCTTCTAGCGCAAATGATTTTCTGGTGCATCTATATACTAAATCATGGATCGCACGAGCCTGACGTCGATTGAGAAACAAACACTAAAAGAACACGCTGATAGGATGATGGCTCAATGGGTCGCGCTCAGGGAGAATTTGAAGGTATGTACACTTCCAGGCAATGCTGGAGTACTGTGTAGTATGGCATCGAAGCTTCAGAGCAACTCACATCTGCATCCTTTCAGGAAGCCGATAGGTCGACTGTATCTAGGTTTTGCTTACATCTTCAGATCTTGGCTCTAAGTCTATATCCTGATTATAATGCAGAAGAAGCCAGAGAGCTATTGGCACGAGATGAGATATCCATGCTGCGAACATTCTTCGAGAAAGATGACGGGCCGGATCCGGAATCAGTCGACCACGCGCAAGCTAGCCACATAATAGCACTTGCGCATGGCTTATTCGAAGAGTCAGGAGGCAAAAAAAGTGCTTTTTGGGATCAGTTCAACAACAAGTACTCGGCTTTTAAGAATCAGAGCATATGTGGTTTCATGGTTGATGCCACGGGTATGAATTCCCTCGAAGAGGCCCATGCTGAACAGCTTTACCATGCGATATTGAAATCCAAGCTACTTCCGCGAAATAAAACCTTGAGCTTTACCATGTTTCTGGAAAGTGTTCAGAAGTGCCAGAATCTTATCAACCCAGACTGGCATCAGAGAGCTTTCAAGGGATCGAGCTGCGTGAAAGAGCCATGAATGTGCATTCAAGGCTTGGTCCAAAATTAAGCATCAAGCAAAGCGCGGCCGGAAAAGGAGTTTATGGGAAGCCAGACGTATGATGGCATTTACGCCAATGGAAATAAAGCTAGGGAAGCAGGAGACTCCACTATTACAATGACCTTGAGAAGGGCTTGTAATGTGTGCATTGTATGTACATACAAATAACCCAGAGCAGCCATTCAAGAACTATCAGTCAACATTCAAATGTACTGGGGACATTACAGTATTGTGGCTTTTCTTTACAAGACTTTCATGCACTCTTGAATGGCCCCTGACCTACGATATATTGTTTCCCATATTACGAATCCCTGGTACCCTTCGTTAAGATAGCCTTGTTGTGTAACTGCGATGGTTGTCTCACTCAGCTTTTCCGTCATCGTTGTCTGCACGTGCCTGTCAAAGCTAATTCACCTACATACATATGTGGGAACTGTGCCGCATGCTGGCCTCATACTCTTCCTGCCATCGGTTCTCGTTCCAGACATATTGGTTATATGTCTATCACGACTATTCCTGTCCCGGAAAAGGACCACCATCACCTACATAAGCCATTTATTAGGCTGCACTTTCTCGTATGTGGTAAACGTCTATAATTGCCTGTGATTGAATGCTTATGAACAACCAGGCTCATCCTGCTCGTCGCAACAGCTTTCCATGCAACATTCTATTACAAGACTGGCACCGAGGTTACGTGGACAAATGCACAGAGATATGTTCGCGATAAGGATGGCATAAAACTTTTACTCAGTGGATCTAATTCCGCTATCGTCTGTGTTATTCTCATTTTAGGTGTATCGTGGTTTTCCCAGACGCATCTGTACCAGTATGCTGGCAGGTCTCTGGACATGCTTACGGCACCATTGTTGCGAGGTAAGTATCCATGACTCCACATAGTCTCCCGCAAAAGCTAACTTATAGCTCTGAAAGCACCACAGCTCTGGAACATGTGCAAACGCCGTCGTGGTTGTCACAGTTTCGAGGACACGTATGACTATCAGAGCTTCATCAATTCCCAGGCCGGTAACAGCCATGGAAAAGTCTATCTTGACCTACCGCCCCAGGCCAATACCGGGAGCTCGCGCAGATACCCCAAGATTCTGGCCCTGACCATATTCCTCTACTTAGCCTTGACGGCCAGTCTCCGCCCATCCTCACCATATTCTCAAATGTCGGCGTGCCTGCCCATCACGATGCTGCAGATGATCGGCTCGCACACTGACAGCCAGGCCAATCGCTATACTTCCAGCAGGAATCTCTGGCCCTTTCCGCAACTCATCCGTACGGCAAACTGGGAAAAGCCCAAAGGGTACTTCAAAGGATGGGCACCGGGCGATAACAGCATTCTGGCCCAGATGTATTGAGACCGTCTACCGACTTGGTTATCGGAGACACCTCCTGTTGGATTTTGTAAATGGCTATCGCCAAATCATTCGAACCAAGTGGATAGAGAGGTAGGGGATGGTGGTGGCACTGGTCGTGTCTGCCACGAAACAAAGGTCGATGGTATGTTCTACAATCCAGTGAACGACCCATTTCGGATCACCAATCAGGATGAAGGAATTTTGGACCTCCTTAGTGATTCATTTAGGAATGGGACAGTCAAGATCAAGCACATTGCTCTGATCATGCTGGAAAGCACTAGAGAGGAGCTCTTTCCCCTACAACAGGGGTCAGATATTCACAACATCATCCTGGACACTCATAAGGGACAAAAAGGCGGTGATGATGTCAATGCGCTTTTATCCCAACTAACTCCAGTGGCGGAGAAGATCACTGGAAAAGCGGGCTGCTGGAAGAAAACAAATGGTTCGGATCTCGCCAAAGTACCAATACCAGAGTGGAATGACACAACGCAGGATGGTTACGGTGGCATCAACGTCATAGGTGGTTTCACTGCCGCTTCTCTTTCGTTCAAGAGCTTGGCTGCGACTCACTGTGGAGTCTGGCCTATGCCTGTCGACAGCTTTCAAGAATCTGAAGCGCAGAGTTACCAACCTTGCATCTCACAAATCCTACATCTCTTCAATCAGAATAAGGGGGGTAAGACGGCTTCGAACGACTTTCTGGAGCAGAAATGGCTCACAGCCTTCTTTCAATCTATAACAGACAAGTATGATCGCCAGCACATATTCAACAATGAGATGGGTTTCGAAGAGATCGTAGCTAAGGATGTCTTGGAACAAAGAGCTAAGGCACGGTCCGGTTTGGAAGAAATCAACTATTTTGGCTACCCTGAAACAACTTTAAAGACACACGTACGAGAGCTCATTGAGAAAGTGCAACGGGAGAAGAAGAGAATGTTCTTTTCCCATTTCACTAGCACAACCCATCACCCTTGGGGGCTACCCCGTGATTCCAAAAAGATCGAGTATGTGAATACACAAGGGAATATGGGATGGCATAGGGACTTCAACAGCTACTTGAATACTGTGAGGTTCCAGGATGCATGGCTCGGTGAGCTTCTGCAGTTATTCGAACTACACGGCATTGCCAACGAGACTCTTGTGGTTCTTGTCGGAGACCATGGGCAGGCATTCAAAGAGGATATCGCCACCAGGACCGGAACCTACAAGAATGGCCATGTCAGCAACTTTCGTGTGCCCATCACGTTCAGGCATCCTCATATTCCTCGCGTGCAGTACGAAGCGAATGCAACTTCAATCTCCATTCTTCCCACGATCTTGGACTTGCTCATTAACACCGGCTCGCTTAACCGTAAGGACATGACCATAGCATCTGATCTCCTTCACGATTATGAAGGACAATCGCTCATCCGGCCATATAAGAGCTCTCGGAACGGCCGTCGTGCATGGAACTTTGGCGTCATCAACAGCGGCGCGAGTATGCTCTCAGTGACGTCCGCAGATGCGCCCTGGAGGCTTGTCATACCGCTTGACCGTGCATCTCAGTGGAGATTCACCGACTTGAAGAACGACCCGCTCGAGCTTGATCCTCTTCAGAAATGGTCAATGGAACAATTAGTTGGTGATGTGAGAAATCTCTATGGCGAGGAAGCGTCGCAATGGGTTGTACAAGCTGATGCTGTGGCTCAGTGGTGGGCTTGGGAACGTAAAAGGCTCTGGGGATACAAGACTACGAAATAGACCAGAACAATCAGTTCACGGTGACTCTTCGGGGTTAATGCTTGTAGCGCAGTGGAATTTTTTATTGTCAAGCACAAAATGTTGCATTTGACGTGGCCGTCGATGCTACGAGGAACTGATCAAGACTTTCTGTTGTTGCATACATATGTAGTTTTACAGATGGGTATATTGTAATTGCTCGGGCACATCCGAATCTCACTTGAAAGGCCAGTCTGCGATCTCAAAGCTTTCCTCACGTAAGACCCAAGCATCGGGAGAGTCAAGTCAGATCGAGAGCATCCACCCAAATAGACTAGGTTGTTCAGCAGGTTGGATGGTCTAATAGAAGAACAAATCAATCTAACAATGCTTCCCTCTCTCTTCTAGAAACATCAAGGCAAAAATAACCCTGAATTCTCTAAATATCAATCAAGTACAAAGTTTTCTATTTTCTCCATCACTGCCGCGTAATGTAGACCAATAGTGCTTCATTCTCCATATTTCACATCGCTAGTCCAAAGGTAGGACCATCAGGCTGAAGTCCTGATAACAAGGTCTTCATTGCGCTCAATTTGATTGGTGAGCTTTTGCGCGACCCTGTATCTCTTGTGACTGCATAAATTTCAGACCTGCAGTCACCTACGCGCTCTACGGAAACTAGAAGTTGTAACAAGCAAGCTACGGACATGTGGGAGGAGAAATAAAACGGCCCTTACGCAGGTATAAGTCACATGGTTCATTTTCATGTACGTATCTACCTTTGAAGGAAACAAACGACTGTAAATGATCCGGCCGACCATTTACCTCTTGGAAACCGTGGCGCCGCAAATGGTGCAGGTGCATAACGTGACAGAGCTTGTTGACGAATGAAATCAAGGGCGCCTGCGATGGTCTTGTGTTTGAGCGACTGGCAACCCCGCTTCTAGACTAACTCACCGCCACCCCACACACCCCCTGTCCCCGCACACTTCAACACCATCAACGCGTCATCAACACAGGATTCTTCATTTTATTCTGTATTTATCAAATAAAATCCGTTTTTCTTTATTTCAATGGCAATGGAATCGCAGCTATCAGATTATGAAAAGAGGATGTTATTGGCCATTGAGGACGTGGAAATCATTGGTTTGCGGCCCTCGGCGGTAAAACACTCGGTCAAGCTCTCAACATTGCATGATCGATGCGCCGGAGGCCAGGACATCCGCACGGCACATCAGAAAGATCAGTCGCTTACTGTAGAGCAGGAAGATGACCTAGTCAACTATATTATCGAACGAGAGCGCGCTTTTCAGCCTCTCACGAAGAAGGATATCCATGACTTCGCACAGGCGTTATCATCAGTCAACGGGCAAGTCTGTTATATCGGCAAGAACTGGGTTGACAGATTCTTTACCCGCCATTCGAGTATAGAATTGAAGCCATCGCGAGTCATAGAATCCGCGAGGAAGCGTTGTGTGACGAAGGAGTCACTTTCCGAGTACTACGATGGTCTTAACTGGGTAGTCAACACGAAGAAGATAACTAGGCCTTATATGTACAACGTTGACGAGACCGGCGTTCAAATCGGTGAGACCAACGGTGGCATAGTAGCCGGAACGGCGATGACTTCTTCCTCAGAGAGGATAAAGTCCGACAATACGACTTGGAGCTCGATAATCGAGTCCGTATCAGCGGACGGTCGGCGTCTCACGCCTTGTGTCGTTTTTACCGGCGAGAACCTCCAAGGACAGTGGTTTCCAGCCGTTTTTCCTGATTGGAAGTACACTTGCAGTCCAACCGGTTGGTCTAACAGCGACATCTTCGTCCGTTGGTTCATGGGGGTATTCGTACCGCAGACTAAGCCGAAGGATCCTAATCAATGGAGACTATTGGTCCTAGACCAGCATAAGTCACATATTACAGCGGAATTGATGAAAAAGGCATGGCTGCATAAGATTTGGCTCTCTTGGTTACCCTCACACTCATCACATATCACTCAGCCGCTCGATGTTGCCGTATTTGGGCCGTTGAAAACGTACTATCGCCAGTTTACCCGCTCTTGGGCCTCATACGAAGCAACCTCGCCACACCAACAACGACTCTTCCTAAAAGCTTATGAGAGGGCTTCATTGAAAGCCCTGAGCCGTAGGAACATAATAAGTGGTTTCTCGGCCTCTGGGCTTTTCCCGATCAATCTACAGAAGGCGTTAGCGGCGTTGAAGCCAAGGGAGAAGAAACGCAAGCGCTTCAACGGGCCTATAACACCAAGGAAGGCCCAAGTAATCGCTGATACGATCTGGAGTACGCCCCAAGGAAGTGCCGATATTCAAAAACAACTGGAAGCCGTGCAAAGTCAAGGAAATACCTTTATTCGCGACTTCAATTGTATCATGAAGAAGGCGATGAAATGTATCGACCAGAAGAACAGTCAAATTCAACGCCTAGAGGAGGAAAAAGCAGTACTGAAGGCGTCAGTAGCAGCAAGAGAGCCCACTGGCCGAGTCGCCGTTCAATTTGACCCCAACAAGGCTTTCCCTGAGATTGAACAGATTATCTCGGCTCGTGATCAGGCTGAAAAGAACGTACTACATCAGATCGAGGGAAATAAGAGAAAACAACGTAAAAAGAATCCGCCAAAAACACAGACTGCAGATACAATATTCGTAAATCAGTTTCCAAACTCTCAGTTAAATTGAATAAATACTCGTTATTGTAGAATTAATTGAAGTCATCTACGGATTCGGTTGTGATGCTATCACGGGTGTGCGGGGACGGGGGGTGTGTGGGGTGGCGGTGAGTTAGTCTAGTTTTCCCCTCGGTTCGAAAACACACAATAAAACTATGCCTGGCAACATGGACTATGAGCTGAATCCTAACATCTTATGTGCTGAGAATATCAGCTTTCTTTTTCTCTTACACGGTGTCCCAAGTATGCCCAAGACCTCGCCGATTGACAAAGATCAGATACCCGAGGCGGGATACAATTTGCCGTTTGACAAAGAGCGGGGACTAGCGAGTACCCTGGCTTTCCTTTCCAGTATTCGGGATGATCCGAATCGAATTCCTGCTTTATGCATCGAGAGTATTCCTGGCGTCTGCGCTTTGAAAGTTCACTTGGCAGTAAATAAGAAAGGTTTTGATGACAGCAACACCGACCTACTAGAAATGAAACTCGCGTTGAGTAGGATACTTGCGTCACTTTCGCAGCATACAGAGAGTGCGTGCATTGACCCAGTCATGAGGCCTCTTCCACATAAATATGAATAAGACTACGTACTAATTGAGAAGTAGCTTGCGATACCTATGATACGATTGAGGATGTCTTTCGCGTGATTATAGATGTCTGTGCCGAACGCATCCTCAGTCGTCTTCGTCTACGTCCAAGCAATAAACAAAATATCAAGAAACCGATGGTTGAAACTCTAAGTCAGACTGTCGATGCTCTGAGAAAACTTCACCGAAAACAATTGGATCCAAGAGACTTGGTGGAGTCTGCATCGACCTTCGAAGTTAGGGCGAATGAAGCTGTCAAGCTCATTACAGCATGGACCAAGCACCAAACAACTACTCGATTGCGGGAACTCGTGAAAGGAGTCCATAAAATGTGGACGACGAATAAACTCCATGAGCTACTTTATTGCATCCCAAACAATCTCATAGACCCCAGCTTGAGAATCAGTTTGTATAACATCATCTGCAAAGTGGCTAGATATAGGGAGGCGGCTAGATACCTTTGTCGCATGGCTAAGCGTTACCCGGCCCTCCGAAGAGCAGAAGTTGTTTCCGTCACTCTTCAGCGTCAAATGTTCGCCAGAGTAGAAGTCAATCACCATTCGCCTTCTTTAAGTACTACATTACGCCGGATTGCCAGCAAACACCACCTTTCTGCCAATTCTGATAGGATTTATTCTTTATTGAAGCTTGGTAAAGACGAGGCTGAACACATGTTCTCGGATCAGGTACGGCGAGCTCTGAAAGGAGCGAAAATCCATGCCGAAATCCAGTTGTTCTACCACATTGAAGCACTTCGCTTAACCCGACCACCACGCGTCGTATGTTCGAGCAAGGATGCTTGCTATCTTTGCGACTACTTCATTACCACCATCACGAAACTTCACAGCCCAAAATGTCACGGAAGACTTTACCCTGGCTGGCGTTTACCAGCGTCATCAGTGAACGACAAAACAATGAGGAAGTTCAATCATGCTTTAGAAGCGATGGCCGGAAACAGCGTTAGAGACTTATTCAGACAGCAGAGGAAATTCAGATTACCGGATCCCCTAGAAAGCACAATTCTCACAATTAGACGATCGGTTTCAACGTTAGCTTCAGTGTTAACAAGTCCAAGAGCCGTGGAGACGACAAGCGACAACACCACCAATACATCTCATAGAAGAATGACCAGTGAGGAGGTGAAACAAAGGATAGCTACTTTGCCGACTGGGTGCTCAGAAGCTGCTGGGGGTATTCCAGAATATTCCGTTCCTGTAGACGATACTGCCTCGATCATGGAAATCGCTACACCAATGGCAACCAGCGATCAAATCCAAATGCTACCGTATTCGGATAGTGAGGGCGAAACCTATAACAAACTAGGGATGAAACCCCAACGCAAACTAATCGCTGGTTGCGTTCCCTCGGATGATGCGACGTGCGTCCGTGTTGGTCCACTGAGACTCTATGTTGAATATTCGGCGTTTCACAATGGGAACAAGGAGTATCCCCACAATCACCTAAAATTTGATGTCGAGTGGATGACTGATATCAACGACGAACTAGTCCAACAGGACGGAGAATCATCTGTGATTGACATTGAAAAATCTACATACACGGCATCACTCCCCCCGAATTGCTTGAACCAATTAGATATAAATTATAGGGGCCAAGTTTTCAAAGTTAGACTGCACCCTTGAGAGAAGGAGAGAATTGCAAGGACGAGTAGTCAGTAGTTTTTATTACATTACTGGGCCTGGGGGTAATCAAGGAGATAGCATGACAGGGTATTGACATCCACACAGTCAGCTCAGAGGCGTGTTACATTAAAGATCGCTAGTAGTACGTTTAAATTTAGGAGCGTAGAAGAGACTTAAAGTCCTCGTTGGATGATGAATGTACAGAGTACTGAAGCACTGAATCGAAGCTACTGTGGCTTGTTGTGGCTGAGATAATTCCGTATTGGGATTGGCTAGACTGAGGGAAGTATTTCTCTTGTTAGAGGTTACAACCCCAGTTCTGAATAAACTCTCTTTTTTCCTAGTCTTCCTTCTTCTTTTTCTTCTTCGATGACTTCTGCCCCCACAGGTACTCTGCCTGTCGAACTTCTTAGACGGAGCATTCGTATGAAAGGGATTCGTATGAAAGGGATAGACTGAAATAGCTATGTTATAGAACACCTACAAATAATGCCTAAGATACGTAGCTTACAAGGTCCCATTCTGGACGCAAAGCAGGGACCTGTTGCGTACCATGCGAATTTGTCCAGAGAAGTCTAACCGGCCCAAAACTCCCACCTAGCAAGCTGGTAGTTAACCTGTTTTATTACCATCTCTGCCTGTCATGTCTCGTCTAGATTATTTTCACTGAGTTATGCCACATTTCTGTCTAAACCTTTTCCCCGTGGCCTTGTCCCGCTGTAGCTGGAAACAACTTCCAAAAGACGAAATGGTACTTCTTGCCTTACCGCCAGAACTTTACTTCATAATTGCTACTTTCCTTGAGCCAAAAGAGCTTGCCACTTTGCTTCGCACTAGCAAGCAAATTTACCCTATCATTGACGACATCTTATATTACCGCGATGCGAAAAGCGACAGCCCAGCTGCCCTACTCTGGGCTGTAAAGAAAGGAAGGTTAAACACGGCTAGGAAGGCCATCATTGCTCACAAGTGGCAGTGTACTTCCCATGACATAGAGTCCGAATGCACAATTCAATCGACATTAAACGGGGTCCTTTGCCTAGCATCATCGGGAGGGCATACCCGTATTGTCCAACTTCTTCTCGATGAAGGCGCCGATGCTAATGTACCAAGAAGAGGGCGCCCAACAGCCCTAAAGCTAGCATCATTACACCGCCACGAGAAGATTATTCAGATTCTGCTCAATAATAATGCTCATTAGTACCATACTAGCTATATTACATTTAGTTTGGTATTAACTTATTACTTCTTGATATGTTTTTATATTAATGGCTATGGCTTAACTCTGTATTCGTAATGGTGCTTGGGGTTAACTGTTACTTCCTGACTTCAATAATTATGCTTATGGTTATCTGCAAACAGTGCGACATCGTGGGATTGTTCCGGACTCTTGGTCTCAATAGAGACAGAATCGGGTACTTGGTCAGGTCACCCCAATCTGTATGGTTGATCGACAGTCCCGGACGGTCAATGCAGAGTGACTGATTGCATGATATCTCCTGTTTAGCCCGCGTGATCTTCCGGATAAAATATGGATTACGTAGACCACATCAATTGGTTGAGCACAGTTCCTTAGCAATCATACTTTGGCTTCCCAGGAAGTGGCTCAAATTGGCACGTGAGTCTCCCAATGTTGGCAAATGGTAGCACTGTCTCCATTACTCAGGGGTGGCTGGCTCGTCATGCGTATTCACGCCGTTGAGCAGGCTTCAGCGCTTGAGTGTCCGGATCTGATTGAGAGCCGCAAAATCGGCCACGGAAGCGGGTGAAAGAGCCCGCTCAGATATTTAGGGGATATGTGGTGCACCTCTGTATGCTTACATAGCCGGGGGGAGTTGGGGTTCAAATCGACATCTACAATGAAACAGTGCAGCCAGGCCGATCATGGCCTTCAAACCCCTCCAAGTGCCGTGATCTACCATAATGATAGGTCTCAGAGTCGCGCCATGCCTCTTTCTCTTACCAGTTAACTTCGATACCTGCTTATGTCGCGCCGGGGCAACAGGATCGCCAAGTTGAAATCGATGAGCATGATGCGGTCATGCTCGTCGTTCCAGAGGAGGTTCGCCTGCGCATGTCGTTGTGTACAACGCCTTGCTTGCGAACCAGCTCCGTAACCGCGTCTCCTCTTCTAGGATACTGTCGTTCGTCACAATCGTATCTCCTACCCATGACATCAGCAACATGTGAACGATGTCAGCCAATACCAACGGGTAGGGCGTCTCCAAATCGATGCTGCCCAAGCAAACGGGGACAAAGTGGCCCTGCAGTGGTTCTAGACGCGAGTAGACATTCGCTTCGTGTTGCAACCTTGTGACAGCCGCGGCGAATGTTCCTTTCCCAACAATGTATATCCCGTAACATCCCAGTGTCAGCTTGAAAAGTGCCCCTGTATCACCGTATTTGCCATCGCTGTCCAGGGGTTTCAAATAGCGAAGGCGGTAGACGGGGCGAGCTAGTTTCTTGCATAATAGTTCCCTGAGACGAGTAGCACTGATGGGATGCGACAGGCCGCTTTTGGCACGGCGATGCAGAGCCACATTCGGACATTTCTCATCGAGAAGCCCATCTCTTTTGAGGCCCAGCAGACAGCTTTGCGTGCAATACGGTCGAGCCTCGAGTTCCGACGCTCCGCTGCCTGTAGACCCGTCGTTTCCCGGTGTCATGTCTTTTCGCTTTTTCGAGCCACGGGCTGACACTTGTAGTGATGGCCGCGCACCTTGAGTCCGTCCACTTTCGTCAACCAGAGGCTCGTCATCGCCACTACTGGTATCGCTGGCATCAATCTTCGGCAAGGGTTCAGAGTTCTTGCATGATGCCCTTGTCGTTTGTCGCAGCTCTACTGTGAGTTTCTGAGCAGCAACTATAGACCCAGCATACGACGAGACAGAGCGTGTTGACTCTGGCGATGCTTCCTCCTCCGTTGTTCCACCGCACATCTCAGCATATGGCTCTGGCCATTCGTTGAGCAATGAGATTGCCGCCTCTCTCCACTGATTAGACTTCCCAGAGCACCGGCAGGTCTGTAAGCAAAATGCGGCGAGTTGTGCAACGGCGGTGTAGAAGGGATCGACCGTTCCGTCCTCACGATCGGCGTCATTTTCTGGCTGGGCCATGTGGTAATACAGCACTGTGGGATCGTCTCCAATGTGCAGGAAGATCAACGACTTTCCAGCGGTAAGGTATCCATAGCTACTGCCGAGCCGAATCATGTAGTGGAATGTCTGTGCCAATGCTTTGGCAACCGTTTCCTCTATCTGTTCTTGTAGATGACTCTCCCCGTCCATGCTAGCTTTCCCGCTGGAAATTCTTGAGATGGCGCGGATAAATAGGTCCTCTCTATGCATGGCCTTCTGAAAACTTTCGACCGGGATTTTATGTGCTGCTTTGTACTCGCTGGGAAATGCGGTATTCTTTTCCCCCGAATTCCTGGATCGAATACACCATCTATCTGGCCCATTTCTTCTTGAGGCTCTGCGTTGCCGTGCCACTCTTTTCTTTGACCCGGGTTGCCCTTGTACAGTCTCGAAGAATACCTCGTCATCGTTGCGATCAATCTCGTCGGTCTCCGTCAGGCTAAGAGGGTGGTTCTCGAATGTGATCGCTTTGCAATCGAGTTCGCGTCCGATCGGGTGGTTTTGGGATCGAGAACCAAGCGCGGCAAAAACGTTCTCCACAGGATCTTCTACAGCTAGATGCTCAAAAGTCCTGAGGTCGTCCTCACTGGCCACGGGCCTTTTGTGTGCAGCTTGCGCTATCGCGCGGACAGCTAGTCGTGAGGGCAGGAGGGAGCCTTCGAGTATTTCCTTGATGATGCAGTGGCACGATTTCTGCTCGTCGAGAAATCCATCCCAAGGTCGCAACCATAAAGGATAGCGTTTACCCGTTACATCTGTTGTGCCGCCGCCGGACGGCTTCGACTTGTCCTGCACCTTGAGGGTCGTGAAGAGGTCTTCGTGGCAGAGTTGCAGGTACTCGTCATATGAGGTGTCTTGTTGATCGCGTCTAAGATTCTCCTCTCGTGCCCTTGCCAATTCTTCACGTTCTCTTGCTGCCCTTTCTTGTTCTCTTGCTGCCGTTTCTCGTTCTCTTGCTGCCGTTTCTCGTTCTCTTGCTGCCGTTTCTCGTTCTATTGCTGCCGTTTCTCGTTCTTTCGTCTCCTTCAACTCACGCCGGAGTCTTTGGATTTCATCATCGTGGTCCGTCATCGTGGTCCGTCTTTGTCTGCAAAGTTTAGGTTGTTCGGGAATTACGTTGACGCGCAAGCAAACTCGGCTCTACGTATCCGCCGTTCGGATAAATAACGGTAATTGTACCATTAGTCCGATTGGTGGGGCACATCTCTTGAGCAGTCTGAGTCACAAGGATCTAAGCCATTTATAGTTAGACACAAGAAGAATACCTTAACACCAAAATTCTGTAGGAGTGGCAGGTTTCCTGCTCATAAGATAATAACAGATACAGATGTATGTCTGGCCAAAATAGAGCTTCGGCTGATATTGGAATAACAGTGGGTCAGTTAAACACCTAGAGTCTGCGCACAACCCAAGAGATGAACTGTCCCGTCATCCACATTTCCTTCCGGACTTACGTCATCGTATGCAGATGTGTTGAACATGACTCGGATGATGAAGCATCTTATCGGCTCTGTTTGACGAAATGATCGCTTGGTGGTGGAAAACAAACACGAGACTGGTGTAATTCTTCCCCCCTGGGGACCCGTTCCGAAGCTGGCCTGAAGAGATGGGATCACGCCTCCAGTACGTACAGCCTCACCCAATCAAAAAACGAGGTGGATCAACCATTTCCTTTCCGGCAGGCAAGCATGGCAGGATCCGATTGGCTAGCAGGAAACTAACGGGCAGTGCAAGGTTCTTCAGGCCGAGCGAGTGTGGCGGCGGCGACCTTGATCCCAGTAGGGAAGCTCGCTTAGCTAAGCTCAAATCCAATCAAAGTCTTGCCTGAGGTTCCGTCCAAGCAACGAATGCGGGGAAGTCGGCATCTTTCGAATTGAATCTGATCAAGAGCATTTTGAGACAAAATAATTACACACTAGCTTGCACCTTCGGTCGAACTCGGTCCCACGCATGGCCGCACGGAGTACACTACGTGATGATTCGTCGTCAGACGTGTCGGACGACAGCGCCGCCCTTGAGAGACCTGAACTTTTATTCACTCGGCTACTCATCGACAGTCACGGAAACGCAAACGCGAAAGATGAAGATGGCATGACTCTTCTGCAACATGCATCATATAGGGGTGATTACGAACTCGTAAAACTCCTTTGCGAAAAAGGCGCAGACGTCAATGCGAGAGGGAGCGAGGGTATTACAGCATTACATGAAGCATCCCTCCTTGGGTTTGACAGGATTGTACAGTTCCTGCTGGATCAAGACGTGCAGATCGATACGCGGAACGATGATGGCGATACGGCGCTGCACCTTGCATCGGCAGCAGGCTGCACGGCGATTGTGCAGCGACTACTTGAGAAGGGCGCAGACGTGAACGGACGAGGTCACTCCGGCCGTGTCCCCTTGTGGTATGCACTACAAGGGGGTCACGATTTGGTTGAGAGGCTGTTGCTAGAGAAAGGAGCAGACGTGACCGCACAAGATCAAGCTAGCATGGCATCAGCTCGGAAGCTAGGCGCGGCAGTTAAGCTGCGCAGGGAGGAGAAGGAAAGCTACAGCAAGACATAATGTACAGAGACCATTTCCTCAGCTCCTCGACTTAACCTTGCTCGTTTGACATGAGCTTTGATCGTATTCTAGTCAGCCCAAAATCTTCATCGCCTCTTCAAAGTCTTCCGTTTTCTCTAAGCCACTGCGCCTTTCTTTAGTCTTTAGTCGCGCGAGACTCGCCAGCGATCGCGCTGCAAGAAATTGAATATCCTCGGCCGTTTTTCTGACTCAAGATTTAGGGACATGTAAATTCGATAAAGTCTAGAGAAGGCAGGGTCTTAGACAAGTAATGCGCAAGGACCCTATTTCAGAGGTCAATTAGATACTCTTAGCACCGTAGCGTAAAAGATCATAGAGCACCCGGCCACTTTTGGCACTTGTCTGCGTGATGGTTCGAGAAAGAGTCGTTTCCGTGGTCCATTTATAACCCACGCTACGCATGTTTATGTACGCTCCCAGCCGAAAAAGGTGTGCAATCAGGCTAATGGGCCTAATCTTGACAAAGAATCCACTTCTCAGGGGGTAGTACAGTAGAAGCCCAAACTATGTAGAATACAAGACTTTGTAAGCTTGACTGGAAAAGCGTTGTTGTGAAGAGCAGATTCCCTGCTGGTGCTTGAAAACGCATAAAGGCAAGACTCTGCCTTTGTTCGAGGCCACATTCAACCAATCCTGATACATGATCAAGCTGTTTGTGCGAGAGATTTCAACTGGCTGAGACTGCAATCTTTGTCTTGTGGAGATTTCTACACTATAGACAATCTGTACTGTCAAGCTCGTTTTGGGGTGACTGTGAACCGATAACACCTATCTTCGTTGGAGTATCGAAAGGAACGCGCAGATAGTGCACTCGATGGCTACGCAGCGATTGGAACAGCAGCAAGCACAGCTCCAACAGTTATTACAGCAAAACCTACAGCAACAGCGAAAGCAGCATCTGTTGCGACAATTGCTGACCCCACAGCAACTACAACAGATACAGCAATTACATGAGAGCCAGCAGCAGCAACTTCAACAGTTGCATCAGCAACAACAACAAGCAGCACAGATTTCACAACAACAGCAGCGCCAGCACCATCTCCAGCAATTGCGAAATTTGCAGCACCAGCACCAACAACAACAAGCGTTTCATAAACAACAGCAGCATCAACAACAGCTACAGCAAGAGAAACAGCTGTTACATCCGCTGCTGCTGCCACCACATTGGTTGAAACAACTACCGCCACGGCAACAGCAAGAGCTGCAGCAGCTGTTTGTGACATTACATCAATTAGAACAGCGACGACAGTTCGAACAGCAGCGACAGCTTGAACAGCAGCGACAGCTTGAACAGCAGCGACAACTCAAGCAGCAATTAGGACCACAGGATTCAATCCAGGTTCAATCTGATGGCTCCCCTTCAAAATCAATGAAGAGCGTGCCCATATATAAAGCGAGCATTGTAGAACCTTCTCGACCAAGCCAGGAAAAGCCCAAAGCTGACCATGCTGTCAACGGCGATACTATTCAGAGGATCAAGAAGTGTTTGAATCGAGCCAATCATCCAGCCACCCTCGAATCCGAAGCCAAAGCAGCACTCCATGTGGCGTCTCGGCTGATGGCCCAGCATAATGTCACTCAAGCTGAAGTCCTTGCGGACGAGTCTCAATCCGGTAGGCTGCAGTTTGCTGGACAAAGCGTTGTCGCACTTCGGCGCTCCGATGGGGACTGTCATAAACGTATCAGAATTGAAGGTTACATGGACTATCTGACAGAGGCAATTCGGACGTTCTTCAATTGCAAGTCGTATAGTACACGCAAGTATGGGGCCATGAACTATACGTTCTACGGGTTGACCGATAACACGGTCGCTGCTGCAAGTGCCTTTGAGATGGTTTTCAACCTCGCGAGCTCTTGGGCCTTGAAATATCGAGGCCGGGATAGGACCAGCTATCTTCTTGGTATCTGTCAGACTTTAAGACAAACGGCAAAGAAAGAAGCAGCCGATGAAGTCGAGAGAGCGAAGAAAGCAGAGCAAGATGCTAGCGTATCTGAGACGTCTCTTGAAACAGAGAAGCGAGAAAACCTACCGAGTCGCAATTGGCTGATGATACGGACGGGGCTCCATCATCTCCACAGGGCGCAAGGTCCATACCATCTACAAATCAAGGCAATGATGCTTCAGAGGATGGAGACCCAGGTACAGCCGAAGACCCTGTGGCTATCCCACTTGATAAGGATGATGTGATAGACGATGAAGGCGACGAGGAAATGAACGATTGCGTTGAGCCCGATTTCAGCACAGATCCCATCGACAGCATAGACCCATTGATGGATATTGACAAGGAGATTCACCGACTTGCTGGCAAGACAGAGCATCAAGCGCGTGGACGAGATGATGAATATACACGTGCACCGCAACCTAATGATGGAAGTCAGTGTAAGTCTCATATGCAACTCGCTATCTTTCGAAAAACGGCTGATGATATTGCGGACGACTATCTCAAAAGTCGAGGTGTGAAGCTTGTTTCAGACAGGGCACGAAGTGGTCGTGTGCATAACATGGCTGCATTTCGCCAGGGCTCACAGGATAGCAAGAAAATCGATGTCCGGAGAAAGATGCTTAGCTCGTGACGCAATGACTTCGGGTTGGAATCTATATGGGTTACTTTAGCCCTACTTTAGTCACAAGAAGAATGACGAGGCTAAGATTATGATAGCGAGCCCATGATCTTGAATCTTCCTTGCCGTTGCAGTGATTCGCGTCACAGCGACTAGTTGTCGAGTTCCGATTGGTAGAAGTCCACAGGGCCAGGGCCACGATAATGGGACATTGGATACCCGTTTCATCTAACGGCATTTGCTTACAGTATGGCTGGATGAGAACCACGCCCCCTCAAGGAGATGTGCCTATATGAACAGCTATACGGATTGACTCATTTGGGGCTCGATCGCATTGAAGAAAATTGACCTCAACCTCAAACAGACGGTTCTCTTCATTGCTGAAAAGACTTTGCGGATCACTAACAGAACAAAACATTCAGATGCCGCTGATACCAGATTCCATGAAAGGACTGGTCTGCCCCACGCACTTGATCGACCCATCCCACAGGCGGTTCAGCTCCGTACCGAGGCCATTAAAATGATCCAGGTACAGCAGTGCTTCATACGTATCCAGGGGAAACCCTAGCTTATATTCGACGCCAAGAGTGGCACATCCTTCGATATACCGGTAGCCCAGATTGATTTAGACCAAATCGTGAGCTGAATTCAGATTTGAAAAAACAAGCTCCATCTCAGTTGCCTCGTGAGACATGGAAAGACTGAGATCAAGAATGTCTCGACCTATCTCGGCGTTTCGCCCGAAACGATGAGACAGAGTCTGTAAGCCAACGATGAAGTATTTGAGATCATCTACAAAGGCCTGTGCTCGCTGTCGTTCCTGATCGAAGCCGGCATGACGGATAAGCGCGGAAGAGACCTCTGTGCAGAAACTATCACCGTTACCGGTAGCTGATATTCGCTCCCTCATGTTACGGACAACTATAACTTACAGGAGCAATGAGATGTCAGCATGCATATACTCTTTTTCTTTTCCAAGAGGCAGCTTACGGCGTTCGGATCCGCTTCTGGGTAGGCAGAGGTGAAATGCAGCATATCAAGAAAAACAGAACCTCCAAGATGACTCGCCATAGATTCTGAAAATGAGTCAAAAAAGTGTTGGACTTTTATGACATAACATTGAAGAGCAAGCGAGCTCAAATATATTCTTCGTTCGTAGCCACGGCGAAACAAGCTCCAGCCAGAGGCTTTAAAAAATTCAATAAACAGATTGCCTGACTTCGTTGGCTCATAATTGTAAAAAAAGAAAAAAAAAAAGCTGTGAGCTAGCTCCTTGTTCAAAATTCTGTATGTTAATAGCTCAAGGAAAAGAATTATTATTTGCACAATTTTGGATTCTTCCCAGTTGCATAGCCAGTACTATGTCATTCTGTCGGAAAACATTGTTGTGGGTTTGATTAGCCTAGCCGGATTCACCATCGTCCCGTTCAAAGCCGAAATCGGCTATTATATAAAACCAAACTGTCTGAGAATTTTGGGTCATTGGTGGCGGAGCCTATGTCAAGCTATCTCGTAGGCTGTCGTTGGCCTTCAATCGGACTAGTATTCCCATTCACTGCCACATGTCGTAGCTGCACACTGCTATGCTCTTCCTGCCGGAAAGTCTGCTACTGAGCAAGACGATTAGTTGTGGAACGATCCGGGCGGCCGAATATGGCCGATTCGTTATATCGGCCACGCTGCATCGGCATTACAGGACGTGCAAGTCCAAAATCAGACCGTCATGGATTATATGCGGAAGCGAGAAAGGTAATCTTCTACGCCTAAAATGTCCGTAGCAATGCAATTCCTACTCTTGCTCTACGCCAACTGCCAATCCGCCCTGAGCGCCAAATATTGATCACGACCCGGTCATCATGATACGTAGCAGACACATTATTCCATTGAAAAAGTAACCTCCTTTAGAACCAATCCAATTGCAGAGACAGATATGAACCCAAGATCCTTGCTTTTGTTGCTCCGTTGTAATCATAAAGACATTGCTACAAGGGTCTGACAATGCCAGGACTGTGTGCCTGTCTCACGGTGACCTGGGACGGCAGACTAGTGTTCCCCACTTGGCGTAATTTTGTCACGCCAATGATAACCTCCTCAGGAATCAATTTCGAGGCGCACAGCGCCTGCCGGATTTTCAAGTGGCCGCCCAACGCCCCCTAGAACAAGCGTCGAGATGGTTTACAGCAACCTATAAATTCTCATATTTTCCCATGCTTTGACTCGCCCCCTCAAACACTCGCACCTTGTTACGGCGTCTGAGCCTTTCGCCACGACGCGGTCAGGTGTGACGCGAAGCTCGCTCGATAAGGAGGAATTGCTGAGTTGTAGTACAGAACGTCACGAACCAGGCTCAACAATCAGACCAGGCCAGCTGGAGAAGTCAACTCAACCAGGTCTCTCAACCAAGATGGCAGTCACCAGAAGCTCTAGGACGCCTTCCTCTACGTCGTATTCAAAGAATGTCAAACCTTGCCACATTCACAATGAGCCGCCCGCCAATTCGTTCAAGTCTATCTCCATCGAGCCGAAACCGCGACGATATCCTTTTCGTCATCCAGAACGCAGAAGACCTGGGCAAGGAGTGACCCTTCACTCTACAGGAGCCAGACCTACCCGATCTTCTAAGAAGCTACCGGCCATACCGACAAACTCTGCTGTTGATCTGAGCCAAGCTAGATCACATCGCCACAGCAACTCAGATCTTTCCCAGCATTGCGAGCGATCATTCAAACCCATCTATAACTACCGGGCCAAACGTCGCATGGGAAATCTCAAAAGGTTTAACATGGCATGCATACGTTCCGCCAACAAGACTTTGGACATATGGGAGAGCTGGGATGCCACCTATAGGGAGTCGCCATATGAGATGAAGCGTAACGCTGCTCTTGTGACTACAGCCATTCAGACTTCCCATTATTTTACTAAGCATTTTGAAGATGTGGGAGGAGATAATAAACCAAAGCTTTACAAGCATGAGACCATTCAGCGGCTAAATGAGAGTGTATTAAGGAGGTCACCGGGACTTCCGATAGTATGATGATTCATACTTTGGGTGCTGGGTCATGTATTTTAGGGAATTTACGTACTAAAATGCGATTTGTGTGTTGTCGGATAACCAGCCGGCAGCAAGCCATTGCCCATTTTGCCTCTCCAGTGCCGTCTCCTACCGTCATGAGACTAGAGCGAGCCTGAAGTCCTGTATGTGCTGAGCCCAGAGATTTCTGTCTTCAATAAGATCAAGAACACCTATTTGATGTACTGTATAAGTTAAGTTGAAATAGGTTAAAGGACGTCCCATTAAACCGCCGTTGAACACTCGAAGCAGAGCTAGGGTGTTCGCTAATTATTTTCTACAACAACGAAAGTAAAGCATACCAGGGCTTAGAAGATAAAGAAGAATACAGTAAGCGGAAAGGATGGCGCAGGAGGAGACAGCACTAACAAAAGCATATCCAAAAGTCCACCTCCGCATGTATACGTAAAGCAATGCGGGACTTTATCACGTAGAATGCTGGATTGGTTGCCACAGTCAATACAGACTGACACTTATCCTGCTCACGAGATGTCCGCTGCCATATGGGCTCGTTGGCGTAAAGCAAATGAATTAAGGTGAGGTGCTTACGAGTTCTTCACGTTGCCGGCGCAGGGCGGGAATGTTTTCAGAGCCGTCGAGCAGTGACTTGAGAATTATAGTGCTAGGTAAACCGGCGGCCGTTAATAGGCAATAGTCATAAATCCCTAACAGTTCTCTTCTTACCACCAGCTTGTATAAGTATACGTGCATTCCATGCTACACTGAGGATCATAGCAACTCAGCGCGGTCAGAGATTGATCGTACCCTGTCTGGTATTCTAGCTCTAGCTTTGACCCTTTGTTCCTCTGTTACATATGCGTCTTATCTTTGTATTAGTCGTTCTGCTAAGGAGCTCATTCGCAACTGTTCCATCCTCTCATAGACGTTTCTTCACGCCAGAAGGGTTCATCAAGGTAGACCCAGGAGGGCTCGAGGACATTGAAGTCACCACCGACAATCTGCTCTCTGAAAGGCTCTCCAAGAATACGAGTCCTGTTCTAACAGGCCGTGGCTTAGACTCGCGTGCTTTATCGATAAGGCTCGTTAATAATTTTGATAAAAGTAGTGTAAAAGCCTATATAACCGGTTTGGACTCCAGCGGCAAGGTCTTTTTCGCCCTCCACGATGGCAAGCTTATTTATCCTGACGCTAGAGGGTCTCGCCTACCTGTCAAGGTCACAAAATATGTTGCTATATCTCTACCTGAGAAGGGTGAGCCACTGAGTATTACACTTCCTTCATTTATTCGTTCTGGTCGCATCTACTTTTCGAATGATGACCTGCAATTTTTTGTCGTCGATAGAGATAACGGTAACAGCTTAGTTCAGCCTTCGGTCACAAACCTTCGAGATCCCAACGCAAACGTGAGCTGGGGTTTCGTAGAGTTTACTTACATCAGGAATCTTCTCTACGCCAACATAAGCTATGTGGATTTTGTGGGTCTAGTCCTTGGTATGACGCTTGTTGCAAAAGATGGGAGTACCCAAACCACAGCAGGACTCGAAGCAGATGCTGTTATCAAGATTTGTGGCGATCTAATTAAGCAGAGAAAGCTAGACAATCATAAGTGGACCTCGCTATGTATTGCAGACACTGCTGGAAAGCCGATCCGAGTATTATCTCCTGGTAATCAGCATGATGTCGATCCCGAGATATTTGGAAGTTATTGGAAAACCTATGTGGACCGTGTTTGGGAGAGATACATCACTCGGGATCTCATAATAGATACGCAATCTAAAGCGGGCATGATCAAATGCAGGATTGTAGATCACAAACTGAAGTGTGACGGACACGAGCGCGGACTCCCTAAACCTGATGATAAAGACATTTGGGGCTGCAACAGTGGACCTTTTGCTATCTCAGAGAACGATAGTATAATTCATACTGCTATTGTTCCACGTTTGTGTGCTGGTCTTGTACGATCTACTTTGTTACTCGATGGCGGGTTTATGCAGCCGAGCTTGGGTCAGACATCGTACTACACGATAAACCCCACTAATCACTATAGCCGGATTGTCCATTCATTTGAGGTTGATGGCAGAGGCTATGCATTTCCTTACGACGACGTTAATCCTGATAACAAGGAAGACGCATCCGGAGTGGTGAGCTCCGACGATGTTGATTTGCTGACTATTCATGTCGGCGGTCCGCTTTCAAACTACTTGTCACAGTAAATTAGGCCTTTGTGTTTGTTGTCTCTTTATTGCTTATAGTTTCGTTGCTTCGCTTACGGTAGCTGGTTGGATATTGTGTTGACACCTAAATTTCATCTCACCATTCATCAATTGACTGAAGTTGGATAATCAGCTTCCGATGACTATATAGACTTAGCGTGGTCGTGGTACTGGGCGCTCTTGATATATCAGATGGAAAGAGCATGTTGTATGTAAAAAGGTCTGATAGTCTTCGCTTCTCGATTTCTCACAAGCCGAGGGGTTATGTCATATGGAAAAAGAAACCCTTTTTTCAATGGTAATTTTTTCAATTTGGAACTGTATCTATTTATTCAATCTTCTTCTTGAAGTATTATGAAGTCGCGGATCGATATGGATCGGTTCTAAGCTACAGACACTATGTTTTCCCTTCCCAGGGACCCATTCAGCATGTAGATGATCTTGGGCAAATCTTTGCAGCCTGTTCCTATCCGGCCACGAAGAGAAAAATGCCTTATCTAAGCCAGGGAACGTGGATACCATCCGCTCGCGAAATCTGTCTCCATCTCCGTATGGCTCTTTCACTACTTCGCTCCGCTGCTTGTTGTCTGTTTCATCCGACCAGTAGAGTTGACGCAAAGCTGCCCAATAAAATCGAACACAAGATAAAAGAGGATCATTCGGCCCCATTGGACATGATGAGACCATGGCCCATTCGTGGAAACTATCGTCGCCGTCGAAAGTGTAATGTAGCCCTTGATCAGCACTGATCAGCATCCTGACCCAGGGCTGACTCCACTCAACGTCACGGGGAAGAAGAACGAGTGAAGAGTACACGTAGACTTTTGTCCTAGAAAAGTAGTCTGAAAACTCGGACATGCATCCTATCAAATGTACTTGCGGCTTTCGGAATAGGCGCCAGAAACGGGGACGCAGCCAGCTTGATAGCCTATCTTCATAAGTCTGGGCTAGTGTCTTAGTGTCGTACTTTTGGCTCGACCAGTGCGTTATGAAGAAGAGTCTGCTTCGAAGCTTGCCATTACAGCGTAGGCAGGCGCAGTTCTTGAGACATTCTTTCTCTATTTGCCAGCTGAGATCCTTACGGGGAACGTGGAACGGTGCCCATATTGGTTTGGCGGATGAGTCTTCCATCCTTTTCTAAGCGATCTTTGTTTGGCCAAGCAGGCACTCCGTGTTCCCCAAAGTATCTGTTGCGGTCAGGACCAATCGATGACGGCAACGAAAAGCTCCCCCACTGTGTTTTAAATACTATACAAATTAGCACAGTCAATAAACAGATCATCTTCTGGGCCACCATACATTTTGTCTGCATGTGTCCAATCAAGTGCAAATGGTAGAGGTCGATCGTAGTCGGCGAAGTGAGGTGATCAGATTATAGAAAATAGAATCTTACTTATAGTCGCAGACAGGGGAATGTTGACTAACATTTAACTTAGCTTGCACCGACCATTAAAAGCAAATTCTCTGGGATTTTCTACAGTATAGGATACTTTCGGCCGTATACTATACAGCCGATAAGCGTCGAGTGCAAGATTAATGACAGATCTTGAAGCAGATAGAGAACACTGAGGGACACCGTTGCATCTACAGATGTTGTCATAGGGTGTACTGCAGTGGCTTGAATAGGTTCCCCAAAAGTTCTGATTAGTCCCCCAACCGAGTGCTACACTAAAAAAGTAGGAAAGCAATATCGTCCGGTATTGCCTTCTCCATACTCGTGGCGAATCACCTCAACGTCTTTATTTACGATAATCAGAAGATGATAGTAGCTACGATACGAATATACATTGACTTGTTAATAATGCAGCTACAAGTTGACATGAGGCACAAATTCAATGAGCCAGCCATATATGATCAATCTATAGCCTAGCCTTATCATCGTCATGGAACAGACGCTCCGATGAGCTATATAGCCTTCCCATGATTAGTCTTGGAATATCAAGTACCTCAGCAGGTTGATTAATCATGCTTACCCTCAACGGAGCACAAGGTTGCCACAGCTTAGCCACTGTTTCCAGGAAGATTTTGCAAAACAATAAAGTTGTAACTACGTCTGCCCTATACCAATTTCTTATTTTAGAAGCTTTTAGAAAGTCCAAGCACCTCTGTTAGTCTTATCTCTCTCAATCGTTTGCTAAATAAAAGATATTCATTGGCCCTAATGCAGTACAAGCCGATGCTGGTTGGTGTCGCCTCGGAATATCGCGGTCATGATTCCTACGGCGGTAAATTTCCAAGTGTTCGTCATCTTATTGATAAATTCGAACCTATATATCCTCATCGATGGCTTATTGTACTGTCGTTGTCTTTCCCCTAGTGTCTTCTTGTGCCCAATTCTCATATCCTACGGAGTCAGTCACGGAGAGAACCAAAAGCATTCGGTCACGGTCCAAGATCCAGATATGACATCCGCGATCGAATTCAACGTCAAGGGAAAGCGGAAAACATCTAGCCTTGTCCTGGTCATAGTAGAGCACGAGCGTTTTGTGATTGGGAGGTGTGTCGGTAGAATCTGGTTGTAGAAGACAGGTCGCATCATGCATATCCATAAGATAAAGTTGGCGAGGCTTCACGATACAACCAATGTAAAGGTTAAACTTAGGAAACTCTACTATCCATAGATGCTCATGATACTGATGATCATGAAGTGTACTTAAGAATCGTTCTAGATCATGATCGAGTCCAACTTTCTCCTTTGTTGGTTTTGCAAGAGCGAGTGCTATCAATGGCGGTTGCTCTAACTTACTCTCTGGTTGCATGTACTGCATATCCCATCCTACCAAGGCAGGTATCAAATTTGTTGTTGAAAGTATGCTGTCCAGCCAATCCAAATCTCGGAAAATCTCAAGCCAGGTACTTTGATACTCAGTCCGACTCCTGAATCTTTCCGAAGCTGACTCTTCCAAGAAATATTCGTCTGAAGTGGTCATCATGGAACATGCGTAGCAGTATCAGGCGCATTGAACTGCCAAGTTTTGAGTACGGACTAGATCTTTATGATCCAATTCTCCGGCCTAATAATGACTGGGTTGATTTTGAACTGTCATAATACGTAAGTCGGGAGATTCATTGATAAGTGTGTATCGCAAATAACCTCAGAGCCCGAAGTAAGCACGCCTACTGCGAGGCAATATTTCCTAGGACGCATCTCAGCAGCATCAGCCATCCAAGTGTTGGGTACCTCGTTTATGCTAATCGTGCTGCTGGCAGAAAAAGGTCGTTTGGAAAGATGTAGAGAGACTACTGGAATAAAAAAAAATGCGAAAACAAAAAGGAAAACTACGACCGGATGGGCTACAGTACCGTCGCATTCATTTGGTGACAATACGAACATCTTGCAATTGCATGTTGGCTCCTTTCATCCCATAATCCATCCCGGTGGATTAGACATCGTACTGCACGGTAAATCCTACTAATCACTATAGCAGGATAGTCCATTCATATGAGATTGATGGCAGAAGTTACGCATTCTCTTACAATGATGTCAATCCTAACAATAAGGAGGACGCATCTGGCGTGTGAGTTCTGACAATGTTTATCCGCTGGCCATTCATGTCGGCGGTCCGCTTTCAAACTACTCGCCACACTAAATGAGCCTGCGGTTCGGGTTTTTTATTCCACTGGCAGTCCTTTGTACAGTAGGCCAGGATCAGCTTTACTCATTTATTGGTTGTTTGCTGCCAAAATAAAAAAGTCAGCAAACGAGTAACCGAACCTTAGCTAGTCCACAGCCAGAAATAACAATAAGACACTAGCGCGCATCCATTTAGTGACAATACCAACAGCTTGGGACTGTATGTTGGCTCCTTTGATCCCATACTCCATCCTGATGAATTGCCCGTAATGGAAGGTCGAGGGCAAGCGTCCGAAACAGGTCACGTTTGGTTAGTCTTTAGACAATTCTCGTGAAATCACGGAGGTCGACTACCGATGCCTGGCCCGCACCTCATCATGGTGAAATCGGTATGGTATATTTTGGACCTTTCCAAACAACGTTAAGATCACCCAGGCTCTCATAAGGCAGGACTCTCGCGACATAATAAATTTTCAGTCTGAGAATGAGTCAGCTGGGAGAGTCGTAATTGTACATCATATCTATTCTTCCATTTCGTTGTAGTACAGTTTCAACATGGAGCTTACCGCAACAGCATTTGTTCCGAAACCCGTCCGTATTATCGTTATAGGTGCTGGGTCAGTATACTCCCAGTTTCAACTTAGATTGGTAATTAAGCGTCACAGGATATCCGGCATCCAGTTTTTGAAAGATGCAACCACACGATTGTCAAACGTTAACATCACTGTTTATGACAAGAACAGTCAAGAGGGAGGAACTTGGGCCGAGAATAGATACCCCGGGTGAGCATTCCATTCACCACTAACTGATCATGGCCAACTGCTGAAATCTACAAGATGTGCATGCGACATCCCATCCCATGCCTACCAGTACAGCTGGAACCCCAATCCCCGGTGGAGCCGCTTGTATGCAGAGGCGGCTGAAATCTTGGACTATCTAAAATCAACGGTGACTAAGTTCAATCTCCAACGATATATTCAGTTCAGTACAACCTGTACCGGGGCAAGCTGGGATGAGAAGAACTCCGAATGGAATGTTGCCCTGCAAAGGAACGGGACGCCTGATGATGAAATCTCTGTTAAATGCGATGTTTTTATTATTGCTATAGGAAGGCTGAATAACTGGAAGCTGCCAGACATAGAAGGCCTTGACACGTTCCAGGGGCGTGTAATACATACAGCCAACTGGCCCCAGGACTTAGACTGTCACGGCAAGGATATAGCTGTGATAGGAAACGGAGCCAGCTCGACCCAGTGTCTAGCAAGCTTAGCCAAAGGTGAGACTCTTGGCGGTACAGACCCAATGCTTGCTAACAACTGCAGACGCGAGATCCATCGGTAATTTTGTTCGTGGACCAACATGGCTGGTTCCGCATGTATTTTCTCGCAATGGAGAAGCGCAAGTCAACTGTGGGCACTCTTCCCCTTGCTAATCAAGCCTCTACCACGTCTAATACGCCGGTAGATTCCCATGACTCCATCAAGAAATTCGAAACCGAGCCCGATTCGTACTTCCAATTCCGCCTTGGGATCGAGAAAAAGCTGGCATATAGCTTTCGAGGTCTCTGGGCGAACTCAAACGCTGCTCGAGAATTCACTCAAAATGCAAAGCAGCACATGATCGCCAAGATTGATGACCCACAGACCTTGAAGGCCCTCCTTCCTACTGACTATAAAGCCGGTTGCCGTCGCTTCACGCCTGCTGACAAGTATATCGAGGCTCTAAATAAGTCAAACGTAGAGCTCATTTCTACCCCGATCAAGCAGGTGGAAGGAAAAGATATTATCATGAATGACGGCGAACGACGAACATATGACATAATTGTCTGTGGTACAGGTTTTGAGCCATACGCGCCGAGGTTTCCGATCAGAGGGCGCGGAGCAGCTAACTTGTCAGATCTATGGTCAATGGATGGGGGCTATGAGAGTTACTTGGCTGCAACAGTCGCTGGATTCCCCAACTTTTTCGGTATGTAGATCCACTCATCAGCTCGTCCCAAAAGGCTAATCTCTGCCTCAAGTTTTCAATCCGCCAATCTGTCCGGTGAATGGCTCAGCGTACCCTGGAATTGAGCGTACGAGTGACTACATTATCAGAGTCATCGACAGGCTACAGAAGGATCGCCTGAGAGCAGTCTGTGTCAAGCAAGCAGCTCAAGACGCCTTCAATCGCTGGGTTCAATCACGCATGCCAGAGATGGTCTGGGCGGAGCCATGCTCATCATGGTGTAAGTTGGCCTCTATTACCCTGCGTTCACATTAATCAGGACTGAGTTCTATAATGCAGACAAGCTCCCTAACGGAAAAGTTATCGTTCCATGGCCAGGGACAATACTTCACTATTATGCCGCAACTGAAATAGTGCGATGGGAGGACTATGATCTCAAATTTGATGATGATAGTCAAAAGTATGCATGTTTCGGGAATGGTATTACAGTGGAGGGATTTGCTCCTGAGAGTATACCTTGGCTGCGTCGCGCTGATCAATGCTTATAGCCTCAAACTTGGAGCTTTACATTCGATGAAAATACGTTTGTTATATGCTAGAAGAACAAAGGATAGCTGGATTTAGTTATTCGATTATGGAATACAGAAACAGGACCCGTTTCTTATCTCGACTCCCGGTAGTGGTCTAGAAAGGGCGAATTCCATCAACAATCAAAATAAAGAGTACCCTATAATTACATATCCGCACCCTATATTTATTGTCTCTGCAGTACAATCCAGATCCTGCTAGATATGTCATGATAATGTGTCAGAGTTTCTTTTTTTCTTCTATCAATCCTAGCAGCGACTAACAAAATCAATTCTACACGAAGGCGATGGTGGAAAGAAATATGATGTAACCCGATAATTTAGAGCGTGCCACCAGTTCCTTCCCCATGCGCCGTTGAAGATCGCTAGTCCTAGGAAAGCCTAGGGGTTGATGGTTACAAACGAATAGACTCATAGACAAGTTTCTCCTTATACCAGTTATCCTACGTTTAGGTAGTAAAGGTAGCTACTCCTTCTATTATCAACCGATATAGCATGTCCTTTCCAACCCTAACCTTGAAGCGGTCAAGGCAATTCCGGGTAGTGTCTAGGATCAGGCGAATGTGGAGAAGTGAGAATTGCTGTCGCTGACGATCAAACAGATTGCATGCATACCAGCGCACAACTAGACATGATTACTTCTTAATTAGATCGTCCATTCAAGAATATCGTCACCAAAACATCATGACCCGTGGATCCCCCCATCCAAGATGTGTCAGATCATAGTGGATGGGGGACGATTTCTTATCCCAAGCAGCAGTAAATCACGTTGCTGATTGAGTCATCACCAAGGCTTGATTTTTATCATTTGAGAGGATATTCTTAGTTGACGCTTTTTACACACAGCTCAGGCAGCAGGTTCTGCCTGAACTCTGAGGGATTGGGCATTTTTAATGTGTTCTCTTGATACATCTCGTAGAGATATCATAAGTTCAAACAATCAATTGATTCATCGATTAATTATGGTTGATGGCTGACTCCGTTGGAGTAGACACCAGTATATTTGTTTGTTATTAAGACGATTAAGTATTTGGTGTCATGCGAATCGAAACTACGCTTGTGACAGGTTATGGGCGACAAGAGGACAGACGAAGAGGCAACGGAATTGTTTCGTATTATAGACCGCAGAATGCGGCAGCTTATGAAACAGACATCCAGTTGGTGGTGATGAGGAGTCACTATAGGGACTAGCTGAAATAGGTAGAGGTAATAACAGTCATCCATTTAGTTATAAAAGCAACACAAAAATCCAAGATCAAGCCACTGCAAGTGGACAGCTTGCACAACTGCCTCTTCGCTTCCCACCTCCCGAGCAAATGCAAAATAAAGGATGCGAAAGCTTTCCAAATTCCCACCATATGGGTTGCTTTACAAGATACAGAGCATCCTAGATATTCGATCGATTCTTAAAACGTCGATTATCGAGTAGTGGAGTAGATCGTGCCATTATGCAATAGTTCGGCATATATAAACTGTAGCCTCACCCTCTAGTGCAGAGGCATGTAATCTTAGATACAAAGAATCAGTGCAGGGTTTGGAAGGGAGAATAAAATATGTAAGAAGTTCAGCTTCTGTATAAGCTGAAAAGATGTCTGGTCAAGGATCAATTTCTGGTCTTTTATCTATTGGCTAACTTCAGAAAACAATCAAATTTAATATCTGGAGTTACGACTCGAGTGTTCCTAGGAACGTCTCTCTAATTACGTAGCAGCCCAATCTAGCGACAGAGGATGGAACTGTTACGCGGTATCTAAATTCTGTGACCCATCTTATTACTGGAATGTGCTAAGATTCTCATTCTACTGTAGAATGCTGTACATGCATGCCATGCATGCCACTGGTGACTGAAATATGCCGGCATTTAGAAGTGGAGAAGTTGGACGACTTATACTGCCCATGGGCTGCTTCCTTAGCGCCACAACGAGAACTGACCGTATGACTGGCAGCCAAAGATGGCTGTTTACATTGTGGTTACCCCATGAGGGATATGTAATGTCTACAAAGCACGTAAGTTCCATGCCTCTTGGTTTCGTTCAGTAACCCCTTTACTAGGATCTGTCTCGCATTTCCAATATTGACATCAATAAAAATGAACTCTGTCAATAACAAATTATTTGTCTCCTGGACTGGCCTTATTCTTGGGCTCGCGTTATCGGTCGTTGTCATCGCTCTGCATCGTCGTTATTTTTCCGACTTGTCAGACGTTCCGGGGCCTTTCTGGGCATCTGTGACTCGGCTTTGGCACGTATGGATCATCCTAGAAGGTAAACAAAATTTGCGACTCAAGGCTCTCCACAGGAAACATGGGCAGTTCGTTCGCATTGCCCCTAACGAGGTCAGCGTTTGTCATCCACACGGATCTGCACTACTCCTTCGCGCCAATCTACAGAAAGTCAGTTCTGATCGGTCGATATGCTACTGGTGCAATGCCATTGACAATCTGCACAGGGTGACTGGTATCGTGTCACAGCAGTGCCCGATTGTCGGTTTCAGAATCCTATGTCAACTACGGACCCCAAGAAGAAGAAAGCTATTTCGAAGCACTTCGCACCAGGCTATGCGTTGTCACAAGTTCTCAAGAAAGAGCCAGATGTCAATAAGAACATCGGGTATTTACTGCGTTGGGTAGAAAAGCACGCCGAAGACCGAGTGCCGATGGATCTGGACAGATTTATAACATATACGACTTTTGATAACATAGGCTCCGCCTTATTCTCTGAGCCATTCGGATTCATTAGGGCAGTACGTCACATCCCGCTTTGCTTGCATATTCCTTCTCAATGTGTCTCAAACCCTGGCCAATATTGTTCACTTGCGATAATGAAGCTGACTTCTACAGGCTCGCGACATCGGCGGGACGTTGAGGAACAACGTTGCATTGAGTAGATTTGCGGCGGTCGCGGGTTTCTTCATAGGCCCTTTGCGTATCCTTATCAATCCTCTTAACAGTTGGTTGGTGTTTCTACCTATGGGACGCCTCTACAGAACCACATCAAATGCCATCAAAAAGCGGCTGAGTAATCCTGAAGCACATAATGACATGGTCGCTCATTGGTTGAGCGCTCACGAAAAGTCTGACACACTCAGTCTTCGAAAGATCGAGGCACAGGCCAACGTCAACGTGGGAGCAGGGGCCGAACCTGTTTCATGTATGTACCTCCTCCCTTGGACAATACCGCTATCCACCCTTGTCATTTATTAATTCAGGCCAACAGCTGCAATACAGAGTCTTTTGTATCACCTGATTCAGCATCCCGAAGCGTGGCTCCGAGTTCGTAACGAGATTGACGCCGCGAAAGCTGAAGGCTCGTGCCTTGGTCGCGTTGTTTCGTATCGTGATGCCGAGAAGTTAACATACCTACGACCTTGCATCAAGGAGGCTTTGCGTATGTTTAGCCCCACGACCATGGGGCTACCCCGCGTAGTAGCAAAAGGAGGAATCAACATCGCAGGTCGGCATTTTCAGGAAGGCACAATCTTGAGCATTTCTCCGAAGTGAGTGCATGAAACACTAAGTTTCTGCTCTGCGTATGCTGACTGCGCCTAGTGTGGTGCATTCTTCGAAGGTCATCTGGGGTGATGATGCCGATCAATGGAATCCAGAACGTTGGATGTCCGGAGACGCGAAGAAGCTGGACAGAAACTGGATAGTGGTAAGTTGTTGAAATGCCAGGTCTTGTGTAGTATTAACTGAAACAGTTCTCTGCCGGATATATGACGTGCCCAGGCCGTCATTTTGCGTGGGTACAAATTTTCAAAATGGCGGCTACTTTATTACGTGATTATGATATTATGCAAGTCGACCCCGAGAACCAGTGGCAATACCAAGCTAATTTCACGGCTCTAACTCATTCGTGGCCTGTCTGGATTCACAAAAGGGATACAAATGGCAATGCACTCTAATATTGAGACTCTTCCCAGAGATTGAGAGCAATCCTGGGGAGCGTTTTCAATATTTCCAGAGTGTAGATGATATACGAGTAAGACAAACAAGCGAACTGGCTACTGTCGCTGTACTTTCCAGCTTCGAGCCGTGACTTGAGATATACAAACCGGGAAAAAACTGCCCTGATTTCAAGAGAGAGAAAAAAATCTGAAGTGAATTATATGCAAAAGAAGACAAATGAATTGGTACTGATAAGCTTGTTCCGGTCAATCCTTTGAATTAGTCAACGCTAAGTTTAAAGCTTTTAAGACACTCAAACTGGCGAGCTTGGTACATCTATTGTGACTATTTGGTTTAAAAATGGCTTGGCTGTGGTTCTCAATGAATTTTTCAAGTGTGTCATTCAAGGTGTAAATGCGAATGTCCAGCGCGGTTATCACGTCCGTTACACTAATACCAACCGAACTTCTTCAAGTTAGAAAGTGTTCTTGATAACTCGAACTTGATCCGCAGTATTGCCAACATTTTAACCTAATAAATTGTCCTTAATTTCCGGGAAAGCGGCTGCAAATCGTACATGGGCGGCTCGCATGAATAACCTCCATTCTGTTTTACACTCATCACACAGACGGACGCCCCCAAACCGCCGAATGCCCGGGCTGCTAGAAACTGCGCTGTCGCAATGAGAACAGCTCTTCTCAGCACTGCTTTCCAGAAGGCTGCAGAACCCAGGAATCATCAGCTTGTCGGATTGGATGATGATATCCATATAGCGTCCATCTTTGGCTGGTTTCACAGCGTCACCTTCGACCTTATTCCAGAGTTTGAAGTTGGCGCGCGTCAATTCCACCACTTGGTCTGTCTCAGGTCTTCCGATCATTAGACGGTCTTCGACGAATCTATACCTTCTTGTCATCATATGGATGGGGCCTCCGAACGGCCTCACGAAATTAAGGACGCAGCGTTTTGCAGGATCCTGTGCCCATGTAACATCTAGCGCCCAGAGAATGTCTCGGTAATCTCGGTAGTTCTCAACCCGCATCTCATCGCCAACATATCCGAAAGTACTGTTGGTTTCGCCTTCGGCGCGATGCTTATAGAAAGCAACGGCGTCGTAAAGGGTATCGCTCAGCTCCGCAACAAGTTGCAACTGTTTCTCATCGAAGGGCATATCGCTAAAGCCGTTACACGCCAGGGCGCTAGCAATCGTATACCGAGCTAAGGCGTCACAATCGCGGAGCCGGAACCAGCACTGTGGAGACTTTGTGAGAGCGTTCAGATAGCGACCGAAGAGCTCAGAGTCACGCCGCTTCCTGGACTTCTCGGCTGACATGAGCAAAAAAGTCCTGAACTCGCGGGCCATATCCTCTCGCATCGAAGTTCCTCCAAACAGAGTACTGAGGAGCTCATCTAAGTCGTAACCGATGATATCTTTACTGTCGACTTCCGGAATCAAGTCGCCGCGAAATTCGGCGATGATAGCAATGACAATAGTCCGGTTGAACGCCAAGTATCTATCCCAGCTATTCCAGTCGGGTATAACGCATCTAGCATACTCCCAAGCACAAGCAAGAGTCTCGGCGATAGTTTCGTTCGAGAGGTCAAACGGTTTCAACCCGTTTCTCAACTCTGGTGGAAAGTACCACTTCTCTTTGGAAACATTGGCACCCGGGTGATACTCATTGCTGCCTCCAGTTTTGTTGTTCATGATGTTCGCTCAAACAAGGTAAATGAAAATAAGGAAGTCATATGAAACTTTCGAGAAAGAAAAGATCTTAGATGATCAGAGGTTCAATATTTCCCATTTATTTATGCTCTATGCAAGATCTATTTCCTCAAATAGTCATCGTAGATGAAGTTCCGGGATAAATATGGCCCCCTTGGGTGAAGTCCGGAAAAAGACGTCATACCTAACCGACGCAAACTAGACACTGAATGTGATGTAAGACTTCTTAGCATACAGTGAAAGCATATACTAAGGCCTTCAGACTCACCATATTCATACTTTCATACCTACTTTTAGCTGGTTATTGGTACATCGTCTAACAAGTTGTTGGCCTTGTCCTCAACCCTGAGCATTCAACCAATCGTGAGTTTTGCGGTCAAGATCCATTCATTTTCAGAATTAGATAGTTGCTAAGTCGTATAGAGCCTAGCGGACCACTTCAGCAAGTTGACACGAAGGATTGGGAGACTTTTGAATAGGCTTTCAACATCTGTGTGTTATGGTTGTCTGACAGCGTGGGCTGAATGACACTGTTCAATATTTAAGGCCCAAACTCAGAACTTCACATTTAGCTAGAATACTCTTGTTTTAGTCTATAAGTATATAGCAATTTAATTTACTAAGGTCAAGTACTAGATACAGAGAGAGGGCCCGTTCCTCATTTTGACTTCCAACAGTGGCCTGGAAACGGGCAGTTTCATCGAACGTCAGAATAAGGAGCACTATATATTCACATATCCCCTATAAAATAGACTGCAACTGCTGGAGGTTTGGTATTATGCTGACCGATGTGGTTTCTTGGCCTGCCAATGTAATGGAAACCAACCTAAATAAATGGAATGCCACTTCATTAGCCATGGGGGAAAAGAGGCATTTGAACATGGAGGGACCAACACGACGCGGACAACCACGCAAGTACAGTATTGAGCAATTGCACCTTCCTCTCCAACAATAACTCTCGTTTATAAACGTAGCAATATATCATTCTTGGGTAGGTTTCCACACTGTCTGATACAAAAAGCGCGTATCTCGATGTATTTACCTGATAGATGCAAGCGACAGTACTTATAACTCGCACTGTCGGCCTGTCTCCACTTCCCCACATTCGCGCCCTGGAACTCCACGCAGCAGCGGTACTTCTAATTACTTCATTCGCTAAGCCAGAAATTGCTTACGCACCCATAAGGCGGCCAAATTCTGACAGAACATCTGCTTATCAGGTAGAGCCATGTACCCAGATGGCCCCACCCTAGACTTTACAAAAAGCATGTTTTTTTGGACCGGGAGGTGCAAGTGCCCAATACTGTAGAAACAACGAACATTCCAACGAGGCACATTCCGGCTAAGCCCCCGATGAGAGATATTTCAGATACTTCAGAACACGGGTTAGTGTCGATCTAGATCTCCGCAACATACAGTACATTCATTGTAACAGAAGGCGAGATAGAACATACTCATGCTGATAGTCGACCAGAATAGCAGAAAGGGGCCAATAACGGACCAAACAATGCCTAAAGTAACTCAGCTGAAGTAGGCCATATTAGCAACTTAGTTTCTTTAGGAGCAGCAGTGGGGAGTACAAGCCAATGGCAGATCTAGAATATATTAGTGTACTCCTCCTATGTTGGCTTATTTTTGTCAGACATTACGTGTATTCGGTTCATTGATGTGAATTGGTGTATTCATGTTCTGTTCTGTTGAAATCTGCCCCTTAGAGGTTTTACCATTTCGGCTGTAATCTTAACGTATCCCTGCTTGCACGTGAGGCCCCAGCACCTGTTCAACAATTTTCACACTGAAGACTAGAAACCTCTCTATTGGGGGCTGCTGATAAAACATTCGATAAATTAATATATATAGAGCTTGTAGGTCGCTGCTTTATTGCAATTTCAAAATGAAATACGCATGTAATGTTTATTAATCGAACTCCAACTCAGAAGCGGTACGATATGATACAGAAGCTTCATTACTATCATAATACTGATCCAATATAATACAGGTTTTTCAGAGAGCGATACCCTTGTGAAACACCATATACTGTTTCATACTCTATAGTAAGATAAGTAGCTCATTCGGTTATTAGGAAAAGACCAATGGATAGTCGTCTTTTAGGAAGCTACAGGGGCCTTGCGCCATATAAGTGTCTCGTTCTTATGGGTTACCGTAAGGTACGAGAAAGATCAAATCTATTACAACGCATCAAATCGGCCACGATACACAATATCTACTCATAAACATTGTGTTCTGTAATTGAAGACCCATATTCGGAGAAAAACCTGGGATAAGCAAAGAAAGGAAGCAGAATCTTTCATCCAGTTCGCTTGAGGAGCGAGCCATGAGTGACGAGATGAGGTTCAAAAAGTAGGACGTCATTATGCTTTTTCCCTCGCCTACTAACCGTAGTGTACAACCCGAGACGAAAAGAACAAGGTTTCACAACGTAATATTGTACTACCATCACCGTATGTTCATTTTCGTCAAGCTTCCCATAATGTTTTTCACGGGAACAGATGGTTTCACGACAGAAGACTGTACTACCACCAACGTATTTTCATTCTCTTGCACAAATTATCCTGTATTTTACGGCAGAACAGCAAAATGATAAATACCAGGTTTGAGACAGGTCAAACGATGAAGAGTACTAGAGTATGAAGAAAATACAAAAAGAATAACCCTAACCCTTAACATTGATTACTTTACTCTGAATATCGAGAGTTGGTCGTGTTGCTGGCGTTCGTAAGCAAGCCTCAAACCTCAAGTCAGATAATTGTTCTAACGTTACAGTATTAGAAGCAAACTCAGTCCGGCCAACACATCATCGCTTTGAACCAATCCAGGATGCGGTCAAGCTTCGACGTTGCTGATAGACGGGCTATCAATCATCTATGGAACTTAGTAGTCGAGAAGCTACTCGAGTTCGCAAGTAGGCGTCACGAACTGTCAGAACTCGAGGAGAAATATGTCCGGTATTGGAAAGAGTGGTTACGCAAATATCAGTCATTAGAGGGCCCAAATTACCATGCCAAGGGGTATGCTTGGAGACATATCAACGACGCAGCAAATGTCGACCATGGCCTCGCTTTGCTGATAATAATAGTCAGCAAAGCGACACATCTCATGAACCTCTGCCCGACATACTGTTGTTCCTTGGAATTTCAACATTGGTGGTATGTATTGGTAGCGAACGGCAATTTCCAACCACTGGTTGCCTTGCGCACAATCTTTCAGGAACGTGGACTTGACGAGAATCTAGATCTAGACAGGTAGCAAGGAGGATTCATGGGGAAATACTATGAGGTAGCTGGCTGAGAAAATAATATGACACCTATAATACCCTAAATACACCAGAGACTAAATATAAAATTTCTATCCCTACTTCCTTGCTCTTTTTGCAAGGGAAAGAAAAGAGAGAAAGCAGCCCTTGACCATGTAAATAAGTGAAGCGCTAGTCACAACACACCAGATCCAATGTATAGCAGTGGATAATTTATGAATGCCGGAAGTAGCTGAGCTGGCTCCAGATTATTCTTATCTTGCAAAAGGAACGTTTGCGGAGTTATTTCGAGCAATAGACCAGGCCCGTAAGTAGGTCAAGACTGGGAATAATTGCTTCGTCCGTGAATGGACGATTCCTGACGGCCAAATTTTATTAAGTACGTTTGTATTCTCACCTCAAATAGTCGTCCTCTTGCTTTCTAAACATAAGCAGACATTCGCAAGTAGCCATGTTCATTCAATACACGGTGAAGGACATCTTTTCCTCTCAAGCAGCGCCTCTGGTAGCCGCGCTAGTTTCGAGCTGGATCATTTCTGTGATTGTGTATAAACTTTACTTCCATCCTCTCTCCAAATATCCAGGCCCTTTCTGGGCACGCATCTCAGCATTTCCGGCGTACTACCGTACTAAGAAGCAGAATCGCCATATATGGCTCTGGCAACTACAGCAGAAGTATGGTGAGTTAAATTCTTTACGGGCCGCTAATAGGAAGATATAGTCTGACATTTTCATATCAAATAGGCCCCACATTCCGCATTACTCCCAATAGTGTCTTGATCAACACTCCCACCGGCGCCAATACCATCTTCACCAATAAAGCCAATGTGAAAAAGGCAGAATATTACAACGCCTATCCTCGCAACATTCATGCCATGACAACGTGGAACACTATTGATAAGACTATTCATGCTCGGAAGAGGCGCGTCATGAACAACGCCTTTTCCGATAAGGCAATGCGCTCCTGCGAGCCGTTTATCCAAGAGAACATTGATCGATGGTTCGAATTGGTCAACAAAGAGATTGGTAAAAAGCAATGGTCCGACTCTCTGAACATGGCTCAATGGTCAGATCATCTCGTTTTTGACTTCCTTGGTGATCTATGTTTTGGTAAATCGTTTGGCATGAAGGAGCACAATAGCGATCTGCGACATATCCCACGCCTCATGACCGACTTTATGGCTCTTCACCCCGTAAGAGCCTCCTTCAAGAACGCCAGTACATTATGGCTATGACTAACTAGAGATCTAGATCGCTTATTCCCCCTTTACTGCTCTATGGGTATGGCTCAAGCCTCGTGGTCTCGACCGACTCCTCGCTGTCGCCGCACCTCCTGCCCTAAGTAGATGGCAAGACTTTGTCGAGAAATGCTTCGAAGAGAGAGTAAAAGTCGAAGACGACACTCAAAATTGAACAAGCCCGAAGCTGACAGCCGAAAAGACTTCTTCCATTATCTCCTTCAGACCGTGGACACTGTAACTGGAAAGGGATACACCAAAGATGAGCTATTTAGTGAGAGCGAGTCTCTCATTATTGCTGGCTCTGACACGACTGCTACCAGCATAGCTGCTGCTTTCTTCTACCTTTCGCGCAGCCCTCATATCCAGGAGAAGCTCGCAAAAGAGATTACTTCTGCGTTCTCTAGTGCTGAAGACATCAAGAGCGGCACGACTCTTTATTCTTGTCAGTATCTTCGAGCCTTTATCGACGAAACACTGCGTATGAGTCCTCCCGTTCCAGCCGATCTTGCTCGAGAGGTCGAGAAGGGCGGAATCGTTGTCGATGGGCAGTATATCCCTGAGGGTATCAACGTCAGCTGTGCATCCTACTGCCTTCACCATAACCCTGCGTTCTACCCTGAGCCGTTTAAGTTTTATCCAGAGCGTTGGATAGTTGATGAGAAGAATGAGTCTGGTGTTTCGGCTGAGAGCGTTGCTCTGGCTCAGAGCGCTTTCATGCCTTTCTCTAGTGGACCTCGGGGATGTATTGGAAAGAACCTGGCCTATCTTGAGATGAGTTTGGTTTTGGCGAGGATTGTTTACAACTATGAGATCAGGCCTGATATCACTAGTAATCTTGGTGGCGGTAGCCTTAATGCTGTCGAGGGCCGTCGCACTTGTGATCAGTACCAACTACATGATATATTCGTCGGTATTAGGGATGGACCTATGGTGCAGCTTGCAAAACGGACTCGTTCGGCGTAGCCTTTTCTTTTTTTTAATAATACTCACTGCGGCTCCAATAGGTCTCGAGGGTTTGATTTATTATGCATGCCAGCTGCTCCATACCTTCCTTGCAGGCCAACCCCCACTTGGCCCCTTAGGGTTTTGCCTACCTCCAAGTCAGCTACGACCTGGCTTATCCTATCCTATCCTAACTACTACTAACGTGTTTAATAAGTAGTCTGACCGGACAAGTAGTTTAACCAAAAATAATAGCTCTTAACTTTCAAATTATAATAATAATACCACAAATTATCTAATCAATTAAAACTACTCACTATACTCTTGTCTAGACGCCGCAATTACCTCCTGACAGGTCCTTGCATTATGCCCGGCCTTGCCGCATATACCACAATGCCGAGTACCCCGTCGCGCCGACCTTCCTTGACCACCACCATACATGGACAATCTGTATAACATGTTAAGAAATCCGTTAACATGTTAAACAGAACAAGATAAGAAAAAATACAGACTACTGGATAACAGGATAAGGAACACGACAGTAAGCCAATGAGGCGATGAAATTAAACAATTAATTTATCGGCTCTATTCTATATCAATCAATATCCTCTCTGTCTTCTAAATCGTCAACAGAATTAGTATGATCATCTTTTAATGCGGAAAATATCATCGGTAACCCAAATCCACCGCGGGATGTAGGTATGACATGACCTTCGCGCAGCCAGCTGCCTATACACTCTACCCTCTCAATATTTGCACATTTAATCCGCAGCCTATCCCATTAGCATGTCCTGCGGGCCCCAGAGAAGGCTCTCTCTGGCTCGGATGACTCTGGTGAAATGAAGAGTACCGCGATGGCCATGTGGCTAAGTCGTGGATATGTTCTCCGCTGCTCAGATGCGCACCACCATTGAAGCGGCGTGGAATCGATCTCTATCGGCTCAGCGGTAATGAAGGTCACGAAATCATCCTCAGAACGCAACACGGCGGTCTTTACCTTCATATTCCTCGCCAACTGAGCTAGTTTATTACTCTTGTGTTCCACAATGTCCGCCACAGCGCTCGGAGCGGCTGGAGGCATAGTAGGGAGCTCAATATTGTATTCTTCCTCCCAAATCTCTTGTGCTCCGCCAATTGCGTTGTCGTACCACCCATCCGGCTAGTGCTTAATGTAGGCGTCTCGTTTTCGAAGGGTCGAAAAGGAGAGCGGCGGAATAAACGGGAACGTCCTCGGTCATGGTATATTTTTTATCCATAATGAACCAGCCCATATCGATGGCATGTAGCATGCGTTCATCGCGTGTCTCGGGAGCGCTGTAGTGCCGCTATAATCGTATCAGCATCTATCTTAGCTGTTGAGACCAGCGATGAGATGTCCGCACGGGTCCCGGCCGCAGAACGCATGCGAGAGATGGTCTGGGCGGGGCCATGTTCATCATGGTGTAAGTCATCACCTCTGTTACCACGAATTAACGTCAGTCGAGACTAAAACGCGGTAAAACAGATAAGCTTCCTAATGGAAAAGTCATAGTTCCTTGGCCAGGGACAATACTTCACTACTACGCCGCCACAGAGATAGTAAGATGGGAGGACTATGAAATAAGGTTTGAGAATGAGAAGCAAAAGTTTGCAAGTTACGGAAATGGTATTACACGAGAAGGATTTACTCTTGATAGTATACCTTGGCTGAACCACAATGATCAATATATACGGCCTCAAACTAAGAGCTTCACATTTGGCTAGAATACTCTTGTTTTAATCTAGAAGAATATATTACAATTTAATTTATTCAACTCAAGTATTAGATACGGAAACAGGGCCCGTTCCTTATTTTGACTCTCAACCGTGACCTGGAAACGGCCAATTCCATCGATCAAAATACGGAGTACCCTATAACCACAAATCCGCTGTAAAATAGACTGCTGCTGCTGGAGGCTTGATAGTATGCTGACCGAGATGCTTTAGTGGCTTGCCAGTGTAATGGCAACGAACCTAAGTGGAATACCATTTAGTTAGTTATAAGGGGAAAGAGGCATTTTAACATGGAGGGACCAACAAAACGTGGACAACCACGCAAATATGCAACAGCCCAGGACAAAGCGACAGCAGAAAGTCAACGCAAGCGATAGAAGCGGTAGATAGTAGCAGCTAGTAAGAGGGGCTTGCCATACAGTGATTTCTACACCTTGCACCTTCCTTTTATTACAGCAGAACAGAAAGGAAGAGAGCAATTAAGAGCAGGCGCTGTATGGACTTGAGGATACGAATTTCACATTGATGGTGTGAAACTAAGGTCCAGGAATGGGCTTTAGGAAATGCGGATATAAATTCAGCCGTAAGTGGCACAGCATGGGCTTGAGGAAATAAAGACGAAAAGCAAGCGCTGTATGTAGGCGTTAGCGACTATTACCCTTTCAGTCAGAATAGACCGCCGGGCCCTATCTAAAATAGCTTTTCAGTATGACACATCTAGACATATGTCCAATGGAGATACTTAAGGCTCGGACAACACAGTTCGTCGTGACTCTGCAAGTGCTCTCTCAGGCGTGAAATCAGATGATCCATGTTTTGGCATGGTTGCATAAATGTCAACCTTATAGAAAACAATTTTTGCCACTGAATCTGTTTACAAACATACGTCACTGTCTGAATCTATCGCCCTCGATGAGTCACTTAAATAAAACCAGAAACGGACAAACCTTCCGAGACATTGATGCTTGGGAAGCTCTCAAGAAACGTGATTTAGAGTATGCCATCAACCTTCTCGTCTCAGGCGAATGGACCATCTATGGTGTCATAAAAGACGGCTGGAGCTCTTTGGACGCGAGGGTGGGCGGTGAAAGATGTCACGAGACCGCCCTCCTGGCCTTGATCCTTCGCCGCCTTGTCATCAAGTACTTAAGAGACAGCAAACTTCTGGAGGAATTCAAGGCACTTGTTATCGAATATCGCGCCAATCACGCTCAAGATAAACTGTGGACCAAAGTTTTTAAGGTTCAAGATGTTTATGTTGATAACTCTAACCGTTACAGCCAAATCATGGAATCAATTATTAACACTATAGGTCCTGACTGGACAATGTTTATTGGTTCTGCACGGACACTTGCATCATTTAGTGTGCTCAGCACTATGGAGTGTGGTTTGAGTGTTTATTATCGTCGTTTGGGGGACGTCCTTGTCGCCACGAGCAAGGGACAACGTGCAGCTGGGATGGGAGAATATCATGATGCCGAGTACCCACTACGCACTTCATTCACCGATGCTTCTTTTAAGCTCATTGACAAGCTCTCTGCTAAAACTTTGCCAGAAAGGGACTCGGAAAAGCCTTTCGGTCCAGAGCCTCTGGCCTACAAGACCCTTCCAGAGCAAGCACGAGAGGTGTTCCACTTCTCAAAAGCCAACAAGATCATTCCAGGTCATAATGATTGTCCTATTATCGTGGGGTCATTCTCCGCATCTATGCAGATCTTGGTTAGGCTCTGTTGGCTGTACAAGATCCCAATTACGCTTTGTATGCCCCGTCTGCGATACGAGAAAACTGTCGGTGATTTAGAGAGCTTGGCGACATATAAGCTTACTTCGGCACCTGTGCGGACTTACGTTGCTGCCCAGAAAGCAGGAGGAAGCTTTAAAATGGTAGACTCCATAAAAGAGGGTATTGAAGACGAGCCGTGCTGGAAGCTCGGTGGCTACAGCATGTATCATGAATCACAACTCGGAAGTCTTCTCTCCTCGGGAAATGATGACGAGTATAACAAAACACTGGATCAGGCTGAAGTTGGTCATTTGATGTCTCTATTTGGCTTTGTCCATCCCGAATATCCACTACAAACTGAAAACGGAGGCGCTGACCTTGTGGCGTTGCGAAGGTCAATATGTGGAGAAATCGCCCAATCAGCTGAGCTAACTTTGGAGGGCATCAATTCTGGTTGGGGGTTGAAAGAAGACGGTGGAGTGAACAACATGAGCCTTCGCTCGCTTGCTTCCGCTTGCAATAAGATCACCAGTCAGTACAATCTTCAGGACACGGTTCTCGCATATCAGCGCCACATCGATAAGAAAAGGGCCTCTTATCGAATGCAATGCAAGCCTATACCATTCACCTTTGACCACATTGACATTTCAACTCCAAGACATGAAAAAGCCAAGTGGACTGGCATTCTCAAAAAGCACCTATATACTACGGAGCCCATGTATGCCAATCTTTTTGTGGTAGGTAGGACGGTTTATAGTATGAGGGACCAGACAGAGGCGGACAGGCTCATGATTCTCGTCAACAACGATAATCAGAAGCTAAACACCTTGCTCGAGCGACATCCTGAGCATAGTGTTTTCTTAACGCAAAATCACCAGAAAAAGGTTGACGAGTTTCGAAAAAAGGAAATTGGAAAGAAAAAGGCCAGGTCTAAGGTTACAGAGAAAAGAAGTTCCTAAGCCCCACATAATGCATCATCCAATATATATGTACTCAAATATCTATATTGGGTTTAGAACAAGCTTGGTTGTATAATGAGTGAGATGCCAACATAAAGGTAACATTGATATAGTAACAGAGAAATGAGTTCTGAACGAATATCAATGGAGTATAGTTGACCATTTCGATGTACTCAGTTAGCCTCGACATAAGACATCCTACCTAAAAGATGTTGTCAATTTCAGCGTCGTAGCATACCTGAGATCCCGAATTCTCAGGACGCGAGCTCGTTGTCACTTTTACCGAACATTGGCGTTAGATAGTTTAACCATGCAGCCTATGAGGGTACTCTTGTCTGTATGGCTGTGCTTAGAAGAGAAGGCATCTGATAAACTACGGCCGTTGTGCATCCTAAGCCTTCCACTTTGTTTGATATCTAGCTTGGCCGGCATATAGGTAGATCAAGATACGTCACACGGCCATTTCCATCAGTGGCAGTGGCGGCAGTGCCTCTCATGAGTCACTGTTATGAATAGTCCTAATCGAATGGATGGAATAAATCGCAGCCTTTTCGAGAATTTGGACATGAATGCACTCCCATTATGTCATGAGACTTGAAGCAAGGTCAATACTACGAGTTAAGCTTACCAGATATAGGCAGTGCCCCAAGTTAAGCATGGCCCAACTTTCGTTGCCGAGCTTTACGAAGTGATCTATGAAAGCATGAGGATGAATGAGTGAAACTGAAGCTCCTTTGTGCCTTATTTTATCTCAATCCCTTACGAGCACTTGGTGTGATACTGCCTTCACCTAATCAGATGGATAAGAGGCGAAGCACTTGTCTTTGGTACGTGATTAGTAGTGTGATCAGCGAGCACCGGAATGTCTTCCCGGACAAATGGATGCGCCATTGGTGGAGGCGACGCGAATATTCGTGAAGTTATAGCAGACATCCAGCGGGCCTCGACATGATACCAGGAGTGGAAATAGAACTCCACTTCAGTCGACGAATACAGATCAGTATATAAATATCCATTTGGACTATAACTGGAGCTAGCTACTGGAAGTTAAGAATACGGTGATCTCATATGACCAACAGTTGTCTCATCATGGTTATGATAATCAAGGTTAAGACGGAGTATGCATGTTTAAATGTAGTCCTAGCCCGGGACAGGAAGGAATGAATTGGTGAGTCAACCGCTCTAGTCCTCCATAAAGTCCTTAGGGTAGACCTCAAGGGATCTAATGGCGACTTTGCTGTCGAATTCTGGAATGAAAATCGAACAATCCCCCCCTTGATCAAGACTTATTCTCAGGCAAATGAATCTCAGACCTTCTTTATCAATAGTCTCCTCACATTCAAGACAAGTCCCCTCGTCTTGGATATCATTTGTTCCATCATTCCTTAGAACCTTCGTTTTAGGGAGAAATAACTCTGGAAGAAACTCCCAAGTGATCTCATCACACCGGACAAGTGCTTCTAGCCTATTATCTAGATCTTCGCATAAGTCCTCAAAGATCCTAATGAAGCACCTAAAATGCTCCTTATCCAATAAGAAGGCTGTTATATGGTCAGAGTGGACATCGCGGAACATCCTCAGTTGCGTGCGCTTGTGGAATAACGTCTTGAAATTAACCTTGCAGTCGTTGTTAATTGTGACTATTACAAGATGGATTCACTTACCAAAGTAACAGGCTCCCTGAAGTCTGCGGTTTCAACGCCATAGAGCGCCTTTTCCATCATGAATTGGAGATTTGGGGATATTATATCTACGATAACTGTTCTCTCCTTGGTCTTGGTGTCTGCTTTTGTCAGGTCTTCTTGTCAACCCCAGCTTCAACTGAGGACTTACTCATAGTATACCGGATAGTAAATAAAGAAGAAAGCTGATGCCTCTCAGTGTCTGCATCGTTGGTTTCGTGTTTGAAAGGCTCGACTTTCTCGTAACAGCTACATTCATAATTAGATCTTGTAATATAGACATGTTGCCCTTTCGTAGTTACCTTTCTCCCACCAGTTTCCACTGGGGACTGGATGCGATGAAGGGTTCAGTTTGCTCCGGTTTGAGCATGCTCCAGCCTGGATTTGATTCCATGGTGTCGTGGAGTTGTGTCTGAGCGATCTAAATCCATAATTAACGTCCTCTTACCAGTGGGTGGTAAATGTCTCTTTATAGACTTACAGGGCCTCGCCCGACCCATAAATCAGCCAGACCTGTGGATTATCCTTGTTTCGGCTGGTATTCATGGTCTCAATCAGAACTAGCATTCCTTGCTCGCAACTTCTTGAGAGCCTACCTACAAGTTAGCAACGACCCAGCCCGGCTAGGTCGTAGAAAAAGTAGAGGGGGCAGTGTCTTAGACATTACAATGCGTAAAATGTATAAAACCAGCATGCATTAATTCATTACAGCGCGGTATATAATTTCCCAGCATATCAATTAATTGGAAACCAGACAAGATGTGGAGACTACGAGACAACCATTGGCTTGGTTCTGGCTTCTGAGGAGCTTGCAGACGCAAACATCAAATGCGTGATACATGGTACGGAGCACGGATCAGATCATCGCACGATAGAGACTGTGTTTGACATTTCAGTCCCGGCGCCGAAACAGGAAGAAAGACTTCGGTTCAAGAATGCACCTTGGAAGGAGATCAATAGCAGGATTGTGGACACGCTGAGAGTTAGGCCAGTGGAAAACACAGTGCAGCAGAAAACGGACAGGTTGATGTCGGCTGTGCTGGAAGCAGTCCAAGCACTGACACCCAGAGCCAAACCGTCGCCATATGCAAAGCGGCGGTGGACCCATGACCTCACACAGCTGCGGTATGTATACACATACTGGAGAAATCGAGCCCGAGCCGCAAGGCGTGCGGGACAGAATGCTAAAGATCTAGAAAATACGGCAAAGGCTGCGGCTAAGCAATACCACGATGCCATACAGCAACAGAAGAACACTCACTGGAAGGAGTTTCTGGCGGATAACGACAACATCTGGAAAGCAGCCAAGTACATGATATCCGGGGACGATGCAGCTTTTAAAAAGGGACCCCAACTCGCTAAGGCAGATGGAACAGCGACAACTAGCCATGAAGAGCAAGCCGAAGAACTGCTGGCGAAGTTCTTCCCGCCGCTGCCAGACAACATCGAAGACGAAGGATCACGGCAACAGAGGGCCCCAGTAATGATGCCAGACCTGACCTTGGAGGAAGTAGAACGTCAGCTATGGGCGACCAAGTCATGGAAGGCGCCAGGAGAAGATGGACTACCAGCCATCGTTTGGAAGCAAGTCTGGCCCTCGGTGAAACACGACGTCCTCGCCATCTTCCAGGAATCGGTCGTCGCCGAGAGAATCTCCCACGCGGTAGGTACTTACGGACTTCTTCCGACCAACCATTTTGGTGCGCGCAAGCAGCGATCAGCAGAGCAAGCCTCGTACTCCTACAAGAACACATCTTCTCAGCATGGCGGGCACGCCATGTCGTGAGCCTCATGAGTTTCGACGTGAAAGGGGCATACAATGGCGTGTGCAAAGAGAGGTTGCTGCAGCGGATGAAGGCGAGAGGAATTCCGGAGAGTCTCCTGCGCTGGATCGATGCCTTTTGTTCAGAGCGGACTGCAACCGTCGTAATCAATGGCCAGAGTTCCGAAAGCCGATCTCTGCCATAAGCAGGACTCCCGCAGGGGTCGCCCTTGTCATCGATACTGTGTCTATTCTTTAACGCAGATCTGGTGCAGACGCAGATCGATAGAAATGGTGGTGCCATCGCCTTCGTCGATGACTACACCGCGTGGGTATCGGGACCGACAGCCCAGAGCAACCGGAGAGGAGCACAGGCAATAATCAACAAGGCTCTCGACTGGGAGAAACGCAGCGGCGCGACTTTTGAGGCGGAAAAAAAGGCGATCATACATTTCACCAGGTACACAGGCAGGATAGACTCGGAACCATTCACAATCAAGGGTGAGAGAGTCTTTCCGAAGGACCAAGTCATGATTCTCGGGGTCGTTATGGACTCACGGCTTCACTACAAGCAGCACATTGCAAAGGCAGTAACAAAGGGACTAGAAGCTGCGATGGAGCTGAAACGATTGAAGGGAATGTCTCCCTCGACAACAAGGCAGCTTTTCATAGCCATGGTAGTCCCTGTGGTGGACTATGCCTCCAACGTCTGGATGCATGCGTGCAAAACAGCATCGACATATACGATCCATCGAGTACAAAGGATAGGAGCGCAAGCAATCATAGGGTCTTTCACAAGCGTGGCGACAGGAGTAGCTGAGGCTGAAGCCCACATAGCGACCATCCAAGAAAGGTTCTGGAGACGAGCAAGCAAGCTGTGGGTAGACATACACACGGTACCGCGAACCAACCCGGTCCGGAATCTCCTACGAGGAATCAAAGCCTTCAGACGCTTCATATCTCCACTCAGGCGCATCGCGGATGTATGCAGACAGTTACCGAAATCCAGGAGGGAATCAGCACTTAGGTTTTCAAGACCACAACCAAGATTCTTTATCCTATATAACTCTTTCCAGAAGCTTAGCCATTGAAAAACATGAAGCTATTTTTTTATTCATGATTAGATCTATATTCTTGTTGTAGCTGCTTGTTAAACTCAAGAAAACAATGCCGTCACCGCTCGACCGTGACAGTCACCGCACTAGCCTATCTGGGACTTAGCAATCAAGCCTCTAGCAAACCAGGGTTTAGCGGTCAACTCAGAGACAAGCGCATTCCATCAAGCTGCAGGAACTTCAAGACAGCGCAAGTCAATCACTGTGTAATACTGCATCTTGATCGCTATGCCTAAAGCACACAAAAAGCGTGGGCGACCTCGAAAGTACGATACAACAGAGGATAAAGCAAGACAAGATGTTATTGCTAAACGCGCCGGACGCTAATCCATTTTCACCGCCTCAGACTAGAAGCTTCATGTATTGTAAAAGTACTTAGCTCAAGGATTAATATTATACCAGGGTCTGCAAATCGCTCCTGCTCACTATTTATTAAGTTCTTATTCTTTGTTGGTGTGATATCATATTGCAACTTATGGGCCTCGCCGTCGGTTCTCAATGTTGTCGCCAATCAGATTCTAGCGGCGAGAACTAAACCCGTTTCATTTCAGTTGACATGCTTACTAAGTACGGCGGATCAAAGATTTGCCGTCGGTTGCTCAGTCTAGTTCCTTGCCAGAAACGCGACGTTCGCTCTCTCTTGGCTTTCTGAACGTGTCCCATCCGCCATGAGAAATAAATCGCAGTCCAAGGCCATTGAGGACAACCCTATTGGAAATGGTCTTGATGCCTTTCGTGCGTCTTTCGATTCGATATGCGAAGGCGCGGGTATCTCCTCCACTCCAAACGCGTTAGACAAATTTGCCCAAGAAGGTAATAGGTAGTCATCAAACATTTTGTTCCGGGTCGCCCTCGTCTAACCTTCGTGTAGATCTTCAAAATATTATCCTTGTCCTTGTTTCGGCGCTACAAATCCTCCCGGCTTCTCGTCTGCTTCGAGCCAGTAACGGAAGAACGCTCTTCAGCGAACTATCAAGACAATGCAGCGATTACATCTGACGACTTCGACCTCGATTCAATTAAGTCTCTTCTGAAATCGGCCCTAGCCAGCGAACCCGATGCCCTTATCTGGGATCGAGCCTATGACGCTGTCGCCGAATCCACCCCGCCTCCCCGACCGATAGCCTCTTCCCTCCAACAGACCCCATGGCTGCGCAATACAAGCAGCTTCGCAAACTCGTCCGAACATCGCAAATACGTGGACGACGTGCTAAAAGAGGACCTTGGGTCTATGTATGTCGGGGTCCGTCACTTTCATGACGCATACTTTGGAGGCGTGGCCGGCCTTGACGCAGTGTCCCAGGCGTTCTTCAAGCAATGAGTGGAAGGCAGCGTTCCACTCTTTGAGGACGGTTGGAAGGGATGGCCCAGGGATGCGAACCAGGATGATGTGCTGAGCTGGTTTGCTGACTTCAGCGACAAACTAGCGGCGTTCGCAGACAGCCACGAGTCAATCAAACGCATCAACATCGACGACGGCCTCTTGCCCAGCCCAATAAGCCAATACAAGGTTCTACCGGAGAGCGCAAGTTGGACATCGGTTTTGTCAAGGATATGAGTGCTGGGAAAGACTCGCGGTGCCGCTGGTCGCAGATCTTGGTGCCTGGAGAGCTGAAGAGCAACCCATCCGCCGACAAGGCCTCAATGGCGTGGCTTGATCTGGGGAGGTACGCAAGGGAAGTGCTCGTTGCGCAGAATACCCGTCGCTTCGTCTTGGGCTTTACTATCTGCGGGTCCCTCATGAGGGTATGGGCATTTGACCGGCTCGGGGGCATCGCATCGGAGCAGTTCGACATTAACAAAGATGGGCGTCAGTTTGTGTCCACGATCCTTGGTTTTCTCTGGATGAACGAGAAGCAGCTAGGGTTCGACCCGACAATCATGACGGCAAACGGGGAGCGATTCATCGAGGTCAATCGGAATGGTTCGACCGAGCGGATCATCATCGACGAGGTGATGCAGCGGGCGCCTTGCATAGCTGGTCGAGCGACGACATGTTGGAAAGCCCATCCCGAAGGACGGCCGGAGATGCTGCTTGTCATTAAGGATTCGTGGCAATATCCGGAACGAGATGAAGAAGGCGAACTACTACGTGAGGCGACTGACAAGGGTGTCGTTAACGTAGCCCGGTACTATCACCACGAGACGGTACAGATTGACGGGGCAGATGATGACATCCGGAATAATGTTCGAAGAGGGCTGGATATTACGCAAGCTGCGAACTACCGTCCGGAACGACCAATCCGGCGGAACAACGTCGTGTCTGGCACATCGAGAGAGGGTCGCGGCAGCACCAGTGCCAGCAGAAAGCGTTCATCTAGCCAAGCTGGCGCTCCTCTTCCTTCTAGCAAGCGATCTTGTTCCGTGTCTTCAACGATGGTCACCAGTTCATTACCAAATCGTGTACATCGGCGTGTCATTCTCCGAGACTACGGGATGCCTATCTACAAGGCGAGCTCCCGGTCGGCTCTGCTTGCTGCGTTTGAGCGGTGCATCGAAGGACATGAATCTCTGCATAAGGCAGGCTTCCTTCACAGAGACATCTCGGTCAACAATCTTATGATCAACGAGGATGATGATAACCCCTCCTGGCCTTCCTTCTTGATTGATCTTGACCTGGCCATCAAGGAATCGCGAGAGGCTGCGTCAGGAGCAAAGGGGAAGACCGGAACACGGGCTTTCATGGCAATTGGGGCGCTCCTGGGTGAGCAACATTCTTTTATGCATGATCTAGAGTCATTCTTCTGGGTGCTATTCTGGATATGCATCCACTATGACGGACCAGACAAGAGCAGGACTGTTTCACAGTTTGATAAATGGAACTACGCAGATATGGAGGAGTTAGCCAAACTCAAGTTGGGAACAGTGACAAAGGAGTCGATTTTTGTGGCCACCATGACGAATAATTTCACAGCCTATTACAATCCACTTATCCCATTATTGAATGGACTACGGAAGATTGTTTTCCCTCGGGATAAGCCTTGGGAACGAGAAGATGACAAGCTTTATACTCGATTAAGAAAGATTCTCCGAAACGATTGGGAAGCTTATAGTACTAGTTAGCGACAGGCAGAATAGCACTGTCAATTATTTGAAGCTTTCCAGGGCACCGTCATATGACATCCTATCCTCCAGTAACAAGGGCTCGCTGTAATGTGCCGAATTGCACAGAATCTGGCTCGTGCACGTATCGAGGTTCTTCCAAACATGAACAAGATCATTTTGACCCCACTTATTTTTCATTCTGATCGCCCTTACTGTCCTTCATTACGGTTCATTGCGGTAGAACGCCAATAACGCAAGAATCGATACCCCTTTTCAAATCATATCCTTACAGGTTTAGTTGAACGGCCCTGCTCGAATGATACTGAATTATTGAGCACGAGAAGAGTCGGCTCAGCACAGCGAAGACGGGTTGAAAGAGCCTTGATTTTTTCACAAGTGAAAGTGGCGTAAGAAACGGGTTAAAATGCAGTGATGCGCCCCATATAACAGGCCACATGATAGGCCAACCACGGGCTGTTTGGGAAACCCCGCATCGCCCCACCATCTTTACGATAGCTGCTTTAGTCGGACCTCGACGACAGTTCTTTCGAATGTATGTATGTCTGGAACCGCAACTAAGTACCCTAGTAAGATGGCTCGCTATCGACACAGTGAGTTTCCAAAGCCATGACCCGAAAATGGACATCCAATCTTACGTGATAGAAGCACCACGGGCTCGCACACGACGCGAGGAGCATAGAATAACCAAACAGCGCAGTCGTGGACTGCAGTTGAAGAACGAGCGATGTGTAGTTGGAACTCTGAAGAACTCAAGCCCATAAATATCTCCAGGCGATCCTGGCGGATGTGTATACCTGCATTTTGTGAATAAAAACCAGTACTTTCTCCAGGATAGTGATGGGAGCAACGTCGTTGGGACAAGGTCATTTTCAAGAAAGGATTTGATGTTCAGGATATTGACAAGCTAGCGGAGGAGGTGGTTGGAAAGATCCTGCGCCAGTTAGAGAGGCAGTATTCTGTAGGCGAAATATAAGTTGGCCGGGGTCTTAATGAGTTCCGGTCGACTTCACATTGAAACCTGTTGTTCGAGGCCCTTTCATCATACACGCTTTATGAAAATCTGCACATCAAACTAGAAGCACCATATCATTCCAGTGTGTAGGAGATGTCTATCAACATGGACGAAGTCGATGACAGGTCGCCATCGAAAGTCCACAAAGCCGTGGGCCGATCTGTTTCGAAGTGAAAATGCGAGAATATGGGGAGCATGATGGGAAGCCTTTATTATTTCCCTAGCGCCAATAGCATCTTAGTACTTCACTATCTAAGCATGAAGAACCTATAGTTCGATAGATGAAACTCTACTGTATTCGCTCAGCAATACATCATATCGGCATCTTCAGCGTTGCTTCTGGGTCCGTTACAATTCCCCACTCTCCTCCTCTCCATGAATTTGGGAGAGTAGCCAGTACCAGCGGCTGCGTTTAGCCAATCATTGACTGGCAAGGAAGTTTAAGCCAATGTTTTCCCATGCTTTTTGACTCCAGCTGAGGTTTTTGAGAGACGTAATAGATGATTGTTGTTGTCTTTAGGTCGCGTCTGACGCCTGGCTGCATAGATTTCGAAGAGCATTGTTTATGGTAGGTTATCTTGCCTTTCAGTAAGGCCGACAGGAATCGCCGGGCAAGAGAATGGACCGCCAAAGCTGGTATGGAACTCGAATGGGTTTCCGGACTCAAGGCGGAAGGCGGCTCTTCCAGCCATGTGTGTGCTGTGTTGCTCGCGCAGTCTCAAAATTTCACCCTTCAGGGAAGCCACCTCTTCTTCGCATCTTTCAAGGCTGGCCAAAAGTTTCCATTCATGAAGCCGAGCCATTCTTTCGGTCGTCCTCCTAATCCGGTTTTCCTTCTTCGTCACTTGATCGCATATTTTACAGTCTTTTGCTTCATCTTGCCGCCCATACACAAGCTTCAATCCGCAGGTTTCTCCGATGCGGTACTCTTTGTTGCATTGTTCGCGAAACTTGCCCCACCTCCAGTTGCCGCAAGCCCAAACAACCTGGTCGAAGTAACACATCGTGAAAAAATGAGTGAGGTAAAGTGAAACAGAAAAAGATTTTGGCCTGGAAGAGGCGTTTTTGGGCCTGGCTGCTGGGGCTCTTTGCTTATCTACTCAACCAAAAAGCTATTGATTAGTACCTTTCGAAAGTTCATGGCGACTCCGTTTCAGTGGACGCGAAATTCAATTGCGTGCTCTTTTAATTGATCGACAAGGAATGCTGTTACTGGCTGCCTGTCGTATGAGAAACCACACAAGACCCACTAATCACCAACAATGTCTTCGCCAACCGACGACGAGCAGGGGGGAACCAACAGAACGTAGTAGTAGCAACATCGTCGTACGTAATCGTTGGATCGGACAAAGGGAAACTGTGCCCCCCGCCGCTCTTATGACGGCGGTGCCTTCTTCTTGCCTGATCTTTGGCCATGGCGCACTCGCCCACTTGTACAAGAGACTAGAATTTTTCCATTCACTTTCCTCGGTAGTTGTTTCCCCGAACCTTGTAAAGCGGGGTGAAGGTTCTTCAATACCATAATTGCTCGCCGCCCACTCTTGGCACTCTCGGCTTGGCAAGTGAGGTAAACCCGACGGCTCAGCGTTGGCTTGGCTTAATGATATTGGAAGATGAGTGGGGGAGGGAACCCGATACGGAGCATTGGCGGATCAGGAAGGAGTTCGCACATAGCTAGCCACAGATCAGGATTGTAGGCCCGATGCATTCTGACGTTTATCACGGAGTAATTTAAGATATGGAGCCTTTTGCTACTTATTTTACTGGACAGCGGCTACCACACCAGTCCCGACACAGCGGTACGCTAGCTGTGTTGCCAGGTCAGCCATACACAAACTACTGTACCTAGCTTCAAAGACTGCAGAACCAACAGACACAGGAGACCTAACCCAGAATAATGCGAAACATTGTTCAATCCTGGAAAACATCTATTTCATTACCAATATCAATAACTAAAGCACAGGGACCCTCAGGTGTGCTCGAAGCAACATCCGGCGAGTATTCGTGACAAGAATTGGCATTTGGAGCTACGACAAGGTTATCCACACCTACCTTCTAAAAGCGGTTGTGTCGGTGGGTTTGTTTGAGCGCTAACGAGGGGGCTGTGGGCCCGGGCTACCGGGGAGAAGTTCCGGATCACAGCCTAGACGTTGGACAGGTAATGGGCCAGTCGCTGGGGGCGAGATATCCCTTTCATCCTCTCTTTCCTCCATGGTTTAGCGAATGGCTCTCGTTATTGACAAGGCGCGCTTCTCGACAGTGTCATCCAAAGGCTCAGTGCGGTGCATTTCCTATATTGTACGGCCTGAGGGAGGCTTGTGCCCGCCGCAAACCGCTTGCCAAATGAGCCTTGAAGAACAAGGTTTGATGTAGGGTAGTCATAGAGAAGAGTACTAATTTTTTCTATCACGCTTATCTACAGTAGCAGTTTCGCAATTGCCGCCAGCGTCGGGGTACTATGTCCGTTATACGACCGGTAATGTAGCCTACGAAGGGCCGTTTTAGTCGGCCGCCTGAAAGAAGATGCAGGTTCTGCCAAAGTCCAATTTACACTGTCCTACAAGAAAATAGCTAGCCCATCTTTCTGTTTCATTGCTAAGTGTCCTAAAATGACTGGCGATTTCATTATATACCTACTCGGGCTTGCCCTAACATTCGGTGCCTCTCCTCAGGGTCAATTCAAGTATGAATGTGGATTCGTCGTGATCTCAAGTTGAGGACATGTCAAATGACTTCTTCCGAGCTTGACTGGCTCAATCATGGGAGTGCTCACCATTTAACACGGCCGAAAAGGGGAGTGGGGGGATAACTTGCTCTATCTTCGAGGCAAGCGAGAGTAAGTAAATCACACCAAGTTCCCTCAGCAAACCCGAGTAGGAAAGTACAGAGTAGTTGTTGTGGCAACCTCTTCAAAAATGCAAAGTCCAATCTTGTATCAAAGGTTTTGTTCCAAACTTATTCTTCTACATGTGAGCCTACTAAGTGAAAGAACTCAGGACCCAATCGTCTCCTTTCGGGCAACTCGGTTGAGATTTTGGATGTAGGTGCGTAGCCGGATCTGAGAAGCCGATCGCCTAGTGCTTCAAAACATTCTCAAGGAGAGTATCGTAGGCAGACGCAGGATCGTGTATCTGCGCTGTGGAGTAGGCTTTTAGAAAACACAAAATGCCCGCCTCCATGTCATGTAGCACGCTCGTTGAATCGATAACGAGCAGCTGGCGACCTAGGCTTCGGATAATAGGCCATTCTTCTCGAAGAATTCTTTGTCACAAAGAATGCATAACTAGCTAACGGTACGCAAACGGCCAGTTAAGGCTTAAAGTGCTCGTGCGAGCCCGGTTGAGCACCCACTACTTACTCATGGTAGTATCGTACGAATTGATGGCAATCCCACGAAAGTCCCTAGTTTGGGCGGGACGGAACAGTGACCAAGAAACCTACAGTGATCTATATCAGTACTGATAAAAGGAAATCTTTGTCCGCCTGGAGTTTCATGCATTCCAGTCTTGGGCCTTCAACGTCCCTCATTCTTGGCAAGGGTAGGTTTCCTTTCGCTCGACCCCGAGGGGAACAGGGTCGGTTTGGCCAAGAACCTTTATGCCTGGTAATGGCTATGACGGCGTCTGTAGATATCCTATATTATCACGCCATAGGGACCTCGGATCTGATGCTAATTGACTGCTCTTCACGGATTTCGGTGAGTGTTGCATTTGCGGGTTATTCATATCCTGCCTCTGGCGGCCTTGTCGCCGGCCTTTTTCAATCTAACCCTGCTCAATCAGAATGACGTCTTTAGAGACTGAATTAATCATATAAGGATGCGACGCACAGGTCGGGAGACGATATTCAGGGATACGCGTCGCGATATCCTGGTCTCTTCACGGAGTTGCCTGACTGCGAGGCTGACCGGTCTATGTCTCTCGGCGACTTGAATGGGGAAGTAATTTACGGCCTGGCTCGGGATGAGCGTAAGTTAGCATTAATAACGGCGGCACTGGATCGTCTCCTGGGCCAGCAGGAAATATCCTGCCACTCAATCCACTTTCCAAGGAGCTTATCCTATTCGCCTCTTCGTGGCACTTAAGCATCAGTAACTCCAACACGCCCGAAGACTCTTTATCAAAGGCGCACCAGTTGGGATTATCATTGCCACAATAATTTCTGGTCTGCTGCTAATCTCATTTTGTTACTATGCGATACAAGGTAAGATGTTCATTCATCAGTTAGAATTTTGTCGTTCCCATATATATGAAACCTACTGGGGGTTTTGTGTAAAGCGGCGTTGCGCGCGGAATGAACAAGATACATTCAGTTGGAACAAAGTGGCTCGCAAGTCACTGAGTACTGCCCTTTGCCTCTGGATCTTTCTCCCGATCAGTCGCGTGCTGAAACGACGCAGTGCGGTCAAGGTTAGGTCATAAAGTCAAGTTAGGGGTAGGAACGGTGAATCGTTTTGAGATCGAAATCAAATGGAGCAGAGTCTGAGAGAGTGATATCTATCCCTATTTTGGCTATCTCATTATCCACTGGCTCGCTCATATGTACGATGGGCTGAGGTGTCCGGGTAGGCATGCGTTGTCTGTGAACTACCTGATATGACACTACTTGATATGACTGAACGTCACCCAGAGTCTCGTGTCACTAAACGCTTTCAATCTGCCTCTGGATCCTGCACCCAATCACCCTGGGGAACCCTGAAATTTACTACTTGCGTCGGCTGGCAGCCGACAATTACCTTTGTATGGGAAATTTTGTGGCGCTTGCATGACATGGGCTTGCCGACAATTAAAATGAGTGCCAGCTGACGATCAGCAATATGGTCACCGCAACGGTCTCAGTAAGTTAAAAATCAGGTAAGATATGATGATATCTATCGCAACATTAGATAGAATGCCAGTCATAGAGTAGCATTTGGTGAGCTGAAATTCGACAAAGGTTAATCGCCAATCCCGAGTGACGCTAGCTCTTTCAGGGATAGTCAATTAACCTTCACGTTTAGCTATGAGCTTGTTCTTATTATCCGTTTGAGCGGCACAAGGCTCAGACAATCTTCACCGGCCTTGTGGCAACATTTTTAAAGTCGAGCACTGGGGGAGAAGGACTCATACACGAGACGTACGGTTCGCCTCATAGAAGCCTGAATTATATGTGCAATGGCATTTCAAACCGACATTTACAGAGTTTGGTACGCCGATGTAGAAAGAGGTCTAGGAGGAAGAGTCGGAAGTCTGGCCAAGCGCTAAAAATTAGCGTTACCGAAGTAGGGGCGCCTCGGATAAATATCTCGGGCGCTTCGGCTGCCGGCCAAACCCGCTCGCCAGACGTTGGCTGCTGTGGAATGGCGGCTAAACCCGGGGAGGAAGAGAAACTGATGGCTGCCTGGGTGGCGAGAACAAACGGAGACTGTCTAATCTCAACGCTCCGACCCGAGACGAAGGTTTTTCTTTCTTTCTTCGAAAGAATGTGACTAATAGACGCTCGACATAGACGTGTCGGCTTCATGACTTGCAACAACCTTGTAGAGCATCTGTCCTGGCTGTTTACCGGCCAAGCCCACTACAAGCCTGCAATACCACCGTTTCTGAGGGGCAGTGACGCCTCCCAAACTGGGTTGTCCCAGGTACAACATTCAGACACAAGAACGACGATGCTTCCAACCCGAAGCGTTTAGTCGACTTGACGACGAAGCACATTTAAACGACGCCGTCGACTACATCTTATCGGCCGGGCGGGCTTGGCGCGAGGTTTCGGGATACGGACCAGGTGATAGTGGAGGACGACGACACCATGGCCTGCCTCAAGTCGAGTTCGAGATCCAGGAAGCCCGGTCTTATTTCAAGGCCCCAGCAGCTTCTCAGCTCCTCTTGCATCACCCCTAATCGCTTAGCCCGACAAGATGCTTCTGCCAGGCGCACTAACCTCAGTAAGTACCAGGGTGCCATAGAGACAATTCAAGCTAATTGGGTGTTTCCAGGCACATGGAGCCCTGAACCTTGCAAGACACAAAGCCTACCGAAGACGGCCCCGACTTCGGCCGTGGTCCGAACCCTTCGTACGAGCAGCCCCAATTTCCCCGACCTCAACGCCGATGGTCTGGAGTACTTAGACCTTAACCAACGATGCCTTCGACTGTGCCGCTACGATGCTTACACTGCATATCTTTGACCTCTGCCTTGTATTCCTCTCTTCCTCTAGTATGCCTCGGGTTAATGTTAACCTAAGATGATTATCCCGAGTAAGTTCTTCAAAGCCTTCCTGCAGTAAGCTTTTCTTCGATCTTTCCCACAACTCGGCTGTCGTGGTTGTAGATTGAAACTGTCTACTAATCACCTCCTCTTGAAGTGAACCGACGTCTGGGACCGAAAGATAAAGTATTTTCCTTTATCATAGGGAGTATGTATTATCACATTATGATGATGGCCTCCGTAGCTCATTATGGTTTGTAAGAGGCTTGGATAAGTGGCTTGGGGAAACTGGTTTTTGCAAATTCAGGATTACCTGACCCTCATGTTCAGTGATGTGGATATCAATCCGGTTATGATCCAAAAATCAAAAGACATCTCTCTAATTACCCATTTTTCAAAACGCCACAACTGTCGCGTTACCCCTTTTCTATGTATCATACGCGGACGAACATGTAGCTACGCTTTGGTTTATTTACCGAGCCTGGTTTGGCTACATTTGGGTTTGAAACAGCGCAATATATTCTACCTCCTACCTAGCATAACCCTGTCCTTGTTAAGTTCTTTGCGGTTAACTTCAAATAGAGCATACCAAGATATAATATCAGGTCTGATGACGGCTTTGGCGTGGTGACCATCCGATCGAATGCGATATGTATGAACCCAAGTTGACCATCGTCCGACTCGTCCGGATTGTTCGGATCCACTTCGTATTCCAGACCGATCAAGTCCCTCGAGAAGTCTTTTCTCCCGCCAAACTCCTTCAAGTGAAGAGCAGAATCAAGTCGACGAAGCCACGTGACTGGCGTAGGAAAGCTGTTCCTCGCGTCGATACGTCCTGCTTCTCGACTCATCTCTGTCATGGAGTTGGCACGCGGAGAGCGCTGATGGTGGCACTATTGTGAGATGTACCTCTTATTGTTAGCCCTTGAGGCGGTATGCGGACTGAGTGGAGGTATTTCGGCTTTTAGTGCAATCTTCTCCGCATCTTCGACGAGTCCAATGACATATTGTAAACTTTTAATTCCTTCTCTACTTTGGTCGATGACTTGACTTCTTGGGCTGACGCTGTCGAGGAGGACGATGAGGTCCGCATAGAAGGCCAGCTTGAACAGTGCGTCGATGCCGGCGCCTTCTCGCATTCTGATAACCGACAGGAATCAGAGCAATAGGTTTCTCCCTCTGTCTGGGTGCCGCAAGCGAGGCACGGATCATACAACCATTCTTGGCCTGACGGCATATTGAAGACTGTCGGAAAGTCTGGCGTTGTTGGGGAGTCGGAGAGTGACGGCACGGCTGACACAATATTGTAATATAGAGCTCGAAGCTTTGTGAAGCAGAAGTTGCTCTATCTAGCCATTAGTTCAAAAGTTAATATGCAACAATCGCCTCTTGAGTCGCCTCCCCACCATCTCTCCAACTTAAAGACTATGTTCTACAAATGTATCTGGTATGATTGAATCCTCCCCATCTACGTCCCAATGTTCATCTTCATATCCTCACCAATTTGTTTCCACTGACTGACCAACTTCGAGATACAGAATCTCTTCTAAGTGCGGTAGCTGGCCCCATTAAGAATAGCAAAGCGCTACGCAAACCATTTCTTTGAAAATACAAATCGCCAGTTTAGCGCAATAATGCGCTTTGCTATCGCTTAACAGTGGCCAAATACCGGCAGGCGGCTAACCAAGCATCTGACAGACAAATAGGTAAGATCTACCGACATATCATAATAGCCTTTAGGATCATGAGACTTAGTGACCTGCGCTGCCGCCAGGTTAGCGAGGTATTTTCTGGTATTATACCTTGTTTTGTCAGTATGTCGATACATTCCTAACCGCGGATGAGTCCAGCATGAGGTTACTGGTCACAGATGAGGGGGGGATTACCTCAGCATCCTGCATGACTTCGTACCGAGTTCAAAGCGAGAACCAATACATGGAATGGAAATTATTTCGCCCCTAAGGGGGTCTAAATCCAAGGCACAGTGTGGTAATTAAGCGATTCACAGTCCGGACGATTTGGTCCTGGTACTCAGAGCCCCACAGCTTCATACAACGAACGGTTTAGCCAGTTTTGACCCTCCAAGTGTTTGGAGTCTTATCTTGCATAGCTAATCCTCTTAGGCTAATCCTCGCTTGCCTGCTTTCAAGTAATTCATGTGGAGGAATCTTAAGGTCCCCACAATATAAGATATTCATGAACAGCGATGAGATCAGTCTTTCCACGTACTGATAGTGCGACCGGCCCTTCAGCGATTTAGAAAAGGATGGTTTTCGCACGTTTCTGCTGATCGGGCAACTCTCTGTGCACTAATGAGGTCCGAAGAAAGGTGAGCTTGATCTTTAGCCACCGACCAGAGCTGTTTCCGGACCATCACCGACAACCCATCCTCTCCAGGATCTTTCTACGGTTTGGCTGCCATCGAGTTCTGTTCCACATTTCCGTTTGCAACTCCTTGGCGTGTGGCTACTAGAAAGCATCGCCCCAGCTCCATATTCATAGGGGTACGAGACGTTACAAAGCAACTCCGTCTTAACCAGAATCGTAAATTGCTCTTCACGTGGTTTCTTACGCCGCATTTTTAATATTGAGGGACAGAGGTAGCGACTAGCGTCAAAAATGTAAATATGTGTTCCAAGCAACCTCATCCGTTTGGTGTTCTCGCGGTCCCTCGTAGATGGATAGCCCTGGTCCATATTCATTGAAGGATAATGGTGGAACTGGCTGAGTAAAGACCATCGAATCAGGGGGCATAGTAGCCGTTTGAAATGGTCCTAAACACATCATATCGAACATGACGTCTGGAACCTCCGAGGTGCTAGATCCCTGCTGAGAAGAGATTCTCGGGGTTGCCGGGAAACGACCTCCATTTAGACTCTGCGTATTCAACTCTTTGGTGGTGCTAGCATCACTTGGGCTTCCATCGCAGAGGCTTAGCGAATTACCGTAGGTATCAAAGGCAGTAGAGCAAGCGACTAGCCTATTCACACACTTCTGCGCCTCATTCGCGATGTAGTTCTGGATGAGAACGCAATTGCATTCTGTATGCCGCAGTAATTGGGTCTTTAGGTGGTAAATTTCGACGGTTAGAGACTCGAAACACGTCATGAGATAGCGGTTCTGGTCCTCCATAGTTTCTTCTCGAGCAGCGAGGGCTAAGGCTTCATCACGCTTGCGGAGACGACACTTGTTCGCCGCCATGCGATTACGTTCGAGCACTCGGCGCCGGCGGGGATCCTTGGGAAGATCATCATCATCGGGCTTCTCTCTTTGACCCGTTACCTTCTGCTCTTTTGACTGCTTCTTAGGTTTTCGTCCCCTTTTCCTTGGCTTGGATGACTCTGCAGCCTGCCCAGAGGCACTGGACTCGAAAAGTGCCTCATTTGCTTGTGATTGTGTTCGGGTGTGGGCCCGCCGGTTCAACTTCTTGTCTCCTTGAACGGATTGCAGTATATTTTGTAGTGTTTCGCTACCTCCGAGGTTGTTAAATTCCGTGGGCTGAGTTGGTAATGCGATGTAGGTGGAACCGACACCCACTTCCATCGGGACCGGGGAGGCATCAATCTCTTCCTTAAAGAATGAGCTGGCGCCTATTTGGCTTTGCGTCGGCTGATATGTCATATGGTTTCGAGACATTGGGGGAGCGGTACTCCTCCTGCAGGATGATGGGATCATTAGTACGGTGTGGTGGCGATAACTTCTGAGTGAGATTCGAAGGCAAGACCTCTCAGCGGTGAAGGATAGGACTATACGAAGATAATAGAAAATGACCCAGGTCCGTGGGTTGTAATTGCCAGCTCAGTTAATAAGCTGCGATGAGAGGTCTTCAAACGCCTAGGTTGACACCCTGGATATGGCAGAAGAGGGAATGCGAGGATTAAATATGGCAGATTTCACAAGCAACTAACAGACCAGGCTGCGGTACCGGGCACAGTGCGCAAAAGCTTATCCATACCTAGCTAGGAACACAGCATCAGCAGCGACTAAGCTTAGGACAACCGGGACATGAGCAGAAAACAGACTTTTCCCGTGGGAGGGGATGTTAAACGCCCATCTTCGAAACCCGAGGAGATCAAAAAATTCCTTTATTTAAGGAGATGACCTATGCGGCCATGATTGGCCAATCTGCCGAGGATTTTAGAGCCCAGTCATTAGTCATCATCCTTGTGTTGAGTCTCGAGGGACAGGCAATTTCACTGGGCCAATAAAACACACAGAATCATGCATGCAGAAATGCTTGGCTTGCTTGAAGCTCTTGGAAATGTGTGGGCGGTTTACGGTATGCGCAGGCATGTGATTGTGCTTGGACTTTTGGGGGACGAGGGTTCTGTATAGAGGATAACCGGACACACCAGCTCACCGGAAGGCGCCGAGTTGGGGGCCAGATGAGGATACGACCGGGAGCGTCTTGTCCGTAGTTCTCATCCGACGTGTAATGCGGAGAATTGGGGCGGTACCACGTTCTCTTATTGAGAACTAGCGCCAGCTTCTTACCTCTAAGTTTCAGCCATCCGCGTCATACTTTCACTCGATATCCTGATACCACATAAACACTGTATTGGAGCCATGAGAGCATCGGACGTCTGCTATGTGGTAGTTGAGGACCAGTGGGTGCTCTTGCCGGTTGCTCTTGAGGCTCCGCAGACACTGTGGATAGTCAATTTTGTCGGCTTCAGTCGGAGGTGACATGGCGCATAAGATCGCGCCGCGGATAACTCAAAGTCTGCCCAAGCTACTTGTGCGTTCTTAATGACATCTGTCTTGACTGGTGGTCACTGCATATGCAACCTGTGTCACCGACATCATAAGTGCGTTTTCCACATGTTGAATCCCGGCGCGGGCGAATTGTCGTATTGCAATTAGCAAACAGTGAGAACAATAGTTTTGGAAACAGCAGCCACAAAAGAACTCAATGGGCTTCAATCGTTCATTGCATCTACACCCGCATTGTTTTGACTCGAGGGAGCACGCCACGAACACTACGCGTCCACCAACGGCAGCGACGATATCTGAGCAACAGTACAACCCACGGGAGTGTGACGGTGGAGCCCAAATTTTCAAGTGTCGCCAAAATTCGCCACTTTTACTGGCGTAGTGAATTCTTTTTGCGTCATCGTCATTCTCCGCTCCCGCCCCAAATCCAGCGCCTAGACGCTGTACACTGCGCGCCGCGCTGCACATTGCTCACTGAGTGGCGAGAAGACATTGCAAGTCAAGCTACAGCTGTCAATTAAGAAAGCTATGCGTCTCTGACCTGCTATACCGAGTACGGCTTATAGGCCATGGCAAGGTGGCTCGAAACTCTCCGACCGGTCTGCAACGGTACCGCAGGATAGGTTTCCCAGCAGTATCCCTGATATCCGGGAGTGGTTAACATGTGAATATGACTGATTGCCAAGATGAAGAGGGTCTTTTCACTGTAAACTGACACCTTGCAGAGAGTGCCATTCATGATGTCACTCTATCGATTTCATGGCGTAGCTACTCCTCTCTCTTCTTCAATCTCGATTGCTATGGGCCATTATTGGCACGGCGCCACGCCCAAGTTGATGGGATCTCAACCTTCCTTTTCTCGCCAACGGTCGCACACACCGGAGCTGCCCTCGAGATCAGGGGCGAATTCTAACAACCCAAGAACCCGGAGCTTTCATTACACCTCAAAACGAGCAGCCTGGATATACCCCTGTATGACATGCGGTGTGTAGGAGGCAGCTCTATGAACCATCTATCCAGATGGCCGCTCTACCTCCTCCGAAGGAAGCAGCTACTTTATTTTCTCGGAGATGGAAGAATGCCATTCTCCCTCGCAACTGGCGGGCAGGACAACGACGTCTCAGTCTGGAGCAGACCCAACGAGCGACACATGCTATCAGTCTCTTGAACATCTAGGCACCGCAGCCTCTTCAGCTTCCTCGCCGCCTCCTATCTACGGCGAATCAATGGACATGTCCTGTTCCTCAACACCATTTGGGGATATTTCCACCCCACCCGATTATAATGAAGGAATTCACCCGGTCAAGCCGTCGGCAGAGCACGCTTGGTTGCCCAAATTTCAGAAAGACGGTTTCTTTGTAGCACCGGACAATGGCCTGGAACACCGGCCAGATCTCAAGGCGGGCAACTCGTACTACGCCTCGTCTATTGACAATGATAATCCGGCTGATACGTCAACACGGGGTTTTCCAGAATTAGGAAAGTTCCACGAGCGCGCTGAAGTTGACACTGCTATTAACGCCCAGCCATGGAGGAATGTCGACTACCTTTCTCATGACTGGGAGGAGGAAGAAATCCCGTCATCATGGAAATATATTACCAGCCGCCGAGGAGAGCACCCTAATAGCGCCCGTTTGAAGAATACATGCTGGAGAACATGGACGAAATACAAAAACTACCTGAAGACTGTGTCTCCCAAAACGCTCAAGCTGGTAGGGACATGACGGAATTAGGCACGAATATCAAGCTAACTTTGTAAAGGCTGAAAGATAGTGATGTGAGTTGGCTATATGGGCCCGTTCAGCCAGGTGCTAGCAAGAACTACTTAACATGTGGACAAATGCGCCGGATACAACTGTCGATGATGGGTTGGGCACTGACCTGTCACTCACGCAGAGCGGCTTAAGGTTTTCGTCTTGTTAAGATCGCAAGCACTAGAGTTCATGAAGACTTATTGCCTGGCTCATAATTTTTAGGAACAGTGGTTGCTTTTATGAAAGCTTTCTCTCGCCACGTAGCTTATATTGCATTTACTTCGTTATAGATGAGATTTTATGACGTGAGTAGTCATTTAGCTAAGTTCATTGCTAAGGAAACTAACTACCTTGGCATTACACTAACTTAATTTCGCGACGAGAAGCTTGACGCCTAGACTTGATGTATTTTCTAGTTTCCTTTTTCTCATTTTGGTAAATCATAGGATTCGTACACCCCAAAATTAACCGTCTTGCTAATACCTCGCTTGCCGTGTATGTCCTCAAGCTCGATCTCCGAGGGCGTCCTTTGGGATACCCGAGATTCAAGGATGCGCTCCTGTGAGCTTGTCTGGCTAATGTTATTTCCACTTCGGTGGGCCTCAATTATTTGCTCGTTTGGCGCTACAGAATATAATCCCTTATTGGTATTTGAGGTAAATTGTCTGGGGCCACTTCTGGATGTCTGACTTCGAGAGGAGGATGCATACGCCTGATCCGTGAACACTAATCTGGACGCGAGCATGTCAATGCTACGAGATGCGAGTTAGCAAGCGTATGGCAAGAGTATCTGTATGCCAGTGATGCGTTCAACTGACAGCATGACGAAAGGGAAGAGGCATTCCATGGTGTAGGCAAATCGGTCCAGTTGGCTTGCCACGTTCGTCGCGCTCTGCGCCGTAGTCTGGAAAGAGTCGATGCTGGCAAGATATCGCGCCTTGCGCCCTTGTATATAGCTTGCCATTGTGTTCTCTCCATCCATATACTTGTAGTCGCAAAGGAGCCACTGTCCTTGTCTTTGCTACTCAAACGTGGCTGATTCTTTGTTTCCCAGTACTTCTTTTCACGTTCTACCACCACACTCAGATGAGAACATGAGACCGGGCCGAGTTTCTTGTGGCGCCACTCGCGATTGGAACGAATCTGTATGCACTTTCTTGAGGACATCTCTTTGTAGTTGTGTCTGGGAATTCACTTGGAACCATCTGCTGCCCGCCCTGCTAGGGAAGAAGCGTTGACATGCGACGCCCTCCTCCCATGGTGACTCGTAAGCATGGGGGCTTCTGTTTGGCTCGAAATAGCCTCGATGCCACATTCTAAGAATCACATCGAGTCGAAAAGTCATTTCCTTCCGAATACCGTAATTTGTAAGGGCTGTCGTATTCGAAGTAGCTCTCAAGTGCCGTTTGTTAGCCTCCCAGGCTTTTAGAAGAGCACCACGACGGATTTGCGTAGTATTCGAGGCTTGCCGACGCCCTTGTTTGTCTGCAGAAAGATCGTTCAACATAACCTCACTCAAAGCGAGGAGTGGAAGAAAACCTGACCCGAATATTTCATAGTTGCTGAACATGACAGAAAACAGCTCTTTATGGCAGCTATACGCCTTGGCGCGAATGCCCCCTGTCCTGCGCTCGTGGGGATGGCCTGGGTTGGTGGCTCGAGAGCGCTTCGCCTTAACTTGATAGTCCCCGATATCGCGAAGTAAGAACCGCTGGAATTTCACAGCATTCTAACGAGACTCAGGTACGATTCTGGAGATTTGCTCATGCAGATGAGAATGGCATTGGCTCCTCCATAGAACAGTGAAATGTCCCCGCCCGGCAGTACTATGGGGTGGATCACTCGCAACGTAATCGCGGGCTCCAATATCGATCCAACAGGAATGAATGTCTAGGTGTGCAGGATCAAGAGCCTGAAGGACTGAGCTCTCGAAATCGTCCAAGGATGCGTTAAGTGTTTCTTTCCCGAAAGTATTCTTCAAATCGTGAGACTGAAAAGGTAACCGAGGACCCTTGAAGTATGGCACAGTTTCTCCGCTCTTGGTCGTGAGCTGGAATTCATCTGCTTTGCAGACTACCAGAGTCCAGAAAAGAGGAAGGTCTTCCGCCGGGATTGTATATTACAGATGGACTGCCCTGTTGACATCATCAGGCCTCCATCGATTATTTCCTGGCTTTTCTTGGAACGAACGAGACTTCGCATACGCTATGTCGTACGTTCGTGGTATTTCCTGGCGACAAGGATCAGACATGGCCTCACAAGCTGCCGGGATGATGATGTGATCATAAAGATCTTTCTGATGCTCAAGGGACAGAGCATTCCGAGTGGCTGATGTTGAATCAGGGGCTGCACAAGGGAAAAAGAGGAAGGCCGAAAAATGTACACTATGTGTGTTAGAAGTACCAAGCCCGATATGCCTTGTCTTGGCCAGGTCCAGTCCATGAGGCTGAATCACCTCATCGCATGACAGCTTTAGAGCGAGAGAGGGTAGAAAAGATAGGCGGAAGTTGTTGGGAGGTCGAATTGCTTGCAGACCTGTAGCCCCAAGCCAAACGCTGTCAATATCCCACTGTCTACACAGAATCAACTCTAGTTCATTCTCAGGGAGAAGTTGCATCTGCGATTTGCGGAACGAAAGCAGGTGGCTGGGCTATTTGACAGGAAGCCCCTACACTGTCGGAAAAAGCTGCCGGGATCATAAGATCCAGCTTCACCAAAAATCGTCGGTAGAGGAGGAAGGGAGCTTTGTAGGTACTGTACGCTCTCTCGAAGGGAACAATTATGCTCTGGCTCATTGACCTCAAATCCATTTTCACCTGATCCAAGTGTTCTTGTCAGTATATACCATTCAATAGCCTGTTCGGAGATACGGCAAGACGTACAATTACACTTGGAATGGAAGAAGATTCGGAAAGCCTGGTCGTACGCAGTCTCATGCGGGTCGAGAAAATCGGTGCCTAACTCAGTGTTTTGATGCCGGAGGGCTTCGATGAAGCTATCGAGCGTCTCATTGCGGTTCTCACCGACGTCCGGGGTGATATACCCCGAGGGATATTGTGAAAAGCCAGCGCATGAGGGTACCGAGTATGTCTGTAGATTTGCCCGAACACGACGCGTTGACGTTGAAGGGCCCGGTGCCTCAGCGATAGACTGAGATTGGTGATTATCGATCATCGTGCCTAGCTTGGACTCTCTTGAGGGTGTTGAGGGTAGTCCATCCGTACGTGCGACAGAGGGTAGTGTTTGCGGGAATCCGTAATCGATGCAATCGGTTGCGGTATCTCTGGACGCGAAGTCGCGTAAGCGCTCGGGTCGACTCTGGCGTGCATCCTCAGGGAGTACGCGTTTCAGTGGGAGCTAGCTGGCCTACAGGCCAAGGTCTTCGTGTTGATGGCGCATCAATGTGCGCTGCGACCTGTTCGGCACCATGCCTCGTTTCTCTTGGCTGGCCCGTGGGTGACGGAACTGCCTGATCATCGGTGCTAGCAGAGGCCGTAGGATAAGATGGCGGATGTTCATTGACGTATACTGAAGGCCTGGCTTCTTCAAGCACGGTTATAGCCAAGGGGGGAGCGGAAGGTCCTGTCTGACGCGCTGATAAAGTGATTGTAGTGCTATTGTGCATCAGACCGTTACACGACCCTATCCTTAGGCGGCACCTGGCCATGGATAGAGTTGATCACGCGAATACCAGGGTAAGCAAAACACTCCTGACGAACCAGGTTTTGATGTTTCTGCTGTTGTCGACGCCGCCGGTGCCTCGCCCGCTCGCGTTCGCTTTCGACCTTGGATGGGTTTGTGAAGACTCGGCGGCCCATACTTAACGAAGGGCTTGCTTCCGGTCTGATCATTCATTGTTTCCGTCGTGATTGGAGGTCCCCTTTTATTTCAATTGCGATGCTGACTCTCTAAATAAGCCTAGTTATGTGTTTAAGTTAAATTAAAACAACGGCAGTTGCGAATCACACAACTCCATAAAATTTATCACATCTTGTACATGGATGGCGATTGGTGCCGAACACGACGCGAGAATACGGATTAACTTTGTTTGCGATCCAGCGCACATCATCAAATTAGTTATGCAGAACGGCTTGAAATGCAAGCCATGCATTTCACAAATCAGTCAGGATGTCGCAAGTGGATAGTTGCAGGGGGGTTCCTCTTTAAATAAGCGTTCATTGGCTCACGAAAAGAGTAGCAAGGATGCCGTACATTTTAAACGATTGCTGATTGGATGCTATGAGACAGGGAGGAGAGCCCGCTTTAGTAGATACTTACCCTATACAGGCTTTCAGGTCAGCTTTTTGACCGATACAGCACCTTCCTTTGTCATCACACTTTCTTGGCATACAAGTGTTAAGAAAGTGGCCCTGTCTACACCTAAATCCTTAACAAGTGCACAACAAACATTCCAATCTGCGCTTTGCGCAGTCGCAAACCGCGGCGATGGCCTCGTCTACGACGATCCCGCCCGCTGCCTTGGATCCCTTCGATCTGGGGATCCACACTCCCGTCAACCTGAACCGGGGAGCCCGTGCAGCCCTCTTGCAGAACAGTCCGGCAGCCGTCAACGGCACCATTGGTGTTTCACCCGGTCCCAGGCGGATGGCTCAGACACCATCCTCACCACTCAACCCCGCCACCATCGCCGCAGTTACGGAAGGAGCTGAGCGTGCCAGTCCCGCATCCATTTTTGAACAACGACCGATCTCTATCGTTGAATCAGCCAACGATCTCGCGCGAGAATACGTGGAAGAGTACAACATCAAGCTGGGGGTTTTCCAGGCCTTTTGTGCCAAATTTGAAGAAGCGGCCCAGCAATTCGTCACCGGACCGCAACGACGTTTCGCTCAGCAATTTGCCGATGATTTCCTCGGCTTTTGGAAACGAGAGCTCTCCTGCTCCGGACCTGCGACCCCAAAGCCTACATACAGCAGCGTCGCTGCTGCCGCGCCTCCCACTGACCATGACCGTCTGACCCACAGACAACAACAACAACATGGACGCCGACAAACAGATCCACCTCATCGCCAAGGGCAACAGACGACTATCGCCCCACCCCGACAAGACCTCCGTGTCTTCATCCGTCTAGAAGCCGGAGCTCCGGCCAGGGCCCACAGTAGCTATGCCATCCGGACTCTGATCCGGGAAAAACTCGGCGCCGTCTCGGACAAAATTCGACAGGTGTTCCCGGTCAGATCGGGATGGGCCGTCCTGGCCGCCGACTCTGTCACACGCGACTTTCTGGTAGATAAACAAGCTGAGTGGGCCGCTGAACTGGGAGCTACAGCAGTAGAAACGAACAAGGAATGGTTCACCTATGTGGTCTCAGACGTTCCCGCAAGGCTGACTGACTTTTACGGTAATGAGGTGGATAGTGACAGCGTCGTTAGCGACGAGATAGAAGTCCAGACTGGGATCAAGCCCATTGATGTACGTACCGGAAGACAATTCTCGGATAACCCCTTGACCAAGGCCCTGCTCGTGTCCTTTCTGAAGCCCACAAAGAGATTCTGGTCTCTTTTCGGCAGCAGCGCAGCCAGGCTTGTTGACAAAACCGACCGACCCAGACAGTGTGAGACGTGCTGGGGCTACCACTTTGCCCGCAACTGTCACAGACAGCCAGTTTGCCGACGCTGTGGTGAGACTGGCCATCTTGTAGACGATTGCATCGCACGAGAACAGTGCATCAACTGCTTAGGCCCCCACCAGGCCAACTTCCGTAGGTGCCCAGCTCGGCCAAAGACAGTGCACGGCGTGCTCCGCCGACTCACTAAAGAGCAACGAAAGCATGTCCGGACCGTAGGTGCGGAGACATACCGACAACGACATCGAGAACGGCATCTGGAATCGCATCAGGAAACGCAGCAGGGCATGGCTGAGCGACGAAGCGTGGATGTCACATCACAAGAACAGCCTAACCATCGTGCTCCCAGCCCAGCTGTATCAGGAGCACCCTCGTGCATCATGGTGGCCACGACCCCTCATGCTGGCTATGAAGCAGAGGAAGAACCCGAACAGCCCAGACCAGGCTCACCGCGAAAGCGCCGAATCGTACTCATCACTCGTCCTCATGACCGGGAATAGATATTCTCAAACACGAAAGAACGACAGGAAGCCGCTCAAGATCTTCCAGGCCAACGTCGGCAAGATCCCTCCGGCCCACGACTGCGCCCTGGCGCTGGCCGACTCGGAACGATATGACATTGTGCTCTTGCAAGAGCCGTGGACGGCTCACACAGAGACCCGCTGTCTAACCAAGACTCACCCTGCATACGACACATTCACGCCGGTCGACATGTGGAATAGCAACGATACTCGGCCTAGAGTGATGACATATGTCCGGCGAGACCCCAGACTCCTTGCCGACCAAATTCGGCCCTTCCAGACCCGAGACATTCTCTGGCTCGCGATCAACGGCATGACCATAGTCAACTTCTATCGTCAGAACGACGAGAGGGACGCCCTAGACACGCTATTTCAATGGTCTGTCCCGGAACGTTGCCTCGTAGCTGGCGATTTCAATGCCAGACATCGTAGCTGGCAAACAGGCCAAACTACGAACCGGGGGCAAGAGATAGCAGGATGGGTGTCTGAGAATGACCTCAGCCTTCTCAACACTTTAGATATCCCAACAAACCCGTACGGCAACACAATCGATCTTGCCTTTACTAACCTACCACTTGCTGAAGCTATCGTCGAGGACCATCTCGCCACCAGCTCTGACCACTTCACGCTCAGCCTGACCTTCCCAGACGTCAGATCGACTCCGGTGCAGCCAGGCAAGATTCGAGTGACGACGGAAGACGAGCTTAAACGATTCGTCGAGATCGTAGAGCTTGGCGCTACAGGAATCCCCCTCACAGATTCGACCCCCGAGGAGCTGGACGAGCTTGCGTCTTCACTCGTGAGTCTACTAACATCAGCAGCAAAAGCGTCTGGGAGGCCCGCGCGGAAAGGCGGACGCCCGGCTCCCTGGTGGACGGAGGAGTGCGCCGACGCCGCGGCTGCTTTTCGAGCCATCAGAAGAAGCTACCCACTCGGCTTCAACCAGGACGTTCAGATCGCCAAAAGAGGCTTTCATCGTGTGGTCCGTCGGGCCAAGAGGCGCTATTGGCGTAACCTCATCGATGGCTTCTCCAGCAGTAGCGACGTTTTCAAAGCTGTCCGGTGGCTAAAGTCCCCAGGAGCCTTCCAGCCGCCACCTCTACAGGTCGATAACGTCGTGTACGAAAGCCAGATGGATAAAGCCAACGCACTCCGACAGGCCACGCTTGAACGAAGAACTGCGGAGGACGACATCGCAAACGCATGGACGCCAGTATTCCCACCTAGATCGATCCCATTCTCTCCCGAAATCTCTCTGGAGGAGGCGCAATATGCGACTTGTCACACAGGCAATACATCCCCAGGGTCAGACAACATCACAGTCAAACTTCTTGAAGCAGTATGGCATACCATCGGTACACACGTCCGGCGTCTCTTCGAAAGATGCCTTACCATAGGCCATCATCCAAAACCATTCAAGGAGGCGGAGGTGGTCATGATCGCGAAACCGGGACGGAGAGACCTTACCGAACCACGAGCATGGCGACCCATCTCACTGCTCTCCTGTCTTGGTAAGGGACTAGAACGACTGATCGCGCGCCGCCTAGCCTGGGCAGCCGTTCACTACAGCGTCCTTCATCCGCAGCAAGCTGGGGCGCTCCCCAAGAGGTCGGCAACAGACTTGGTAACTGCTCTGGTCCATGATATTGAAGAAGCGTTTGCACGCAAGAAGGTGGCGACTCTAGTCACAATGGACGTCCAAGGTGCTTTCGACACCGTCATGCGCAACAGGCTCGTCCTGCGTCTTCGTGAGCAAGGCTGGCCTAATCATCTGGCTCGCTGGGCCGGCTCCTTCATGGGCGGCCGGTCGGCGCGTGTCAGGTACCAAGACACAGTCACGCCCTCTTCTCCCCTTCAGTGCGGCCTCCCTCAGGGGTCGCCGGTATCGCCAATCCTCTTTCTGCTCTACACTGAGCCAATCTATCGATTAGGGAACCCTCAGGGTCGCTTCGGCTATGCAGACGACACGGCCATCCTGTCCATAGGCGACACAGTAGACGAGACTTCTGCCATGGCATCTAGTTCCATCGCCGAGATGGTGCGATGGGGCGCGGAGAATGGCGTGTCCTTCGACACGAAGAAGACCGAAGTCATGCATTTCTCCCGCAGCAAACTCAGGACTGCGCCGGCAGTGCGCCACGGCGATGTCGAGAAATACCCTGAACCAGCTCTACGCTGGCTTGGTATCTGGTTGGATAGCAGACTATCTTTTCGACTTCATGTCGAAAAGTGGGCGGCCAAAGCAAAGGCAGTGGCTTATCATTTGCGGGGGCTCACCAACACGGTACACGGCCCTCTACCGAGCGCCGTGCGAGGCGCCGTCAGAGCATGTGTCGAGCCAGTGCTGCTCCACGGCTCAGAGGCGTGGTACCCGGGCAAGACCAGGCCGCGGTGGACCCATCCTACGAAAGATCTACCATCGAGTAACCAGCATCTCGTGCAAATAATGACAAAAGCCATGAAACAGGCTATGAAGGCCATTCTTCCCGTCTGGAAGACGACACCCATCACCGTCCTCCACAGAGAAAGCGGGATACCACCAGTCGATCAATTGCTTGACGCGAGGCGACTTAGGTTCTCCGCACGACTCAAATCGCTGGATGAGGCTCATCCTCTGGCGATCCGAACGCGCCCGCCCCGACAGCCTACTTACCACGACCTCATCAAACGAAGATATCAAATACAGGCAGAGAGCAGCTTCAGGACGCGCCTTCGACGTGCAAACGAACTCTTTGCACCCTGCACGCGGCCGAAACTCGTCTATCGATGCTTCCATCAAGAACAGTTGCCCCCACTGCAGACAGCGTCTAAAGAGAAATCGGCTGACGCCTTTTCCCGCTGGGTCGAGTCTCTCGACCCGCTCACCTTGGTCGTATACTCGGATGGCTCTCTTTCCTCAGAAGGGGCTGCCAGCTATGGCTTCACCATCCATCAGAACAATATCCCCATCTTTGACGGATCAGGTCGCCTCGGACCTGCTGAGGTTTTCGATGCTGAAGCTACCGGGGCTTTAGAGGGCCTGAAGGCTGCTCTAAACCTGCGAGAATTAGCAACACAGAATATATTCATCTGCCTAGATAACCTGGCAGCCGCCACGTGTCTACGAGGCACTCCTTCTGAATCCTCTCAAAACGTCTTTCTCGAGTTCCAAGCTCTGACGACATCGCATGGAGCCATCCAAGTTCGCTGGGTGCCAGGGCACTCCAACATCCCTGGCAACGAACAGGCCGACAAGCTGGCAAAGGCAGCGTCATCGCTCCCCGAGCCCGAAGGCGCTCAACCGACGCTGGCTTACCTACGAAGAATCGCAAGACAGAAGCCGAAAGAAGCGTTCCAGGCGTGGTGGTCCACCTCCGCTCCTGAGCAGTACAAAAGACTCAATCTCAAGGCGACTACAGGCTGTCCGCCGGAGCTGTCGCTCCCGCGTGCAGCCTTGCACCATCTGCTGGCAGCAAGGTCGCTTCATGGGGACTTCGCCGCATATCACGAGAGATTCGACCATAGTGATGCACGCCTGGTCTGCTCATGCAACCGACGCAAAGCACCGGACCACATCTTCTACTGCAGAAAGGTACCGCCGCGTCATCGGATGAGGTTGGCACCCTCACCGAATGCAGCAGTCAACCTGGCAACAGGAAGAGACTTCACCAAGTTCACCGAACTGTCTAAAGCCAGCGTTTTCTTTGGAAAGATCTGTCCTCGTTATTAGACGAGCACGACCCGGGACGCACTCGCATCCTTCCTCCCCTCTTTTACCCTTATACATTTCCTTTTTCTTACCTTTCTCTCTTACCTGTTCTCGGCCAGATGAAGGGCGCTAGCACGCCCTCTATCTGATCGTGACCACTTGAAGGCAGCCCTGAGGCTACCGCGCCCAGAGGCTCACGATCGCCTAACAACGGGCTTACCTTGCGGCTGTCGTTCATCAGCCGCGCCTGATCATCCCGCTGACGGGTAACAGGCTAGATAAGATGCGCCATTTGTGCCGTTGATATGCTGGATAGTGTGAGGTCTATCGACGCGTCTGCAGAATTGGAATTCGAGAGGAAGTCATAGTATTCTGTAATTAGTGTGTAGATAGGTCCCAATTTCTCTAGCTCAGCACGTCCTGTGCTCCATTAGGAGACTTTCGGGGCCTACGGCCCCCCGGACGAAAAATATACATAACATAACATAACATAACATAACATATTTGACCGATACAGATCGCCCCGGGTGAAAAAAATACAATTACCTGAATTAAATCAATTCATAGGAGCTCCAATACAGTATGACAATTTTTTAGTCCGTGCATCACTGTGGTGGGGAGGTGATGCGTCAAATTCTGTTTTGTTTATTCTTTTCAAACGCACAGGTCAACCCTGACCCCTCCGACCATCATAGATCGGACCCGGACCCCGCGCTGCCGCGCAACCTGCCGTTCGCGGATTTGCACAGGTTCACCTACCCACCTACTAAATCCTTCTTTGTCCTTTTTACTACTTTCTTAGCGCTGCGCGCCTACCTGCCGTTAGCCGACTTACATGGGTATACGTCCCTAATAACCCCCCTTTGTAACGGTTGCACAAGCCGTTAAACCACAGGGCAAAAGATCGGGCCATAATCGCTATGCAAGCAATCATGGGTGTGTGGGATGATGTCAACAAGGGTGTATCGAGAGGGCTACGAGATATTACGCCTCTGCGGGCCAGTATTTAGTATTAATGGTAATTTAAGGAACTAAAGGACACGACGCGTGCGTGGATACCCCAGTAACGTGTGCGGACCGAATCTGGTCAAATTACCACTATGACCGCGCACAGTAGGTAGGCAGTCGTGATTATGCTACTAGCAATTCATCACCACAGGCAGACTGGCTATATTACTGACGAATGAGACTCTCTTCATACTCTGCCCCATTCCGTCAAGATTTTAGAATGATGCACCGTTTCTAGCGCCAACCTGACTTCATGCCCCGTTCTTTACCGCACGACGCTGTTTTAAAAAGCGATTAATTGGAAGGAAGATCCATAAGCAAACGGCAGCATTCAGTGTCTTGCGAGCGACTTTATTCCAACTGAAGATATCTCGTTCATTCCTTGCACGACGCCGTTCTACAGAGGACCTCAGTAAGTTTCATATATATCGGAATGACTGAATTTTATTTAGTGAACGAACAACGTACCTTGTATCGTATAGTAACAAAATGTAATCAGCAGCAGACCAATAATTACTGCCGCAATGGAAATTCCAACTTTTGCGCTTCGGGACAAAGAGCCTTTGGGCACATTGGAGCTGCTGCCCTTTACGGGATGTTGCGCTGAGTTGCCTTGATGTTTAGCCATGATCGACCTGTGAGATGGTCGATCTGCGTAGTGTTTGCTGTATATACTCTTTCAAAGGCCATATGTGGCTTTTAATCTCGGAACGGTCAGTAATAGGAGCGAACTCTGGTCTGCATACCATGCCTAGTCCTACAGTCCAAAATCAATTGTTGTACGGAGTACAATTGATTTATTTTACCCCACTTTACAAGGGGTAGACTTGATTTTCGACAGGGGGTAGACTTGAATTTCTGATTGGTGCTTGATTACACGCTGTCCGCGTAACGATGCGGCTGGGGGACATCGCCGATGGCTTGGAAATTGAACACTTGAGGGAATTGAGCTTCAATTTGACTTGTTATTTATTAATTTCTTCAAGGAAGAACAACAAGAACTAGAGCGATAGCATGGTTAGCTTCAGGGCCCTTAGGCGTTAGCCTACCGAGCGCCGTCGGGTATATGCTAATGATAGAACCTAGTACCCGATACTATCCGTGTCTAGCCGTGATGATATTTGCTTAGTCACGGGCTTCTCACGCGTGGGATAACCGAAAGGAAGTGGAGAGCTACCAAAGCGACTGTCCAATAGCAGAAAGCAATTTAAATATGGTGGATGCGCGTTGGCCCCAGCAATCGCAAAACAAACAACAAAACAGAACGATTTCAAGTTATTGGCAATTATCGACAACCAACCTCGTGGCTTCATGCTATAGCTCCATATGGAAACTGAAAAGGTCATGGCAGATAACGGTGTATCAAAATCTATCCAGCAATGTCTCAAACCTCGTCGTCGACTATTCGCTGCCACGCGTCAGCAGAAGAACGTCTTCTTTTATCATCCTGGCTACCAGGACGGCCACAACCTCCTCTTGAATCTACCAGCGTTGGATGCAGGGGGAATCCATCATGAGACCGCACGAATCGCTTGTGCTATCCTCGCCGCCTGTAGATTTGATGGTTATTTCTCGACGAGTAAAAACGGGCCAAAAATTCCAGACAGACCGGATGATATCCTACAAGACAAGAAATATTATTTTTGTATCGAAGGCGGTAAGCTAGCCTTGATATCTCCGAGCTATTTGTATGAGGTTTTGCTGATAAATATTGACAATAGATATCGAGTACCCGATTGTGCCATCGTTCGATAACTTCCAATGTCCCGACGAGCTTCCTGAGTCATGGTTGGATGACCTCGCTCCAATCGAACCAGGAGTATATAGAGATGCCCGCGAGCGTGATAGCGGGTGCCGTATAACAGGCTCATTTCTGCCTACGGAGTTGGCCCATATTATTCCGCAAGCACAGAGCGACTGGTGGCAGAAAAACCTTATGTATACTTACGTCGCCAACCCCGACGAGAGCTTTGATGCAAAATGTCCGGACAATACGATTCTACTTCGATGCGACATGCATAAAATGTGGGACGACAATCGATTTGCTGTCTTGCCCAAGGCTGGCGGATGGTATACCCATGTGCTTCTTAACAGCACTACTACTGAGCTAGAGCAGGAGTATCACAATCTTCAACTGCAACCCCTGCGAGGGGTTTCACGATATTTCTTCTTCTGTCGCTTCGCTCTTGCTATTTTTGCCAAGAGTGCGTTCCTTAGGCAGCGTATACGGCGCAAGCTAGTTATCCTCGACCATTCAGGCTCATCGAAAGTGCGCGAGATGTCGGTGGACGAGTATAAGGAACTTATCAATCTTGCTGCCCGCGGGACAAGCAGAAGCACCAGCCCAACAAAACGACAAAGGCGCGATCAATCACAAAGCAACCCACAAGGCGATGCATTTTCCCATGTCGACGATTCACCCGAGGACGAACTCGAGGACGACGCGGATCAGGAATTTACACGAGGACGCTCTCGGAAACGGGTCGGTTCGCCTATACTGCCTGATGATATCGATATGGATGGGACACTTGCTCCTAGCAGTCCACCGCCAAAACGACAACGACTTACCGATACACCTGTTCAACCTCACACTCCGCCTCAATCCATCAGTCCAAATAGATCTTAAGGATATTCCAAAGGCTAGAGGACCAGATATAGCGAAGATTGTGACGACAAGGAAAGCAACAGATGCTCACGTGGCCATCGTCAGTTATCTGACGGCGTGTAGGTTTGGCCAGTATTACTGCTTGCCAACCTCTAAGATGCACCTCGGCTTTTGTCTGATGTTGAGGACAGCCGCGCATATCCTCATCATCACTTTGGTCGCTGCCAGTCCCATATCCATTACTCCCATTATCATCCCTCAAATCATTGAGGGGTCTCTTCCGGCGCCCAGAGATTAGCACATAAATCTGTCTTATCCTATGCATTTGCTTGAACATCCTCCCAGAACGGCAGTACAATCCATAAATAGTATATAACCAAGACACTGACTTCTCTCGGCAAAAACCGATGTATAACCTTGAGCCGCTCGATTTTTTGAGAATTCCTTGTAGAGTCTCCAACCACGAGCAGCCTGCCGCATAGGGATTAGTTAAAAGAATCGTTGGAGCCGCCATGACGCAATGGATTCGAAATGGCTGAGGAACCCCGCTTCCATATTACTTCAATTTGTTACGAGCATTGGCTATTACCACGGTCAGCTTGTATTTAATTTTGAATTTGTTTCTAGGAGATACGAACCTAGTATCGATCATTATGACAGATTTCCCAAAATACAAGGCCAACACTGTGTGGTGGAACAGCTCTTCTATGTACATCCGCTGCCCACACTGCGACAAGATCCATCGACATGGCTTTGATGGGAACTATCACGTCATACACCATCGCGCACCCCATTGCGAGGGTGGTGAGTCTTACACGATCTGTTTTCCCTCCGATGGATTCTACGAAATCGACAGGAGCAGGGGTTTGTACGTGCGTGCAGGAGCCGACCCCGCCGCGTACTTCGCGCAGTTTGACCCTGTCCCTAAGGTAGACGTCAGCGACCGGCGCAAGTGGACTGAAGCACGGGAGGAAGTTGAGCTAGACGGCCTCGACTTTGGACCTATTCGCGTCAACAGACTGGACTTAACTGTCTCCGACATGATTGCGGGTAGATTACAGACAGTACGCTCCTATCTTGAAACATGTCCGGAGAAGGACATCTTTCTCCATGGTGTACAAGCTTTCGCGTATCGTCATTCTAGTATTGATGAAAGTGATGCCAGTCAAAACGTCACCGAAGATGACCGGGATGGAAACAATGAAACCACACAAACGGAGAGAGAGAGAATCACGACATCTGGGGAAACTGCACTACATATGGCCGCTTGTGAGATGTATCCAGAAATGGTCAAATTACTCCTTGATTTTGGTGCTGATCCGAATGTGAGAACGGTTGACGGACGAACGCCGCTAATGGAAGCTGCGATCTGGGGACGCTTGGAAAATGTGAAGTGCTTGCTTTCCCACGGAGCTGATAAGTCCATCACATGCATGCGAGAAGGGAAATGGTTACGTGCTATCGACTTTGCTGCGGATACTCGTGAGAATAGTGAAGAACGATACGACCGATCCGGTGATAAGCATCAAGTTTATAAGGAGGTGACGCATGAAAGAAATCAGGACCGTGTGGCAATCGTCCGGGAACTCTATGATGACGTTGGAGAGGGAGAAAGTCGGAACACAGCTATCTTTTCACATCTCGACGGCTTCGCCCTTACAACCCTAAGTGATGGGAGGAGTATCATTTCTTTACTTGCCAACTTTGACGTACCCAACAGACATAAGACCATTGGCATCCTCTTCAGAGGTGATACCATTGGCGGGCCTGGTTTTCCGCCCGTGGCTGCGATGAGTGGTTGGAAGCACCAGTCAGGCCCGGAACTTAATGTTTAGATTGAGGGAAGAACATGGACAGATGAGGTCCTTCGCCTTTGTCGAATCGTTGGCCACCACCTGCCTGCAGATGAAAAAGATCAAGGCAGACCCGGGCAGTTTAATGCTTGCCACGCAGAGAAGCAATTGGCTGCTTACTTTATAAGCAAGCATGTATTCCTTTCTCCGGATTTGGCTGTGGATGACCTTGGAATGTCAAGTTTATCTCTTGATACATCGCAAAGTGACTGCGAGCACCAAGATATGCTTGACGAGCTTCAAAAAGTACAACCCCCTGAGAGACTTCAGAAAGGGACAATTCTTGCTTCTCGTGCGATATGTAAGGACTGTAATGACTTTGTCGAGAAAGTCAATATGGCGCTCGGGTTGATGATAGAGTTCCGGGGAGTCAAGCAGTACTCTTGAGGCGGTGAGGAGATAGCCAATCTCGAGCAGGAAACCTATCCTAGCTGCGCGGCGGATTCAGCTGCGAATCCATTTGAACTCCTATAAAAAAAAAAGGTTCTAATGAAATGGCAACCTACTCTTCTATTCTTAATTGTCGTGTCACCTTAATTGTCCCGTATCCCTGTTCACTTCTCAAGTCCCTAGTAGTCTATCTAGTAGTCAATGACAAGCGATTTGGCCGGAACCGTCCATTCAGCTCATTTCCGCAGATTCGTTTATAGCCGGGCTGTATCGGTGATTGGTTCAAATTTCACTTAAGGTGGGGATCGCTTAGTATTGAGGGGCCTGCCGTAAGAGGTAAACACGGCAATGAGACCATGTGGCTAAGGCAGTCTGACCTGCTGGTGACTGGGATGTGGCTACTATACAAGGAGCTGTGCTCCTTTCAGACAAATGTGACTTAGAACTAACAATAACATAATCAACCACTTTTTGTGTTACCAACGCAGTCGTGGTGGTAATCCGATGAAGTACAATAAACTTGCACGTGCACGCGCTGTGTTTTTTGTAACTTAGTTGAACTCGGTATTTGCCGGTATAGGAGGAAGCTACGCAAATGCTGCTTTTTGTTTAGTATATGGCCCACCTGCCAGCGCCAGTATCGTAGTCTTACAAACGAAAAAAATGTTAAAAAAGAAACAGTCTAGACAGTTCACAATGCCGTTGTAACTCAATTCTCATCAGTGATTCAGCTGTGGTGGTATGTTATAAATATTCACGATCGGGATCGCCGGATTAACGAGGAACAATATCACTCCAATGCTAATATATTCAAGTCATCCTGCGCCAGGGCTTATATAAAATGACCTTGGCAGTTTGTAACTGATTACAACTAAATTCATTCCCTGTCCTCTACATCCACATTATGAGTAGAAGAAAATCAGACTCAGCAAAGACTGTTTGAATTTTGGAAAGACAAGACACCTTGCCATTGGCTACAACAGTTATGGGAGACTCAAGACCACGACAGACCAAGATAATAATCCACTATACAGACGTGTCTGTTCTTCAAATGACTCCACATTGATTCATCGGAATCAAAGCTGCGATGATCTTTCAGCCCAGAGCCACAATCAAAGAAGTACCAGCAATGCCCATGCGTATCCGTCTGTCCGAGGCGCCCAGGACGCCCGATAAAGCTGACATGTTTCGCCCTTAGATGTTCAATGGCTTGCCCCATGTCAGCCATTTCTTTATCATGCTCATCGCATGTTAATACAGGCCGCTGGCTAAATATCGTCAGTATCAATGGTCCTGTTATCGTGCTCTGATACGTAGCGCATACTTTCTCATCGCAAAGGAGCCTTTGCCTCTATAGGCTGCGGTAATAAATAATTCTCTTGTGCACTATGGTCAGGTTTCAATGTAAGTCGAGTAATCCGGGAAGTAATGTTGAATTTGGGAGCTCTGGAAAGTCATTGATGGCATTTGCGCGTGGGGTTTTGGTCCTAGAAATACTGTACACAATAGGACCATAGCTCAAACTATAAATCACCTGGTCTCATTCAACTTCTACATCCAGTCTGTCTGGAGGCCTACCATATCCAATATTGGTTGATGAATAGGGACGTAATTAATGCCTTCTCTCAGAGCGGCCGCTGCTTATTCGTTCCTGAAATTGCAATGACGTTGCTGTAGGCATCAGCATGCCGACCATCTTTATCATGATGACGTGGTTTCCAAGAAAGAACCAGAACTTTCAGCATTTTAAAGCAAATACAACCCTCTTTGACATCGGCGGCACTCAAATTCTCCGGTTGACTACAGCACTTATGGCACTGCTGTGTTATGTCCACAGACTAGCTAATAACAATGAGTTCAGCTGCCGAAACATGCAGCGCTCAGAATTGCCCGCAGCAACTATTGAAACTTCTACCTTCCTCTTCCAGTAAAGTTCATTGTGATTTCGAATGTATTCGAAGAGACTCTCTCCATATATGTCTATTTGAATGTTAATTCACTGGCTATTCTAGTATTGGTTGAAATCTTGCTGGACATGAAGTATTTCCCATGTTGCCCCCAGAACACCTTTATACGTATTGCGGTAAGAGACAAACCATCTATCTGCAAGTCTTGGACCCTATCAGCGTAGTACATGACGAACTCTAGTAGAGTTGTTTTTCAAGCCTTACTTCACAGGGGGTAGATCAGTGAACCAATGTTGAGCTCTAGGTTTCGGGTTTTGACCTTCGTATAGCCGCCGGTCGTGATGCCCCTTCCCCAGCGCAACCGCACAGTATTGAGTCGCACACTAAAACATAGTCCTAGGGCTATAAAGGATCATAGAAGATCTTACTTCATTTATAAAATAGCTTTTGATTCCCTGTTGGGCTTTAAATCGGTCGTGGAAATCAAGAGATCGTAGCTATGGGGTCAGTCTGCGTAGAATCTCGCAAAGGTCGATACTTTCATACCGAACGACACCTGCTATTGCCCTTTTCGTGCTACCTAGTTCTCAAATATGTAATCGTCATCTGAATGCCATCCAAGTTTAAATTTTATGACACCGTACATTTGGTAATAAGTGTCGAGAGTCAGATTAAAAAATGTGTGGCTCTTGTAACAAAGTTCACGCCACTGCTGAAGCGGCGGCGGATCACCGCCTTCCCTTTCCCGCATCATATTTAGTTACAGCGAATCCCCCAGCACCACGATCGGAAGCATTGACTTCTGTATCAAGCAGAAATTAGAAAGTGCATGAACCTGTACGTTTAAGAGAGAGATCATGGCCGTTTGTTCCTAGGCTAACTACAGAATATGTCTTACTCAAAATCAAATAAATGGAATTATTTGGAGCAGACGAAAATGCCGAAGTGATGTCAATGATATTATCCAGAATTTATCCGACTCCAGCCACGACAGCGCCCTACAATGACTCTCAGGTATACGATGACATCCCGTGTTTCAAGTCTGTTCCGACTGTTGGTTTCTGGTACGTTATTCGAGACCGACTCTCAGGGGGATATTGGCACGGTCGGAAATTGAACAATGCGGCGCGGTTTGGATGAACCTTAATACAGTAGGTATAAGAGAGATTCCAAAATATATTCATCGACCTATATAGAGGTCTTAGTGACTCTTGTGACAATTTTCAATAGAGTCATGTCTCACTGCAGTCTTCGAATTGCTCTACGTGATCAAATTCGCTGTCATCACCAGAAATAGGGATGGCCTCGTCGCCGTCCATACCATTCGGCACCGTATTCTCATTCTTTGATGCTACCTTCAGGCCTCCCAGCACATGGAGAGCCTTTTCCAGCCTTTCGCCCGCCAGAGCGCGATACTTTTCATCTTCTCGTTCCATTTGGCGCAGATTCTCCCGTTCCTCCTGATCGAGTTCGGCGCGCTGCTTGGCTATTTCTTCCTGGGCCTTTTCTAGTTGTAGCTGGATAAATTCTTTGTTCCGAGTAAGCTCTGCAAGTGTTGATCGAGCATCCAAACGTAGCTGCGATATGGCCTTCGTGTAGATGTTATCTCCCAGAACTGCAGCGAGGTCTTCTGCATCGGCAAGAAACCTCTCTAGTCCTGTTGAGTTGGTACGCAGTCGATGAACAGCTGTATGTCTAATTTGTGCAATCGAAGGTAGCAATTCTGCCAAGGGCTTGCCGTCTCCTTGCCGTTCCAGGTTTCCCTCACGTCCGAGGAGCTCCGCCCATTTACTGAGTTCTACCGATTCCGGACAATCCCAGCCCCGTTTTTGCATGATACTTGGGAGTTTTCTAACTCCATACCGGTAACAGGCAAGTTCCAGAATCTTTTGTAGTTTCTCCATAAGCAGATGCTGTATAGGAAACGGCAGATGGACTGGAAACAACGATGAGATGCCAACTTCACTGGACACAGTGCTGTCACTAGCGTCTGGCGAGATTTAGTTACTATCACCAACCTTAAAGATGAGTCCGACGAACCATATACTGCCGCTGTGGTTTCTGCTGAGTTAAAGGCATCCTGACTGTCATCTTGGTGGGTCTGGGTAATGTCATCCAGCGTCGCCTGTTCGCTCCTGGTGGCTTCCTCCTCGAGCTGGGATCTGGCTGTAGTCTGGGCCGTGGAAGACTCGAACAAATCGGGAAAACGTTGACTAGCGATGGAGGTAGACTCATACACTTTATCCGATAGGAGCTGCATGACCGAGTGATATACGGCTTCGTCGCCATATTGAGTCACAATTTGCTGCACCGGACTTCCTGTAAGTAAATGACAATTAATCCATCTTTTTACAGGCGCAAGATTTCTGATTTTAGCTTTATCTTCCGCGAAAATGTGCTTAGTTGCCTGATAGATTGCTCTATCGTCCAAATTAGTAATCATGCCTGGATCAATGTAGGGCGATGCAGGAGATTAAAATAATACTCGCGAAACAGTCAATGAGCGCCGGGAGAAGGGCGACAAGTTCGAGTTATTTCCGTCGGTTTCTTCTGTCGAGGATTTTGATTCACAAGAGCCAGATTGCTTCTTCAATTAGAAGTTAGGGGCGGGGGATCTATGATGGTAGGCCTCCCTTAGTGGTAGACTCACTGGATACAGTCCCGTGCAAAAGTTCCGACACATCCGAGGTCCGGACCCCGCTTTCAATTAAACATCAACATCAACACCACAACTTCATCGCGTTATTTCTATAGGAAAAGATGCCTCGAATACGGCAAAAAACACATCATTCTCCTTGCAAAAGAACGAGGTTTGTGACGATGTACGAATCAGGTGTTCGCGTGCAGGATATCGCAGACAGTGAGGGGCTAAGTCGGCACGCGATCTATGGAGTCATTCGACGGTACCGTCACCAACAATCAGCAAAAGATTTACCTCGCTCTGGAAGGCCATCACGACTATCAGATATAGATAAAAATCATATCAAAATACTCATTGGAAGAAACGCTTTTATCTCATACCAAGAAATAATTGATTGCACCTGTTTGAACTGCAAAAGAAGCACAATTCGTCGCTGGCTTATCAATCAGAAGATACAACACAAGCTTGCACTTCGACGCCCGTTTCTCAGCGAAGAAAGTGCTCAATTGAGAAAAGCTTTCTGTGAAAAATATCGTCATGAAGATGAGTCTTTTTGGTATAGCTGGTGGTTTTCTGATGAGGTCTCTATCGACCGTACAGACGGTGACTATACCAAGTGGTCATTTTACTCTGCTGTAAGTCTAGCCCCTTCTATTTCAGAAGCTTCTTTTGACAACACCACAGGGTGAGAGACTCCATCAAGATAAGGTGCAGCCCTGTAGACGGCCTGCCAGACATTCTCAGATGTTCTTTGGTGCAATTCACTATGATAAGCCGTCTAGGATCGTCCCTCTTGCCGGCGATCCTGAGTCTGAGAGGGGAGGCGTAACAGGAAGGATTATTCTATCCTGTTTACAGTCTTATCTTCCCGGACTGGTCGAGGAAGGAGAGACTTTTCAGCACGACAACGCCCGTACATATAAATGCCGGAAAGTTCAGAATTGGCTGCTGCCCTGGGCAAGAAGAACAGGAGTCTTTCTTGCTGACTGGCCGCCATACAGCCCTGATCTCAACCCCATTGAAAATCTATGGAAAGTCCTGAAGAAGAGGATATGCGATAGATATCCTGAAATTGCTGCTTATCCAAAGTCTGCAGCAGCTTTGGCCCGGCTGATTGAAGCTGCAGAGGAGCTTTGGTCGGAGGTCGAAGATGAAGTGGTCAAAAACGTGATAAAATCGATGCCCGACCGGTTGAACGCCTGTTACAACGCAAATGGCTATTATACCAAGTATTAAACTATATTTCTGGAATCTCCTTTTAAGTCTCTACAGATTGATATATATATTATCTAAATTGAAGAATTATTGCCCATGCAATTGCAATCCGAAATGGCAGTATGAGATCGAGGTAGTTGGGGTGGATCCGGAATGTGTCGGAACTTTTGCACGCCCACTGTAGGTAGTTATTGTGTCATCGATGGCTTAGAACACATGACTCTACTATCATGTGCCCTCTCGTCGATCGTCAATAATTCGTCAGTCACCTTCTCAAACAGAATTGTGCAAAGTCAATTTACAACCAAATGATTGATCTCCACGGCCCCTGTACTTCGGAGTCCCATTCCGTGCATGACAGAACTAAAGTTGCAGAAGCTAAATGTTATGCTAGAGTAATTGATCCAGCCCTATTAACCATTGTAATGGCAAGTTGGCCACTTCACCCTACACAGGAATTATCCGCAGAAACGCACTGCTTTCCCTGTTTTTGACCAATCACCGTCTAGCACTTTCGCCCCATATTTCTCCCGATGGAAACACATTGCGTTTCTCGTACCGCACTACGGTGTAATGAAATCAGAAACCCTAAAATATGAAACGCGTCACGTTTCCGTCGGCTGACCCTTGTCAAGTTCAACGACTTGGCTCTGAGATAAATTATCTCGAGAGTCGACAAGTCTAATATATTAGCTTGCCATTGGATCTCACAACATCATTGAGCGACGGATTGAGACTCTACCACAGCAGTCGCGATGGCGAAGCCTCCACTATTGGGGGAAATATTTAAAATGTTTCCGGGATGATTTATGATGTAATTGAACTATGAAAATTGGCTACTTGGCTGCTTATCACTTCCAAACGGCTATTCGGTCATGATCAAGGACTCAAAAGAATATTCCGATCATGTTAGATCTCATTGACAAACTAGCCGTTATAATGTTATTCGTTAACATCGATGATCCCAGCGAAGTGGAATTATGGCCCTTGTGTGAGATGGCTGTCCTACAAAGGGAAAATTGGTTGACAATTCGTTGATTGTTGGACGATGGCGCCTCAGAAGGGGCGGTAAGTTTCAACCTTGTCAATCTTGGTTGTGGCTTTATGCGCAGCCTAGCAAAAAAAGAGTTGCAAAGCATTCAAAGACGTCATCGCCTATGACAGGAGCCGAGCAGTGAGGCCCAGCAATCTAAGCTCCTTCGTTCATGTATGCTGTCGTTTTGACCTCCAGCTCATTTCAGGGTTAGGATAGGGTTATATTAGGCTATGGAAAGCTATCTTGCTCAGCTGCTATTTATATAAGGGTTTACCAAGACTATAAAAGGGAGATAGATAAAGGAGATAGTAAAGAAATAGGGGAGATAGTAAGGAAGAGAGATAAAGAGATAAAAGAAAGAGATAAAAAGAGGATAGGAAAAGGGATAAAAGATAGATAGGAGGGAAGAGATAGAAGAGAGATAAGAAAGGGATAGATATAAGAGAGAGAAAGAGAGAAAGATATAAGAGAGAGATAGAGATAAGAGATAGGTAAAAGGAAAGAGATAGGAAAAAGAGAGGTAGATATAAGAGAGAGAAAGAGAGGGTAGGAAGAGGCTATCTAGGAGTAAGTTCTCCTAGGTAGATCTCGAGCTATAGAGGCGGCTGAGATAGCCCTAGTCTTAGTTAAGGCTAGACCAATAGTTGAGTCAAGCTGCGAGGCTGCAAAGGGACCTAGGAGCTCTTGGAGCTTCTTGTAGGTCTGAGAGGTCTCCTGCTCCATAAGGCCGCCTGCTGAGAAGATAAGAGGGTGGAAGAAGGCTCCAAGAGACTGATATTTCCGCCTTTTCTCATCAGCAGCTTCCTTTAAGGTGCTATAGGGGTCCTCCTTTGCAGAGTCCTTGGAGATAGCTACGATTTGGATATCATAGAAGTAGCGGCTGTTTCCAATAGTGACTGCAAAGTCAGCCCGGAGGGAGGAGTCTTGCTGGACTAGAGGTTCGATCTCGACCTCGAGGTCGGGCCGGCTGCCTAGGGCTTTCACAAAGGCCCTATTAACAGCATTATGCCTTGCAATCCACCTTCTGCTAGCTCCCTTGCAAGTACCCTCATGACCTAGGTTAGCTATAGCACCACAGGCACTACAGGGCAGGTCTAGAGGCTTGATAGGGTAGAAAAGACGGCTTCGTAGGGCTTCGGCAGTCTCAGAGTCTGTAAAAGAGAGAGGTTTTTGTGTAGGTAAGACTCTGAGCCACTTACGGCCTAGATAGCTAGCATTTTCTAGCCTTGCTTGCTTATAGGGCAAGGGGAGGTCCTGGAGGTAGGTCTCTAGCTTCTTCTTGTTGATCTCTTTGTATACCTCCTTTGCTGAGGGACCTAGGTCTCTAGCCTGAGGAGGGGGAGATAGGGGATAGAAGAAGGAGGAGATTTTTTCCAAGGTGGCCCTGGTAGCTTCCTTGGCTGCCTGATATAGGCCTGGGGCCAGTTCCTTATGCAGAGGGAGCCCTAGGCCTCCATCCCTTACCGGGAGGGATAAGAGATAGGGATCAGGTTCCTAAGGGAGGTCAGCCGGACTCCTTGCAACCAAGGACCTAACAGCCTCCCTGATATAGATATCAGCCTTTCCCCATAGATCAGATAGACTTTCTGGGTTTAGTTGCCGAAGGAGGTGCCGTAGGAGGAGGTGGATGCTACCTCGTAGCAGGAGGAGGGAGTGTTGCTTAGGGAGATCCTGGAGGGCAGCTATAGCCTGCTGTAAGGTATCTAGCTTCTCTTCCAAGAAGGACCTTCGACGACGTCTGTTAGACCGCATTGAACATTCTACTCTAGTATACTAGCCGGTAACGGGCCCCGTTACCTGTTTTACGCCAATCAACGGTCTAAAAATCAACAGGGATTTCCAAAACTCGTAACGGGCCCCGTTACTGTTCAGGTCATGTTTACCAGAACGCGAAACGGGGCCCGTTCCATAACACGGTGATCCGTGCCACCCATTCTGAGCTCATTGCGTGTAGGCAAGAGCCAATCATAGGTAACCAAAACGATTAGTTGACTTGACTCCAAGTCTGATCTCTCCTCGACTATCGCGTCTTGTACTTGTAGCTGATGGTTTAGCGATTGGATTTGTAGCAGTCTCTTCTCCGAATATCTCACCTTCTCAGTATGTCTACTCAAGCACCTTCAAATAACGGCCTTCGTCAGCAAAACATCACGCCAAGTCAAGTTCAGGCGCTCAAGAGACTAGAGCTTCACTACGACATTCCATATCAAGCTATCATTTGTATACCCTATAGTGGACCGCAAATTCCAGTGCTTGCACTCCGCTCCAGTCTGAAGGGCTAGGGATAGATGCAGTGCAGATCCATCTGGTCGTTTCGGCAGCTCATCCAGGTCAGGAAGCTGCAGGGAATTGACGAGGGCATTGAGCTTCTGCCGACGATTTTTAGATATTCCATGTTTCTCTTTGAGGTGGCGGCTGACGCGATCGTTATCTGTCTTTAAGGCGAAACAAGTTATGACAAATATTAAGGTATATAGACTAATTAAGATATATGTATCGAAATTGAACAGAGATAGTAATAGTACACAAGATACGAGGTTACATGTGACCCTGTTCATAACTGGAGACTTTTCTGATATTATCCCCAAAAGCGATTTACTCCATAGATCGTCTCGTTACTTCTTCTACCTCCTGCCACCTCGCATAGGTAAGAGCCGACTTAACAACCTTTCCTTTTTTTGCTGCTTCATTTGTCTCGACTGTTTTTGTCTCCACTGCTTTTGAATCCTGAACTGTTGGAAGAGGCCGCGCGACGTGCGCGTTAATTCCAATGTTCGAGGCTGTCCATCTTCGCGGCTTTTTTTGTGATATTCAATAAATTCCCTTTCGCTCAAGCACTCTAAAACTGCGAAAGTGTAGGCACAGACGAATCCCGGGACCTTGTCTTGGTCTGGATAGTAGTTAAAGAACATGTGGCCAGGCTTCTTCTCTTCGAGGTTGCGATAAACCTCCAAGCGCTCTTTATCAAGGTCCACGACATAAGTCCATTCGTCATAGAAGCAGCCAATAGAATATAGCTCTTTGACTAACAGAACCTTTTGTTTGTTCGTGGCACCTGAGATGAGCTTGAGAATAGATGCACCAGTGCAGGGATGAACGGATGGATGAAACTCCTGGATCTCTCGTGGCAAGCTATCACCGACTTCCGATTGAAATGAAAGCCAAGCATTTCGTAGATCCTCATCTTTGCAAAGTTTTTGATCAAGCTTCCACTTCCAATTGAGTGCATCATCGTCCGTTATATATTCTGTATGCTCAAGTCCCTTCTTTAATTGCCGGATATTACGGTCAGAACGTAAGAAGTTCAAGAGGTAAAGCCCTTGCCCCTCAATATCGCCGTCATATGAACAGTATTGGCCGAGAACAAACACCTCTTTGTGGCGAATAAAAATACGGCTGCTGGCGCCCATAATGTGTCAGGATGAGAAACTCGTGGATACAAGATGTAGTAGTTGTGTAGGAGGTATGTAATAGGCAGAGACTATAGTCCTTCTTTTCAGAGGGAGATAGTCTCTTTTATATTACAGAGTTGGGGGACGTCTTGTTCAATGGGGCTGTATCGGCCTTCGGATTGACTTGAAGGTGGGGCTTAGATTGGCACGACGTATTGCTTTTGGCTGTATTTGTTATCTGGATGTTTATCTGTCATCCTGAGAGGCAGTCTCTGGCCTTTGGTCGCCAGTCCGCCTGGTCGCCTAGTCCTACAGTCCAAAATCTACACTCCTTTTATCCGGCCCTCTTTCGGTGAAAGTGGAAATCCACGGCCTTTCATTGGCTTGCACCCCTGTAAATCCTCTTTCATCGAAAAGTAACAGTGTTATCGAGCTCCTGGCTGACCTCCCGTCGAAAGTGTAAATTTACACCAGAAAATATCACCTAATTAATCTGGCGGCCCGGACAGTCTTCAAAAACATGTGGCCTTCAGAGCTCCGCGACGATCATCAGTCTGATGGTCGCGACGTCGAACAGAACGAATCAACTCCGTGGCTGCGGCATACAGGATGGCCTCGCTTGCTGCATTACTGACCGCTTGCCATCATTGCGATCACAGAAAAAAAGCCCAAATCAGCATGGAACGAAGACTATCTATCAGGCCAATAGCACGATACGGCACTCCAGAGCCCAGCTGCTTTGCTGCTTGCTGCTTCGAAGTAGTATAAGCTTTTTACTTAAGGGAGGTTGAGTTTATATTGATCGGAACGACGGACTCTATCAAGCCTACCACGTCTGGTCTAGTTGATAAAACTAGCGATGAAATGAACATAAAGAAGGGAGAGCTAAGAGACATCTACATATGGCAATAGTTTTGGCGATAGTACAGCATCTCGTCAGCCTGTTTCTCTGCTTCCTCCGATCTGTGTAATGATGCAAGCACTGTTGAACGGTAGAATTTCCACTGCCGTGCATGCCATACCCCCATTTGGACTTCTGCAGTGTCTAGTTTTGGAGCTGGGCCCATAGTCTCGATGCTCAGGACAATGGGATGAAACTGCAGTCACTCAAAGTCAGTATGATTGACCGTGGTGGTAGGTGTTGTTTTGCAAAGAGACTCGAGCGCTTGGAAGGCCTCCGGCTCCTCTTGTTTCAAGTCGACATATATACAAAAGTCAATCATTTTGGTTCTGATTGACTTGGGTAACCACATTGAATGCGGCCGAGCAGTGGTGCTACAAGGCATAAGTTAGCATTCGAGTACGACGACGAATCCAAATACGCCGCGAGTTAGTAAAATACCTCAGTTAATTCTATACACCATGACAGGGCGCTAAACAAAGCCATCGAGCCATCATACTTTTCGAACACATTGCTGCACAATTGCGATTCATACCGCTTGAGGGGGAGCAACCAATACCGGTACATGTGATAGACTTTGCGAGTGGACTTTGCATGCGGAGATCGGGAGGGGAAACGCCCGGTGGCCAGTCTTGATGCGACCAGTCTCTTTGGAACGGACAGGCTAAGTGAGGTTCGGATGCGCTGGGGCAAGCAAGAGTGGAAACTTCACCAGATTCGGCTTCGAGGACAGACCAACTTATTTAGATAGATAAAGCAGCAAACACTGCCCCAGAACGGTAGCATAGCAAATAGTTGAGTGGCTAGTGCTTAGGGTCTTCTTCTAGTCTACACTCCTTTTATCCGGCCCTTTACCCACAATGGGTGCAATGAATTGTAGTAGAGTTCATAGAAAAACCCATATAAAATGAAAAGGCGCTATTGATGACATGGGATAGAGTTCATAGACATTTTAGCATATAAAATAAATAAACCCGGTATCAGTGAAGAGGTAAGTTCTAGGAGAGTATTTTCCCAGAGTGTGAATTAATTTAAACCCGAATTGCGGCCAAGCGATGCATGTGAAGTTTGGCCGTTTTTTTTAATGTGGTTGAAAGTGACCAGGGGGGCAAGCATTATGATTGGTGAAATTTGGCAGATCATAGTTATCCATCGCAGAAGGCGCAAGAGTCAGGTTATTAAATGGAAATAATAGTTGTGTTTAAGGTTTAAAAGCACCAGGCAACGAAAAAAAGCAAATTAAGATAGTTAAACAATTCCATAGTATACAGTATCATAACAAAGAGAAGCCATTAGACCCCACGATTCATATTATAACCAAGACCATCCAAGGCATAGAACCAAGAGATAATACCAGCCCCAAGATGGAGCCATTTGTTCATTTGCCCGAGTTTCCCATTATTATTTACAAGAGTTGCCAGTTTGCATATAGCCAAGGAGGCAGATAGCCATTTAAGGGTACGGCATAGCATGCCAACAGCAGAGAGGCAGGTAATCATCCAGCAGGTCCAAGCCTAACCTAATGCTACAGTCCAAAATCAATTGTACAACAATTGATTTAATTTACCCCACTTTACAGGGGGTTGACTTGGATTTCTGATTGGTGCTTGGAAACACGTTCAGGCAAGACAACATTTCAACAGCAGCGCGTCGAGTTTTGACTCCTGTTCATCAGTGTCTATCACGACGAATGTGAGATCTAACCAACAAATTTTTTTTTTTTTTTTTTTTTTTCTTTTTTTTTTTAGCTCTTTTTAGAAATGATCCGTCAGACCATGGCACTCAGGCCTATGACGGAGCTCGGTCCTTCCAACCTTGTATACCCGTTTATGCTTTTCGGCGAGTGCATACACTTTGACGTGAAAACCGGATGATGGTCGTCAACACAGTCATCTGATAATTTTATCTCGTCCGGGTTCTCGGTAATCTTTCCATGTTCTTGTTCGCCATCATGGCCGCCACAAGGGTTCTGATAGTCCTGACGATACATATACTGGATGAGGCAATCTACAGATTGAGGATCGTCATCTATGAAGTCGAAGCGATACTTTGGCGCAGCTCCGCAAGTGTCGCATGAAGGACATTGCGTGGTGTCCTGAAATTGACATTTCTTATCTACGACCGAAGATTGAGAACGAACGACTGCGCGGTGGGCGGGGTAATTCTTATTATTGGATATCAAGATGAGATCAGAGTAGGGACCAGTCTTGAATAAACTAGTTATATATTGTCAGCAAAAGGTAAGAAGAAACCGCCGAATAGCTAAACAATCACACCTTTCTAGCCAGACATTAGAAGATCTAATATTTGATAGCTGTTGGTCTGCTGATTTGCTGGTAAGACTAGGTTTATGTAGGTCTGGGAATTGGAGCTGAATGGAAGCGGCTGCGAGGAAGACGCCTTGTCTGATCAGATAATATAAGATAGCAACCAGCTTATCTTCAGAGAAACCTGCAACAGATATGGCCTCATCTCGAATTGTCTTTCGGATATCTCTTTTCTTGGTAAGAGCCGTAAATAGCGGTTGGCCAAAGACTTGTCTGCAGTCCTCGTTTAAAAACGCGGCCTTCCTGTCCACTTTATAACATGCATCCGGGTCACATTTCCACAGTAAGTTACCGGCCGTTTCTTACACGTCTTCATCTACCTAGAGAGGATACGAGCTAATAGAACGGGGTTTGGGCTTTGGCTATTTAGGGTCCGTTAATTTTATGGACGTTGTAGAATAATCCATGCTAAGATAGGGAGATCTAATTAGTCTAAAACCCAAAAAGGGGCCCGTTCTGTATTAGTATAATATTTTTCCTAGATATTTTAATTACTTCTCATTAAAACTTAAGTGGCTGGATTATACAGCCTTGTTCGTCGCGGTAGGGTCGACCTATTTTGGTTAGAGCAAGTGAGTGCTTATAGGAAAGCTTATTAGTCCTTATAATTACCGTTAGGTAGTATAGTTAAGCAGGATAGGGTCCCATATAATTCTAACTTGTTGTCTCTTAATAACATCTTAATAAATATATTTTGAAAAGCATCCAACTAGTAAAGTTCTAGAAGGTATTTACATATCCAGGATACGCTTCTCACAAAGTTATCTGCCCCTGTTTCTGTCCCTAAAATGTACAGGCTGAAAACCTGAAATATGAATTACCGCAAATTCACGACCTAATACTTGCGGCTTGACATTTCGAGGCGGCTTCCCATACATAGCTATAGTAAGGAACTTCTTACGGAACTTCTGAACCAAATCCTTACATTCTATGAACCCCCCATAGCGTATATGGCTGATATTTAATGTAAGTTCTTTGAATTCCACCTCGCAGTGGTGTCTTCCAGGTGTAGTTGGACGAAGAGACGCTTTGATCTCGTTAAATAAAACCTCATTCTCCCGCCGGACCTCTTTTGTATCTTGTTCATCCTCTCTATCAGCTTTTTTAGTAGTGAGATAAAGGTATACATAAGGCTTGTCCATATCTTCATCTATAAATAGAAGAACTGGGATCTTCCCATCAAAACTTGCAGTCTTTACCCACTCATAGCTTGCAAATATCGTTTCCCAAGGTTTTAATTTCTGAGCTCCGGACTTGCCTAATATCTCTCCCGCATGACGGTGGCTAGACTTGAAGGCTCCTAAGTCTTTAAAGGGCAGGAGATTGACAATTTTACGCCAAACGTCGTCGGGAAGAGCTGCCATGGTAGACTGCTAGTGTATAAGTTGTCTCCTTCTATGTATATATGTAGGGAAGTGCTTAGGTATATATACTGGAACATTCTAACCGTCTTCCGAGCTTTGGAACGGAACATCACTAAAATGGACTGTTTGAGCCGAAAACGGACTCGGAGTACCCATTAAACCTACTGTACCAATTACCACTTGTAATGGCACCCAATACCATTTTGTCTGGCCCGTGCACCATTCTTTCGATCTTAGGTTCTGGTCCGAATACAAAAATTACTCGACCTGTGCGCCTTCCCTCGCTTACATGGTATGGTTTAGTGTACTAATCCCCTGTCGCTGCAAATAAGTAGGAAACGGCTTCATGATGACCTTATGTACAAGGAGATGATCAAATTCAACCCGGCCTAGATGCCTGCTGTTTCTCCAGGAAAGGGCAGAAGCTAAAAATGGCCTTGGTTTAGATCATCTCGCTCACATTCGTAGCATTGCTCCAGTGCGATTTAGCCCGTTCCGAAAGCATGGCTCTGCCGTGTAGTGGGCGTTAGGGCCACTGAAGGGATGGATAACAGAGTTTAGTCCTTCTCCGAGGAAAGAGAAAATAGCCTTGGTCTATGGCCGTTTTCGGTTTTGATGGAAACCCTGTCAAAATCCCCAAAACGGCTTGCTTGACCAGCTGCAGCCATAAAAGCCCCTCAGCACTTACTGACCACACAGCGATGGAAACACAGGACCATCGGGCGTTCAGTGGCACTTGTGACGGACTGACAAGTGCAGGCGAGCAACTCAAAAGCGGCTCGGCGACTCACTTAGTGGTGCGAGAGGACAATTGCGGCATGGCAGTGAGGAGAACCGAATGGGAAATCATTGGTTGTCGTATTTTCCTCAATTGTGCGGTGACACGCTTTACCCCGCAAGCCATGTTAGTATCAAGTTGTTGGAAGGCAGATCGGCCCGCTCCGCGAGGATAACTAAGACCTGACAAAGGAACCTGTATTATGGATTCGCCTGCAAAGAAAAAAGCCTCCTGCTGCATTACAGGTATTGGCTGTAATGGAGCTTCCTATCTCGCCTCATTATGAATACCGACGAGTTGCTTCGTGTATGGTGGCGGGGGCGCGCCATTTTCTCAACCAACGTAGCCGAAGTCTCCTCGGCCCATTGCTGCCTGACACTTAAACCTGCGGCCACACTAAGAGCAATCATACACTTTGCCAGCCGAATTGCACATTGCCACCGTCAAGCTGAGGTGGCTAGCTGTAAGGTTGCAGGACTTGCTCCCGACTGTCGAATGTTCGAAGGAGGCCCGAGCGTTGGTCTGACCAAATGCCCTTTTTCCGTCCTTGCAGCCTTACGGATCCTGGCATTATCGATTACAATGTAGATCATTCTCAGTGGGGCTCTGATCGCAACAGCGCGTCCACGATTACCATCTAAAGAGCAGGGATCGCGCGCGCTGGGTGGTGACCGTTCGTTTTCTTCGTGATCTAATTGGCTGAGCCCTCCCAAACACAGCCGAAAACCGACAACCTAAACCCATCATTCATCCCTCCACGCATTACTGATATCTGATCAGATAGAAATGTTGTAGGTTGAGGGATTTTTGACCAACTCACTTGGATGATCAACTCACTTATCGCATACGTTATCACTAAGAATACATATTACAACATAGATATAGGTATTAAAGTTAAAGTAATAGTATTTATACTTAGAGAATAATATCGACACGATGATCTATCTCGAATGATTGACAAAGTCGTAGCTGAATTGTTGATAGAGACCGTCGTCAGATTGTTGTGAGAAGGCCGTTGTAGGCGCCTTCGGTATTAAAACCTACTGTGATCTCTAACCGAGGTTACAGCTAACCTTCTAGCACGGTGGTTAACGCGCTGCGTTTTGCCTTTTATTCCGCAACAGTTAAAACAGTCTATACCCGAATAAGCTTAGTCTTCTGCTTTACACATTAGGCGCAGCATTTAACGCGGCCAACAGCCACATACTATGCCAGTGAGACTCCCAATGCAGGTTACGTTGGGCCGGCCTGCATATTATGTACCTAAATGATAACGTGTACTGGATGGGCCGTTGGTTCTTGGAATCGCCACAGTGAGAAGAGAGTCTATCAAAGCGAGCAGTCTTGAGGAACAGAATTCTTCCTTAATTCATACATCCTTCGCATACTATTTCTCAAGTCAGTGAAACACTATCGCCAACATTTTTAGGCCAGCCGGCGTTTCTGGAACTTCATCACTCATAACTAACATAAACGTCTCCTCCAGTCTTGCTCAATCATGGACGGTCAGACTCAAGCGAGGTTTATGGCTGAACTGGATAAGTTGATACAAGATGCGACCGACAAGGACGCAGCCATTTCCAAGTTGACTAGCAATATCGAGTCGTTGAAGTTGCTGTCCAAACAAGGTTCCAGTTCGCGGACGAAAAGAGGAAGAGAAGAGGCACAAGACGTTGATACCCAAATCGAGGGAATAGAGAGAGAGGCGGCCCAACTCAGAGAGGTCTCACGAGTGCTATGGCTGAAGATCAACGAGATGCAGGCGCAACAACGTGGGTGAAACTAGTGAGGTCCATTGCTCGCTTGGTAGGTGTGGTTGAAATCTAAACCGATCTTTGGAAGGCAGAGGTTATACAAATATGGTAATGAGAGCAAGTGGGATGCACACAAAATATCCAGTTATCGTCACTTATGGCTGTGCGGTAGCTCCCTTTTTCAACTCATCAATCGTAACCCGGCTCTCCTGCAGCAAGCGCTGGATCGCCTCTTCGCGCCCTTCCACATTAAGATTGTGCGTATCGAGATACTGGGCGAAGCTCTGTGATACTCCCAGGCGCCGATCCACGTCTGCTTGTAGCTGTACATTGTCAGGAATAGGGATATCACACAGCCCAGTGACGTAGGGCATGACCTTTTCCCAGAAAACAAAGTCAAGCTCGGCCGGATCCATAAGTATGTGGGATAATGACCAAGCAAGGGGGTCTCTGGAGCCCCAGTCAGCCGCAAGTTGAGAGTGGTACTCCGACTTCTCTTCCATAGAAGATAGAACGCGTGTGAAATCGGACGGTAGGTCGGCTAGTCCCAAGTCATTGCCTGTGATCCATGTCGGGGGGACGGAGACACACCGCGGGACGCTTGCCGCGAACTCCCAATCGATGATACCGCATATATTAAGCTCATCGTCTACGAGGATGTTGCCAGGGCGAAGGTCGGGATGTGTTAGAAAGAATGTCCGGCTGGTCGAGTCGACGCCGATTCTGCTTTGGACCTCTGGCTGACGGATATATCGTTGCGCAAACTCCTCTCGCTCAGCCTGCTTATGATCCAGATCTTTGTAAGGCATTGTCCACATATGCTGAAGGACACGACATTGCTCATCGAAGAATTCTGTTGCACTCGTAGTCACAATGCGTGACATTGTGTATCCGGCCGCTTGGAGTTCGTTCTTGCGGATCGAGAAGGCACCGACAATGTCCGGTGGATTTTCAAGTTCAATATCTTCGTTGTTGCTCGGCATTAGCGATCCTCCCCGTGTAAAGGGGAGTTTTCGAAGTTCTGCAAAGACATCGATCAATTGCTGAAGAAAAAGTTGACGGTGAGGTTCTGGACTGGTCTCTAGCGCTTTCCTGGTCAATTGCTGGCCTTCGACGTATTCCGTGATCATGAAGACTTGATGCTCCGAGGTATCTCGACAGAGTCGGCTCCGACCGTATGCATACACTTGGGGAACGGGGATGTTTGTATTGCGTCGCACGTATCTGCGAGGACAGTATTAGTTGAGGGTGAAGGTAGTGCGCTTCAGACTGGGAGACACTGACTGCATTGTGCAAACTTCGCTTCGTATTTTGTTCCACGCATCGTTTACTGCTGGCTCAAGAGGAAGCCGCACGATGCGCGTAGAGCCGTCGGTAAACTCAAGCACGAAGCAGCCATTGAAACTGCCTCGATGTCGGGCCTTGATTTCACATGGCAGACTGTTGATGTGATGCTGGGTCCCTAGTGCCCGGATGGCATCATCATCGATGGATCGGAAGAACGTATCGGTGCGACGATAGATCTGCTGCTCTGTCAAAGGCCACGCATGTTGGAGTGTAATTGCTGTTGCCGGGTGTCGAAAACCGGTGACGAAGACTAGCGGAAGTCGCAGGATATTGTAGATAAATTTGACGGAGGATGTCCAGGTTGTCGAGATAGCAAAGAGACAGCGATTAATAAACCAGAACATCGCATTGCATAGAATATAGGCTCGTCGTTCGGCATGGATGCGATCGTGGAGAGAGAGAGGTCGCGGGCAATAACGTGTTTCGTGAAGGGTGGAGCCCCCGAATAATTGTAAGGAGAGCTAAATAAAACCAGCTGCAGGTCCGAAGCCATGATGACTAATGCCATTCATATCCCCGGTGGCCAAGGATAAATGGGCGTCCGGGCGCCTACCTACTGTACCAATGTTTATTTAAATTACGCCGCATTATTCAATTTTCGTCCGTGCCAACCCAGACCACCCTTGTGATCTCCCGGCGTTCTTCCGAAATACCACCCCAAGATTCTACACTTTTTGTCCGTGCACATTGATATAGTAACTAGGTTCGACAAGAGCAACCTGTTGTTTATCTATTTTCTGTCCGTGCACTCGTTCCCTTCACTACTCCACTGTTTCGACTTCCCGTTGTCACTACCCACTTCATACTACTATCTTTTGCCTTTTAGTCTCCTGCCTAGTATCAGGGTAAAGAGCAACAGAAAAAGAGCATTAAGAAGTAGTAGCAGCAAAAGCGAGGGTTGACATTATGGACCCGATACCTATGGATATGGATGAAAATGTCTATAGAGACCTTAAGGCGATGACGACGACGATGACTATAGCGACCTGCAAAGCGCCATCGATAATGACAGTGATGATGATGCTTGCATATCTAGCGATGACGATGAGAATGGAGTTGGGGGTTTCGCTAATAGACCCGACAGAGTTGGGTTACTTGGCTCCCTCGCCGAACTCGTTTTCGGCCTGAGTGTTGCTCTATGTACGGAACGGTTGAAGACGGCCAATCAAGCTCGATGGTTCTTGTGAACTTCGGCGGTATACTTGCATTCTCGGAAGCAACCAATAGCTTCCTCAACGCCCGTTCCTATACACCCTACCTTTCTGGATTCATATACATCTAACGACTTCTTTTCCTTGGGCGAACTCTCCCCATGCGGTCATATGCTCATCTAGGAATCGACCGTCGGCCGCGGTTTAAATAGCTTGAACTGTTTAAACATGTGCATAGGCGGTACATGGTCATGGGATCCCAATCGACGTTTGAAGAATTTACAAGTCTTCGTGCCTACGGGTGCGTGGCAGCCCGCAACGATATGCTCTCATTTTTCCTATACTGGAGCGATGATGACCAGAGGGTGAGCTGGGGGCAAGAGGCAGAGGTCTATATGGGGCAGTTCCGGTCCCTGGCAGCACATCTCATCAGAGGCTAATCGCCTGTGCAACGATTTGATGTTTGGGCTCGAGCCTGACATCAACCTGCTCAAGATCAAAGACAACATGGCCAACCGTGACAAGGGATACTCTTTTGTGACAGACCCCATGAACGGACTGAACTGGGCCTATCTCGATCTATTCAGGTGGACTTGTACAGCTCGGAGTGGGTGTCTCTTGCAAGGGAACTCTTGAAACTAGTCAGGGGTTAATAAATACTTGAAAAAGGAGGAGGGCGTTCGTGAGCTCTTTAGACCGGGGATATCCTTGACTGATGGGCATCAGACAAAAGAATACACTAAGACCTTCAAAACCACCTTACTCATGTATATATAAGTCCTTCTCGCTCGTTGTTGGTATATTCGCCTTGTAAGTCTTGTTAATTATCCCTCAATGCCTGTAGGAGTTTCCTTGTTAGCCATGTTATCACTCGCATAAAAACATCAGAATGGCCATTCGCCCGGTTAATGATCTACTTTACGGCTTATGAGAGAAAAGACACCTGTATTGCAGATATACTGACTGCAGCTAACTTATCCCGCCACATAGTATATCAGTCTACGTCAGATTTAAAGATTTGAGAGGAATCCCTCCACAACTATCGCCAGGGAGCCTGATGAACATGATTCTTTCAAATTCAGAAGACTTAGAAAATGCAACCTCTCCATACAGAATATCCAGCTTTAACTCTTTTACTCCCCCTTCATAAACTGCTATCTCTACCTTTTTCCTAGATGGGTCATCAAATAGTTGCGGGCATTTAAGGCCTGTTGGAGCACCTGGTAACAGGATGCTACTCATATTCAGCGTGAAGCTTTCAAATTGAATCTCCCAGGGATTCTCGCCAGGGGCATACGAGCGAAGAGATTTCCTAATCGTCTTGAAAAGAGAGATCCTAGCCTCCGTGAGCTGCTCGGGAGTGGCGTCATCATCATCTTGGGAAACGTGACATTTATCACTTGTTACATTCTTTCTCTTAACCATGAACAGATAGATATAAGACCCCTCTCTTTCAGGGAACACGAGGACAGGGGTCAGGTGCTGCAATTTGAAAGCGTCTACCCATTCATAGCTTTTAAAAATAGAATTCCAATACCGCGTTCTTTGAGTTTTGTAATCACCCAGGATTTCTCTTGCGTAACGATGAGTGGAGGAAAATCTCAAGCGATCTGGTAAGTGAAGCTTTTGACAGATTAGATACCAATGATCGGCCGATAGAGTAGGCATAACGGAAGGCGAGAGTACATGTGGTCTATCAATTTTATCTGGGATGCAAGTCAGTTTAAGTATGTTATTGCTATTTCGCTTAATTTGAACGAAGATCGTCTAACACAGAGATCTGGAGCTAAAAGCCAGAATTGATTTACTCGTAGCTAAAATTGAACTTTCTCGACAAAAACAAGTTTAAGTCATATAACAAAATCCATATGTATAGTTATCAGAGGCGAGTGTCACTTCAGGGCTGTATAAAAAAACAACAGCGGCTATTTCGGACCAGGATGATAATCTACATCCCTTCGTACCGCCCTAGTAACTAATGACCAAATCAACTCTAGTAGAGTTGATTTTATCGGCTCACTTTACATCTAGTAGGGTTGATTATTGCCAGGGTGTAGAGTTGATTTGACTTTATCCTATATACAGGAAGGAGAATGCTGATCAGAAAGAGGAGTTTGCTAAGGGTTTGCCACAGAACGCGACGCGTCCTGTCGCGTAAAGTGCTATGGAGTCATAGCATACTCTAAACGGTTTCATTATTAATCGAAGCTCAATCGTTATCCAGATCTTGCTATTGGTGACCAGGTCACTATAATGATCACTATGGCGCCTTTAAACTTGCAACCTGAACCATGCAGTACAATTTATCCCCCATTCAGCGTGGGCACTGAAATCGATTACCCAGGACGTATACCTATTCCAATTGGGGGTATAGCGTATGAGTGACAGAATCCGCAGGTTTCCTGTTGACGAAATGATATGTCGAGTTACATCACGGAAAACCACTTCCACTGGCTTCTTGTAGTCTGCCCGGAAAGCTAGAGGTGACTTTTCGATTTCTTTCAATTCGCTTGTTAAGGCAAGACGCGAGTAGACTCTGTCTCGTGGCTTGGACGCTTTCGATTGGATTGACTTATTGAGTAAAGTTGTCAGGTCCCATGGCAACCCAAACTTGACCAATTCACTAAAGAATTTAAGGGACCTGAGGGCCGGCATAGTTGTAGGATTGAAGCTGAGAGGGGTGAACTCGTAAGATATATCTAATGCTTATCAATAGCGAGCCCACGGCCAATCATGTCATATAAATCCCCTTGAAAGGCAGAGCCAGTGGATCCTATGACCAAATGAACTCCTAATCTAAACTGTTGGAAACTTAATATTCCGGACGAAGATTCTAGACGGCGATTGGTTAAAACATGAAACGCAGTGCGTTTGTGATGGTAATTCTTGAGCCGGGAAGAGTTTATCTCGTCGACTGGCGACGCGGCGACATGGGGGAGACGTCTCCGCTTTGCAGGCGATGATGCCATCCAATGAACCTCACCCAGGGCTTGGTGACTTTTGTTCACGACCTCGGCTTCCAGCGTCAGCCCTCTTCTGACCAGGGGTAAGTTGTGTTTCAAATATCAATCTTTCTACTGTCTCTCTCATACCCTCAGCAGTGAGGTTCGGCTGGTGTCCGAGGATTCGCTTTCGGTCACTTTGGATTAGGGCATCCATTCTTGGTCCAAGTCTGCTGGGCAAGTGAAGGAACTCGTGCCACCGGAGGGATGCTCATTCATACAGTTCGAGGATCTGGGGCTGCATTGTGGTTGGGAATGCTCCATCAAGCCCACAGATAAATTCTTGCTGCAGGGGACGATGCCTCTTTGACTCTCTATTCGTGTATCAGGGCAAATTTCGGGTTCCCGATGTCTAGTTGCGTCCGGGAAGGGATATGCCCTTAACGCCGCGCAGCTAGGATAGGTTGTTTGAGATAAAACAAATTAATTCTACGTAGACTTGACTTGGGTAGGTAGCTTTGCCAGCTGTGAAATGAGTGAGTCTTTTTTTAGTCAGACACTCTAAGAGCTTGGTACGGTGATCCTCGCTAAGGACCCACTCGAGAACCCAGCGGGGTTGCGGAATTCTGCTTTCTTACGATGTGTGGATGAGATCATACGACACGTGAACCAAGACATCTTACCTTTTAAGGTCCACTTAAACCCATGTCTTGGTTTATTTTTCCAGTACACCTTTTCTTTTTTTCTTTTTTCCAACCCAAGCCTTCCTATGTCAGAGTGCAAAAACATGTCTCACGTCACCAGCAGCCCGGGGCACATAATCAAGCTGCCATCCGAGATTCTGAACGAAATTTGCGACTCATTATTGCCCGAGAGATTAGTGATACATATTCAAGAATATGTTTCCTCTGAACAGGGCGTCGAGCAGACAACCCTTAGCTATTGCACATGCAATTATGATGAGGATACATCACCTGGCGGCCAAATCTTCAAGCTTTGCACGGAGTTTTGTATACATCATGCATACTCACTTATGAAAACGTGTAAAGATTTGCATGTCAACACCCTTCAATTCCTTGTGCTATGTCTGACGGGTCAATAGGTGGAACTCGTTGAAAGCCATATTCCGCAGCCGGCTTACGGCCTGCTTTTCTTCTCTTGACATATTGGAACGGGTTTTCAAAGCACAACAGTTCCTACTGATTGCAAAGGTGGATATTGTTCTCCTCCAGTCTCATGAATCGATGATTCCAGATCTATCGTCGGCCTTGGGCCAGCTCAACAGCTGTATCCTTTTGAGGATATACTTACTACAGCAATATGAAGATGCCCCATTGAATAGCGTGGATGTAAGGAATCGTTTATTGGCCTCTATAGATGGGGCATTTATGGCTGATGACAATAATGACAACATTGAAATCGATATACAACAAGTCACATCCACTGCGTTGCATCACCTATCCGAGACTCCAAGACGAGTTGGGCCATACGGGGCGCGATCCGGCCTTTCACTATCAAGAACAGAGCCCCGACCGCCAACCTTGCCTTCTAGCTGGCCGCACAAGGGATGCTTTAGAAACAGCCATCGATCGGAGGAAGATGACAGTGTGCTAGTTTATAACTATTGCGATTAGTTCGATACCGGCTTTCCTGTCGACGGAACTACCATTGAGCCCGGCATGGTACGAGTAGGAAAGTCTCTGGCTTGGGGATCGAGCATGAATGAGGCTCTCCTTTGATCTGTATGTATGTATGTATGCTGCTCGATCGCTAGTGGGCAAAGGTGCCTTTATGGGTAGTCTATGCCCAGTTTACTTGCGATAACAAATAAATAGTTCAATTCAGCACTTCCTGTGCTTTAGCAGAAGACTGCACGGGTCTCACAGCCCCCAGATCAACATTATGCAAGCACAGAAAGAAGGACGAGCTCTATGATGGGGATATTCCCAAGTCCGGCCAAAACTTTTACCATGAGTCGATGCTTCGAGATGCTGGCTCTATGACTACTTTGGCTCCTGTAAAGTCTCGGCTCCGCCGTGGAGGTATTCTTTATGGCCAGATGTATAGTCTCATCAGAGATCGTAGACGCTGCTCGCACATATCCATTTCAGAATCCAGATCTACGGCACCTGGCATTAGACCCACAGCTTCGCAATGGTATGCAAAGCATTAGCGGCAAGCCAGCATCGAGCAACATCACTAACCGAGCGTACCTGGCCAGCAAGCGCCGTTGTCACTTCAGCCTGACAGATTCCAAACAACGATCCTTCGGTGTCCACGAGGAATATCGCATATCATGGGGCTTATTTCAAAGCGTCTTGACAGTACTGCGCTCTCTTACCCCCGAAGCCCGCTCCACCTAGCTACCAAGGCGTCCGTCTTGTTTGTGGGCAGTTCGCACTCCCATCTTTGTTGATTACGTCTGGCACAATATCAACAAGTTTACAACCGGGTTTGAGTTGATTCGAGCTCAACGTTCTGGGGGGCTGACGACGTGGGAGCAAACCAAGATGATGGTTATGTTTCTTCGATGTCTTCGGGTTGCAGTTGGAGGGCATGATTACTCCCGAGAAGGGGCGCTGTGGTGGAGTAGAAGAGAGCTGCCACAGCCAGCGGGCTTGCCACAAGTATACTACGGCCTTGGCTTTAGTCAAACACTAGAGAAGTATGGCTATTGCTGGATTGAGCCTCGCATCGATTGGGCTCTGTTAAAGTTTCTTCCAGATATTACTGGTTCAGTCTTATTTGGCAATGGCACTCTTCATCAACGATTTATGAAATATAGTGGTCATGCTAGGCATTTCTTTGGCCTCAGTCGCTGTGCTGACTTAGGTCTTGAATGGCTGCAGCAGTATCTCGGGGAAGAATGTTATCACCGATCAGATTGTGTCATGGCTTTGTCATATCTGTCTACAGCAGATGAGGGCTGACGTCCTCCACTCCATTGAAGGCCACCTCCGACCGAAAGTTTGCAAGACGATCCTAGACGATCATGTTCAGTTTTGTCGCAAAGGTCTTTCAGCTACCCTAGCCAATGATATGACCGCAGTATGGGGAAATCGTGTGAGTGTCAAGGGCCCTCAGGAAGTTGCCCAAGCATTATTCGGTTTGAATGATGGATGGCTACGGGACAATTGGGAAAAGAAACCGTTCCGGAAGCTTCATCAGTGGATATGTACTGCATTACAACATATGCCAACGGAAAATAGGCTATTACAGGCATTCAATTGCCAATTTCTACACTACTTATTCGTATACCACTGGGTATTACCATATCCCACGCCGGGAGACCTAGCGCCCAAGTCCAAGGATGGCAAGCGCCGGTGGTTTTCGATAGATGTCCAGGGTGAAACGGGACTTGAAATAGAGGAAACCTCTCAGGAAAGCTGGTTTTGGGCGAGAAACCGCTGGCGGCAGGGCTATCCGGCACCTCTCCCCCAATACCTCCGCTGGAGCCAGGATCAATGGCAGTCTTGGATTCATCGCCACATTGGCCAAACCTCGTCATATGAAGTACGGGAACTCCGCAATGATCAAGAGAGCTTTGCTTTCAGCTTATCAAATAAACCCAATGGTTTGCGGCGGAATCCGCTGCGTGGCATTCGTGACCCTGTTGTTCGAGATCTAAGTGCGAATCGTGATGACAATTCCTCGATCTTTCATTTATCTAGTATAGAAAACGAGGCACAAGTATTGGCAACGTCACAACAGGTAATCCCGAGCTGCCTGCAGCCCGAACTGGAATTCCAAACATGCCGTCGGTTGGAGCAGTACATAGCAAGTCTTCGAAAGCAGATTGTAGATGGATGTGCGCAAGTTTTCAAGTCACAAAAATCACCCATATCTCAGCCGACAAGAAGGCTTATAATAAGCTGCTGCGCGCCACAACAGGCTATTCAACCAAGGCTCGCCCCAATATCACAATCATCTGAACAAGCGAGACCTGCCCCGCGGCTACAAGTACCTGAACAAGTAGCCTCTACTTTAGAGCCAAAACTCATTCCCTGATGCCCCCCACGACCGACTGTACGACTATATTATGTGGCCCGCGGCAGCCAACAGCCAGCTCGTGGGAGAGAAACCGGACAACAAAGAGCATCTAAACCAGGTCGACCTGCGAAGTATGCAAGTCGAGAAGAAAAGGCGGCGGCTGATAATGCCCGAGCAAGGAACAAGAGGCGAGCTCAACGGCAAATTAGCCTTGCTCGACGACTAGAGGATCCTTTCCGATTCTACACATTTACTCAGTAGGTAATCTAAAAATATCAGGATAATCTAATCCAGAAGAGGATAAGAGTAATATTCACAGCGGTATCTTCCATTCACCTTGGCTAAGATTAAATGATCTCTATTAACAGCTGTTATTTACCGCCTTAAACCAGATACTAGATATGATATAAAACACACAGGTGCGGTGCAACATCAATAAGCTCTGTGTAGGGTTCGAGGTGGTATACAGCTTTCAAGATCCATATTTTGTGACTTGGGAACACACAAGAATTATGCTCATGTCTCTTCGCTGTCTCCAATTCTCATATACAGGCGGATTGATACAGAAGGTCGCTGGGTGCTGGCGAGACGTACGGCAGCAACCCGATGCAAGTCAGCCAAACGGACTTCGCCGCCACGAAGGTCTCGGATTCAAGCTCACTATGGAGAGGTATGGCTATGCCTGGTTTCTTGACAAGATCGACTGGAATACGCTTACCTTCCGCCAACCTTATGCACCTTATATGATGTTCAACAACCCATCCATGCAGAATGCGTATCGCGCTCGATACCACCAAGTGCGAGATGTACGGATCGACTTCATTCGAGTGAATAAGGCATACCAGTGGATGCTTGAATTCAGCTCTATCCCCAACTGCCTTTACCTCCTAGAAAATTACCTTCGGGAGCTGTGTCTGTGTGCCTTTCGCAAAGACGTTTTCTTCCACGTCAAGTCAGCTCTGAAGCCAGAATATCTGGAATCTGCATTGTCAGGAGAGATTCCTCTGTATTACGATAGTGTTAATAACGCCATGCTGAAGGATCACCAGCCACTTCAGCTTGCACAAGGAAATCGACTGGCGGTAAAGGATATTCATGTCTTATTTGCTTGGCTTTGGAAATCGAAGGATGACTATTTTGAACGACAAGGATGGAACGAAAAGCCATATCGCATGCTATTCCAACAGAGTTTCCATGCCATCAAAACTGCACGAGGCAAGGCTGGCGCACGGAAGTGGCGGCAAGACCTGAAAAGGTCGTTTCTTGGAAGCCATTGGACTCTTCCTTATCCACATAGCCGGGGATTTATGCGGAAAGATAAAGAAGAAAAACAGTTCATTTGGTGGCCTAGCGCGCATCAGGGACTTATCAGATACTACGCCAAGTCCCGACAGACTGGAACTCTAGCACATCCACTGCCAGCCTCCAACATCAAACTCCATCCTGTCGATGGCTGGCAATTAGCAACGACTCTATTTTCCAAGAGCTACATGCCCTATGTCATGCAACCCGAACAGGAGTTGATTCGAATGCCTGAGAATGAGCTCTATGCCGAACTCGTTCGTCTCCGGGAGCAAGTCACAGCCAGTCCGGCGCAACATCCCTTTCCAGCGCCCATGCTGGAATTAGACAACTCGCCTGAGGGACATTACTTCCCAAGCAAACAGTGCCCCATAAAGAAGATTAAAGTCGCTAAAACATTTGAGGAATGCGACCAAGTTATTGAGTGCCTGTGGTTTTTGAAGAGGGGGTTAGAAACCTACGAACGTCTCCAACATGATCAACTAAAACGACGAAAAACGCGGCGCCAGAATCATGCTACAATTCAATCAGACACCGATTCAAGTTCAGTCTCAGGGGGTGAAGAAGCTGAGTACACCTCGGATGAGGAGAGCCTAGTTGTCATGCGAAAGAAGCAAGCGCAGGTCGTGCGCCATATGGAAAGCCGATTACATGAGCTCATTGAAGCATACTCTCGAAGATATCCGCAGTGGAAGAAGCATTATGACCCTGAGCTAAGGGAGCTAAATTACCGCCTAGAGAAAGTTGAATGATGTTCAGGAGGATAATAAGAAAGAATAGTTACATGCGTAAGTCTATGCGAACTTTTATTGACCAATCCTTCAAAGAGGCCCTATCCAAGCAAAGAGAGGTGCGCACGTAATACAGCTAATCTAGTAAGTCTGAGGAGTGAAGTAGTCACAGTACCATGATCATACCATAGTATAGAATTTAGGATCACAATAGCATTTACTACTCTATTCTGTTTTATTACTGTAATCATCTAGGCACTGCTTAATAGCAATGGATGAGTATATAAAAGTTGATGGTGAGCACCGTATGCTCATTTGCCAGAAATGCAAGACAGCACTCCGGCCAGACACATTCGCAAAGCACTTTCGACAGATACATCAATTAACTGGCAGTATACTACGAGATACTATTAATCATTGCACTGGCAGAGATGTAGTAGATCCAGTTAACTCAGAGCTTCCAAAAGATGGCAGTGCAGTTATTAGATGGCTCCCGGTGTTGAAAGGGTATAGCTGTGCTGAGGTCTTTTCAATTATTCAGATCAGTTCTTGTGCCTTTGAACCGCGATAGCAACGCATATTTTAGTCACGAAATTGGTACTGGCGTGCAGACATTTGATCTCAGGTATATGTCATCTGCCAGCCTATATAAATGTGACTGTCCGTGGAAGAATGAATAAGAACGAAACTGTTGATAGGCGATTCGAGAACAGCCCGTAACTAGTAATCCAAAACGGAGTGAAAGGAAACTTGTATGTCGACTGGGTAATTTCATCTTTATCGGCTTGTTACTCTTATGTTATCTAATCGTATGATTTTGAGACGATACCGCTCCGACGTATCTAGTATGTATCGTGGCCAGATGTTTTCCCAAGTGGGGTTAACGAGGCTCTGGAGGGGATGCAGACCCACAGACGGCATCATGACGATTGCATTCACATGGGAGGATAGTACGTTATTCCGTTAAAATTTAGTCCAGATACTCGTTTTTGGGTTAAATTTTAAGAATCTACTAATTCGATGGCGAGCCATCCTTAGGTGCTTAGTAGCGGCTCTGAACATACGTTCGGGAGGCGTGTCGTCGGGGTCAAACTCGAGCAGCTCTCGGAAGGATGGTGGCACGATGCGGGGGTTCGTCACCCAGTCTAACAGCTCATGATGCGATGGGTAGCGTAGCACAGGTCATCTCTCTAGAGATGGACATAACAATTCACGTAGGAATGATTAGGCGAAGACGACAAATTGGGCTACACGACAATTTATAGAAGAGTAGGGTATCTCGATGAGGAGAACTATGCGAGCGGAAACGAGGGTGAAGTGACTGTTAAATCCTGATTAGGTTAGTATGTTGGCTGCGAAAATCGAAAGGCGTTAGCGGGTGACGGCTAAATTCTGGTTGGACAGAGCAAAACGCACTAAGAGCCAAACAGGCTAGCCTGCTGACCGCGAAATTCGAAAGGCCAATTTTAGCTAACCCGATGGTTTTGACTAGCGCCTCCAACACGGGTATAGAATCCATATTATCTCTTTGAGCGGCACAAGGCAACACTCATGTCACTAGCCCCACTTTGCTTACTAACTCCGCTAGTACCTGCGGGGTACGTGAAGTTCTCGTCAGACAGCTGTATGATTTTTCACCACCAAATTCATCAAAATCCTCACACAAACAATCCCTAGCCTGTTGTAATTGAAACGATGAGGTCATCTAAGATACAAGATAGCTTAGATGATCACAGCTTTGATACCCCGCCTTTGAGGGCAGCTAATGACCCCACCGGCGTGCCTAATTTTCCGCCCGAAGAGGGCCGCGGTGATGATTTTCAACCTTTCAACCTAGAATATCATGATTTCAAGATCAACCCTCTGCCCAAGGAACCGCTTGAATTATTCCAGCTTTTTATACCTATTTCCCTTATACAGTCATGGGTCAAATATACTAACAGCTGGGTCGCTTACCTGCTTAAAAATGCCGTTATTGACAACTGGAATACCCCCCTTTCTGAACACTCACGTATCCTCAAATGGGAAGGCATCTCCACTTCAACGGCTTATGTATGGCTTGGAGTCGTTATTTACCTAGGGATTCATAGGGAAATAACGATAAAGGACCATTGGAAAGCACCTAGCCTAGGAGATCAGCGCCCTCTTCACTCAATCATCAAGTTCATGCCGCTACGGAAGTTCGAGCTGATCAACAGGTATTTCCGTACTTTTGACTACACCAAAGTCGATATAAGGGATGAGGGTGATCTTCCAAAGGCCTTCCAAGTGGCTGAAGAGTGGTCTGATCTCATACAGAAGGTGTCAAACGAGCTCTATCTTCCAGGGACTAATCTGACTGTAGATGAGTGTATGGTGCCTTTTACAGGCAGATCAAAAGAGACAACGCTTGTCAAGGGAAAGCCCACGCCGGTAGGCTTCAAAGTCTGGGTTATCGCCCAGCAGGGCTTCTTTCTGCGGTGGCTTTGGCACGTGAAGTCATCACCATATACCGCTGTTATCGTCAACTTACCTACGCCGAAGCCGGTTGGCAAGAAGGGAAAGCTACGGACCGAGATCCCTCTCAGCAATACACAGAGCGTCGTGGTTCACCTAGTAGAAAAGCTGCTTCTTCAGACATATCACGTCTTCACAGATAACCTCTTCTCGTCACCGCAGCTCTTCCGCCTCCTTCGGCAGCTTGGCTTTGGTGCCACAGGCACGGCACGCCCTAACTGCGGCATTAGCACCGAGATGAAGAGGATAAAAGAGACCGGCAAAGCTCCTGACGGCACGCCTTTAAGGTATAACGAGGTCATACTGATCCCGATGCCGGATAAAAAGGTATAGACGACTTTTAGCTGTATTTCCCTTACTAATTTGTCTCTTTTTATTCACCCTAGGTCATCCAAATCGCTTGGAAGGATAGCGGCGTGGTGCTCTTTATTTCAACTGTGCACAGCGGCGCCCCTCACGAGCGCACACCAAAAAAGGGGAAGCTGCCGGCTAAGAGAGGCACGAAGAAAGAGGCACAACAGCTGCAGCGAATTTTCAACGGGGATAGCTTCAAGATAATCCCTATTCCTACTGTTGCCGCTCAGTATAATGATGAAATGAATCACGTTGACCGCGGTGATCAGATAAGGTCCTATACAACGTACGAGCACCGATTCCGGCGCGGTCCTTGGCAAGCGCTGCTTTGGAATTTCCTCCTCGAAGTCGCACTTGCGAACAGCTTCATTTTACAGAAGAAGACCCGGCACCCTCGTTGGAAGCCTTATAGCACGCTACGAGCTTGGAAGGAATGCATTTGCAACGCCCTTTTCAACACCTACGCTGCTGAAGGCGGCACAAGGAAGAGAAGCCGGTCAGGGAAGGAGGAAGACATCGAGGATATAGAGGCACGGCAAAATCACCTACAAAGAGATATCAATCATGTCTACAGAGGGTCAATTTCAGCCTGCCTAGCCTGTAAGGGCTGCCGGCAAGGGCAGCCTCGACCCTTTAAAAAAAGGAAGGCAAAAGGAGGATATCTCGAGCCGATATCAGGAAATCAGGGGTGCCGGAAGACTAGGTATGGTTGCAAAGTATGTGATGTAGCAATTTGTAACAATGCTGACTGTTGGTACCTCTATCACACGCCAATTTAGGTGTAGGTGGAATGTACCGATCGTCGCGATCATTTTGATTGGCCCCCGACCCCAGTCGTGACCCCTCTGTTGCCTTGTGCCGCTCAAAGAGATAGCTCTGTTGTTGTGCGCTTCTAGTACAAACCTGACTCCTGAATAGATCTCACTATGCCATAACAGCCACTTTGCTCTTGTTTAATATAATAGCGATATCATATTTTTGTGGTAGCTAAGCCCCTGTGCACTTAGCTCTTTTACTTCTTCATCCTCCACTTTCGACCTCTCCACATGACTACCCAAAGAAGGAAACTCATGATAAACCAAAGTCCAGAAATAAAGACAGAAGTCCACCCCATGCCCAAAGCATCAAGCATGGGATTGGCAATTTCCGCTGCACCTGCTCCAACCAAGCATCTGCCCAGATTATTCGCAGCTACAGCTGTCGCTGCAGATTTAGTATTCAAATCGACGATATTATTTTGTTCACCATGAACTAGATCCTTCTAGACCGAAGCAGATTGCTTATATATAAACCACACATACCCTAAGCAAAAAGACAATTTCGAACAAAGAAAATGTATTTACATGACACCAAGTTGTTCTAATCCTCTCACTAATTCGGAGCCTCTCTCTCTAACGCCTTCTTTGGCCCCTCTTTCTCGTCTGAGTTCCATTATCAATAATCTCAATCTTCCAAATCACACACTGCTCATCTCCTTGCTGACTTCCACCATATCTCGGCGACCCGCTATCCATCCCGTCTTTGCCACCACATGAATCCAGCACCTCGAACATCGCCTTCTTGCAGTGCTTCGGTTCTGTGCCTCTGGTTCTATCAGGGCACCCTTCGCCTTTAACGTCTGGAACCCAGTTGGCGCTGAAGACAAGATCCGTAAGCTTTGTTCCAGGGGTGACACTACCGAATGACTTGACTTGCTCCTTGCGGGTGTCATCTTGGCTGATTGTTCCTTGGTTCAAAGAGTCACACCATGCGTCAATACTACCTTTGATGTTGCCTCGGCTAAGAACTGGGCCATTGGTGTCGGTTGGAGCGCACTCAAGTGTACCATCGTCGTCGTCATCCCTGGGCATCACGACGGCATCAGGCGTTCCGAACAGGGCCTCGAAGTACTTCCATGTAGCGTACATCGCGTAGGAATCCGCTGCGAAGCAATGTCAGCATAGGATGACCTATATGTTTCAGGCCACAACTCCACATACCATTCTTCTGTGAACGATCTCGCACAGACTCCTTCTTATGCATCCCCATTCTCTGAACCATTACCGGTCCGTACACCTTCTCGGGGTTCACGGCTTCTACACGTAGCGGTTGGTCCCTCACCAGCACTGTTTTTTGGTGAGTAACATGTATGACAGTAGGGGATGATTGAAGTTGCTTACCGACTGGCGACTCAGCCATAGCAGCTAGGTGCGTAATTTCATGGAGCAGCATTCTAGTTTTGCCATTCATCTGATGTGGGTCCTTCTGATACGCCTTGTTGCTTCGCAGCTCCTTGATCAAGGGTTCAAGCAGTTCCTGGCCTGGCTGGAAGAACGGCTTGCACATAACAATAGTGTTGTCTTCGAGCTCTTCACTGTATGAGAAGGCATATCCGCCAACTTCGCCAAAGTGGGTCTCACTGGAACAGCTAACCTGATCAGCTTTTGCCCTGTGTGTCTGGTAGATATCCTTGCAGCTCATGCGAATCTTTCCGTGGATCTTGTCGGTGTAAAGCTTCAGGATATTGGTGTAGATCACTATATGGCAAAGGTTAGCTGATTGCGGGGGGACACACTGGGAATGTGGTAACTTACTGTTAATGAAGTTACCAGCACCCTCTCTTTCGTGCACATCAAAGCCAAAGACCCGACTTTCCAATGTCCCCGGCTTATTGTTAAAGTCGATACTGGCAGCCAGTCTAACGAATTCGATAGTATCCCACCAGCTCTGGACGATGTCGCGCTTTTCGGAAGCTGTGCAACCGCGAAATGCTGTGAAGGGGGTATTCATATGAGCGTCATCGTCAGAATCGCTGCTGCCGCTGCCGCTACCACTGCCACTACCAGGGCCCTTGATGGGGCCCTGGTCGCCGCTATTGTCGCTGGCATTGCCGCCGCCATTGCCGATGCCATTGTCGCTGTCATTGTCATCGGGCCTGCGGTTGTGTCAGCTATCTCAAAAAAAACCACCGGGGTGGACATGACATACTGCTCTTGGAAATCAATGCTCCACACCATAGTACCTCCAAAGCAGAAACCATCGGCCCAGGCCTTCTTGGCGGCAAAGGTCTCTTCGTCTGTGGTGATTGTTAGTAACGAGCAGAGACAAAAGCCAGACGAGTGATAGCTTACCATCATATCCAATCCATTGATCATCCCAAGCAATTTGCTTCATCATAGAGTCCTTCAGGTATGTTGACTTGACGCCCTTGTTCTTGATGAGGTTCTTGATCTCACCCAGAGACATGACACCATCAGAGTCAGTGCACTCTCCCTTCTTGCTGGGACCAGCAAAGGAACATCCAAGACCGTTGCAGCTCTTGTCGGCTACAGTGTAACCGCGACCATACATGGCAAGACCGAAGTTGATCTTCTTGGGATCGAGGCCTGCAAACCAGAGAGGGATAGTGTTGTTGTGGATTTCACGGATATCGGATTGTCCGCGAATGATCTTGCCGAGGGTCAAAACGTCCGAGTCCCAGGATCCGTGGAGATCTAACACCTGTGTCAGTCATGAGGTAAAAGAGTTGAACAACACTGGAACTTACCATAAGCCATGAATCCAAAGAAATCAACATAAGGCTCCATTGCCTTAGCATCGAACCAGCGGAGATACCAATAGTCAGGCGCCAAAGTCAAGCTAATACCGTACTTGGAACCGTATGCGGCGCGCATCTCCTTGAGCAGCATGGAGAGGTTCCGAGTATCAGCAAGCTTACGACCACCGCGCTTAGGCTCACCAGGGTACTCCCAATCGAGATCAACACCAGTGAATCCATACTCATCCATGTAATCGCGAACTGACTCGATAAAGGCAGCTCGGTTGGCCTTGGTAGACACCATGTCGCTCCAGGTAGTATGGGTAGGTGTATTCTCGTTGCTCATATCGTAACCACCGATGGCAATCCAAGTCTTGAGCTTGCCGCCCTTGGACAAGTCGGTGAACTCGCGCATCTGCTTAACATCGTCGTTGTGAGCAGGAGTGACCTTGAAAGAGACGGGGTCGATAAAGGCGAAGGAGTAGAACAGATGGGTGAAGCCTTTGGTATCGAGCTGCTTGGGCGTCTTGGTGTCGCATTTGCGAGCGCGGACGTTCCACGATTGATAGTATCCGATCGTTCGTCCGCTTGTGCTGCCACTTCCCTTTGCGCATGAAGGAGATGAGACGATGTTGCAGCCTCCGTAACCGGCTTGGCAGGGCAGGGTCTTGTGTAGGGGATCGGCGTTATCGCAGAAGACTTCGGTGGTCTAAGAGATCAAGTTAGCTAGCTGTCAATGGCAGACACGTATCAGGGGAGGCTTACACCGCACCAACCAGTGGCAGAACAGCAGAGGTTCATGCCACAAGGCATCTCACCCTCTTCACTATACTCTCCACACATGGCCTTAGCATCACAGTTTGATGTGCATCCCTTGCCACAGTAGTCAGGTCCATAACCGCAGATGCCCTTGGGACCACAGCAGCTATCGACAGTCAGTCATTAATATCACAGGCCAATGGAACATCAACTTACCTGTCGTCAGGGCATTTACGGTCCTTGCAGTAGAGGGGACCGTCACCGCGCTTCTCGAGAGAACGGCGCGAGAGACCAGACTTGTTGGGGGTAACGCCAGCAGAAGACTCAGTAGCATTCTGAGCATCCTTGTAGTATTGGTCGAGGCTGACACCTGAGTCGCTGGAGAGCTCAAGATCTTCAGTGGGGTTCGGGGGGGCCTCGGCAGGGTTCTGGTGACCCGGGCTCATGACAATCTTCTTGGTCCATTCGGGAGCCTTGGCTGTTGATTACGAGTTAGTATGGTCTTGAAGAAAGGCATGAGGATACTCAGGTGAGACTTACTGATGACAGAACGACGGTTGATGCGATCTGGTTGGGCGTAAGGGTGACGAGGCGTATCAGCATTGCTCAAGGTTACAAAACACAAGAAGCAAAGAGCAACCGCCCAAAAGGCGATGCTCGAAAGTCGTGACACCATATTACCCAACTGTATGGGTTGAGGTAAAAGAGTGACTGTCGTTGTGTCTGTCTAAACAAGTGTTTCTACAGCCGGGCCCAATAGACTATATACGTCTGAGCCTGGATGAGTTGCCACCTCCTAAGAAGAATATGCAGTTCTGTATGCATATCCGTACATCCTGGAAATTAAAAGACCCATGTCGATCGAATGCAAGCAATGTCTATTGAGCAATACCCGCCGACGGCTAAGTTGCCTGCCATGCTACGTTACAACACACGTGCCCTCTCTACTCTCAGATATTATGAGGGGAAAAAAAAAATCGAATGATGGATAGCCTCAGCCTCGGCAGTGGATTCTCATTATGAACCTATGGTGTGGTTCTGGTTCCTAGCTCTACGGATATCTCCAGGGCCCATAGAAGGATCGACTCCCGGGCTCGGCCGGCAAAGGCAAGTCCCGGGAGCCAACCGGTTCCAGCTAAGCGTAGGATCGGAACGTGCATTAGACTCGGTAGACCCACGGCCTTTCCAAATGCTTCAGGCAAGAAGACCGATAGACGTGGGTTTCTCCTTCTTTGCTAAAGTCCGAACCGGCCAATCAGAAAACACGTCTTATGGACGAAATACCCTGAAGCTTACAAGATACAAAAACACGTGCCTTCGATTATGGAAATTAGCAGTCTTGGCAGATTCAAGGGGCAGCAGGGCTGTGCGTACTCTTTACCCGACCCGCTGGAGGAGACTCTCACCGACGAGCCGGGAACTGTTCTGCAAGGGACGATTTTTCTACATCCTACAAAGGGTATAGGGTAAAGTGGCACGATTAAAATTTTGAGCGGTTAGTTGATTTAGTGTCGGGTGGCCATATTGATCACGAGAGAGAGGCTCAAACACTCGTTAGACACAACGGAGAGTTTTGAATGAGTACTTGAGGTATTCTTTAATGAGTTTGCAGTACAAGATAGAGTAAGCATGTCAGTACATGTCAAGGCTTGTCCGGCGTGTCGTTGGTTTCAGTCGATCTGACAAACAGTTAATTAACCTTAACTTGGACCTTATTAGCTAATCAAGACGGCGGCCGACTGGAGGAGCGCAAACTCTATAGATAACTCTACAGATAAGGTTACTATAGTTATGTGACGATATATTGGGGGCCGACCAGGTCGGTCCGAGACTCCGTCGGGCAGTGCTGGCTGCGTTAATTAACGTTCTAGAGTCTAGACCGTCTTGACTCGATTCAGACATACTCCGTATAGACTAGGGAACGAGTCTCTTGCTTGAGGAAAACGTTTTCCTTCGTTACGTTCTGTTCAAGGGCCGGTCCCTGCGTGGCAGGGGTCGGGGATTGGGGCTTATTTGGGACGATCCTCCCGAGCGTGTTCGCCGAGAAATGTGGCGGCAAATGAAATTGCCCGATTTTCCATCACCTATCCTAAATGGGTAGTCTCTATGCCATATAAATGAGTTTCCAATATCGTTGTAGAGCCTGAGAGAATCACCAGCACTGTCACTACCAATCAACCTCCTCAATTCTCTTTCACACATTCTTTGTTGAAAATGAAGGTTGCTGGACTTTTCTGGCTTCTGCCAGCTTTTGTTGCTGCCCAGTCCCCCACTACTGCAACTCTGTCCCCATGGCAGACTGGAGAGGTCACTCCTGATGGTACCTGTGGAGGGGACACTGGTTTCGTCTGCAGCCCTATCTGGGGTGCTTGCTGCTCCAAGGACGGCCAGTGCGGCCGATCCAGCAAATTTTGCGGAGAAGGCTGGTACGTCTCTGTCTACCCTGTATTGTTTCAGACACAACTAACACTTAACGTAGCCAAAGCAAGGCTGGAAACTGCAATGCTGCTGCCCCTGCTCCCGAAGTTCCCCTAGGCCCTGGAAGCGTCTCTCCTGACGGTTCTTGTGGCGGCACAAACAAGTTCGTTTGTGGTGGTAGCGCCTTTGGCGACTGTTGTTCAACTCAAGGCTGGTGTGGTAACTCTACGGCCCATTGCGGTAACAACTGTACCCCCGACTTTGGCAAATGTGGTCCTCCCAGCAATATCACCTTTGACGGCCAGTGTGGCGCAAATGGCAAGATCTGTCTCGACTCTGGTTTTGGCGATTGCTGCTCCAGTACCGGCTGGTGTGGAGACAAGGTCGATCATTGCGGTGCTGGTTGTCAGAAGGGCTTCGGCAACTGTACTTTGACCAATGCTGGAGATATTTCCACTGATGGTTTCTGTGGAAAGAATGGAAAGACTTGCAAGGGCAGCACATTCGGTGACTGCTGCTCCAAGGAAGGCTACTGTGGCAAGGATGGCCATTGCGATGCTGGATGCCAGTCCAAGTTTGGTTCCTGCAAGGCTGACTCGGGCAGTGCCTCAACCGACGGTCGTTGCGGAAGTTTCAACGGCAAGACTTGCAAGGGCAGCACATTCGGTGACTGCTGTTCCGTTGGCGGCTGGTGTGGCGACAAGAAGGATCACTGTGATGCAGGCTGTCAGTCCAAGTTCGGTACCTGCAACAGCGAAGCCAGCAATATCTCGACCGATGGCTTCTGCGGTAAGAACGGCAAGACTTGCAAGGGAAGCACTTATGGTGATTGCTGTTCCGCTCAGGGCTACTGTGGCAAGACCAATCACTGCGACGCAGGTTGCCAGAGTGACTTTGGTACTTGCAACGCTGGCTCCGGCAGTGTTTCTACTGATGGAAGCTGTGGCAAGAATGGAAAGACTTGCAAGGGCAGCGTATTTGGAGACTGCTGCTCTCAACATGGATATTGTGGGAAGGGTGACGATTTCTGCCGCACCGGCTGTCAGAAGGCCTTTGGACTCTGCCCCGGCATCTCGGCCGACGCTGAGTGTGGTTCCAGGAACGGCAAGACTTGTGCTGGATCTGGTCTCGGAAACTGCTGCTCTTCGAATGGATTCTGTGGAAGCACCGCTACTCACTGTGGTCAGGGCTGGTAAGTTAATTTGTTCTCTCGATGGCATTACATCTTTACTAACATTGCTCTCTCCTACAGCCAAAAGGGTGCTTCCAGCGCCTGTCTTACTAAGGACATTCCTTCCCTCGACAGCACTTGCGGTAGCAAGGTTGGTCTTACATGTGCTGGCGGTCCTTTTAATGGCCAGTGTTGTGGCTCTTCTGGCTTTTGTGGAACAACTAGCATCCATTGTGGTTCAGGATGGTAAGTTCTTACATCCTGTCCCTTCTTCTTTATTGGCTCAGCTGCTAACTTAGTTCTCCAGTCAAAAGGGTTTCGGTCGCTGCAATTAGTCGTAATGTTGCATGGATCCAATGGCTTTATAGCCATACCCGCATTTGATCTTAGATATTTTAATTATCGATCTGTTCCGATGTACCTTTATTGTCATACTTGACCCTAGTCCAACATACCAAAATCAATTCTAGTAGAATTGAATTTACCAAAGTCACTAACGTACATGATAAGCGGACCGGACAAAAATTTCAACCTTCTTAACATTAATTGTAATAAAAACATAACAGACTATCTAATCGAGACCTCAATGAGGCTAGAAAGGTCACCAACGAATTCAGGTCCTCGTGCCTCAGTAGAGCAACATCATGTGCTGTTTCGGGCGAAGGAGAGTCGTGGTGTCCAAGTCCTCCCATTGGTCCCGGCATTCAGGCTTGTCATATCATCCCTCAGCACCATTACCATCCAGGACCACCTAATGCATAACCCCACCTAATGCATAACTAAAATTTCGCTCCTCCCATACAAAATCCAAATTTTGATGTCCGCAAAAACAGGCCCGATTCTTAATTAATAAACGAGGCTTTAAAGAGAGTTTCTATAAAGTTATTTGACTTTTACTCTCTGCGTGGTTTTTTGACCTCCCGACCGCTGCGTGTGCGCTGGCAGTGCTTTGTTACGACCATAAAGTCATCACTTTCGTCCTCTGACCTGACACCCACCTCAATCACCGACTCGACCTCCTCATCCACATCCACCTCTATTTCTGCCTCTTTTGAGTCAGGAAGAGCTTCTCCAGCCGCTATATTCTCCGACAGAGCCATGAATCGTCGGTTCGGGTTTGGTACCGCCTTTCTTTTCTTCCCTCGCCGCACCTGGGCCATCTGCTCCTCGAGGCCAGTAATCCGCGCATTCTGAACGGCCACCTTCATCTCTAAAGCTTCCAATCCCTTTGCGATCTTACTGTACTTCTGCCTGGTCGGACGGCTTCGGTGTTTGGCCATTTCCCTCACTTGCCGACTCGTTTTCGGCGTATCATCTGAGTGCAGTTGAGGAGGGCTCGGCGTCTTGAACTCTTCTAGCAGTTTTTCTTTGTCCGGTTGAATTTTAGGATGTGTTAGAGCCTTATGACGATTTATAGGCCAATTTCCAGTAAATCTCCAGCCGGATAAGATAATATCTTTCCTCATGCCCGCCTCCCTGGCTTTCGCGTATGCCCGGATAAAGTTGACTTTGTCAACCGGCGCAGAATCGGTCAAACTAGCCAGCATTTGGAGTTCTTTCCGGTACGCACCTTTGATGACATTAAAAATCCCATTGTCTAATGGCTGCAGACCATGGGAACAATGTGCTGGTAAGTAACAGCAGTAGACGTTGTTCAGAAAGCACGTAGCCATCCACTCGTCCTGACTGCTCGTCAGCGACCCTATAGCGGGTGACTCAGCGGCGAAAACACCGAAATGCTCACCTGCGCATGGCTCCCGTGACCGTCAAGGATAATAAGTCTCGCATCCGATGCATCATGAGGGTCCGTTTGGGGTAGATAAATGTCCTTCAACCACTCGAGAGCAATATGGTTGTCTGTCCAGCCGTTCGGTGATGTGATGTAGTGCCAGTCGGCTATTAATTCGAATTCGTTAAGAAACCACTGCTTCTGCAGCTCTTTTCCTTTAAATATAATTCCCGGTTTCAAAGCACGGCCAGTTGCGGTGACAGCCTCAATAACGAAGTCCGGGTGCGCGACTGAACGCCTTTCAACATCACCTTCTTCTTCGGGTCAGAGCTCCCGATCACGAGGCTGTCCAGGCCTCATGGACAACCAATTAGCTATGCCCTATAAAAGCCTATAGAGTACTTATAGAAGACTTACCGAAACCCACCATTATGCCGCCCTCGCCCACGTTAACTGTGTTCTCAGGCTTGATCCAGCCGTACTCGTTCTCCCTGATATCGAAGTACCAATTGACCGCCTTCGGAGTAAAGCCGTCAAATCTGGCGGCTTCTTGACGTTTTCCAATCTTGGTAGATGGTTTTGGGTGACGTTTGACGAACCTGGTGGTCCAGTGCTTGCCTAAAGGTTTGTTATCGCCTTGTTGTTGAAGGATGGCCTCGACACAGGCGCGGACCTGGCTGTGCGAGGGAGCATAGCCCAGAGACTCTTGTCGCAGCACCCAACGAATAAGCGTCTCCTCCTGGCTCTTTGGAATACGCTGGTGGGCCTGGATACGTTCATTCCTCCTTGCTTGACCGGAAAGTCGTCTCGAAATGGTCCACTGAGGTACTCCACGTTTCTGGGCCGCCTCATTCTGTGAGAGGCCTCTATCGGTGGTGTCGAATATAGCCTCAGCTACGTCATCTTCGGTATAATTACGGCGAACCATTACGGAAGGAGTTGTGGCGAGTAAATTAGGTGAAAGTTCGGCTTGAGTGGATGGAGTCGCCTAGGGTACATGAGATGAAATGCGACAAAATTCAAAGGGCTAGAGAACCAGGCTACAGGGCGGACCGGGAAAAATTCAAGCCGATATGAAAATTTGATGAAAAAAGCAATATAGTGCAGGTCTTCGTTCGCGAGTATCTTCATGCCTGGCCGAATACAATGCAATTGAAAATTTGGATTTTGTATGGGAGAAGCGAAATTTTGGTTATGCATTAGGTGGGGTTATACGTTAGGTGGTCCTGGATGGTAGAGTGAGGTGGGAACACCGCAACGATGATCCCATGCGCGTCGCACCAGTCCAAGAAGTCCATATTGATGTGGCTAGAGTGTCCATCGGTGATGAGAAGGCGGTAATCGCGCCCATTTCTTGCTTTCGCCTTGGTAAAGCGGTCGAAAACACCAATCAGCCACTCTTTCCCCAGTTCGTGACTCGTCCAGCCAGTTTCGGACGTGGAAAAGAAGGCTAATTGATGCTCCGGATCAAAGTCAGTGAGCCAAGTGTCCTGAACTTGTCCCGGCTTGCCCTGGTAGATGAGGAATGGGGGTAGCGATGTCATGTCTTGGCAGATGCACGCCAGGAATGTGATCCACGATCGGTTCCCATCCTGGGAAGCACCGAGCAATTTGCCTTGCCTTTTAGCATTGACATCAAATACACTCTTCGTTCGGTTGATTACGCCCAGGAGAAATCCCTTCTCATCCATGTTATACGTGTTCTGAGCTAAGATGTCGTATTTGTCGATTTTTTCACGGATCTTCCATGATTAGCAACGAACCAAAGGCGCTACGAGTCTTCTTACTAGATCAAAATATGCTCTATACCGAGAAGCATTGTCGGCTCTTCTTCATGCTATATCAAATCCATCAAACCAGGTACAATCGATCTCGTTGCGATGGCGCTGGACGAAGCTGTATGGCCAGTTCTTTCCGACCTCGATTTTGGCTATGTCCTGAGCAAAATTTCGGATCATGGATAGGGTTGGCGGAATGCCACGCAGTGAGAGTTTACGGATATAAGTAACAAGATCTTGTTCCTGTTGTTTTGAAAGGCGAGATTTATACAAAGAGTCGGCATCGCGTCTTGCCCTCTGTTTGCCCTGATGGCGGCGGCGCAGTGTAGTCTCGTCACATTTGAACTTTTTAGCGGTAGCATCATAGTTGATAGATCCTGAGGTTTTCAAGAACTCGAGCCCTTTATCGATTGCTGCCATGGTTGTTGAGTTATTAAAGATTGAAGTTGGGAGTGAATATCGGTGTGAGTCCGGCAGATCATCGGATCCGGCGGATCACCGGGAAATCCCTTATCTAACCAAAACCACGAAAACAGGCTGATTCTGGCGCCCCACACCATTCCAATGCGTTGCTGGCGGACGCGGTCACGCTCAATTTGCGACCAGCATGTACAGTGATGCAATAGTGCAACCACTTCAACACAGCCCAACGGGCAGAATACCACCAAATCAATCACGACCATCAGGATATCTGTTTCCTTTTACCTGTTTTGCGCAATACGGTAACCCCTGACCTTATCAGAACTTGTTGCATACACTGATTGACCAGAACCCTACGACTTTCCATCTCTGCTTTTGACGATCTAAGACGGTATGGCTGCTACACCTATCCAGAAGGATGACGTGGCTCCTCCCGGAAAGCTACAACGAGAAAAACGTCGCAAGACTGCCACCCAAGGACCTCTTAATATTAGACGAGACGCGCCTGCTACCCGCAACAAATATGCTAAACCTAAGAGCCACGAGCAAGACGTCGGCCAAGTGCAGCCGCAGCCTAGCGGAGACGCGCTTGATGACATCGATCCCAGCTCTAGAGAAGACGTTGCGATTGACGACTTCATCGACCATCGCGTTGACACCGTCAATTCGACCGTCGACATCAAAGTCCAGTGGGAGGGCGGCGAAACCTCCTGGGAATCAGAATGGAGTCTACAAGAGCAAGTTCCCGCTCTTGTCTTCAAGTACTGGAAGAACCGTGACAGTCGTGAGGCTGCTACCAACCTCGACGTCTACCACGTCTTCAAGATTCTCAACCGTACCACTCAGCCTGGCAAGTCCAAGGGTGATAAGTTCATGTACGAAGTGCAGTGGGTCGGTTATCCTCGCACTGACTCTACCTGGGAGTACGAGTCTAAGCTACGTATGATTTCTCCGGGCGAACTGGAGAAGTTTGAGGCCGAGGAGTTGGCTAGCGGTGCTTCAAATAAGAAACGCAAAAGTACACGTGGGCCTGGACGACCTCGCAAAAAGCCTCGAGTGAAGGATTGAGGTGATAGATCGCGTGCATGTAGATAGCGTAGGTGTACGAACGAACACGATCGATAATGGTACCGTACGACTCTTTGAGCTCTTCCGCTGCCTTGTAGCCTGGGTCTGGGTCTCCGAACTTGCTTGTCAAAACTGGTGTGGCATTGGGGGCACACTGGTCCATTCCAAATTTTCTTAAGTTCTTTCTCTAGATAGGTTGTCTGCGACAAGAACATCGATCGGCTTGCTTAGGGTTTGGATAGGGTTAGTATTAAACTATCTAAGCTATCTTGCCCAGTTGCTTTCCTCTAACTAAAGATATAGTATAATAAAGAAAGAATAATAAAAGAGGGGACTTTAAAGAGATATACTCTTAAGGTAGCGTATAAAAGCTTAGAAAGAAAAAGAGCCTAAGAGGTAGGCTATGTTGTTTTTCTTGCGCAGTAGTGCTGGGTGAAATATATTTTATGCAATTTGATTGTTGTTGTCTTGAGATGAGAGTTCTTCTCGGGTTTATATCTCTAGATGGTTTCATCTAGGAATCCAACTCTAGGGCTTTCAGACTGTTAGTCTGAGTATCATGAAGCAGATGGAAGCAGCCGGAAGCAGCCGGAGGGGAAGGGATTGATGCGGATGATGAAAGTATCGAGGAAGAGTTGTAGGGTGATTAGCCAAGGACTAAGCAAGACAAGCCTTTCAAAGGTTAGAATATCCCGCCCACTGCATCTTCCCAAAGGACTTCACCTCGGACTACTCAAAACTTATTAATGGCGTCGAGACACTAGTGACAGTCTATTGATTGGAGATAGTGTTCTTTGTTATCTTATTGGCAGCCTGACGTTAGAATTAGTGGCTTGCATCTTCTTCCATAGCTAGGTATTGACTGGAGTGTCAGTTCTTCGAGAATCATCTCATAAATACATCATGGCTCTAACATGAGTTCAGCGTAATAGCACTCAATGCCTAATCTTTTTCATGCAGTTCTTTCAGCCTCTGGGCCATGACAGCAAGTCCATGTAATCTCGATAGTTTTCTGTCAATACGTTACTTGTCCCAATAAACTAAAGGTATCCCCTCCACACCAACGCCACGCTTAATAAAGCTGATATCCCTATATTACAACTTCAGCCACCACTCACAACAATGAAACCCTTATCAAAATGCAGACCGCATAACTTCTTCCCCCAAAGCCTCCTCAACCATAGCCAGTCTAGCTTGCCAGCCGGGTTCCATAAAACGAGACATAAACATCAATCGTTTCGCCGCCGTATCAATCCCCATCTTCTCTTTCATCACCTCGGCGTTCTCAGCGTCAAGCTGCCCAATCCTCTTGGTAACCAACGCAATCTTGCTGTCGGTTTTGAAAAGTCCAGCAGTACTCTTGTCAAGTTGGCTTTTGACTACGGTATATACCTCTTCATGTTCGAGAACCGTTCTTTTTCGTTTATCCAGGAACGTGCGAAGTTCGTTGTCCCCAGGATATTTGTTGTAGAGATCTTCCAGGTCCCTGAGCAACTTGTTCTCGGTGGTCATTGATTTCTCTACATCCTTGAGCGCGTCTTGGGCTTTTTTCTGGTCCTTTACTTGCTCGTCCTTTGTAAGTCTGAGGCTGCGCTCAACGGCGGTGAGTCGGCGGTGTTCGTCGTTGATGGATGATAAGAGTTCTTCGAAGCTCTTGATATGAGGTTCTAAGGCAGCCGAAGCGGCCTTCAAGCTTGCTCTGAATTCGTCTCCGGTGGGCTGAAAGGAAGTTAGTTTATGATGACCGCATCGGATTGACTGTATTTGCAAATGTTGCTTACAAGAAGAGCGTTCCAATCCAATGATCCAGTTACATGTGAACTTGGGCGTCGAATGTCAGCAGGCTTTCGTCTTTTGGTTGAAGGGGCTGTGAGTGATTCTGAAATGCTCGCCGCTGTCTGGTTGATGAAGTTGTTGGTAGATGTAAATGTTTTTACTGGCGATGACGGAGCAGGGCGCTTGTTAGTCCCAGCAGGGGCGATGGGACGAGGTGTCGATGGTTCACTGCCTCCTAGGTGGGAGTATAGAGATGCTTGAGGAGTCGCATTGGTAGACGCCGATGGTCGGTGATTCGGTTGCTGCTGAGAGCTCTGGGAGGTCTGAGAAGTAGTACTGGTACGACGAGACAGTGCTGGCTGCGAGCTTGCTTGTGCGCGAGGAGCCGAGGAGCTTTGAGAACTCGTAGCAGCCATTGATGGCTGGCTACTTGATCGTTGGTCAGGCTGTCGCGCGCTCTGGGGCGTAGGTAGAGATTCTGCTGATTGTGCGCGAAGCTGTACAGAGTTCTGAGCTGCGGTTGTTGATCCCTGGCTGCCTGGTTGTTGTGGAGGGCGCATAGTGCCCTGTGGAGTTGTCGCAGGAAGAGACACGGGAGTCTGAGGATTGCCCGGAACAGATGACGCTGTTTGTTTGAGCGGTTGCACACCAGATCGTTGAGCACCCTGGGCGTTCTGAGAAGCAGAGGGGAGAGGCGCCATCATTTGGGAGCTTGGTGGTTCGCGCGGCTGCGTCGAGCTTTGAAAAGCCCGCGGAGTTGTAGCAGCAGAAGACGCCGAAACTTGTTCATCTGGTCCCTCTGGACGGCGAACAGAGCTCTGGGGGGTATCATGAACCAAGCGAGATGATGGTTGAAAGCTGCGCCGAGGGCGAGCGCTTGACTCGGCTGCGTTGGAGCCGGAGCTGGAGGCGACAGGACTGCCTCTGGATTGCCCATTGGTTTTGGCGGGCGCAGACCTGGGATTGGCCGCCATGGTGTCCTCCATAGGCTCATCATCTTGAATATCACTGATGTCTCTGCTTCGCGACCAAAGGTTTCGTTCATGAGGGGCGCTCTCTTCCTCTTCGACAGTCAAGTCGGGATCTTCTTCAGTCTCTTCTTCATCTTCATCTTCATCTTCGCTGAGATCTTCTCGAGGGCCTAACGCGATAATCTCATCAACCGGTTCAGAGTTTGCCTCGGCTCCTTCACTGTTCGCAGCCTCATCCTCATCAACTTGATCATCCGCACGTCCATTCCATCGCCGTGTTTGTTTAGTATCAATTCCCATCCTGCGTAACCACTTTCGCACCTTTGCGATATCTGACTTACGAAGTCGCGGGCGATCTGAGCGTGGGTGGCTAGTAGCGAAAACCTTCAACCTATGGCGCACCTCGTCGAGCTCCACGTTCTTAGCAGCCACTACCAGAGAGACCAACGCGGAAAGGCCCTCGATAAGTCGAATACCCCAAGTCTCAGGTACAAAACCTTTGCAGAGCTCAGTTGGCCACATGCCACATGCTTGATGAATGCGCTGCGCTGCGTGTAACGCTCGCTGGGTTGGATAATCTGGTGATGATGAGGCGCCGTTCAGTGACGGCCTACCTCGTTTGCGCGCAGATGAGAGCTTAGGAGTCATGATTAAGTAATACAAAATGAAAATTTAAAATAGCATCGGTTGTCAAGGTTGTAGTCATTTAAGCGACTATGCCCGGTTAGGGGGGTCCGGCAGACAGCCGAAGCCCCGCGGATCAGTATTGATCCGTGATGCCCCCATTTCGCCAATGTCAAAGACGATGACCAGCTGTCCCCAAAGTTCCCGCTTTTCTCTCCTTAACCACTATATACAGTGGGCGTGCAAAAGTTCCGACACATTCCGGATCCACCCCAACTACCTCGATCTCATACTGCCATTTCGGATTGCAATTGCATGGGCAATAATTCTTCAATTTAGATAATATATATATCAATCTGTAGAGACTTAAAAGGAGATTCCAGAAATATAGTTTAATACTTGGTATAATAGCCATTTGCGTTGTAACAGGCGTTCAACCGGTCGGGCATCGATTTTATCACGTTTTTGACCACTTCATCTTCGACCTCCGACCAAAGCTCCTCTGCAGCTTCAATCAGCCGGGCCAAAGCTGCTGCAGACTTTGGATAAGCAGCAATTTCAGGATATCTATCGCATATCCTCTTCTTCAGGACTTTCCATAGATTTTCAATGGGGTTGAGATCAGGGCTGTATGGCGGCCAGTCAGCAAGAAAGACTCCTGTTCTTCTTGCCCAGGGCAGCAGCCAATTCTGAACTTTCCGGCATTTATATGTACGGGCGTTGTCGTGCTGAAAAGTCTCTCCTTCCTCGACCAGTCCGGGAAGATAAGACTGTAAACAGGATAGAATAATCCTTCCTGTTACGCCTCCCCTCTCAGACTCAGGATCGCCGGCAAGAGGGACGATCCTAGACGGCTTATCATAGTGAATTGCACCAAAGAACATCTGAGAATGTCTGGCAGGCCGTCTACAGGGCTGCACCTTATCTTGATGGAGTCTCTCACCCTGTGGTGTTGTCAAAAGAAGCTTCTGAAATAGAAGGGGCTAGACTTACAGCAGAGTAAAATGACCACTTGGTATAGTCACCGTCTGTACGGTCGATAGAGACCTCATCAGAAAACCACCAGCTATACCAAAAAGACTCATCTTCATGACGATATTTTTCACAGAAAGCTTTTCTCAATTGAGCACTTTCTTCGCTGAGAAACGGGCGTCGAAGTGCAAGCTTGTGTTGTATCTTCTGATTGATAAGCCAGCGACGAATTGTGCTTCTTTTGCAGTTCAAACAGGTGCAATCAATTATTTCTTGGTATGAGATAAAAGCGTTTCTTCCAATGAGTATTTTGATATGATTTTTATCTATATCTGATAGTCGTGATGGCCTTCCAGAGCGAGGTAAATCTTTTGCTGATTGTTGGTGACGGTACCGTCGAATGACTCCATAGATCGCGTGCCGACTTAGCCCCTCACTGTCTGCGATATCCTGCACGCGAACACCTGATTCGTACATCGTCACAAACCTCGTTCTTTTGCAAGGAGAATGATGTGTTTTTTGCCGTATTCGAGGCATCTTTTCCTATAGAAATAACGCGATGAAGTTGTGGTGTTGATGTTGATGTTTAATTGAAAGCGGGGTCCGGACCTCGGATGTGTCGGAACTTTTGCACGGGACTGTACATATGCTTGCCGGCCTATGTAAACAGCGGTTTACTACTAACACTGTATCTCATCTAGAAAAAGCAAGGCTGTTTTCTCTTTCGATTTATACTGGAACTCCTTGATCACAATTGTGAAAAACGATCTTCTTTTTAAAATAACTTCTAGTTATCCTATTTATCACTTTCAAAAGTCCTGAGGACTGCCTGGCGGAGATTCAGGCTCCTTAGTGGATGTCTGGTGTTGCGAACCCCGCATCAGACGTCATCGTCGTCATGGGAGACGATCCGGATGGTTCGGGCGGGGGATATCATCACCCTCAGCGGAACAGGGTCAGCAGCGCTCGCAATAGTCCAGACCATTTGGACTATTAGTCCAGACTGTAGATCAGTGCAGGGAATACGGACGCCCGGTGTGGACGCTAAGTACGCTAGGTTGTTGGCGTGGTGTTACAAAACCAGGGTGCCCATGATTGTTGCTGTGCCAATCATTTTGTTTTGGATATTTCTGATCAATTTACTGGTGCGATCCAGATCAACACGGTTCGTTTCAAGGGACGCATCATCCTAGTCGTCAATCCACGAACGCCCGCCGCGGATTGATTATTGATCTTGGACTGCAGTCTGGACTACCATCTGCTACTACTTCAAGAATCACCCCACTTAAAGCATAGCACAAAAAATCGTCGCCCCATACAAATTCTACGATGTTATTTACACCATATTTTATTATAATAAAATCATTGAGGAAAACGAAAACTTGCAGTGTATTATTTTTTGCATACTCTCTTACCCCGGGCCGTTTTTTCCCCGCCCTTTTTACCTATAATGGGAGTTTCAACACTTTGAAAAATTTGCATTTGTCTCTCTCTCATCTTTCTACTCTCACAAAGTTAGCAAGGCTCTCTACGCAGCTTACAGCTGTAAAATATCTCCAAAATGGGTCGCTATGTTTATACCGAAAAAGACGTTATTGATGCTGTATTCGATATTACTGACGGTTCTCTATCACAGTACCAGGCCTCTGAGAAATATGGAGTGACTTAACCGGTACTCTCGAAAGACTTTCGGGCCAGAAGAGCAGGAAAGAGTCTGCACACACTCACCAACGTCTTTCCCCCAATCAGGAGGACTGCTTTGTTCGTTGGATTCTGCGGCAGGTGCCCCTCGGCTACGCTCTCTCGCATAGCCAACTTCGAAGTTGCGTTGAAGCCCTCCTTCGTCAACAGGGAGATAACAAGCCATTGGGCAAAAACTGGACATCCAGGTTCATCAAGCGTCATTCGAAACTATCTACAAAGCTTGGGAAACGCCAGGAATCCACCAGATTTGACGGGTTCACACCAAGGTCGGCCAATTGGTACTTGAATATCCGGGAGGACGAGTACGGCTGGATCAAACCCGAAAACACGGTTAACGTGGATGAGGGCGGCATAATGGCCGGTTTCGGCAAGTCATCTGTAACTTCTCTACGGGGTTTTATAGGTTATAACAGATTGGTTGTCCACAAGGCTTGGACAGCCTCGTAATGGGGAGCTCTGACCCGAAGAAGGCCCTGTTGAAGGGCGTCTAGTCGCGCACTTGGACCTCATTTATCGATGCTGTCACCGCAAGTGGCCGCGCTTTAAAACTAGGAATTATCTTTAAAGGAAAGGAGCTACAGAAACAGTGGTTTCTCAACGAGTTCAAATTGATAGCGGACTGGCACTACATCACATCGCCCAACGGCTGGACGACAACCACATAGCTCTAGAGTGGCTGAAAGACGTCTATCTGCCTCAAACAGAGCCTTGTGATGCATCGGATGCGAGACTCATTATCCTTGACGGTCATGGGAGCCATGCACAGGTGAGCCTTTGGGTGTTTTCGCCGCACAGTCACCGGCTATAAGGTCGCTGACGAGCTGCCAGGACGAGTGGATGGCCACGTGCTTTCTGAACAATGTCTACTGCTGTTACCTCCCAGTACTCTGCTCCCATGGTTTGCAGCCGTTTGATAATGGAGTTTTTAACGTTGTCAAGGGTGCGTGTCGGAAAGAACTCCAAAAGCTGGCCAGTTTGACCGATTCTGCGCCGGTTGACAAAGTGAATTTTATTCGGGCCTACGCGAAAGCCAGGGAGGCCGGCATGAGGAAAGAGATTATCTTGTCCGGCTGGAGGCTTACTGGAAATTGGCCGATAAATTGTCATAAAGCTCTATCACATCCGGAAATTCAACCGGACAGAGAAAAATTGCTAGAGCAGTTCAAGACGCGCAGCCCTCCCCAACTACACTCAGATAATACGCCGAAAACGAGCCGCCAGGTGAGAGATTTAGCCAAACACCGAAGTCGTCCGACCCGGAGGACGTACAGTAAGATCGCCAGGGGGCTAGAAGCTTTAGAGATAAAGGTAGCCGTTCAGAATGGGCAGATTACTGGCCTAGAGGAGTAAATAGCCTAGCTGCAGCGAGGGAAGAAAAGGAAGGCGGTAGTGAACGCGAATAGATGATTCATGGCTCTTGCGGAGGCTCTAGCGTCCGGAGAAACCCTTAATAAGCCAAAGGAGGCAGAAATAGGGGTAGATGTAGACAGAGAGGTCGAGTCGGTGATTAAGGTGGGTATCGGATCAGAGGACGAAAGTAGGGACCTTACAGTTAAAACAAAGCACTGTCAGCGTACACGGAGCGGTCGGGAGGTCAAAAAACCACGCAGAAAGTAAAATTCAAGTAATTCTCTATAGAACCCCGGAGTGATTGCATTTCTAGTGGATAAAGGTGGTTGGTTTTTATATGTATTAAATATTGGATTTTGTATGGGGCGACGATTTTTTGTGCTATGCTTTAAGTGGGGTGATTCTTGAAGTGGTGGCGGATGGTAATAGTCCAAATGGTCTGGACTATTGCGAGCGCTGAGGGTCAGGACGACGAAGGTATTGGAGATGGAGCAGCAAAATGGCGATATGGAATGGCAGGAAGAAGGTGAGACCAATGAGGGAGCTCTGGGACAGAGCCAAGCTCGGAAGCAGGCTGCCCCCGAGTCAGCTGGTGGAATGGTCGAGGCAGTCCAGAGCTTGAAGCAACTACTAGAGCAGGACTTGAACAAGAAAATCGAAGCAATGAAGGCCGAATTTCAGTTCGAGTTCACCAAGCTCAGAGATCGCATGGCCGAGGAAGTCACCAGGGCCACGGCCCAGATGGCACAAGAATTATCGCAAGTCCGAGACCAGCTCACCCAGGTTTGCGGTGAGCTGGAGCAGACTCGACTACAGCTAGACATGCTGAACAAGACTGAAACACCATGGTCGTCGGTTCAATCGTATGCAGACGCAGCCAGGATGACATCCACCAGCATGTCCAGTCAATTTTCGTCTGCAGCCCGATCCGCAACTCCAGAACCGGTGTTCTGCATAGTCGACACATCCAGAGTTCCTGAAGACCATCTTGGAGACGT